GCCACGGGGTGTTGGATAGCTCATCAACGGGCAGCAAGAGCGAAGTGGTCTGCACTGCCGCGTCCGGACTGTGACCAGCATGACCTGGTCTTGATCCAGCTCATCCTGATTCTGTGGCTGCTCCTGAGTACATTCACCTGGTCTTGATCCAGCTCATCCTGATCCTGTGGCTGCTCCTGAATGCATTCAGATTCTGGGGCAGGCCGCTTAGCTGCGGAGTGAAGGTGGTCCAGGTGATCAGCTCTGCTGCTGCGGCTTCGGTGTCATGTTGAGGCAGTTGGGTTCAATGTAACGCTGCTCCTGGCGGGTGACCACGGTCAGCTTGAGCGGCTGCTGCTGCTGCTTGGCCTGTAGGTTTTTGTTGCTCTGCGGGGAGGCCGAGATGCCCGTGTCATCAGAATGCGGGTCACCAGGGCTCTCCTCCTTGGCGCTGATCACGCTAGGGGCCAGCCACGGGGTGTTGGATAGCTCATCAACGGGCAGCAAGAGCGAAGTGGTCTGCACTGCCGCGTCCGGACTGTGACCAGCATGACCTGGTCTTGATCCAGCTCATCCTGATTCTGTGGCTGCTCCTGAGTACATTCACCTGGTCTTGATCCAGCTCATCCTGATCCTGTGGCTGCTCCTGAATCCATTCAGATTCTGGGGTAGGCCGCTTAGCTGCGGAGTGGAGGTGGTCCAGGTGATCAGCTCTGCTGCTGCGGCTTCGGTGTCATGTTTCCTGGCTGCTGCTGCTGCTTGGCCTGGAGGTTCTTGTTGCTCTGCGGGGAGGCCGAGATGCCCGGGTCATCAGAATGCGGGTCACCAGGGCTCTCCTCCTTGGCGCTGATCACGCTAGGGGCCAGCCACGGTGTGTTGGATAGCTCATCAATGGGCAGCAGGAGCGAAGTGGTCTGCACTGCCGCTGGCTGGGCTGTGACCAGCTCGCCCTGGTCACGATCCAGCTCATCCTGATCCTGTGGCTGCTCCTGGGTACATTCACCTGGTCTTGATCCAGCTCATCCTGATCCTGTGGCTGCTCCTGAATCCATTCAGATTCTGGGGTAGGCCGCTTAGCTGCGGAGTGGAGGTGGTCCAGGTGATCAGCTCTGCTGCTGCGGCTTCGGTGTCATGTTTCCTGGCTGCTGCTGCTGCTTGGCCTGGAGGTTCTTGTTGCCCTGCGGGGAGGCCGAGATGCCCGGGTCATCAGAATGCGGGTCACCAGGGCTCTCCTCCTGGCGCTGATCACACTAGAGGCCAGCCACGGGGTGTTGGATAGCTCATCAATGGGCAGCAGGAGCGAAGTGGTCTGCACTGCCGCTGGCTGGGCTGTGACCAGCTCGCCCTGGTCACAATCCAGCTCATCGTGATCCTGTGGCTGCTTCCGAGTGCATTCACCTGGTCTTGATCCAGCTCATCCTGATCCTGTGGCTGCTCCTGAATCCATTCAGATTCTGGGGCAGGCCGCTTAGCTGCGGAGTGGAGGTGGTCCAGGTGATCAGCTCTGCTGCTGCGGCTTCGGTGTCATGTTTCCTGGCTGCTGCTGCTGCTTGGCCTGGAGGTTCTTGTTGCCCTGCGGGGAGGCCGAGATGCCCGGGTCATCAGAATGCGGGTCACCAGGGCTCTCCTCCTGGCGCTGATCACACTAGAGGCCAGCCACGGGGTGTTGGATAGCTCATCAATGGGCAGCAGGAGCGAAGTGGTCTGCACTGCCGCTTGCTGGGCTGTGACCAGCTCGCCCTGGTCACAATCCAGCTCATCGTGATCCTGTGGCTGCTTCCGAGTGCATTCACCTGGTCTTGATCCAGCTCATCCTGATCCTGTGGCTGCTCCTGAATCCATTCAGATTCTGGGGCAGGCCGCTTAGCTGCGGAGTGGAGGTGGTCCAGGTGATCAGCTCTGCTGCTGCGGCTTCGGTGTCATGTTGAGGTAGTTGGGACCAATGTAACGCTGCTCCTGGCTGCTGCTGCTTGGCCTGGAGGTTCTTGTTGCTCTGCGGGGAGGCCGAGATGCCCGTGTCATCAGAATGCGGGTCACCAGGGCTCTCCTCCTTGGCGCTGATCACGCTAGGGGCCAGCCACGGTGTGTTGGATAGCTCATCAATGGGCAGCAGGAGCGAAGTGGTCTGCTCTGCCGCTGGCTGGGCTGTGACCAGCTCGCCCTGGTCACGATCCAGCTCATCCTGATCCTGTGGCTGCTCCTGAGTACATTCACCTGGTCTTGATCCAGCTCATCCTGATCCTGTGGCTGCTCCTGAATCCATTCAGATTCTGGGGCAGGCCGCTTAGCTGCGGAGTGAAGGTGGTCCAGGTGATCAGCTCTGCTGCTGCGGCTTCGGTGTCATGTTTCCTGGCTGCTGCTGCTGCTTGGCCTGGAGGTTCTTGTTGCCCTGCGGGGAGGCCGAGATGCCCGGGTCATCAGAATGCGGGTCACCAGGGCTCTCCTCCTGGCGCTGATCACACTAGAGGCCAGCCACGGGGTGTTGGATAGCTCATCAATGGGCAGCAGGAGCGAAGTGGTCTGCACTGCCGCTGGCTGGGCTGTGACCAGCTCGCCCTGGTCACAATCCAGCTCATCGTGATCCTGTGGCTGCTTCCGAGTGCATTCACCTGGTCTTGATCCAGCTCATCCTGATCCTGTGGCTGCTCCTGAATGCATTCAGATTCTGGGGCAGGCCGCTTAGCTGCGGAGTGGAGGTGGTCCAGGTGATCAGCTCTGCTGCTGCGGCTTCGGTGTCATGTTGAGGCAGTTGGGTTCAATGTAACGCTGCTCCTGGCGGGTGACCACGGTCAGCTTGAGCGGCTGCTGCTGCTGCTTGGCCTGGAGGTTTTTGTTGCTCTGCGGGGAGGCCGAGATGCCCGTGTCATCAGAATGCGGGTCACCAGGGCTCTCCTCCTTGGCGCTGATCACGCTAGGGGCCACCCACGGGGTGTTGGATAGCTCATCAACGGGCAGCAAGAGCGAAGTGGTCTGCACTGCCGCGTCCGGACTGTGACCAGCATGACCTGGTCTTGATCCAGCTCATCCTGATTATGTGGCTGCTCCTGAGTACATTCACCTGGTCTTGATCCAGCTCATCCTGATCCTGTGGCTGCTCCTGAATGCATTCAGATTCTGGGGCAGGCCGCTTAGCTGCGGAGTGGAGGTGGTCCAGGTGATCAGCTCTGCTGCTGCGGCTTCGGTGTCATGTTTCCTGGCTGCTGCTGCTGCTTGGCCTGGAGGTTCTTGTTGCTCTGCGGGGAGGCCGAGATGCCCGTGTCATCAGAATGCGGGTCACCAGGGCTCTCCTCCTTGGCGCTGATCACGCTAGGGGCCAGCCACGGTGTGTTGGATAGCTCATCAATGGGCAGCAGGAGCGAAGTGGTCTGCTCTGCCGCTGGCTGGGCTGTGACCAGCACGCCCTGGTCTTGATCCAGCTCATCCTGATCCTGTGGCTGCTCCTGAGTGCATTCACCTGGTCTTGATCCAGCTCATCCTGATCCTGTGGCTGCTCCTGAATCCATTCAGATTCTGGGGCAGGCCGCTTAGCTGCGGAGTGGAGGTGGTCCAGGTGATCAGCTCTGCTGCTGCGGCTTCGGTGTCATGTTGAGGCAGTTGGGTTCAATGTAACGCTGCTCCTGGCGGGTGACCACGGTCAGCTTGAGCGGCTGCTGCTGCTGCTTGGCCTGGAGGTTTTTGTTGCTCTGCGGGCAGGCCGAGATGCCCGTGTCATCAGAATGCGGGTCACCAGGGCTCTCCTCCTTGGCGCTGATCACGCTAGAGGCCACCCACGGGGTGTTGGATAGCTCATCAATGGGCAGCAGGAGCGAAGTGGTCTGCACTGCCGCCGGCCGGGCTGTGACCAGCTCGCCCTGGTCACGATCCAGCTCATCCTGATCCTATGGCTGCTTCCGAGTGGATTCACCATAGCCCGAAGCAAAGCAGTGCTCCACCTCAGAGTCCTCGTCGTCATCGTCGTCCGCATAGGCCTCCTCGTCCGTGCTGAGCTGGCTGGAAACGAAAAAACGTATGATGAGAGGATTCTTGAAAGCCTTGTCCTGTACTCACAGCTTGTCCAGCGAAGCCTTCAATGTGTTCGCCCTGTTAATCTTGCGCAGGCGCTTTTGGTCAGTCTCGCGCGACTTGAGGTCCTGCAGTTCCTGCTGGATCTTCTGCTCAACGGGCACATAGCTTCGACGCAACGGCCTGCCCCCAGAGTCCGGCAGGGGAATATTGGGTGTTACCCCCTTGGTAGGGCAGGCCGCTCAGCTGCGGCATGGAAATGGTCCTGGTGATCGCAGCTTCTGCTGCGGCGACTCCTGTGTCATGTTGAGGCAGTTGGGTAACGCTGCTCCTGGCGGGTGACCACGGTCAGCTTGAGCGGCGGCTGCTGCTGCTGCTGCTTGTCCTGGAGGTTGTTGTTGCTCTGCGAAGATGCCGAGTCATCAGAATGGGGATCTGGACCTTGACATGATCCAGCTTATCCTGATCCTGTAGCTGCTCCTGAGTGCATTCACCATAACCTAAGACGTCCGATGTCAAAGCTGCACGTGGTTCCATGCCAGTAGTCGATAGTCAAAGCTGCACATGGTTGCATGTCATCAGTGATCGTTGCTGCAGCATATGGTTGCAGGAAAGCAGCTAAAAGCCAAACCGGTCACACTTCGATGTAAAAGTAGCAAAACACGAGTTGGTCACACTGCAAAAGCCTTGTGATAATGGATATGGTCTCACCTTTTTTACAAGTAATATGGCCGCCACTATAACCGTCCTGGCTCGGCATTTTTCTTGATTAGGCTTTCCCACTGGGCAATGAAGCCTTACGATGAGGACGCTTCCTTGGGCGTCAGATCACACAGCTGGGCCAGCGACATGGGCGGACGCATCCCATTAATGCTGCCATTGCTGGCGGCTGGATTCAGGCTGCAATTGCCAGCGGGCTTGTGTACGTTCTCCGGCTCCTTGCTGTTGATAAAAGAATGAAAATTCAATAAGAAATAAACTTCTTTAAGTAGGTTATCTAACACTTGCCCATTTCTTTCAAACTCCTTGGCGGACTGGACATTGCGCAGTTTTCCGGATCCATAGCAGTGCTCCACCTCAGAGTGGAGCCTCATCGTCATTGTCGTCCGCATCGGCCTCGTCGTCTGTGCTGAGCTGGCTAAAAACGAAAAAACGTAAAATGACAAGAGGATTCTTGAATGCCTTGACGTGTACTCACAGCTTGTCCAGCGAAGCATTCAGTGCGTTGTGCCTGTTATTCTTGCGCAGGCGCTTTTGGTCAGTCTCGCGCGACTTGAGGCCCTGCAGTTCCTGCTGGATCTTATGCTCAACGGGCACATAGCTTCGACGCAACGGCCTGCCCTCCGAGTCCCGCTCGATGGCTGCCGGTGATAGGGTGACCGTGGTAATGCCCGTTGGAGATGCCGTGGTAATGTCGTTCTCCAGGAAGGCCAACGCCGTGCGTGTGTTCAGCTTGAGGGTGTTGCTGTTGGTGTTGTTGTTGCTGCTGACTTCCATTCTGATTGCTCCCTGAGCTGCTGATGTCGGCATAAAGCGCTTCTAGCAGTACTCTTCAGCCTTTGCTCGTAGTGGGGAATCCTGCCAGGACAAAAGAACAAAAAATTTAGTGACTGCCAAATCTCTTCGATGACCTATCAAACCCATTTTGACATTTCGTAAAGGAAGCGCGATCGGCGCGGACAAGTGACTCAATATCCTCGCTATGCTCATCCAACAGTGCGCGCTCCTCCGCCGAGGGCGGGAACTTTAGCAGCTGCTAGACCATGTCGAGTGTCAGCTGCTTGTTGCTGTCCATCGAGAGAATGTCCCTAGAAGAGAAGAGATTAGTATTTGGAACCAGGAGGTGACCAAAGAAACTCCTACTTTGATATCTCCGTATAGCCCATCTTCAGCTTCCTGAGCAGGATAGTGCATTCCTGGGCCCGGCGTCCATCGATCTCTGAGAGCACCTTGCTTGCTTGGCTGGCTTGCCGCCAGTTGCTCGCAGATCCTCATAGGAGCCATCAGTAGCCTGTGCAAAGAGAGGATTCATTCGAATCTTTTCTAAACACCGATACCGCATTCTTTTGGTAAACCGAAAAGAATTTGTCTATCGACTCCAACTCCATGTTGTTGTACAGCTTGCTTTCGTCAAGTTCGCTTCAGACGGTGCCCTAGATACAAAGGATAGAAATTAATTTATGTGACGTTCCTTAACTTGACCTAACTCTGTACTCACCCATTGCTGGCGCATTGCTGCAAATTCTCCGCCTTCATTTCGGCAGTCTGCACGCGCTGCACCGCCTGCGAATGCTGAGCGGACTCCTCCAAACGTTCGCGCATGCGTATCAGACCCGTTTCAATATCCTCCTTCTGCTGTATGCAGAATCAAGAAGTTCTGAAAATAATTTATAATCAAATTAATAAACAAACACCAGCTGATGCCAAAGTTGAAGAATGAACTAAAGCTAATTAAAATGAATGCTTTTATGTTTTGCTGAATTACGAGATTTTTAAACTTTGATATGTCAATAAATAAAGTGCATGTAAAAATATACAGTTCAATAATATTGTAGAGAGTATTATAATTTTAATCAGTGGAGGTACGACCCTATAAAGCCGAAAATGACTCCACTGATTAAAATTATATTTTCCTCTGCAAAAATCTTAAAATCCAAACTTTATTTTATCATTTTTATACCCTTGCATGGTATTATAATTTTACTCAAAAGTTTAGAACGCAGTAACGCCCTTATTAAGTAAACATATTCTTGATCAGCATCAACAGCTCTTTCCCTTTCTCCCTCTCTCTTACTCTCTCTGCTAACTCTTTCTCTGTATGTTTTTCTGCCTATCTCTTACTCTCTCACTTTCTCTGTTCTCTTGACTCGGGAACTATAAATAGAGGCACTTCGTTCGCCGCGACCTCAGTCTGTCCTTGGGGTACCTAGTGTTTACATCGATAGTGATAGTGATAGTGGTTAAAAGAATGACATGGCCAATGGAATACATCTGGATAACCAGGAAGTGATCTTCGATATTATGACGCCTTGAAGTCAAAAAGATTCGAAGTCTACACTCGAAGGAAGTAAACAATGACGTGTCCCCCACTGGGGTAAGTCTTAATAATGACAATTATATCATATATATATAAAGATGCTATAGGAGGGATCATGCATTGGTCTAGATTCAGTTTTGCTAGCTATGCATTTATTTTTCAATTAATTCCCTTATTGCCATGGATCCCATTACTTAGTTTTATTTTAAAGTGATTCGGTAATTTGTATTGAGGATATCTACAAACGATACTCAAAGTTAAATGCCTTAATTAATTATAAGATCTTACTCTTTCGATAGTTTTCAAACTGACCCTGGCCCTAGCTAGACCGACTCGGCTGATGATGCTGATCAAGAATATACATATAATATTTATAGGGTCGATAATGACTCCTTCACAGTATTACTAGCTTTCGACAAAAATTAGGATAGTATAAAACTCACCTGGCCAAGGATGAGCGCTACTTCTCCTGGGCATCACGAGCTGTCTTGGCCTCATCCTCATCGTACCCAACAGAACTCGTTCTTGCAGTTCTGGTTCTTGCACACCATATGGTTGCAACCGCCGACTTTCTCAATGGTCACACTGCACTTGGGACACTCTTTAGTATTGGCCGTGATCCAGTTGGACGTTTCTGAGTTGTCGTCGCTCTTCTCCTTCCACTTCTTTAGCCAGCGGAATTTGACCGGATCGTATTCGGATATAAGGTCGCTGCTCCACCTACAGTACAACCTGCTGGACCACGCGATCGATCACTCGCCCATTTCTATCCAACTCCTGGGTGGACTGGACATTGTGCAGTTTTCCGGGTCCATAGCAGTACTCCACCTCAGAGTCCTCATCGTCCGCATTGGCCTCGTCGTCTCTGCTGAGCTGGCTAAAAACGAAAAAACGTAAAATGACAAGAGGATTCTTGAATGCCTTGACGTGTACTCACAGCTTGTCCAGCGAAGCATTCAGTGCGTTGTGCCTGTTATTCTTGCGCAGGCGCTTTTGGTCAGTCTCGCGCGACTTGAGGCCCTGCAGTTCCTGCTGGATCTTATGCTCAACGGGCACATAGCTTCGACGCAACGGCCTGCCCCCAGAGTCCGGCAGGGGAATATTGGGTGTCACGCCCTTGGTAGGGCAGGCCGCTCAGCTGCGGCATGAAAATGGTCCTGGTGATGGCAGCTTCTGCTGCGGCGGCTCCTGTGTCATGTAGAAGTCCAATGTCCAATATAACGCTGCTTCTGACGGGTGGCTGCTTCTGTTGCTGCTTGCCCTGGATGTTGTTGTTGCTCTGCGAGGAGGCCGAGACCTGGACATGATCCAGCTTATCCTGATCCTGTAGCTGCTCCTGAGTGCATTCACCATAACCTAAGACGTCCGATGTCAAAGCTGCACGTGGTTCCATGCCAGCAGGCGATAGTCAAAGCTGAACATGGTTGTCATCAGTGATCGTCGCTGCAGCACATGGTGGCAGGCAAGCAGCTAAAAGCCAAACCGGTCACACTTCGATGTAAAAGTAGCAAAACACGAGTTGGTCACACTGCAAAAAGCTTGTGATAATGGATAGGGTCTCACCTTTTTTACAAGTGATATGGCCGCCAGTAAAACCGTCCTGGCTCGGCATTTTTCTTGATTAGGCTTTCCCACTGGGCAATGAAGCCTTACGATGAGGGCGCTTCCTTGGGCGTCAGATCACACAGCTGGGCCAGCGACATGGGCGGACGCATCCCATTAATGCTGCCATTGCTGACTTCATTGGCTATGTAGGCGGCTGCATTCAGGCTGCGATTGTGTACGATATCTGGTTCGTTGCTGTTCATATAGAATGAAAATTCAATGAGAATCAAACCTCTTTAAGTAGGTTATCTAACACTTGCCCATTTCTATCCAACTCCTGAGTGGACTGGGCATTGCGCAGTTTTCCGGATCCATAGCAGTGCTCCACCTCAGTGCTGAGTTGACTGGGGAGGAAAAATATAAGATGATGAGAGGACGATTCTTAATAGCCTTATCCTGTACTCACAGCTGGTCCAGCGAAGCCTTTAGTGTGTTCTGCCTGTTAATCCTGCGCAGGCGCTTCAGGTCACTCTCGTATGACTTGAGGACCTGCAGCTCCAGCTGGATCTTCTGCTCGACGGGCACATAGCCTCGACGCAACGGCCTGCCCACCGAGTCCCGCTCGATGGCTGCCGGTGATCGGGTGACAGTGGTAATGCCCATTGGCGAGTTCCCGTTCTCCAGGAAAGCCAGCGCTCCAGCGTGTGTTTAGCTTGAGGCTGTTGTTGTTGCTGTTTCTGCTAATTTCCATTCTGATTGCTCCCGGAGCTGGTAATGTTTTCCAATGGCGAGACAGGCGGCAGGAGACTATTGGGTGTCACCAGCTTGCCATGGAGGCTACAAACCGCTGCATCAAGCCCTTTGTGGAAATGGTCCTGGTGATGAGCCTCTGCTGCGGCGGCTCCGGTGTCATGTTGTAGCAATTATGCAGTTGGTTACTTGCCAGCAGCCGATAGTCAAACCTGCACATTCCTCCTTGTCATCTGATCTTCATAGTAGTTACACTTCGGTACGAAAGTAGTTCAAAATTAGCAAGTCAGACTGCAAAAAAGTTGTGAAAAATAATATGGTTACTGTACAAAAACATGTAGTGAAAAATGACAGTCACTCTTCGATATTAGAGCAGTGACAATAAGCTGGTCACACTACCAAGAAGTTCACGATATGGTCACACTACCAAAAGCTTATGATATGATCACGTACCTGCCGCTCCCCGGTAACGTTCTACAGCATCTCTTCCATTTAGGTGTACTTGTCCCAGAACTGATTGACGGGTGGCATTATGTTAACGACGCGATCCCACCGGTTGCGGGCATGGTTCACCTGTTTGTTCTTCATCTTCATCTCAACGTACTTTAGCTAGAGCGTCACGTTCCGGTGCTCGTTATCCAGCGCCCTCTCCCAAATGGAGCGCGCCCGCTCGAACTCCTGCTGCTGCTCTTCCCACTGCGCATATTTAATCCAGTGGCCGACGACCATGCGGTTCTTGCGCAGATTGTCCTTAAATGTCTTTTGCTTGCGCTGCTGGTAATCTGTCCACGCAAACGTCCTAGCGGTGGAGCATTGTATAGGTACTCAGAGCGAGTTACAAGCTTGTCCAAGGCTATCCTTGACCTGGAGGGGAATAGCTGATGAGTACGGCACTGCGGGCGCTCAAATAGTTTTCGACTTACGTTGCGCAAATTAGAATCCATCATTCGCCACTCGTTTGTTACGTTTTAATATATGAAATGAACTAACATTTATTTTCACGATCCCGTTCCTGACAGAAGAACAACTGATTTTCATATATCGATACACACCGATAACGATAGCACTAAATCAAAATACCTTCCTGTGAAACCGAGCCTAAAGTAGTTAAAAACGATCTGGTCACACTACAAAAATTGCATGTTTTGGAATTGCATACTTTTGGGAGTGTGGTGTAGCATACCTTTAGGCCGTACAATTAATTTGCATAAATTTAAATTTGCTTTCTGCGGCCTTCTGTTCGCCTGGTACTTCAGATCGAGAATTCGATGGATTTGTACTGAAATTGAACAAATCGAAGGCCTGTTTTTGCCTAAAACAACAACAACTCTTTAACAACAATTCAAAATTTACAAGAACAAAAGACGATAAATATATTAATTTAAGTTCAGATACATTTAGTAGGCAAAATTAAGAAAAATTTAATTTAGCATTGAACTGAATCGAACCTTACCTTATAATCTACCCGAACCATTCAATTCTTTTGTAATAATTCACTGAAAAAGAATCGAATGAAATGTAAAAACCAAGTTCTTTTGCTTTTGTGTATAAATGTAGTTTATTTTTGTTTTGCTGCATTTCTCTTTTGTTTGTATTCGGTTGCGTGTTAAATATTAATAATGAAATTGCATTAAGTAGTATACGATTAGTGTTTGGTTCTAGAAGTTAGTTAGAGGCGCAGTAGCAGAGTTATATGGAGATTTCTTAATGAATTTTTTTTTCCGTGTACCAAGTAGCTTAGAAAGGTATTTATTAGTTTTTTTTCCCGGCCGTGTACTGTGTTGGTGTGTGTGGCTTGTGTGTTATGTGTGTCTTGCTTTCTGTTTTGTTGTCTTGCAAAAATATTGCGCCTGCGCTTCCGAATGGCAATCAGAAGTTTTATATTTATTTATGTATATATTTATATAAATATTATTAACTTGCGTTTGTTACCTGCACTTGGAATATTTAAAATATCTTTTGTTAGTCGCTTTGTTTTTACTTTTAGATTAATTATAACATATGTATACATATTAATTTAAATATGTTCTTTGTTTTTTGCTTTATCTTTTGTCGCTTTGAGTTTTGTTTTTCCTTTAATCGCCTTCTAAGTTATGCAAAAATAAGCTCTCTCTTCTCTCTCGCTCTATCTATTCTTTATCCCATGAAGCATATGGTCTCATCATGAGATCTGCGCTCTTTTAAGGACACTCGTCTCCCTTGAGAGAAAGTGCCAATCGTCCTCGACTAAGCTGATGAGACCACATTTTACAGTTAAATCATGATCTATCTTCGTTTCCAGCGCTCTTTTGTGTGCGGCGCCTTCTCTTCACTGAACAGAAACTTGGAGAATGCTGAAATTATTGTTCTTCATATTACTTTTGCTGTTTTGCTTATTGTTTCCGCTTTAGATTTATCATATTTAATTATCGTACGAGTATATATCGATCGTTATCGATTGGGAAATGTGCAGTTTTCTTGTACATACATACATACATACAATTATACAATTAGAATCGAAATTTCGCTTCGTTTTTGACGCGCTTTAAATGCATTTTATTTTGTTAGTTGGTTTGTTTGTTGTTTCTGCAGGCATGGCTTCGTTAGCTAAGGCTATACAATTATAAATATCGGTTTCCGGTCATCGGTATTGCAATAATCATCCACAATGTCCTTTATACAATAATATTATTAAAAAAAAAACGCTTAACGAAATCTCAACTGATCGGATCTCTTAAAAGTTAACTCTCTTTTTGGCATAAGGTCTTTTGTTTTGTTTCTCTTCAACGAAATTATAAATGTAGTTAAAGAACTAAACAATTAACTGATTAATTAATTTACATGACAAATAATGTGAAAATATCATATTATAAATAATTGCTTGCAAGTAAATTCAATCGAACGCTTAAAAACTATTGTCTTACATGATTTTTGGATGCGAGGGATTTTGGGAATTGGGGTTGCTGAGGATTCTTGGAAACTCTTTTGGGGATACACATTTTTTATCAAGGTTTTTGTACAATGTTTGCTCACGCACACTCGCTCACACATGCTTTAAATTCAGTCTTTTTCATATTAAGAGAATGGGAATAAAAAGAGGAAGCAGTGCAACCAAGAAGGATAATTTTAATATTTGTTGAAAGATAATAAATTCTCAATTTCTGTAAAAATAATTAATCTCAATTTCAAACAAATTCTACCTAAAACTGCTCGAGTTTGAAATTTAATATCAATATCTTTCGATAATTAAATTGAAACAGTCGTATCGAAATCTTGCAAGACTTAAATCGTCGTATAAATTGATCAACAGTCTATTATTTTCCATGAATAACATATATATTTTATGAAATATAATGCTTTCACTGCAGTTACTATCGATTTCTGGGCAGTTTATCAAGTATTTCTATTGATTAATTATCGAGCAATTATTTGTACAAGTTTAAATCGATTCTAAACATTTTAAAACTGCACGATCAACTTTAAGGTTTGCTCTTAAATCTCATGTAAAGGCTTCTCGCCAATATGTATTAACCGTTTTTAGATATACAGAAAACAGATTTCTGAGAAAGATAAATAAGATCAAGTTGAGTTAAAAAAAAAGTATACACATTTTGCTAACAGAGTTTGAAAACAGCGATTGAATCGATCAAATCAAGGTTTCCAGTTCCAAATAATTAAATTAATTTTATATTCGTTCGAACCCTTGATGCTGATCGGCATGCTGTGGCTTTCCGGCATTGCAGTGTGCTTCGTTTCAGCGAAGAAGTGCGGCTTGGTGTGTGAGCAGATAAATTTATATATATATATTTTAAATATTTATATATAGATGGGCGTTTCCTGGCCGGTGAGCAAACGAAACATGGACGTGGGCATCGTCTTCATCAGGATCTGATTGAGAAAGATAATAATTACAACATAAATCTATGGAAATGCATTTTTGAATGATTATGGAAATACCTCGCCCACTGAGGATGACAACAGTTTGACAATGGTATCGTGTGGAACGGCCACAACACTTTGATTGTTAATCTCAATGATGCGGTGGCCGACCCGTACTCCGCCCCTCTCGGCGATGCCTCCGCGCAAAAGGCTGCAGATCTACAAAGCACCATGGTTATATTTCATAGTTGGAAATAATCATTCGGCCTAAAAAACTCACCACCCCGTTTTGGACGCTAAATCCCAGTTGGAACAGCGCCTTGGGCCGCAGTATTTTCACTTCGACGACTGGCGGGCAGGGCACAACGGTGAACTTGACGGCAGTTTGGTTCTTGGCATTGCGTATGTAGCTCTGGCAGGTGGACAGCGGCAATCCCACCAGGCTCATGCCGTTGATGGCAATTAGCTGGTCGCCAATATTTAGCTGACCGCAGCGAGCTGCCGCTCCAGTGGACATTAGATTGGCTATCACCACCGTTGGCAGCATGGAGCCCCAGCCGCTCTCGACAATAACAACGCCTAGGATTTCGCCCTTAGCCTTCGGCACAACCACCTCCTTTTGCAGCTCCTTTTTGGCGAAGATCTCCAGCTCGTCACCGAATATCTCCTGACTGTTGAGCACCTCCTGATAGTCCATCTCCTTGGCCAGGCTTTCGTTCTCGATGCCATTTGCCTTGAGGAACTCCATGTAGGCCACCTAACAAGGCCAGTTTAGAGTGATCCTATGTCATTTTGGGTGTGATGCTTACCTGGAAGGCCTGTCCAATGGACTGAGCGATAAACTGCGCCTCATCGCTCTCGAAGACATGGCAGATCATCTTGGGCGTGCGATTACTGTGCTTGCTATGCTGCTGCTGTTCCTTTGGGAGCGACTCCTCCTCACCTAATCCAATTCCCGGAGTACCCGGCACCGCATCACCAGTCGGACAGGCAACAACAGTGGGCTCCGTCGTCACACTATTGGGCACGAATCTGCGACGCGCCATTAGCACCACCAGGTCACCGATATCGGCTATATAGGATATGGTGCGCAGAGCGTGATCCATCATGATCTCTTTGAGGTCTGTGTTCAGCACCATTATCTTTTCGGTTGATATGAACAGGTCCACTTCAGTGCTCGGCTGACTCTCACCCTCGGGAGCCTGTTTGGAAAATAGAAAGTAACAAATGAAAAGGGACTCATGTTTTCAAGAATATCTGGCACTTAGTTCTCAATGGGGGCTAACACAATGATCGATCTCTTACCAAAGCCTATAAAGACAGAGGAATGCGCAGCAGCAGGGAACGAGAAAAGCGAACGAGAAATATTTTTAGACAGAGACACAAAGAGCATAGCCTAGCGGGGTATTTGGAGGGGCTCTTGACTGTGTGTGTGTAGGAGTTAGGTTAGTAATTTCACACTTACCTTGATCCTGGAGACAGCCTCCTCGGCCTGCATCATCCTGGTCGACTTTGTTGGCTGACCCTCGCACACCAGCTGCGTCGATCCAAGATATCTGGCTCGGAATAGCACGCCCTCGATAAGAACTTTGGGTTCCAAAAAACCTGTACGGGGTTATTGGATGAAATATGTTAGTTATCAGAATATATCGTTGATTAAATATCTATAGAAATATTAGAACTGCACTAAGCTCGCTCTCAAGATGGAAGCAGTTAACCCTGGTTGGTAGGTTTGCTTTCGTTTAGACCCTAATTAACATGCTTAAGAATTCGACTTACATTGCCATCACAATCAAATGTTGTTACAAATAGCGCAGCGTGAAAAATAGGTTTTTTTTTATACAATCAGTAAGCTAGAACGCAATCCGGAATTCCGGAGTGGGGCGTTCCTATGCTAGAATGCTATTACTCACCCTCCTTGTTCCGAGACTTGGCCTTCTTGTCCGAGTTAGCCGAATCCTTGAGCGACTTGATGGAACCCGTGGGACTTTTGGTATACTGCTGCAGCTTCTCGGGCGAACTTATGGATGTCCGGATATCTGCTGCCGATGTGCCCACTATTTGACAGATGTCCGGTGAATTGGGCGTCAGCGAGGTGCCGATACCTTGGCGTATGGTGGACGTAGAATAGGTATGCGGCTTGAGATTGCACATAGGATTCGAGTTCGGATTCGGGTTGTTGTTGTCCAAGGCACCATTATTTAGGTGGCCATTGCTAGCTGCGATCTCTGTGTCCTCATTCGCATTGCTGTCCGCTGCCAGAGGCTACGAAATGTTTAAAAGTTAATGAGTGCAGAATAAGAATATATAATTGAATTTCTTACCTGATCGGAAAAGAAGTCCTGTTGCTGCTGCTGACCCAGCAATCGATCCGTCTCCAGATCCGTGTCCGGTTCCTCCTCGGTCAGTGCAACAGTCGGAGCTGGGACAGCTCCCTTACGTGGCACCCAAACGGGAGAATCGGGATCCGGCGGCAGAACCTCATCGCAAAACTTGAGCTTCTCCGGTTGCGTCTTGGCCCGCTGCAACGCCGAACGTATCTCCTTCATGGCCTCTTGGATTTCCTGCAGCGGCTGAGGCTGCACTGTTCCAGAACCTAACCCTGATTTTTCCACAACCGATCCTGAGTCTCCTCCCAAAGCCGCGGCATATACCGCACCGTAGTGACTGTCCAGCGGGTTCTCGCCATCTGAGGGTATAACCGACTCACTGGGATCCGCAATCTCTATTTGAGGCGGCGTCAGCGGCGACGGTCCCGGGGGCATGGGCATGGGCAACGAGGCGAAATCACTTATCAGCGCCGATTGAGAGGCATCTGTGGTTAGAGTCGCCATGCTGGCACTCATTGCATTATACTCGTTCTCCAATCGCTCCCCGTTCCCGTTGTGCTCGAGCACCACTGGCTGGGAGTGGGATTGGGAATGGGATTGAGACTCTGAATGCTGTTTGTCGCAGATCACGGATACATTGTTCTCGGTATCGGAGGCGTGACCGCTGCTCAAACCATCCTCCAGCACCGGCATACTCGTGTACAACTTGCCATAATCCGTGGGGCAGTTGATGTCGTTGGACAAACTATCCAGATCACCACAGTTCGAATCATAGTCCGTGGTCTCCGGGGACAGGGTGAAGTTCCGCGAGTGCCGTCGCAGATTTGCCTCCAGTTCCGTGTCAGCCAGATCACCGCTGCTGCGGCTATTCGAATCGATATACAGCTCAATGTCGTTGTGCTGCTCCTGGTATGGATTGTGGATCGATGGATTTGGGTCACTGGGCTAAAGGATAATAATTTAATTAGAATTTTAAATATGTACAAAGGAATTTCAACTCACTGCTGGCTTTTTGGTGGGCGATCTGTGCACCATGAACAGCTCATCGTCCTTGGGAATTCTCGCCAGCCGCTGCCCAATGTACGCCTGTTCCATGGGTGTGCTCGGGTACTCCAGTTGCTATTTTCGTAAAATTGTACATTATAATCAAAAGGGAACAGGAATGGAAGGGTTACACAGCTCACCGAACTAGCCACATCGTCGCCACTCTCCGTGGTGTAGTCCGTAAAGCGCTTTTCGTCCTCTGGATTCGCCTTGAAGAACTCCTCCAGCACCTTTCGCGTCTCCGAGAACTCGTACAAGTAATCGAATGTTGGGGTCTTCTCCTCTCGCACCGTCCTGGAGCCTCGATCTTCCTCATGATCAATTAGATCAATGAGATTGCCCACGGATGCCTTTGCCGACACCGAATTAGCTGTAGTGTGAGTGTTGCTGGTTGTGGGAGAAACTCTTTGGGGAAATCCCGGCGGACGTTTCCGAGGGGACCGCCCAGGATGGTGCTGTTCGGTTGATTACCGCCAAATCGACGTGGAGATCCTTCATACTCGGCAATGGGCAGCTGGCCAATCATTTTGGTCACCTTAAGGACATCCTCGTTGCTGCCCAGTGGTCTCTGGCCACTCGAAGCCTTGTTCATCCAATTGGTGTCGATATCATCGAACACCACGATCTCGCCATCCCTCAGGCATTGTCCGTCCGCCTTGCCCACATCCGTTGGAGATCCGGGACTGGCCAGTCCCTAAAAGTTAAGAATACAACGGAGATATATTTTTACTTCCTTTAATTTTGTTTTAATCTTAGCTTACCTGGGGCAGGGCATCCCGGGACTCGAACTGGCTGCCCGGACTCCTTCCCAGTCGGATCTGGTGCAAGTGCGGCCGCTGGTAGTAGTAATTGCCCGAGTCTCGGCCCGAAGATAGCCCGTAACCGGGTAGTCCTTGACCACCGCCCACGGATGGAGACTGCCCTTGCATGGGAACATACGGCAGCTCGGCATTCAGATCCGGTGAGTTCAGAACGGTGCTGGCTGGTGTGACATTCGGACTGCGAGTTCTCATCTCCCAGACATAACGCTCCTGGGGTTGCTGCTGCTTTCCCGGCTGCTGGGTCTGCTGGCCAAAGTTGATCTGGAGCTGATTGGCCATGGACTCGTTGCTGCTGTCGCTACAGGAGTTCGAGTTCATGTCTGGCTGACTGGGATAGACGGATCGGTTCGGAACTGGGATGACCTTGGGGTAGCGGGGCTTAGTCTGCTACTGCTCTAATGTTGCTGCTGCTTCTCCGACCGCTGCTGCTGCTGCGATGGCTGCTAACATGCCCTCACCTGGGGGCCACTGCCTGGTGGAGAAGAAATGGAGGTTCGATTAGTCGATGATCTAATGGAGCCCATGATGAATCATTGTCTCTGGCAAGGAGGGGTAGATTTGATCGATGATTGTAATTATAATTACTCTTACAGAAAGTGCTGCGACTTGAGGCTTAGACTCGGAACAGCAATTAAACAAGTTTCTGTTACCTCTAAAGGTATCTCTTAAGGTTTTTCTTAATATCTATGAGATTAATATAAAAACTTTATATGATACAGAATTAATGCAGAAGTTTGTATTATTATATTTATCTTTGAAGCTTTCGAAGCTGGCCTACTTGGGGCTTGATTTCAGAGGTAATTAGTATTAAAATCAAAGGATATTATGCTGAAATATCACATTTTTATGCACTTAATATCGGTTTAACACTTTCAAGGTAAAACCTCAAAATTGGTAATACTTTTTGATTTTTCCCTTCGCCTGGCTATTTTGATTATAAAACAGTCATAGAAGTGCTGTTCGCTTTGGCGAATGGCCTTTGAATACTGCAACTACATATGTATGTACGTAAGCTCCTCTTGGTGATGATTCAATGATGATGATGATGAGTCTGTGCCAGCGTTCTTTATCTGCCATTGTTTTTGGCCAAGCTTAAGTGGTGTTGTTGCTGCTACTGCTGCAGTTGCTCCGCCCGCGGCTGCTTTGGGAAATCAATGCGGGCAATTAACCCACTCTTGCCAGGCATCTGGGGACACACAACACTTCAAACAAAACACACACACAGCACATACACTACACCACACACGTGTGTAGTGTGTATTATATGGAAATCTGGCGCGTTCGTGTGTGTGGTTGCGCACGTAAACTTGGCCTCCAAAAGTCCTCTCGCGCAGGCAAAACAAAACGCAGGAAGCTGCTGCTGCCACTGCTGCTGCACTTCCAGACATAACAACAAACACCCACACGCCCGGTGGGAGGGGGTTGAGGGTGGTGCAGCCTTTGTTGTCGCCGACTGTTGTGGCAATCGCGTCGTAAGCGCCAGGCGTGGGAAAACACTAAACTCCGTGCGTGTGTGTGTGTGTGTGTGTGTGTCTATCTATGTGCGTATTGTTAAAAATCAATAGATATGCCGTTGTTTTTTTGGTTTTTCTTTCGCAGCTCCCTCTTACACGGTATGGGGCGCAGAAGGCGGAGCGAACAACAACACACGCGAAAGAACAGCGCGAAGGAACACCGATACAGCAGCAACTATTGCTGCAGCGGCCCAAAAGCAGAGGCAGCAATAACAACGCGTCAGACTGCATTGGTAATCAACACATGTCGCGATTTTTTTAACAATTACCATTTAATTCATATTACACTCCGAATGTGATTTATTTTTATTTCCCCGTCTTTACTATCGGTAGTGATGGCACGATTAGTCATATGATATACAACAATCGACTATTATGTTTCATTTATCGATTTAATTGTATTCATTAATCGACTACTCGACAAATGAATTGCAGACGCTGTAGGGCATATCGATAAGTCAACGTCAACGATACTCTAGCGAACACAATTGTGAATTACAATAAAAGTATGGCCACACAACATTTTTCAAGCTTTGAAATAATAAAATTTATCCTAATTTTTATTGCTAACTGTTGCCATTTGAAAGTTATATGATAAACTTTTAATTACCTAGAAGCAATTAAAAATAATGCTCAAGAGCTAGACAAGATCCAATACTCATTTGTTGACGCCTTATCAGTAGAAGAGGGCAGTAAAAATGAAATAGGAGCAAATAAAAATTTGATAAAACAATGCAAAAAAAGCGCGAATATTACTACAGATATGGATTTATTATTGCGTGTCCCGCAGCAGATTGCTGTCATCATCCAGGCCGGCAATCCACTCGCAAATCCGCTTAAAGAACTCCGCGTCCACGTGCTCAATGATCCGCACATTCTCTGGATGCTTTTCCCGCTCTCGCAGGTGATCGAGCACCATCTGGCCGCGGGTGTGGGTCCCCGGAGGTCAACAGTCGCATGCCAGGTACTGTGCTTGCGTATGAACCGGTCTCCGAAGAGCCACACGGCCACTACCAGAGCATCGCAGGGATTCCACGTCTCGTACGCCTCGGTCGTGGGTAGCCACTGAGCGGCCTCCACTTTGTTGAGCATCGTAATGGCCGGATGCTTGGCATCCTTTGCCCTAGTGGCAAATTCCTTCAGGCGCCAGTCCTGCAGATGAAGGAACATTTAAGTATTTGGTGTAACTTTGAGGGGTTCCCCCCAGAATTTGGTGTTTACTCACTATGGATATGTTGAATCTCTCCGCAGTGCAGGGTTCCCAGGGCAGGACGGTGATGGGGCAGCTGCTTCTCAACAGCACAGTGTGCGCAGCTTCCGGATCCGAATGGAAATTGAATTCGGCGGCACGTGAGGAATTCCCCACGCCCTGGTAATTCCCGCCCATGATGAAAATATCTTTGAAGTTCTCCCCAAACTCCTGGCCGTACATGGTATAGCCCAGAGCCAGATTCGTAAGGGGACCCACGGCGAAAACAGTGATCTGTTTGGGCCTCGCACGACACAGATCATATATGGCAGTCACTGCATGCTTTGGCTGCACATAGCTCTCCACCGGATCGCAGGCATCTTCAAGACAATCTCCAAATCCATCGCGGCCATGGAAGTATTTCTTTTCGTCCTCACTGCAAGGGATTAGGGGATCAACAGCGCCCAGATATATAGGGATCTGCAGGAAAGAAATATTAATGATTTAATAGAAATGAAGAAGTTAATGCGAAATCCAAGGGAAGCAGACGTTCTTGAATTCTTATGTACGATAATTAGCGATCGATGGGATCGGGCTTCATTATTTAATAAGTATTCTTTATTTATATTTACATACGTCTGTTCGGTTGGAGGCCTCGAGTATCCGTCGCATGTTCCGTGCCGCACTCTCTCGGCTGGTATTGCCGCATCCCATCGTGGTCACCGCCAGCAGATGGATGCCGTGGCTCTCCGCTGCATGTAGCAGCAGGAGCAGCGCCCAGGCATCGTCGCTGCCACCGTCACAGTCCAGGATGACGTATCTGGGTGCATCTCCTTTTCCGTCGCCGTTTGCCGCTGTGCGTCCGTCTGCCATCGCCGGCAATTGGTGAATGGTGAATGTAAACTGCTGTCCATCGTTTCCACTCGGCTCTAGCCGTATCACGGAATTTCACAACGCCGCTCCGGCTCTGCCCTCCGTTTCGTTGTCCAATCTGTATTCCCGATTCCGTGCCCACATGTGCGATATGTCGCCATGTGTGCAATGCATATCTGCGCTGTATTTCATGTGTTAAGTGAATCAGCTGGCCAGAGAGGGACAAACGTTTGGGAGATGTGTGTGTGGGATTCGTCGGGAATCGGGGTGGTCTTTCTATCTGGTCGACAGGCAAATACCCTTATCAGTGCGGGAAATAGAAAGGTAATCCATGTGTAAACACTAATCACCAGTCTTGAAATATTCTAGGAAAACATATATGATGTAGGTTTACCTACCCTAGCCCTATAATGTCTTGGCATTACATTCTTGCCAGAATGTCCTTTAAATAGTTTATGAAGGTATTTCAGCAATGTAATTGGTATACAACAAATATGAGACTATAGAAGAAAGCAATCTAAATAGTTTGTTAAATTTCTTAACTAAACATATTACTCAAAGTAATGGGACACAAGTGGGAATTCCAGATAATTCACATCCCAAAATGGCGTTCAGGGTAATTGAGTTTATGTTACAATTTAATTTAATAAATCTCGGAGATTCGAAGGGCAACTGGAACTAGAATTACGTTACGTATATTAATAATTCTTTGTGGCAATCGAGTTGCGGCAGGTCGTTGCGATAATAACAGGCTACGGACTAAAGTCGTATCGCCCACTTGCGACACTTGGATTAATCTATGTAGATTCCCATTTATACAGAATACTTGTATAGTTTCAATGTGGGAAGGCAGCCACTTAACATATGTATACATATTATTAAGGTCTTTCGTAATCTACATACATAAGTATTCTTACTTGCTTGAATGATGCCATTTAATAAAGTAGTTTAACTTAATCAAAATAGTTTACGTCAAGTGGCTAGATACAGATTTTTTTTTTTTTTTTCTTTATTATTTATTTACAATCTGTCTAATTAACAATAGGTAAATTTTATGAGGAGTGTTAAGCTAACAGAAATAGCAGTTCTCCAGTGAGCTCTGCTATTATATATTTTACATATTTACAGTAGTTTAATTTATCTGTCGGGGAGATCGAGAATGTGGTATCTTTTCAGTCTTCTTACTGTTAAACTATTGTCCACTAGATTTAAGGCTAAATTGTTTCATGGTTATGGAGTCTGTCGATGTATTTTTTACTGATTTTATTTATTTCTTCTTTTATGGTTGGGATGTTGAGGTCTTTGTGGATGTTTGCATTAGTTACGTAGAAGGGAGCATTGACAATTTGTCTCAAAGTTTTGGATTGGTAACGCTGAAGAATTTCAATATTTGATTTGCTAGCAGTTCCCCAGAGCTGTAAAGCGTAGGTCCAAACAGGCTTTAGTATGGCTTTGTAGAGGCGGATTTTGTTTTCCAGAGAGGTTTCTGATTTGCGACTTAACAACCAGGACATTTTTAGTGTTTTAAGTCTGAGCTGCTGACACTTTGCTTTGATGTGATTTTTCCATGTTAATCTGCGGTCGAGATGCATCCCGAGGTACTTCACACATGTAGTTTGTGGAATTGGTGAGCCGTTAAGTGCAACATTAGGGCAGCTGCCTGGTCTTAATGAAAAAGTGATTTGGACGGATTTTAGGGAGTTGATTTTAATTTTCCATCGAAGAAACCAGTCTTCAATTAAGCTTAGCTCACGCTGCAGGAGTTCAGACGCTTCATTTTTGGATGTGCTTGTAGCCAAAACGGCTGTATCATCAGCATATGTTGCTACAGTGCATGTGTTTGTACCTGGCATGTCAGCCGTGTATAGGGTGTACAGAATTGGCCCCAGTACGCTTCCTTGTGGGACGCCTGCGTTAATGCAGTTTAGCGTTGATGAGTCGCTTTTCTGCTGCACGTAAAAGCATCTTTTAGTCAGATATGACTTGATTAATAGATAGTATGGGGCAGGTAGCCATTTCTTTATCTTGTACAATAAACCATTGTGCCAGACTCGATCGAACGCTTGTTGTACATCAAGAAACGCAGCAGTGCAGTATTTTTTGTTTTCAAATGCAGAGACTATATCATTAATGACCCTGTGACATTGCTCAGGTGTCCCGTGACCTCTCCTGAATCCAAATTGATATTCAGGAATGATGGAAAGCTCGTCCAAAATTGGCAACATTCTCTTCAATAGTATTTTTTCAAATACTTTCGAGAATATTGTCAACAGACTAATGGGACGGTATGAGGTCAGTTCTGTTTCTGGTTTGAGTGGCTTTAGGATCATAATGATCTCTGCGCATTTCCATTGACTTGGAAAGTGATCTAGTCTGAGAATTGCATTATATATGAGAGTGAGAAGTCGAATGCATTTTGGTGGTAAAGTTTTTAGGGTGATGCCGTCTATTTTGTCAGGGCCTGGTGTTTTTTTGTTGTTCAAGCATTTGATTTCTGTCACAACTTCTTCATACTTAATGCTTTTGATAGGCAAGCTCATTTGACAGGGTGACTCAAGAAAGTTTTCGATTTCAGTCTCTGTTATTGGGTTATTGATGTCGTTTGGCTGAAACACGGAATGCAGATGTTGGGCAAATGCTTCCGCTTGTTCTTTATCAGACCTGCACCATCTTCCATTGCCTTTACGAATGTTTACGTTTCTTTTAGTTGGTCTCTTTAGGTATTTGGTCGCCCTCCATAGGTTGTGTTCGTTGTTGCAGGAGTTTGGGTCAAGGTTTCTCAAATACGCAGCTAGAGATTCATTGCGTAAGTTCGACAGCAGTTGTCTAAGCTCAGATGCAGCCTTGTTGTATAATCTTTTATCAGCAGGGTAGTGAGTTTCTTGCCAGCGTTTTCGCAGATTTCTTTTATTTTGTATTTTTTGTCGAAGTTCGGTTGAAAGGTACAATTGATTTGGTTGTTGAAGATTAGGAGCATGATTCGTGTTTCTATAGCTCGCTTTATGAATTGTATTTGTGAAAAGCTCCACAGATGGAATATATTTTCGAAATGGAGCTGAAATATTAGTTAAAATATAGTTTATAGTAATTAATATTTAAATTCATTAAATACTTACTCAAGTAAAAACGTAGAGAGCTATTATCCATATTGCAGACGACACTGTAAGTGAGGTGAGTAGAAAACTGCAGCCAACTTCACTGCAGTTTCTGGTATTGAGAGCAAGGCTTATCCTAGCATTTAAAGGAATCTATACTCTGTCTACACTTATAATTAGATTTATTTATATTTATTGTTTAATTAACTTTTATATTTAAAGGTTTAAAATCAACTAAAAGGGAGCCTGTGACAGCAACAAGACCGTCGCAAAGAAATTCACCACAGTAACTCAGCTGCAATGACGTTTGACACTTGACAGCTGATCAAAATGCTGCGCTTTAATTAATAAAAATTTAATAACAATTTAAGTTAATTTGACAACTTAAAGCTTACAAAAATAAATAATTTGTTATACCAGCGATCCATGGAGTTGGAAAACCATCTTCCCAATATAAAAAGAAGATGAGGGTGCCTACAATTCGTTCTAAACAATTTGTTCAAAACCCCACTATAATTATGCTTATTTTTCTGTGGCCAACATAGCGATAGCAACCTCATGGCGATAGCACAGCATTCGCAATCGATAAAAGCAGACGACACTGCGGGAACAACAAATAATTCAGCATTAAACGGGCCACGATCAGAGCAGCATGGAGAAGAAGGAGCGCCTGGTGGTCTACGACTGCGACATTGGTACGGACGATGCCTGGGGCCTGGCCATGATGCTGCGGGCAGAGGAGCTGACTCTACCCGGCGGCAGAACTATCAAAGTGGTGGCCATTACCAGCGTCCAGGGCAACACTGACGTGGTGAATGGCACGCTGAACGCCCTGCGGGTGCTCCACACGCTGGACAGGCGGGATGTAAGCAGGTGCTGCCACTAAACCGGTTCTCCCAACTGACTTCTTGTTCTCCCTCCCATCAGGTGCCCGTATTTCAGGGTTGCGCCAAGTCCATTGTGCCGACTAGTTGGAACTACACCAATCGTTTTCATGGCATGGACGGCTTCAACGACGTGGGAGACTATCCGGTTGTGGATGCGGATAAGGAGGTGCAGCCAGAGCATGCCGTCAATGCCATGTACCGCCTGGCCTGCCAGCATCCCGGTCAAGTGGACTTCCTGCTCTGCGGCCCGCTTACGAACTTTGCCAACTGCATCAATCTGTATGGCGACGCCTTTCTGGACAAGATCGGTGGCGTATACATCATGGGCGGCAATATTCAGGGCAAGGGCAATGTCACCAAGAGTGCGGAGTTCAATTTCATGATGGATCCCGAGGCGGCGCACATATCTCTGACGCACTTGAAGCAGCCAGCGTTGATTCTACCCTGGGAGCCCTGCATCGATGGCGAGTTTGGTATAACCCTTGACTGGCGACTTAATGTGCTGGGAGCGGTCCAGCATCCATTTATGGAGCTCCTCAACAGAGTGGAGCGGTCCATGCTGGTGCCTCGTGGCTACGTGAAGTGGATCAGTTGTGATTCCCTGCTGACGGCCACCTATCTCTTCCCCGATGCAATGATTGCCGATCAGCGGGAGTACTATGCCGCCGTGGAGCTAAGCGGTGTGCATACCCGCGGCCAAATGGTGCTGGATCACCTGCGTGGCCGCAAAGTGGATGACATTCACGGCAAGAAGAGCAATGTGCGGGTCATCAGACGTTTAAATGGCGAACCCTATCGCACGATTATTGCCTTCACGGGATTCCGGCCCGAAACGGATATAGCACAGCTTTGCGGTTAGTCAACTTCTAGGAAGTATGTGTATGTATATATGTACCTATAGATATGTATATGGGCAATTATGTAAAAGAACAAATTGAAGAAATTTTTGGTGCTGTAATCTCTGGCTGAGCCATGTCTTTGCTCTAATCAGAGCCCACTTTATGGCCAGATAAGGCATCAAGTGTAACCTGACTGGGGCAGAGATTAGATGGAAGAAGACTTCAAATAGAAGTATGTGGTATTAACTATGGCCAAGGTTTATCTCACTCACGTAGGGCAAACGAAGAAAGTCGATTGTAAAAAGGGAAGATAACCCAATTTTAAGGCATTGATAAGGTGCGAAACTCCCTTGAATCCCTTTAAGATCAAACACCTGTGCTGGAAGGCATACAATATATAGCAGAAATTAAGAACAAAGAAAGATAAAGAAAAATGCAGTCTCGAAAAAAAAACAAAACCACAAAAGATAACGAACAAATCTACTGACATATATAGATACATTTATATATTATATATGCAATTATTTTTGGAAACCACCAGCAGTTGCGTCCAGTCATAGCCATGGACAGTGGCAAGCAGGAACGCTTGGTCATCTTTGACTGTGACATTGGTGCGGACGATGCCTGGGCTTTGGCCATGCTTCTAAGGGCGGAGACGTTGTCCTTGCCCGACGGAAGACATCACAAAGTGATCGCCATTACCTGTGTCCAGGGTAACACGGAGGTGGAGAACGGTTCACTGAATGCCCTCAGGGTGCTCAAGTTGCTGGAGAGGACGGATGTGCCCGTTTTCAAGGGCTGTGCTTTGCCCTTAGTGCCTCGCACTTGGACGAACCCTTCGCGCTACCACGGCAGTGATGGCTTTAAGGACGTAGGCAACTATCCGGAGTTGACCAACTGGCAGGAGCAACTGCAGCCGGAGCATGCCGTCAATGCCATGTATCGCTTGGTCTGCCAGCATCCGAAACAAGTGGACTTTCTGTTGTGTGGGCCACTCACCAACTTTGCGAACTGCATTAATCTGTATGACGACGCATTTCTGGACAAGATTGGAGGGGTGTATATCATGGGGGGGAATATCTATGGCCAGGGTAATATCACCAAGAGTGCCGAGTTCAATTTCATGATGGATCCCGAGGCGGCACATGCAACTCTTGAGCGTTTGAAGGAACCAGCCGTAATCCTACCCTGGGAACCGTGCAAAGCTGATGATTTTACCACAACCCTCGACTGGCGACTGAATGAGCTGGGAGCTGGTGAGCATCCCTTTGTCCAGCTCCTGACTAGGGTGGAGCGGGCTATAATGGTGTCACGCGGCATCACAAGGTGGCGAAATCCCGATGCCGCTCTCACGGCTGCCTATCTCTTCCCTAAATCAATGATCCTTGACCAGAGGGAGTACTATGCCGCCGTGGAGCTAAGCGGTGTGCATACCCGCGGCCAAATGGTGCTGGATCACCTGCGTGGCCGCAAAGTGGATGCCATTCACGGCAAGAAGAGCAATGTGCGGGTCATCAGACGCCTCAACCGGGAGTCATTCCTCACAATCATTGCCTGGACGGGGTTCCATCCAGGGGCGAACATCGAAGAACTCTGCCAAAGGGATCTCCCAGGAAATATCCAAGCCAATTGAAACTACAAAAATGTCTGGTGTATATATTTCCTAGACTCTACAATCAGTGTTCCATTAAATCGATGCGATGCGAGTGTTCAAATTCACAATGTGCTTTAGACCTACATGCTACTACTGAAAAAAGGTCACCCAAGAAAAGGTCATACAAATTTCTATCTCTATGCGTACTTTTGAGAAAGTAATTTTGGAAAACATTTAGGTTTACAGACAACCTTGTGTGTTAGTACAATTATTCTTTTTAATATCGAGAGTTTGTTGACAAAAAAATACATTCAAAACTAATTCAAAAACCTGTTTCACTTTCAAGTTAATGCCAAAAAGGAACTTTAAATATTTAATACAAACATTTTCGACTTATTTCTTGGGTGCTCAACGCAAGTATACAATAAACTTGATGTATAATATGTATGTATGTATATAAGTATCTAAAAAAGTCTAACTAACACTTTGGATCTCGCAAAAATATAACAACTGCGAGCTACTAATATATGTATATTATATCAAGGCCTTTCTTCGGGCCTCTGGTCTGAGGTTTGTGGCCTGTTAAAGCGTGTTTTTATTCAAGATAATACACATAGTTCCTAATTATTTATGTTTTGTGCGATAGTTGTAATTGACGCTTCATTGTTTTTTTTTATATTTTTTTGTAGCGATTTTACAAGTAGAAAAAGTATCTAGAGAACTATAATGTTTTTAAAATGATCCTCATTTAAAAAGCAAACCCAGAAATAAGTGGGATTATGAGTTGCCTAACTATAATTGAGTGGCAAAACGATTTTCTTAATTAGTTGCTGTACAAAATTGTTAGGACAGTGCTAGAATTGAGCATTTAAGATAAGAGTAAAGACTTTCGTTTAGATAAGGCCAACTGGAAAAAGACGCTACGAAGGCTGTGACTCTGCACACATTCAAAAAAGGGTTTTGGAAAGATCATAAACTACATCTAGGATAATTGTGATCTACTCTTGCTTGTGCTTGATATGAAATTCATAATATTAGTTAGTTCTGCTCAATTCCTATTATATCAATTAGATGCGAGCTATATCAATTACGAGCTATGTTCAATTCAAAATACGAATGCCATATGCAGGGATGCCACAGAAATGGCTAGGGATGGCCGAAACATAGATTTATTGATACAGTATCGTTATTTTCTTCATAGAGTGATATATAAATTGATTTATTAACGTTCAATATATGTAAAATAAATCAATATTGAACTGGGCCAAAGATAGCTTTAAACTATCATTTTGGAAAACAAATACAAACAGAAAACTAGTATGAAAAATTAGTTTTTCAAAACATTTTAAATATGAATAAAAGTTTTTCGGGAAAGCTACTCTTGGGCATAAGACAGGCTCTAATTAAATTATGTACCAATCTCTAATTAAGGATTACATGAAAAGATGAGATATAATTGGAAATAGGATTGAATATTCATTGCGATATAATTTTCTTGGTATGGCAGTATTTTATCAAATCGATTAAAGGACCACAACTGCGGAGCGTTACGAACAATAGAAGGCACATAGTCACATAAAATTGATAGATTAAATTTTAACAAACGTATGTCTTAGATATTAGAAAAATGTATATAACTCTACGGATTTTGTTATCCTTTTTAGTTAGAAAGTTATCGACCGCAAGGAGCATCAAGCTGTGGTACAAAAAAAAAAAAAAATGTTTCCTTTGTATAACTTCAACAGTGTTTTGCGAGTTTGTTTGTGGTTCCTAGACGGGAATGCCCGTGCGATCCTTGATCTTGCCTAGGACATTTACATGCACCTTGGAGTAACCACTGGGTTTCTTGGAGAGGCCACCGCCAGGAGCAGCGGCGGCACCTGGCAGGGGAACCCCCGCCGCCGTTGATATGCCAACGTCAATTGATGCGGATGCCGAGGACAGGGGCGAGGAGTGCTTGGAGTCATCGAGATGCGAAGATCTCTGCGTAGACAGCAGCAAATCTTCGCTGCTGGGGCGCAGCTGCGCCGAAGAGGATGGCGTATAGATGGGTTGCAGCTTTTCAACCTCATCATCGATGGCCTTAAACTGCCAGCTCCAGTTGGGACGATAGAGGAATGGACGATGATCGAAGCGATTGTCATCCGGACTGTAGCTTTCCGCATGCACCGATGGCGTCAGCACGGTCATCTTATGTCTATTAATAGCATAGCAGCGGAAAAAGTGCTTTACCTTGTCGGCCACTTCCTTGGGACTGAGGTCACCCTTCCAGGTGGCCACCAGGCGGCAGAACATGCTGTAGGGTCCGCAGAAGGATTGCTTGCGCAGGCGTCCGTACTCGGTGAGCTCAGCGTAGGTCATGCCCATATCCTGCTCATCCGTCTGCTGCAGCTCTCCGTTCTCCTGCAGCGGCTCCAGTTCGGCGGTGGGCGGTGCATCTATGATTGACTCCAGCGCCGGCAGATTGAATCTGTAATTGGAATTAATAGAATATCAATAAGAACTTGCTTGCCAACTGATTGATCTGCTTATATCTTACTTATCCTTGGCATAGATCAGAAACCGGCGCAGATCCATCTTGGAGATGCCACCAATCGGATTGATGTCCGCCGAGGAGCAGTCATACTTGGTCAGATAACCGCGCAGCGACTCATCCACATTGGCCGAACCGAGGACAAGGAGTCCGCCTGGCCGGTTACGCACCCAAAGCATCAGCTGAGCAAAGATGTAGGCGAGCACCATCCGAATCCGTGACTGAATGTTCTGCAGCGCCAGATTCTGGCGGGCACAGCCACCTTGCGTCTTGAACCGGGGCGTGAGACCCGTCACCGCATTGAATATCCCGAGCAGGGCATTGACCGCCAAATCGATGCTTATCTCGATGTGATAGCTGCCCAACTGGTTGGCCAACTGAGCGGCCCTACGCCTTGTCTCCTTGCTGCTATTCACGCTGCCCATGAAGCAGGTCACCAACAGGCGGTTGCACAACCCGGCGGCATTATCCGGCGTATACTCCATATCGGCCAGAATCTTGCGTATGTCGTGAAGCACCTGAGCATCACCAAGCTGGACAGCCTGGACGATCTGACGACACATGGAATGCACAATGGTGGCCGAGCTGCTGGAGTCAACCCCTCCGCTCAGGGGCAAAAAGAAGCCACCCTGTCCCGACCGCCTCAGATAGTCCCATAGCCAGCAGGCGGGACCCAGTGCGATCTCCTCCTCCGGTGTGTGATTCGGCCAGTTGAGGGGCGGCGTGGAGGTCTTGAAGATGTCACTGTGCGTCGACATCTCAAAGTCGCAGTGAATCCGCGGATAGTTGGCCGCTCCGGCAGCCGTCGAGCAGCGAGAACGCTGGCTAACGCGGTAGGCACGGATCTCCTCCAGATCGATGGTGGCCAACGTAACCTCCACATCCTGAAGGGCAAACTGCTGTCCGCGGGCCAGGAGCTCACCGTTCAGAGCAATGGCCGAGCAGCCGTTAAAGTACACCCGCTGACCATCGCAGCCACGCAGATTGCTGAAGAGATAGGCACCGCCGGCCTTGAAGCTGGCATTCCGTATCAAATCGGTGGTGATGTGGGCCTTCCTTAGCTCCATGTAACTGCCGGAACTGTTGACGATCAGCTCGACGCCAGCCAGTGACATCTCGATGTGTTTGCTTCTCACATTCCACAGCTCCTCGCAGATCTCGTAGCCGAGGCAAGTGTCCCTGGTGGCTATGACCGCATCCCCGAATGGCACCGTCTGCTGGCCCGTATGCTGGGCAATCATACGCGGCAGGACAAACTCCTCCGTCTGCAGGGACTTGGTCCAGGCGGTGAACCAGCGTGTCTCACGATAGTTGCCATCATCGCACATGGCCATCTTTGGCCGGATCAGCAGAAGCTGGCGATTAAAGAACGCCACACGGCAATTATAGGCCACATTGCGATGCATCACCGGCATGCCCACATCCACCAGCATGTTGTCGCTGTGCGATATAAGATGTTTATATAAGTTTTTCGCAGGAAAATGGGACAGAAGATGCATACTCACCAAATGGGCGACATCATGACCTCCAGCAGCACCTCCCACGAATGCAGGAATGTGTCCGGTTCACGGAAATGATCCTCGCAGCTGTAGCCGCTGTGGGAGAAAGGATATGAGAAGAAACCTATTATTAACAACTAAATCTAAGTTTGTTAATTATTCAAAACTTACCAAACCTCTAGCTCTGGTCCGGTGCGATAGCTGGCACCCATATCCTTGGCCTCCAGGATGGATTGCAATATCCTTGCCATATTGCCCTCAAAGTCCAGGGCCCACTGATTCAGAGTGGACACCGCCACAGTCACTTTGCGTCCCATTCTGGCTGCTTACTGCTTTCGTCCTGTATCCTGCGATTGGTTCCTTATTGCACTTGGTTTTATATCTCGTTTTATTGTCGTTAGTAGTTCAGAAAATTCGGCAGTTATCAACTGAAATGAAGGAACGGTGAGAAAACTTGAATTAATTGCCAGCAAGGATATGCACAATGCGGTTGCAATTAATTTGATGGCTGCGATTCAGACTCGAATTGAACTCGGCGGCCTCACGGCTTTTCTCGTCTGTGTGGACTTTGTTGATTTTGAAGCCGTGTTTGTTGTTGCCACTGCGATTGGTATTTGTTGTTGCCACTATTGTTGCTATTATGGCCATATATCTGGGTTATTGATCAAACAAGCCGGCCTCCGAAATGGGCCTGCTGACGTAGCCGGCATCTAAAATTAGAGCCAGCCGCCGGAATGGCTTCAAATTAACCCATTGCAGGAAATCTTTTGCAAAAGTTGGAACTTTAATGAAGTAAAGTGAGGTCTAATATTTTATATTCCAAAAAATATTTGTTTGTCAAAGTAAACCTAGATATAAAAAATATATATTTAAACATCTATCGTGCTGCATTTAAACTACTCTTCAACTATGTCAAATAAAACCAAGAAAGAAAGCTAACTTCGGCACGACGAAGTTTTTATACCCTTGCAGATTGAAATTCGATCACTAGGAATTTATACAATTTAAATTATACATTATATGTTTATGTTAAAAAACACCGATTTGCATTTTCCTCTACTTTTAACGATCGCTTGTATGGCAGCTATATGATTTATAAAATTGTACACAAAATGCTAGATTAATATATAATTGCTATATATCAAATTTAATGAAAATCTGTTGAAAATTGGAAAAGTTATAATTTTTTTTTTTCTTAAAATTTTCCGATCGTTCCTATGACAGATATATATATGTATATATATAGTCCACCGTTTCGCCATTATCCAACTTATATTCTAGTAAAATTATGTACAAGAATAACTCTATAGTTTCAAAGCTTGCACATAAATTTGTTCCAAAACAAATCTTGCACATCTGTGCATATGATTCCCAACTGGTTCTAACATCCCCGGAACGAAGTGACTGCTGCCAGCCAAGTCTCAGACATGTGTTGTGTTACAAAAGTTGCAAGTCATTGTTTACTAGTGTTCAAAGTTAGTAACTAATCATACATACTTTCTGGTCATAGATAATCACTGATCATAGTTACTTGCTGGCCATAGTTAATTAGTGTCTATAGTTACTTACTACTCATAGTGTTTATTAGTGGTCAAAATTAGTAACTGATCATACATATGGTCATAGATACTTACTGATCATAGTTAATTACTGATCATAGTTAATTACTGAAGTTAAGAACTGTCCATAATAACTTACTGTTGAAAGAAACTTAATGATCCTCTAACAACCGTTACTTTTGCAGTTATATTATATAGTATTTTGATTTTCATAAACAGGCCAGGGATTAACCCAAAAAAGAATGCTTAATCCTGCAGAAACACCCTGAAACATAAGTAATCGAAGCCTTTACAGGGTTAAGCTGTCTATTTCGGGTTAATCACTGGCCTAAGCCCGCCCCAGTGTGTGTAGCACTTCGGAAATTCCCCATCAAGTAGTGGAATTTCCGGTGCTATGGCTACTTCCTCACCTAGACTACGGTCCCAGCTCTCATATATCATTATTCGTGACGCACTTTTGGCATTTCAAACTGCAAAAATTGAAAGCCAAGAGAATAGCGGCTACACAGAGATAAGCTTAAGAGTGCTAACTATTTTTCAGTTCATTTAGATACATATTTCATAGTTGAAAAAGATATCAAAACAATAACCTAATAAAATCTAATCTAAAATCTAATCTCTAGGGGTTGTGATGACAAATCGTGTGGGTTTTTTTTACGCATGACTTCCTTTCCTTGTGCTCAATTCTGATATAAATGGTAAAATAGAATGAACAATAAGACATATTAGCTTAAGGCTTATAAAAGCAGTGTTTATTGACTTTTCTTATATATTTTTCTCTGTGTTTTTGGCCACCACCTGTCCCCTGTCTCACTTAACCGAAAAAACCTTATGCAAATTTACTTTGCCAAGCGGCAAAAGTTTAAAACACGCAGCACACACACACTCAGGCACACACACACACACATACATGCATGTAGTATGCATGCAGGAGGTGATATTTCGCATAAAGTTCAGAGTTCATTTTGTTGGCCCGTAGAAGTCGCGCATATTTCATTTCTCCTGGTTGATGGCTGACAGGAGCACTCTCCCGGGCCCAAGCCAAAACCCTCAAAAAAACCCTCAGATTTCACCTCCCTCACCAGGAAAGTCTGACAAAGTTGCGTTTAGGATTTTTTGACGCCTCCATGTGTGTGTGTAGGAGAATGTGTGAGATGGACTGTCAGTTGGCAGTTCAAATAGAAAGCTTTTATAGCGATGAGGCCAGAAAGTAGAAAAATAGCTAACTCAGTTAGGAAATATAATAATAATAATAATAATAACGATAATAACTAAATAAGTACTCAGTAACTAAACGTATTTAGAGAGCTTTTTTTTCAAAATTTTACACAAAATTCTAGATTAATATATAATGGCTATATATCAAATTTGATGAAAATCTGTTGAAAACTGCAAGAGTTATAATTTATTTTTAATTTTCCTATTGTTCCTATGTCAGATATATATATATATAGTCCACCGATTCGCCATTATTCGACTTATATACGAGTAAAATTATATAGAAGAATAACCCCATAGTTTCATAGCTTTTGTCTTAAATTTGTTCCCAAACAAATCTCGCACATCTGTGCATATGATTCCCAACTGGTTCTAACATCCCCGGAACGAAGTGACTGCTACCAGCCAAGTCTCAGACTTGTGTTGTGTTACTAAAGTTGCAAGTCATTGTTAATGAGTGTTCAATGTTAGTAACTGATTAGTGTTAATAGTTACTTACTGATCATAGTAACATATTGATCATAGTTATTTACTGGTGTATTTTGTTAAAATCTGCCCATGTTTATTGACAGATAAGCTTTCAATAACTAAGGAAACACATTCAATGGTTAATTATATTTAAAAAAAAACAGCCTAGAATTTTTAATTATTCATAAATAAAGTCCCTTTATAATTTAAAATAAATTTGAATAACTTCTATCTAATATTTTTGAATGCTTGTCTTTACACTGCTTTTATATGTATATAAATAATAATTAAATAAAAGTTATACAGAACTACAGATATTAAAATGCTTTTCTCCAAGAACCTTTTTTTTTCGTTAAGTCGTGTTGGATATCTAAACATACTATACAAATATATGAATTTATAATTATAATTCTTAGATTAAAATTTCAAATTAAAACAAAAAAATAGCCATTTCTGGCGGGTCAAATGACAACAACAACACCACCAGCTCAGGTGTTCTGTGAGGGGGGAAAGGGGGCTGAGTGTGTGCGTGTCGCAAGTAAAATGCATTGAACTTTGAACCGCAGCAAAGGGCAAAGCTCAGGGAATAAAAAATAAAAAAAACTGGAGAAAGCGGGAATGCAGCTAAAAAAAGAGAAGAAAAAAACTTCTGCCAATTGGCAGCCAATTTTAATGGCACAAAATCACCGGCGCAGTGGGGACTAGAAGGGGGATCTGATAAATATGCCAGTACATACGATTATCTAGCATAAGGGGTGTTCAAAATAATGGGCATAAATTATATATTAATCGGACAAGTTATAATATATTTTTGATTTATTTATTTTATGATGATTTTTATTATTTAAAATTGTATAATATTTTCCCCAAATATAACTAATATAATTTTAAAAAAAGTAGAGATATAACTTTACAGTTTGCATTTGAATTATAGGATCGTATCGGTATTCGATATTTTTATATGACCATTTTTTGGTTAAATCAATATTTTTTAAATTACCATAACTAAGCCAAAAGTGCATTAATTTTAATTCGGAAAGTTTTGCTATGCTAGTTTTTTTTATGTTAATAAATCTGCATACTCAATTTAAAATTTTAAAATATTCAAATTTTTATCAATTTTTGATAATTTTAATGATGTAACCCCTTATAAAATTTTGAAAAAATGGCAAAAATTTTGTTTTCCTCCCAACATGGCTAGAAAGATTCGCCTGTTTATGCTGATCGAGAATATATATGATTTATAGGGTCGGAAATGGCTCTTTCCTTGATTAAAATTATATTTTTCTCTGCAAGATTCTTGAAATCGAAATTTTTATTTTATAATTTTTTAATATTTTATTGGAACAATCAAAGTTTAAAAATCGCACAACTATGTCAAAAATGCATTAATTTCAATTCGGAAAGCGGGCCTGGGTTAGGTTTTTCAAGCTTTATAAATCTACATACCTAAGAGATAATGTTTGTAAAAACAAGATTATTGAAAATGTTTCGATGGAACCCCCTTAAAAATTTGATATGATATTTTTTGGGAAAATCAAAGTTTACAAATTGCATAACTACGTCAAAAATTCATTAATTTTGGTTCGGAAAGCGTTCCTGTGTTAGTTTTTTAAAGATTAATAAATCCGCATACTCGATATACAAATCAAAATTGTTTTCGATTTTTGCAAATTTTAACGATGTCAACCCCTTTCCTTTTTTCAAAAAATTTCAAATTTTTGAACAAATTTGTTTTTTCTTCGGGAGATACCTAGAAAGATTCGCCTCTTGATGCTGATCAATAATATATATGGTTTATATGGTGGGAAATGGCTCCTTTACTGAGTTTCAATCTTTTGAATACAATTATTATACCCTGGAAGGGTATAAAAACATATTAATGCAATTGAAAATATTTATATTCTTTCGATCCGACACCCAATGACACCCTGTTTCCCGAGGGACTCGCATGTGCATATTGTGGCTCCTAGGTGCTGGCACGCCAGCTGGTCCGCTTTCCCAACTTGCCAGCGGTTCGCGGGAAAGTGGGAAATGAAACTGGAACTTTGGCCTGGGGACAGGGACAGGGACAGGGAGACCCATTGGCAGCGACGCCGCATCCCGGAGCAGAGCGGCCGCCGCCATGCCGCCATTTTCCGCTTTTCCGCTGATAGCTGCCACTAATGCAACTAATTCGCTTTGATTTGTTTGCCAGCCCGCGTCGCATTGTCACGAAGTGCTCCGTTTCCGTTGCCGTTGCCGTTCTTCGACACCGAATTTTCCGGCTTTTCCTAGCGGCATCCTATCCCATCCGATGGCCAGTAGCCAGCCAGTCATCCTGTATCCGGCGTCGGACGCCGTTCACCGTTAACAATTTGCCGTTAAAAGCCATTTCCGCCGGAAATGAACACTCGCAAAAAATGCATCTAGTTTTATATAGTATTTGTGATGTGGTTTCTTGAGTAATTATTATAACTTTGTATTTAAGTAAAGGTAAAAAGTGATAAACATAAGACTCGTGGATTATGTTTTTCTAAACACTCCCTAAAAAGGTTATATATATTTTGTAAAACTTTAATAAAAGCTAAGAAAGTAATTTCTTTTCTAAGCGTGTTCTTAAAAAATCTCTTTCCTACTTATGAAATTAATGGTTTCCCAGAAAAAGCAACATCTTTCATTTGCATTTGTCATTCCTTTCAAGAGAATGTCCTTGTTTTTTTTTGTTTTTTTTTAAGTGCTGCAAATAAATTGAGAGAAAAACTTGAAGTGTGCCTGTGAGAAATACAAATTCAACCTCAGGTGCTTTTTGTTTTCCTTTGTTGAAAAGTATGCCTGGAGATCACAGTTGAATTCGATTCTTAATACATTTTAGACTTCAGTAATTACATCCACAAAAAGCTCGTTCCTTCACACAGTTTATCCAAGGTATTATCCCAAAACACACACACGCGCCGTAACATCATCGTTCAGTCCGCGTGTCATCCAAATTGAACAAAATTCTAATATTGCAAGGACGACACAAGAGTGGAGAAAGTTAGCCAGATCCCGAAAATCCCAAAAAAGATTGAAACCGTCAGCATGCAGAAGGGCGTCAAGGACAAGGAGAACAGGACAATGGCAACAGTACCGGAACCCTGCCAACATCAGCAGCTGCAGCAGCAACAGAGGCAGCAGCAACCGCAGCAGCAGCAACAGCAGCAGCAACAACCGCAGCAGCAGCCGCCGTCCAAACAAAATGAGGGTAAGTCAGCATCTAACTGTGAATAAGGATCCTTTTTTTGCTTAAAATTTAATTTGATTTTGAATATTAAACCAAACATTGATAGCTTATGAGGCGGCTTTATCTTTGATATGATTCTAGTTAATTTGATAAGAAACAATGTAAATCAAATGTGCCTTAGGAAAGCAGAAAAAATGCAGCTCTTGAGATTGCAACGACAAATCATGTGTCCCTTTCTTCATTACATCTTATGCCCCAAATTTTATATGGGAACTAATGATCAATTATTTCTTAATAATCCCTACGGTTTGATTTTGATATGTTGAGGTGTTATAATAACGTTGTTATGAGGGAACTAGAGATCCAGGCTTTATAATCCCAACGTTTCCTTTTTGATTTTACACTATATTGTTTGCATATATCTTAACTATGATCAATAATGGCTTGATAATAAGTTAAAATATATAAGTTAACAGCTCTTGGAATAAATGAATTAAATGAGTTAACAAAATATAAGTTAATTAAACTATAATTTGTTGCAAACTAAAACATGAAACTCAAGTTTCTTAAGACGTCTATTCCCTAGGGGCATATAAACAAGTTTAGGGATTAATAAAATCAATTAGGCTGGTACTACTGATACGAAAATTGCCCAAAAAATAAATCAAAGCTCACCCACTTCGTTAGATTTGCCGCAGTTTTTGGTTTTTTCCTTTCTTTTTTATTTTTTGTTTTTGCCTGGCATTTGACGTACCTGACGCCTGACGTCCACCGTAAATAGTTGCAAAATTGTTTCTTTTTTTGGTGCCGGCGTCTATTTTCGGCTCGGCTCTAAATGCATATCAATAACGAAGCAAAAAAAAAAAAAAGAAAAACGAAAAACTAAAAAACGAAAAAAGGACTAAGGACTAAGGAAAAGCCAAGCACTTTGCCGCCCCATACTGGCTCTTGTCACTGTCTTGACTTGAAAGGCGGGAAAGGACGGACGGAGCGGACGGATGGGCTTCACTGTACTGCGGGCGGCCGCAGCCAAAAATACAAAATACTACACGAAACCATTGAGCAAACACAACAATAAGTATATATAGAGAAGTGTAGAGTATGGAAAAAACAATGGAGGAGAGACGCAACCAATTGGTGAAGCGAAATGACAACGCCAGGACATGCAAGCGCTAGTGCGAGGAGGCCGGAGCAAGGCTACGACTGCAGGGGAAGCGGGTATATTTCCTTTTTTTCGGGGATCAAGGATTGGGTATATTGTATATGGAGGTGCCACTGGATATTGTGTTGGTGTTGCACCAAAGTGTTGGGGGGGTGTGGGTTTGGGTTACCACCGCGGGCCCCTAATGACGCATTGCAGACAAAAACGACATGACGCCTCGTGGAAACTTCGCCGCCGGATATGGTTTGCTATAGGTGTGACGGCCAGCGGAAGTGGCTGATTATTTTCACGATTATCAATCGATAACTTTGGCAATCGGAGACTAACTATTGCGAATTCAATTCGATATTACAAAATCTAATAATATTTTGTTGAAATCCTATTGAAGATTAGTAATTAATTCAGTGTTCGATACTCAGGGTTGTTTATAAATTAAGCATTCGTTTTTTTTTATGAATTCGGTATCTCAATAATTGATTGATACTTTTTTCTTATATAACTTTGGCAATCGGAGACTAACTATTGCGAATTTAATTCGATATAACAAAAATCGAATAATATTTTGTTGGAATTCTATTGAAGATTAGTAATTAATTCAGTGTTCAAAACTCAGGGTTGTTTATAAATTAAGCATTCGTTTTTCTTTTATGAATTCGGTATCTCAATAATTGATTGATACTTATATTAAAAAAACTATATGTTATTAGTAATAAGTTCACTTTACGATACTTAGTTCTCTTTTATAGAATTTAACATAACTTCTTTTATTTTTTGTTTACTTATTACATTACAAACTTGCGTTAGGGGGCTAATAAACAGTGTATCGTCGCTGCAAAAAATGGGCTAAAAAGCCTTTGTGGGGGGGGAGGATCTGTGCCACATTTCGACATAGTGTTTCCCTTGCGTGGCGCCACCGCCAAGTCATTGAGATTGAGCCGCCCGTAAGGACCTCTTCTCTAAGGACGTCCCGACGCTGCCAGGCCGCTGTCAAATGCCAATAAGCCGACATCGTCTCCATCTCCGGGCCAAAAACAACTAAGCCCAGAGCTGAAAAATTGGTGCCAAGCGGGCCATGCAAAACACACAAATAGCGCGAGCTCGCGGCATAAAAAAAAAAGAAAAAAACGGGCTTGGGAGCTTAAAGAAGGCTCCGTCGTGGGGCAGGAGTCCATAGAATTGCCAAATCAGCTATTTCTATTGCCAATTTTGGCTATCAATCCTGAGAATCCTCGTTCTTATATTTATTATTTGACATCATTTAATGTTGTGGAAGACACCCAAGTATTACATTTTGTACTTTCCAAATTGCATTTCGAAATCGCAACAATCTGTCATCGCCAAATGACATTTTTAAATGTCTTGAGGCTAAATTGAAATGCTACATTAATGTCAAAAGCTTTCGGGAAAAATGTTTATTGATGCCAAACCTAAACGAGTCTTAGCCATACAATTACAAATATAAACATTTTGCGGCAATGATAAATTCATTTGTAAATTGTTATTTATTTTTTCTAAGAACGACGACAATTAACAACGTTGTAATTTGTGGTTGATCTAAGAAATTTAAATGCTGCAAAGGGAGTTTATTCGCTACTATTAACTATTTTAAACTCTGTTATCGAATGATACTTTATACTTTATTTTGTGAATTGATTAATATCCTTTTGGATATTCCGTATTCTTCTGAGAAAAAAAAAACATTTCGATATGGCTAATTATTTAGATTTCTTCGTTTTCAGATGCTTATATTTTTATTACTTCTCGAATTTCGACAACACTGATGGCAATCCTTCACGCGCCACAAAAGTAGGCAACAAAAATGGGGGTAAAATGGCGGGATTTCAATGGTAAAGTGGGGAAAGGGATGGTGGCCCAGGACCACATGAGCATTTGTCCCGGCTCAAACGGGATTTAGCTAGCATATTTTGTATTATATATAGAAATATTTTAAAATTGCAAAACAAAGCCAGCTGAAGTGGGGGCGGTGGGGTTGTGAGAGAAGAGGAACTGGAGTGGGCGGTGGTTTTTTGGGGGCAGGGTTCTTTGTTGCGCTGTTTATAGCCCATGTCGTGCGCAATTTATGTTAATCACAGCGGAGTTGCACGGGCGGGCTTGGGGTTTCTTCTGTTTTTTTTTTTTGACTTGGGAGTGGGTTCAAAGGGGTTACAGTGCCCCTACTTCTGCTCCCTCTGCCACGTGTAGTAGGCCTACAACAAAATAACGAAAAACTATTTTGTTTTTTCTGGGTTTTTCTTAAATACTCTGCAGTTCTATACTGGGTTGAAGTCCATATAATTTTAAATTGATTTTTCTAACTAAAATATCTGTATTTATAAGATAAAAACCATTGGAAATATGAGAAAATTCTTCACTAAACTTGATTTGTCCTTCAAACTTTGGTGTTTTATATTTTGGCAATGCGCTTTTGTTTATTAGCTTTATAAAATATTAAAAAAAAGTATCTCATGAATGCATTCCCTGAAATCGTCTCTAATCCTAATAAGTATACAATAAAAGTAATTGGCTGAGAACTCTCTTTTTGGAGGGTGTTTACCCCATCGGTGCTTGCTCCTGGGCCTTCGTCGCTTATATTTTTTTTGTGTATTTTGGTTGCTGTTGTTGCTTTCCTGGTCGGTGCGGTGCCTTGCACAAAGGCAACGCCGTGGCAGCAACAATTTTAATGCCGTGGTTTACTGTGATTCGCAATTTCGCCAAAGGCAGCGGCAGAGGCGGCAGAAGCGGCGGCAGCGACAGAGGCCACCATTGTCGTCCGAGTTTAGTTGGTTTTGTAGCTTCAGTCAGCCGTTGCGCTAGCAGCTGAGCTGAGCGAAGAAGAGTGCGACCAGAGTCTCGACTCGACTCTACTCTACTCGAGATAAACCGTTAGGCCGGACAGGCACGCGCATCATCTTCCTTTTTTTTGCAAGTGCGTGTCCGTGTCCGCGTGTCCCTGTGTGAGTGTGTGTCATGGAGGATGAAAGCTTGCGAGCGAGACAGGCTGCTGCGCGGGAGGTATCAGCATCCTTCTCTCGCCTGCTAAGAACCCTAAGCTCGGCTTCAATGACACGACGTCGCTGCCCCCTTGCCCACCTGCAGCCACTGTGTGGTCGCCCAAGGGAGAGGGACGACAATACGTCCAGCGAAAGATGCGACAGCAGCTTCAGTGATGACAGCAACAACAATACAAAACTGGAGAGAGAAAGCGAAAACGAGGGGGAGGAGGAGGAGGAGGAGGAGGAGCACAAGGAGCAGCATGTGGAAGAGCAGATAGGAACGGAGGCACAGGAGGAGCAGGAAGAGCTGAAGCGAGAGGGCACTGTTAATGTGAATGTGGTGAGAGCGAACTTCAAATGCAATGACATGGAATGCTCTTTGGTCCTCGGTGACTATGTGAATGGTGAGTGTCGTTAGATATTTCCCCCCGTAACCACCACTTCCTACCCTGTAACCACTCAAGATGCTTACTCAAGCGCTGTCGCCGGATAATGAAGATTCAATTCAATTTGATGTGAGATAGCTCGCAAAGTGGAACAAAGAAATAACAAAAGAAGCTTGCCATCGTCAGCGGTTTAGTTACCGTACACTTTTTGGGGGACGGAACTTGAAATACCGTTGAAAAACTAAAAAACTTAAATGTTTAAAAAAAAACAAGCTTTCTTCTACTTAATCTTAAAATTAAACAAGTTTTCTTAATTAATTAAGACGAATAGAGAAAAAAAACATTCACAGATAACAGCGTAATAGGGCCCACCTGGCGTATGAGTGATATCATATTTTGTTACTCATACGCCATGTTGCCCATAACAATGTTTTGACATAAAATGGAATGCAATCCCAAAATTTTCCAGTATATTGATTTTCTAGGGTAGCAGATTCTTCCATTGTGTCGCAATCTCGTGAAGAAAAATATATATCGCCTCGTGCGAGATTATAGGATAATAATAAATGACTCACTCCTTCGAGAGCGTCTATATCGGCATATATCCCATTGGGGGAACTTATTTTTCAACAAAGTCCATAATTCACTTTTCACTTCCAATTCGTGTACATCGTTTATCTCTGTCACAATTATTATAACGCCTTAAAATTTGGACTTGGACTCGAATTCGAATACTATGGGTTCGGGTGATTTTAATTTAATATTTTTGTTGTGAACAAAGACACACATGTCGACCGCTGCCAAAATATGGCAAACGGAAATTTTTAATTGCAATTTGTTAATTTGCTTAGAGCAACCGAAAGTGGCCGAGAAAATGTCTACAGTGGTCAATTAATAAATCAAACGCAGTTGTAGTTAAGATAGAAGAGATCAATTTTTACAAATTAATTGTTGGTCCTTTATAATTATTCTCAATCTTTTTTCACATTCTTAAAAAATAGATTAATGCATGTGTTTCTGATTTCATTTTAAGTTCGTCGCATTTTACAGTTATATAACACAATTAGTTGCTGCCTGGAATGCGTCCTTTATAGAGACGCCAAAAAGTAGGCAATTATTTATGGCTACAACAGAAATCAATGAGACATCAAGATTAAGACTTATATTTAATCATTACCTTATTTATTAATATGTTAAATAGTTAATTGATGGCCAGTATTTACTGTTCTTACGAATATCAGTAAAAATTAAGGCTTTTCATTCTTTAATTCAAATTAAATTACAACTTCCTTTCTTGTTTATTAATGTGTTTTAATTTAAGTCCAAATATTACCAATTTAAAAGTCAGAAACTAGTTTAGTGTTGACCATCATGGCCAGTGATCACTGTACCGGACCGAATGTGAGGCCTATCAGGGGCATGGGGGGGCTTTTGGGGTGGCAAAAGCTAATCGCTGGCACAATTCGATGATTGACGAGGGCCAAAAGGGGCGGTGCAAGGCGGTGGAGTGAGGAGGAGGTGAAGGAAGGAGGGGGGAAAGCATGCGTTTACGGTTCGGTGAGAGATTTTCCTATGATTTTTATTTTGTTTTTGCTACTATCTCTTTTCTTTGCCTTGGCAGTCACAGCGGCTTGCCAAAATAGAAAACACATAAATTGCACGATCAAGATCATTGCTGTTATTTTCTACTGAACACACAAAGCTAGAGGAAGAATTTCCTCTTCTGCACGCTTTCTGCATCCACTTCGATGACATAATCCCCATAGGCAGGAAAATCTCTCAGTCCCACTCTCTCTCTTTCCCTTTCTCTCTTTGACACCTGTTCGTTTCATGTCCGACAGTTGCCGCTTCGCTCTGCATCTCGCTCTTGCCTTTGGTCTAAGTTTTGCCATGGATTTTCCCACGGTTTTCCCACCCGTTCAACTTTTCTTCGATTTACCCTCGCTGCTGCTGCTGCTGCTTGGGGAGCGACTTTGACAAATTTGTTTGGCATCGAGGCTTTGCTTTGATTTGTTTCGCTTTTGACTAAATATTTTCCCTATTTTCCCGCTGGCCAGCTGAGAGGGAGGGAAAACGACAGCAGCTGATCGCCAGGGTCTAGCAGCTAAATGGTCCATAAATTATGAATTTAAACAAATGCGAAAACACATTTTAATTGATGTGAATAAATAAATAATAAATACACGAATCTTCTGAGAGACATTAAATTATTCTGAACATTTACAATATTTGTAAAATAATTCAAAAACTGTTTACATATTATAATAAATAATTATTCACTTAAGCAGTTTAATAGATAACACATACCAGAGCTTAAATTAAAAACGTTTTCTAAGGAGTTTTCATAAAAATATCTACTAGGTATGTGTGAAAATTAAATTTAAAATTAAATACAAGTGAAAGACCAAAACATAAATTATATAGTAAAGAAAAAAATGATTTCTGACTAAAACAGTAATAAACTGCAAAGATATAAAAATATATTTAAATCCAGTTGAAGGATAATCACAAAAATACTACAGTAAAGTTGCAACTTTATAAAGGATATCCCATTTTGTTTCTAACCAAAACACACAACTCGAAAAACCACTTGGAAAACCTAGTCTAATCTAATTTCCCAAAGAAGAAAAGTGCTTGAATCACTCCTGCTGCTTTATACACATACATATATCCTTTGGCAAACATTTGTTGCTCGTTAGAATATATGTATGTATATGCGCACAAATTCCAATTCATTCCATTCACTTCTCCCCAGCGAAGTTTGTGTTTTCTGTTTTTTTTTTTGGCGTATCCAAGGCTGGTTGCCTTTGGCTTTGTTTGAGCCATCGAATCGAATTCATGTTCACGGCATGACTACTCTGGGGGCTATATAGATATGCCTAAGTATGTGTGGAATGCCAGGACTACTACCTTGCACTTCCTTGGAACATGGAACATTAGACAACGAGCCAGTGCCTGTCAGCCGAAGGAGAGCGAATGAGCGAGCGAGTGAGCGCTTTGTTTATTTGTTTATAACAGACCAGCAGCAGTCGCAGTGGAAATTCGAGTTGGCTCACAACGAACGGCTCGAATTATCGACTGCGGCTCACAGCGGTGGCAACAGTTCGGTGAAATCCGTGGTTATCATCATTCATTCATTTCGGGACGCAATGCGAATGCGAATCGAGTGGCAATCGCCGCAAACGGAACTCCTGTCCTCCATGGATCGTCCACTTGTTTTTGTGTGCGTTTTTTTTCTTTGTATTTGTTGCCAGTGATTGCATAAGGGACCTCCGCGGCAAAAGGTTACTACCAAGTATATATCATCGTCATCATCATCTCGCAGTGGTTCTTGCATTTTTTTCCCTTTGCCCCGATATGTGTGCCAAACGTGAGTGAAGCGAAATAGTGAAATCAAATCAATCAATCAGCAATCAGTGAGCAGTATTTCGTGCTCCCGTTTCAATAATATTCCCGTTCGTTACCCGCTCGTCTTCCGCTTGGTCTTCCCGCAATAATGCCATAAGCATCGAAATACTATATAAACCATACTATATACATATATATAGTATAAGCCATGGACTTTGGGGGCGGTCGTGTGCAGTTCCTGCAGGCCCAACTATTTCCCGTCTGCACGCTGACCACATCCAATGGAGGTAAATAAACGTATCGATTAAAATTAAAATAACACTATACTTTATAACCCCAAGTTTTGTGATAGAACTCAAAAAAGTGTTAAAATTATGCTTGAACTAGCAACTGTTTCCTAGAGTAAACTAAACTACAACTAAACGCATTATTTAAAATGAAAACACCAATCCTTAAAACTTGGGTTTCTATTAAAACTCTAAAGAAAATATTATTATTAAATAATTCAGTCAAATTATAGAGAAGATATTATTACTAATTATAGTTTTCTTTCTATGCACAAATACTCAAATTATGCTGATTTTGGGGAACTGGTTTCTAGAGTAAACTATAAACAGAAAAGTGGCAAAAACAAATGCAGACATAAACATAAACAATAAACAATTGCGTTTGCTTTTTGACACTCCTTAAATACTTGCATTGCAGCATTTATTGTTTATTTTTTTATTTTGCCAATTCATAAAATATTTTAGTTTCCAAAGCAGTTGTGAAAACTTTTATTTCGTTTTCATATATTTTTGCTATATTTGCAATAAAATATCTAGCTTTTTCGGCCACAAATTTGAAAACATTTAAAAACTTGTATTTAAATTCCAATGTTTAAACTTAAAAATTGGGTTTTAAATGCATTATAAGTTTTCGAATACTCCCGACCAAGAACATATAGATTTGCTGAGACCAAAGATATACATTTAGAATTGACACAATATTTTAAGTCCCATAAATACCCTCGGTAACTGGAGAAACAATCATATACCTAACTTTGCATATTTTAATTTTAATAAAGGGTAAACCTATTAAATTCATATGCATAATTCAATATAATTGGAATATTTAAGAAGTAGTACATCATACTCACTTTCAATTTCTTGTTTTGTTGATTTGTACGAATGGATTGTCTAAGGGCACCTCGGTGTTGTTGTTGTTGTTCTTGTTGTTCATTAAGTGGTCGCTGTTACTCTACTGGTAGTTTCCACTGTACTACATGGCCAGCCTTTGGGAATTTATTGAACTGAAGGTGGTTTTCGTTGCGATTTCGTTGCTCAATGATTGGATCCTTGCCTATCTATCGTGCTCGCTCCTGCAATTGGATAAAGTGCGGATAAATGGGTATTAGAATTAGCCACAAAACTGTTTGACTTCAGTTCCCACTTGCGGCTGTCATGGAAACACTAACACACACAAAATCATTAACACACAAATTCCGGCATCGCAAAGTCGGAAATCAAAGTCGTTGCCTGTTGTCAACGTCTCTCCAGGTATATACACACAGATATATTGTTATATAGAGGGGACTTTCGTACCTATTTCAGTTCATTGAATTGCGATTAACAATATTCCACCTGCATAAATCAAAGGCAAAGGCCGTTTAACTCATTAATGTTCATTGACTTGGGTATTTATTTTTGGTATGAAAATTCGCTAGCATGGCATCAGTTTGGGCTCTGATGGCAACAGGAATAGCATATAAATATATATACATATATATACCACATCCGTGCAGGTTGAATTGGATTGGAATGAAGGGGGGGTTTCGGGTGCTCCAATGATTGCGAATCGGGGAATCCCCTAACCATAGTTAGGAATTACTTGTATCTGGGTTAATGCCTTGCCCGAGGTTAATTAATTGACGATTGCCTTTGTCAAATGCGGAAGCAATTTGCTTCCCATCAAAATACTAATGCCAATCAATTTGTTACATTATTATAGGATGGCAAACTTCCCTTTTTGCCCCACGGTTATATGATTTAGCTTTGCAGAAGAAGTTTTATACAGATTGTAATTCGATTACTAGGAATTAATATAATATAAATATATTATATATATATAATATAATATAATAAAGTAACGCCTACTTTCAATCCATTCACCGTTTTGCATTTTCCTCTATTTTTAACGTTTGTATGGCAACTTTAATATAGTCGTCCGATTTTTATAGAATTTTACACAAAATTCTAGATTAATATATAATGGCAAACATTTTTTATAAAAATCTGTTGAAAACTGGAAAAGTTCTAATTTTTGTTCTTAAAAATTTTCCGATCGTTCCTATGACAGCTATATATATGTATATATATAGTCCACCGATTCGCCATTAAAAGACTTATATACTAGTAAAATTATATAGAAGAATAACACGATAGTTTTATAGCTTTGTCTTAAATTTGTTCCAAAACAAATTTCGCACATCTGTGCATATGATTCCCAACTGGTTCTAACATCCCCGGAACGAAGTGACTGCTGCCAGCCAAGTCTCAGACTTGTGTTGTGTTACAAAAGTTGCAAGTCATTGTTTACTAGTGTTCAAAGTTAGTAACTGATCATACATACTTTCTGGTCATAGATAATCACTGATCATAGTTACTTGCTGGCCATAGTTAATTAGTGTCTATAGTTACTTACTAATCATAGTTACTTAATGGTCATAGCTACTTACTGGTCATAGTTACTTGCTGGTCATAGTTAATTACTGATCATAGTTCTATATATCGTCCGATTATAGCTATGCCAGCTATATATATAGTCCACCGATTCGCCATTATAAGACTTATTTACGAGTAAAATTATATAGAAAAATAACTCCATAGTTTGATAGCTTTGTCTTAAATTTGTTCCAAAACAAATCTCGTACATCTGCGCATATGATTCCCAACTGGTTCTAACATCCCCGGAACGAAGTGACTGCTGCCAGCCAAGTCTTAGATATGTGTTGTGTTACAAAAGTTGCAAGTCATTGCTTATTAGTGTTCAAAGATCATACATACTTAGTGGTTATAGATACTTACTGATCATAGATACTTACTGTACATAGATACTTACTGATCATAAATACTTAATGGTGTTAGTTATTTACTAGTCTAGTTACTTGCTGGTCATAGTTAATTAGTGATCATAGTTACTTATTTATCATAGTTACTTAATCTTCATTGATACTACTTTCATAACCAAACAGTCTTATTTTAAGAATTTTGGGACGAAAGTAGCGTATTACTACTTTTGGTTTGAATTAAATTAAAAAGTCTTTCTTACTTATATTAAGATTTTTTGGACTTATTTTAAAGAATGCAAAAAATCTTAAATCAAGATTTTCATTTTTCTATCAGTGTGCAATAATGTTCTTTAAGTACTTGAATATCCTGCTTAAATTGTTAAACAAATCTTATTAATATTATCTTGATATGTATGACCATGTATTTAATACAATCTTATGTATTATTAACTTAAACCCTGACAAAGAAAGAAACCCATTGCCAAAGCTGATATACCCTAAGACAAGGCTAAATATAATAAAATGAAGGGGAGGTGGTGCCACGTAAAATGCGTCTGGAGAAATTGCAAACAAAGAAATGCAAAATGTAACAACAAAATTTATTATACAGATTTCATGAATATTAAAATTGCACATAACAAGACACAAAAAAACACAAAGATTTTGAAGGCAAACGAAAAAAAGCAAGCGAAATAAAAATTGTGAAATATTGTGGGGTGGCAAAAAATTGCGCCTCGCAGATACATATGTATCTACATATATGCATTCAGATATAGACGTATAGGCTTTGGGAAGGTATCTTTTGGGCCGCAAAGGCATTGGCCGAATGCCTACGATTGGGATAAACAAAATGCCATAAATATTACGGGGCAATAATACAATTTAAGTAAATAATATGCAAAAATTGCAATTAGAGGCGATCGGGCGGCCCCAGATCTCTATATCTCTATATCTCAAGATCTGCTGGCTCTCGATTGCCGCCTGCATTTGAGCATAAAAATTTAATTAATGCTAAATTCCTGCGTCAGCGCCAGCGTTGACAGCGACGCTGCCACCGGCAGCAGAGTTGGCGCAACAATTGAAAGCAGAGCGAGCTTTGGTGGCCCTTTTCTCCGCACTCTTTGCTTATTTCCTATGAATGAAAGCAAAGCGGTTTTATGTTGTCCTTGTCCATTTGCCCATCTTGCGTCGCTTCGTGGCCCATACACTGGAAGAAAAGCGTGCCACTAATCGCTATTCTTGTCATAAGTTCATTAACCAATATTACTTGTAAGCAGTGAAAATCCTTTGCATATTTAGTTAATTAATTATATGAAATTTTCTTTTTAACTATATATATATAATATATGCTTGCAACTTTTGGTATATTGTACAAAAATTAGTTTTGCTTCTATATTTTAATATTTTTGTTGTATTTAGAAACCAACCATTATACATTTCTCTCAGTGTATCAATTCTAACGACAACTGGCATTTTAAAAGCTCGCCAAATTGCGGTCAAAAAGCAAACAGAGAATGTCTAAAATCAACGGCAAAAACAAACAAAACACAAAGAAAAAACCAGCAACAACAAACATAACACATGCATTTGGGGTGCAAGGTCAAGGTCGTCGATTGAGCTTTGTCATTCCGCTTAAGCTGCAGCTCAAGTGGTGGGTTGTGTACATATGTGCGAGAGTGGAAAAATATAAGTGGAATTTCAAATGAAGAATAAATCACTGTCGAAAGGCTTACAAAGAAATTGCAGCCAAGTCAGGCAACACTGCGTATGAGTAATAAATATAGAAATATATTTTTCTCAAGTTATAGAAAATATATTCCAAGTTAAACATAATATTTGAATAATATTCTAGTAAAACTAAAGTTCTAATTAATGAAAACAAATTAATTTAAAACAATACATTTTAGTTGAATAAATTACGTTTATACGTATACGTAATATTCGTATCTTTTGAAGTTTAAATGCAAATTATGTACAAAACATTTTCCAATTAAATGGAAAGTTGTTTGAATATAAATTTAAATTGATTTTTTAATTATTAACTATTAATTCTAGATTGAAAGTATAAAAAATATTAGCATATGTTGAAGTTACAATATAAATTGTATATGAACAATTCCCTTTAAAACATAAAAATTAAATAAATTATTCATTAATTATTTATTAATTAATAATTTCAAACCAACATAATTCTAGCCACGACCTCTTTCGGCACACATTTTGTGTAAACAACAAACCACTGCAGTTAAATAGTAATTTCGTGGTTAATACTCAAATGTTTCCTATACTGTAAATAAATAGTATAAAATAATTCCTAAATTAATATATTTGGAATGCATACTACTAGTTATAAATATATTTTCCCCTTCTTTTCCCGTGTGAATTCTTTAATTAAAACCCTCGCTTGCTGTGAAACAACATCGAGAACAACGTTGTTAATCTATTTTTAATGAGCACAATTTACGGATAATCATTATTCATTAATTGAGGATCACACGAACGACCACGCACCCACACATCCTTGGAACAGCTGTCATGGCGGAACTTTAAGCTAAAGCTCCTTGTAAACAATAACAATGGCAACAACAGGCACACCCACACACACACACACATACGAGCGCGCGCGCACGCAGCAGGATAACAGTGCATGCGAGAACAGCTGAGCGCGTGTGAAGCTTGCTTGTCGGCAGCGAAAGTGCAAAAGCTCAGCTAGCCTGCTCTCTCTTTTTCTCTCGTGTGTGTGTGAGTGTGTCTCTTGGGGGGGTTCCATGCTCTTTCGCATTAAATAATATTCGCAGGCAGCGACGCCGGTACAAGCAGCGACAGCGACGCTGGCAGATTTGAGCATTTCACATTCGCTTGGGTTTTCCGTTTTAGTCAACAAGAAAACGCGCATCGGGCAAATCGGGCAAAATAAAGCAGAAGCGACCGCCGAGCGAAATAAACTTGAATATAGTCCGAGAACCAACGAAACCGAAATTTGAAAAATATTTCAAACACAAATTTTAAGTTGGTTTCTGCGAAAGAAAATCGAGTTTTTCATACTGAATTCAGCGAAAAAAACCTACAAAGTAAGCGCTCGCATTGTCGCGACTCGTAAATACTCAAATATATTCGAAAATTCGGAAAGTGTGCCGCCAAATCGTTTATCTATAGCCTGTCTATATCATTTCTTGTCTATTTGCAATCATTTTTGTTGTTTGCTTTTTGTTTTCTTTTTTCCCCACCTTTTTTTTGGTATTTTTTTTGTTTTGAGTGCCACAAAATTTTTGAAAAAGCAACAAATATCAAGCGAAAGCGAACAGCTGTGCGCGCGCCACCCACATTTGTGCAGCGTCTCGTCTTCGATTCTCCGCTCACTTTCTTCGCGTCTTTCTTTGCGTCTTCGAAACCGTTTGGAATAGCGGCCTGTCAGATCCCCATTCTTAGCCGGTAAGAAGAATTCTTCTGGGTCAAAAAAAGGGGCAACAAGGTGGGAGCAATCAATAATAAATAATATAAAATTATAACAAATTATTGATTTGGTTTGTAAATAATGTGAAAATTGTTTAGGCAAATCATTTTAATGTTAATAATGTTAAAATCCCCACAATTCTGATATTAATTATTCGAGAAGCCGAAGTTTGTATACCCTTGCAGTTAGCCAAAGAAAGTTAGGTAGTCACCAAGAAATCCTAAAATATAAGTATTTTAGGTATATTTAATCGATATTTTTATATGTTAATTTTTTGGATAAATCAAAGTTTTTCAAATATCATAACTAAGCCAAAAATGAATTAATTTCAGTTCCCAAAACGGTACTGTGCTAGTTTTAATTAGATTAGTAAATCTGCATATTTAGTTTACAAATTAAGAAAACTTAATTTTCTTGTCAAATTTTGACAATTTTAACGAATAACCTTAGAAAATTTTGAAAAAATTTTCCAAATTTTTTTTTATTTCAAACATGGCTAGATCGATTCGGCTGTTGATGCTGATCAAGAACATATATGGTTTATAGGGTCAGAAATGACTCCTTCACTGCATTACAAGCTTTTGACTAAAATTATAATACTCTACGAAGGTATAAACATTACGTATACGCAACGTACATAAAATTACGTATACGCCGGGTATAACGGTTTATACTTTTTTCTCACCTTATTTAATATGAAAATATTTGTAAACTTAAGTTTATAATAAATGGGAACTATAATATATATTACAATTTTTTATAATATATATTTTCAAATAAAAAAATATATTTCAAAAAATAAAAATATTTCGAAAACAAAATAAAAACATTGTACCGCTGAATTGTAAATATTAAATAGACATACCACCTCTTATTGATTGTTATCATTATCCCATGTTACATGAGAAAATGTTTAGAGAATAAATTGGACACTTATTGACTTCTTATTGATTTCTCCCTATCATTTAATTAAAAAGAGAAGTCATATTAAATTTTTTCTAAACAAGCACATTTGCTGTATTTTTCACATTTTCCCTCCTTTCAAAAATGATAACTACAAATTTCCTAAGTGTCCCCTAATATACTTTAAATATATAAAAAATATATATTTATATATTGTTTATGATATAATATTTATTTAAATGCCTTAACGATTTCTTGCTAAGTGTATTGAGTCTACAATTTATGCTGAACTTGCATTTCTACGAATCAAAATTGTCTAAATAGCACCCGCGACAGGTTCCCAGAATAATTTGTAAAGAAAACTCTTGGAAATCTGGGGAAAAAAAGAGGATGTAGATTGTTTACTTGAAATGACCATAATCTTTTTTTGACAGCTCTCTGGAAAAAATATAAATACTAAAGTACAGTTTAAAATATATACTTTGGAATTGCTAGAAATCGTTAAAATAAAACTAAATATTACTTTAAACTATAAAAACCATTTTAATATCTACACAGAATATAAGCAAATCGATAAAATATATACATAAATGTACCATATTTTTCGTATATGTTTCCAATTATAATGAAATGTCTTTCTTTCGAATTTTTTGTTACTTTGTAGCATTCGTATATTTTAATTTATTCCCCTGCCATTTTCAATTTAATTTAATGATTAATATTTTGTTCTCCAAGGCAACTTTTCGTTTCAACTTTCTAGGATCAACATTTTTGGCCATTTTAAATTTAAGGCCAAGAAAATATAAACCACAAAAAAAAACACCAAGGAAAACCATATCCATTAAAAAACCCCGTCTCCCGCGGGGCATAAACATAAAAAGTCAAGAAGCCGACAAATTATTAGCGATATTAATCGACCTGACAAGGAGATCCTTGGGGAGAAAATGGGCTGCCAGGGGAAAACTTTTTCCCTGGAAGCCGTTTTCCTTTCCTCCCTGAAAAGATTTACAGTTGCTCTAGACATTAAGCCAGCCAACCCCAATCCTCGTCGACGCTTTTCGCCATTCCAGCGAAAAATTGCAATAAAAGAAGCCAAAAGAGCAAAAAAAAATATGAAAACAAAAACTGAAACTGAAAAACTAAATCTACTTTTATGTGCTAATAAAAGCCGACTAAGCAGACACAGAGAAGACCCAAAGAAAGAAACCAAAAATTAATTAACAAAATATGTTGCAGTAGCAAACAAAACAAAACAAAAAACAAAAAGAAAGCCAAAAGGAAAATGAAAATGCTCCAAAGCGAAATATCTTTCTGGCAAACGAACAAAACAAAAGTTTTCTTCGGGAAATTGGGAACGGAGAGAGAGAGAGAGAGAGAGGAGGGGGACGCACATATGGCAATTAATTGCTGTTGACGCTTTTCGGCGGCCAAAATGCTGCGAAAATTCCCACTCATTTAGGCCATATTAATGGCGATTTGCGCCTACACCAACCTCATTCTCTCTGGAGGAGACAATTTTTGTGTTTTTTTACTTTTCTTTTGACTTTGTTGGCACGACAAATGTTTATAGTATAATTGCTGACTTATCCAACTTGGTTGGATTTGATATATCTTTTGTACTGTATATATTCTCAGTGCTGTAAACAATAACATTTTCTCTGCTTATATTATTTTTTATCTTTGACTATTTAAATTGGGGAATTTTTATACGTTTTCGGTTTAGCAATCCATGATCTATAAATTTTGATCTTTTCATCTTTATTTTGCAAAGAAATCGAAGGTGACATAGAGTCCTTTTTGAAATTCAGAAAGAAGCTAAATTAAATGTTTTCTTACTCCTTCTCGAACTTGATATACAGCGATTATATTAACAAATAATATTTGGAGTATATTAAATATTATTTCAGTTATATTTATACATATGTATTTATTTAATAATATTTACTTTCAAGAAGCAAGCACTTCCTTTCATAATTTCTAAATAATCTATAAACTTTTCATTCTTATTTTGCAAGAGAATCAAAGATGAAATAAATTACTTTTAAGTCCAGGAACAATCAAAATTAAATGTAATCTTACTTCTTTTTAAACTGAAATATACAAATTATATTGCTAATATAATTGTTTATATATATAAGGTTGTTGTTTTGATAAATCGAGGTCTAAGTTGGCTTGATGTAAGCCACATAACTTAAGATTTCATTAAATATTGCAGGATTACTATAAATCAACAAATTATATTTGCAGTAAATTAAATATTTAAGTTATATTTATACAGATGTACATATGTATTTAACAATATTTACTATTAAAGAGCAAACACTTCCTTTCTTAACTTTCACTTAGGGAAATATGAGGAATCCTTTTAAATAAAAATATCCAAAATTGTCTGCTTCTATACATATTTTTCTATAATTTATAGTAATTTCCCTTTCCTCTATTTTCCTTCCAGGCTTCCTTGGCAGTTTCCTTTCGAAAGGATTAAAGACCAATCAGTTGGTTGTGAACACGGATGAGAAAACCCTGCGACCGGTTGCACGTCTAAAGGAACCGCGCGATCTTTTCGCCCTGCCTAAGGACAAGGACAATGACTGCTCACAGCAGGCCCCCAGATGGCCGGTTGAGTGCCAGGTGAGAGGGTAAAACACCAAACAAGCAAAAGTCGCACAGGGGAATCCCCCAATACACAATTCTAGGACCCCCCAATCAATTCACACACACAGAGACAGTCAGACACCTATTGAACTGGCTTCGAAGGACGAGGCTAAGGAGCTGTCCTAGATTTGTGTACTATGTGTCTGTCCCCGGGATGACGATGGCTTATTGAATGCCTTTGACACGCACCTTGTCTGCCAGGATGTGTCCCAGGACATGCGTGCCGCGCCTCATAAATATTAATGCACATAAAAAGACGGGCCTGGGTGGCAAAGTTGAAAGGGAAAGGGCAGGAAGCGCGACCTCGCTACGGCTATGGTTTTTTTTTATATATTCTTTTTAAGGAGGAAGCTCCCAGAAATCCAAAGGCCACGCCACAGTATAACCTGCCTAAGTTCAATGCCCAACGAGTTTCCAAGCCTTATCTTTAAAAAGAATGATAGAAAGATTTATTTATAGAGTTTCAAAGTGGATTTAGTTCCTTTTTGTGCCAAAGGTTAATAGTTAAAGGATTAAAATGATTTATTTCAGGACTTTAGGAAACTCTAAACTCCAAACTTTCGCCTCAAAAGCTCTCTCTCTCTCTCTCGAAAGGATACATAGATAGTTTATTCAATTTTCGGTTTAGCAAAGTTTGACTGTAGCATAGTAGGTGGTATGTAGGCAGGCCCACCCCCTCCTCCCACTGTTCCCCTCGGCTGGCTCTCTATGTAGGTCAAATTGCAATAAAAAAATGAGAAAAAAAATAGAAAGAAAGGTGCACACACTAGCTTAACCCATGGCAGCGCCCCTGTTAAACGCTGCTCGCCAATAAAGTGCAATGAAAATCCTTTCGTTTCCGCTTTCGAGATTTTTATTTATTTGGCTTTCCTCCCACACCCCCCGCTCTCCCAATCGTGCACTCTTTCGCCTAATTGTTGGCCAAGTCGTTTAGCATTGTTAACAATCGATTTTATTTATTTTGTACTCGAGATATTTGCATTTCGATTCGCTGCCAAATTGTGTTGGGCAAATATTACACATTACACACACGCCCCCTTAGCCCGTGCAGCGGCAAAACGCTGCTTGAATGGCAAACGATTTATTATGGGGTTGCTGGGGAGGGCAGGGGACTTCTGTCTCAGGGGTCAAACAACAAATTGGCCAACTGATTGATTAAACAGGCGGCGAAAGGCGAAGAGCGGCGGTAAATGAATCAATTGGAGGTCAATTGTTGAGCAATTTGTTGTGGCGCAATTTGAGTGAGGCGGAAAACAAAAGGAAGCCCAAACGCTAGCAGTCAACCGACCTACCAACCAATCTACCAACATTTCCCTGTCAATTAACGTGGCTTGAAAGGAGCAACCCTGTCAAAAAAAAAAGAAAACACAACAAAACAAAACGCTGTGAAAAACCCTCAATGAAAGGTACCAAATCCTTTGAATTCGGAACCTCCAAATAGAAGTTAAATTTGGAAAGAAAAGCGAGAACATTTTACAAATATGTACATAAATTCGGTTCAAATTTAAAAGCGCTTTCATTTAAATTACAAATCTGAATTGGAAATTAAAATCCTATCAATATTTTCATTTCGAATTAAAACATTCGAACCAATAAACAAGCTAGCTTTGCAGTCCAAAGTTTGTATACCCTTTAAAACCGATATAGTTACATTTATATACCCTTGAAGGGTATTATAATTTTAGTTAGAAACTTAAAAAATAGTGAAGAAGTATTTTTCGACCCTATAAATCATATATATTATTCAGCAGCCGAATCGATCTAGCCGTATTCGGTAGAAAAATAAATTGTTGAAATTTTTTTAAAATTTATAAGGGGTTACATCATTAAAATGTTCAAAAAATTTTAAAAAAAAGTTCCAAAATTTTTAATTTGTAAACAAAATATGTAGATTTATTAACCCCATAAAAACTAACCTAGGAAAGCTTTCCGAATTAAAATTAAAGCATTTTTAACTGAGGTACGAATGATGAAACTTTGACTTTTTGTAATAAATATAACACTTTTTTTAAAGTCCCATCCAAATAGCCTTAAGGCTGAGAGACTAGTTTGCTTAGAAAAAAAAACCTTGTGCTGCAGATTTGCAAAACCTATTCAAGATTTTAAGTTGAAGTTTCTTAACTGTTTAGAGAATCAAGAAACAGAATTTTAAACTCAAATTAAGGCAAAAGTTTCGAATGACAAACCCATACTCACCACATTAGCTACTGTCCTACCGCTCGCACTTTTCACCTTTACCGCTGCCGTGTTACCGTTAGTTTGCTGCCTTCCCTTCTTCCGTTTCCTGTTTTTTATTTTTGTTTTATTTTCGGCTCCAGGCTCCAACACACAAAGTTGCGCAAACTGAAAATGCAATTAAAAGAGCAAAAATATAAATAAGAAGTCAGGAAAGTTTTCGGGGAAACGTCTTTCCCACGCTTTTCTTTTTTTCTCTTTCTCTTTTTCCTTTGGGTTTTCCGTTTGGCCATGGCGTTCAAAACGAGAATGCAAATAAAAAGTGAAATTACAACAACAAAAAAGAAAATAAATCGCCTTCAGTGTTGACTTGACATTTGTAATTGTGTTTTTTTTTTTTTTTGCAATGACACTGGCATTGGCAATGGGCAACCAAAAAAAGTTTCATTTTCGTTTTTTCCTGCTGCAAATTTTCATTACCAGCAGAAAGAGAGAGATGTGTAGGGGAAAGGGAAAGAGAATAGACAAGCTAATTAGTTTGATAACAGACAATCGTAACATGAATAAGTAAATTCGAACTATGTAAAGGCAGGCAAAAAGCGAATGTCACGATTTACAACACTGGCTTTTTTGGGCACACGTCACAGACAGAAAGAGAGAGAGAGTGAGAGAAAGAGATAGAGATAGAGTGATAGAAAGAGTGGGGAAAGTAGAGGAGATGGAGATTGTAACAACAACTGACGCTGATATGTTTCAATTAAGCCATCCAACACACACACACACTCCCTACTCTTTCTCTCTCATGTGTGTGTGTGTGTGTGTGTGTGTGTGTGTGTGTGTGTGTGTGTGTACCAGATTTGCATGTTTTAACTTCTTGTTTTGTGCACTGTGTGACAAAAACTGCAGAAATTTGAAGGATTTGAATTCCATGAAATATTAATGCAGGTTTAAACCAGGTTTTTAAGCGCCTTAAATACATAGCAGTGGGAATTTTTTAGAATTTCCCCTGCTTGACACTTAAATTTCCAACAAGTATGGTATTAGTCCTGTAAACTTGTGGTATTGATTTCTGAAATCTTTGGCTATATCTTATATCTTTGTAATTAAGTTGCTAGACTTTAAGAAATTCTTTCATTTGAATAAAGTCTAGATTTGATTAATATATTAATATTCAGGTAACAAGAAGCTCTTTATTCTAAAATAATTAAATTCGGGTATCTTTCATTATTAAAATCTTGGGAAAAAATTAATGAGAGCATTTTAAAATAGTCTGAAATAATAATTCAACTAGTAAAAATAAATATCTATTCTCAAGGATATTCAAAAGCTCAACATTTGATTAGAATTTAATAACAACCTAACCACTGTGCATGTCTTACATGTGTAAGCATATCAAAAGGCTAAACAAATAAGCTGCTCAGAGCTCAGGCTTATGGGGGAAGAATTACAAGGAACGAAAAGACGACAAAAACAACAGCAGAATGACATCAAAGCCTCAACAGAGACAGCTGTGGTGAAAAGTGGGAGGAAAGGACATTTGAATGGGCAGCTTGGGGTTTTGGAACATTCAGGAAATTGTCATTTTGGAATTGCAACAAAAGGTCTTTTCTTACAAATTATTAGTATAGTATGATTGGCACTGGCCAATTTCCCTTTCAAGGACATATAAAATGATGAGAATATTTGCTGCAAAGAACAGCAGGTGCACAAAATTAATCGAAATAATATTCTACTGCTTTTAATCGAGCGATGTCGTTCGATTAATAGCAATTAAGGAAATTAACTATTTAACACGATGGGTAATAATTAAAAGCTTTAATTGTGAGAAAACTAGAATGTGATTGCATAGAAATTATTTCCAAGACCTTGACTTTAGGCAAGCCCCAATAAGTAGGCTATATTTTTCGTGGATTAGGAATGTACAAAAGAAGTACATCTATAAAATACCAATAAAACTATAAAAATATCAAGATTGTCATATCAAAAATATTGTAAGCGTTAATATATAGGAAAAAAAAAAATATATATACAAAATATGTGCAAAATGTTTTTTACCGATTATATAGTTCCGATGTACAACTATGGGATTATCACATATGTATCTATCTCAAAGTTAAAATATCGAATGTGTTTATCGACTTTTGCATCAAATTTCCATTAAGTATACATTTATCGATATTTTTTAACACTCTACCGTACCCATTAATGGCAATTAATCATTAATTATCCTTATTATCCTTATCCCAGGTCATCGAGGAGCGCATCAAACACATTCCTTACGTGCCCGCAACACCGGAGCCACTCAATGCTCCAACTGGTAACGAGCTGAAGCCACGTCCCGTCGGCGAGGAGAACGGAATAGTTGTGTTCAGTTACAGTCCAATCAGCGCCGTTAATTACGTGAGTATATTTCATCCAAGAATCCCCTAACTATCCTCTGCACCTGCACTCACTCTAGTAATAATAATAATAAAACTAAGGGAAGATTGTGTTAAAAACGAACTAACTATCCATTACTAACTCAACGCTTTTCGTGACCAAAAAAAGTTAAAATCATCGAACCTACACATACGCAGGAAAAGCCCAAGGCGAAGAAGGGGGACGAGTCCAGTGATGAATCGGACTACTCCTCAGACTCTCACCAAGACTCCACGCCACCTAGCAGGGCCACACCCATGCGTCTGGCTGGAGGCGGCGTTGGCGGCGCCTGTGAACGCATGAAGCTCAATAGCAGTGTGTCCAAGATGATCAATAGCGTGGACAATCGATCGACAAGCGCCTCCCTGGACGACAACGATGATTGCTACGATGATGATGAGTACGATACCTCCGGAGGCGGAGGCGAGGCTCGGGAGAAGGCCATTATCAAGGATCTCATTGAGGCCAAGAAGAAGCGTTACCAGGAGGAGGCAGCCACTCCCAACGGCGGCGGTGTTACAGCCCGAAATTCCAGGGCAGCCAGCAGGTCGGACGCCAGCAAGGAACCCAGCGGCGATATCGATGACATCTGGAAGAACAATACCAGCGAATACAAGCCCGCCTCACCGCACTACATCCTCAGCCAGTTTGGCAAGAAGGTCTCCAAGGCCATGATCGATCGCTTGGTGGAACATGACACTGATCAGGCGAATGGCACTGGACCAGCCACAGCTCCATCGGGATCACAAAAGGTATCGAGCAAGTTTGCCGTGACACCCTTTAAATTGCCCAAAACCAATTTGTCCCGCTTGGAGGCGGTCTTCAAGCAGACTGCTCCAAAGAAACCTGGTGTAGTCACTCCCAAGAACCGAAAACCAGTGGGAAAAGGGGTCGTCAGGAAACCGGAGGTGAAGGGAAAGGTTGTAACGGATGGGAAAATGGAAAAGCAAATCGAAAAGAAAATGGGCAGAGAGAAGAATGGTAGCAACGATGAAAGCAGTAGTTCCGATGAGGGCGAGGAGTCCGACCCGGATGGAGGCGCTACAGTCCGCCTGGCTGGTGGCGCTGAGAAGCCATCTTGCCCCGAGGTCGCCGGTCAGTCTGTTTCGGATACGGAAACCCTGGTGGGGGAGGATCGACCATCATGTAAGAATGGCTATAATTTTATAGATATTTCTTATGGGGATTACTTGGCCAAGCTTATGGTAATCCTCTAAAGAAATAGGAAAACTGAATAGTCTCTTAACTTCTCTCTATCTCTCAGTAAAATTTTAGTAAATCCCTTTCTTACTTCAAGTACTTCACAAGGAAGGCTTCAAGCCTTCAAAGCTTTTAAATACATGTAGAAAGATTTGTTAATAGTCAATAACTAGATCCTTTCGCCTGCCCACAGCTGGTGATCGGGAGCAGGATCAATCCCTGATGGGCCAGAAAACAGAAGGGGATTCTCAGAAAACCAAACCCAATACCCATGCGTCTATTGTGGCAGCGGCGGCGGCATCAGCAGCTGCATCAGCTGCAGCAATGGCCAGGAAACGTCACCGAGGTCTAGAGGACCACATACTCAACCACCAAGAAGAGGTCAGGGCAATGGAAATGCTGGCCAAGAGCATCAAAATGGAAGCGGGAGTGGGAGTGGGAGCGGGACCGGGAGTGGCAGCGGGAACGGGAGCGGGAACGGGAATGGGCACTACTAGCACCACTAGCACCCCTAGCACCCCTAGCACCCCTAGCACCCCTAGCACCACCACGACCACCCCAGGCGGCGGCGGTAACAATGTCTTTCGACTGACCAAGGAGCAGTTCCAGCTGCTCCGTCCAATGGCCAGCCAGGAGACAACCACAAGTGCCACAAATTCAACGAGTACTAATCCGGATACGATCGATTCGTCGCAATCCTCTCTGTTTGATTTATCCCAAGCACAGTTCAGCCGATCGGCGGTCGGTGGCGCTCGCTTTGTGACCAACTGCCATCCAATGAATCCCGATGAATACGATGGCCTGGAGTTTGAATCACGCTTCGAGAGCGGCAACCTGGCCAAGGCGGTGCAGATAACGCCCACCTACTATGAGCTCTACCTGCGTCCCGATCTCTATACCAGTCGCTCCAAGCAATGGTTCTACTTCCGTGTCCGTCGCACCCGACGCAAGATGCTCTACCGCTTCTCGATTGTCAATCTGGTCAAGTCGGATAGCCTTTACAACGATGGCATGCAGCCGGTAATGTATTCCACTTTGGGTGCCAAGGAGAAGAGCGAGGGCTGGCGGAGATGTGGCGAAAATATATGCTATTACCGCAATGATGATGAGTGAGTGTCTCTCTAAATCTCTCTTCCAAGAATCCATTTTAATTGTTTGATTTACCCCACAGAAGTGCCAGCAATAGCGCCAATGAGGATGACGAGGATAACTCAACATACACGCTGACCTTCACCATTGAGTTCGAGCATGACGATGACACTGTGTTCTTTGCCCACAGCTATCCGTACACATATAGCGACCTGCAGGACTACCTCATGGAGATCCAACGTCATCCGGTCAAGTCCAAGTTCTGCAAGTTGCGTCTGCTCTGCCGCACGCTGGCGGGTAACAATGTCTACTACCTGACGGTGACGGCACCCTCCACCACCGAAGAGAACATGCGGGTTAGAGCACAGAATATCTACCCTGGAATAAATTCTAATATCCTTTCTGCTATAGCGAAAAAAATCTATTGTGGTATCGGCTAGAGTGCATCCCAGTGAGACGCCGGCATCGTGGATGATGAAGGGCCTGATGGACTTCATTACCGGTGATACAACGGTGGCCAAGCGATTGCGGCATAAATTCATTTTCAAACTGGTGCCGATGCTAAATCCGGATGGAGTTATTGTGGGCAATACCCGTAACTCCTTGACCGGCAAGGATCTTAATCGCCAGTACCGCACGGTCATACGCGAGACATATCCATCCATTTGGTATACCAAAGCCATGATTAGAAGGTGAGTAAATGGGAAATAATTAAGAGATTATGCTTGAAACATTCAAAACAATAGTTGAGTGTATTAACTCGTAAGATCAATTAATGATCAATGATACTAATTATTAGGTTCATAGCAAAATGTAACTCTTTCCGAGAAAAATAGCATCTGTAGCATACATATCAGCGCTGAAAATGAGCCTAACAGCGCCTTAACAGCGCTTTTAGTGCGCGTAAAAGCACTTTAAATTATCATATCATATCATAAAACTTTGAATGACCTTAACAGCGCATTTAGTGAGAATAAAAGAATACCATTGCATACTGTGCACACAACAATGTTGTTTTTAGGTTATAACAGAACTTATATGACACATAACAGTGCTGAAAGTGCACATAACAGCGCCTTAAGTAAGCATTACAGCGCTTTAGTGCTTATAGCAATGTTTTTTTAAGGAATAACAGAACTTGCAATGTTTATAACAGCACATTCAATGCAATAACAGAATAACATTGCATACAACTTTTTTTTTGTACATAACAGCGACTTAGGTATGCATAACAGCGCCTTAAATATGCATAACAGCGCCTTAAATATGCATAACAGTCCCTTAAGTATTCAAAACAGTGCCTTAAGTATGCATAACAGTGCCTTAAGTGTGCATTACAGCGCTTTAGTGTTTATAGCAATGTTTTTCCGAGGCATAACAGAACTTGCAATGCTCATAACAGGACATATAACGCAATAACAGAATAACATTGCATACAACTATATTTTTGTGGAGTATAACAGAACTAATAGTATGCAAAGCAGCGCTCTTAGTGCTAAGTGCTCTTAAGTATGCATAACAGCGCCTCAAACATGCATAACAGCGCCTTAAGTGTGCATAACAGCGCCTTAAGTTTGCATAACATAATCCTTAAGTATGCATAACAGCACTTTCAGTGCGCATAATAGCTTAGTATCACATATTGTCCGCAGAACTATATTTTTCTAGATTAAAGATAAAACTTTTTATCTTAGAATATAATCTTAGAAATACATAATCCTTAAATATTTTACAGACTGATTGAGGAATGCGGCGTGGCCATGTACTGTGATATGCACGCTCACTCACGTAAGCACAATATATTCATATATGGCTGTGAGAATAAGCGGAATCCGGAAAAGAAGCTCACCGAGCAGGTCTTTCCACTGATGCTGCACAAGAACAGTGCGGATCGTGTAAGTAAAACACCTCTTACTCCTATTTCTACTGCAAAATTTAAACCCAAACTGATTCATCAATATCTCTACCCACAGTTCTCCTTCGAGAGCTGCAAATTTAAGATCCAGCGAAGCAAGGAGGGCACCGGACGCATTGTCGTCTGGATGCTGGGCATTACCAATAGCTATACAATCGAGGCCTCCTTTGGTGGCTCCTCGCTGGGATCGCGCAAGGGAACGCACTTCAGCACGCAGGTGAGTCGAGCTTCGATCCTTTTAGCGCTCACAGAGGTGTATAATACGGATATCCTGGATATCATTTGCAGGATTACGAGCACATGGGACGAGCATTTTGCGAGACACTATTGGATTATTGCGACGAGAATCCAAACAAAGTAAAGCGGCACGCAAAGTTATTTAAGCAAATCAAAAAGATAAGAAAACGCGAGAAACGCGAACAGAAAGCATTGAAATTACAGAAATTGGCCGATCAGGGATGTATAATTAATGATAAATTGAAAGTGAAGCGTTCTGTGGAGAAAAGTGTCTCCTAGGAACTGTCTACCGTCTGTTATCGATACACACACGCACACACGCACACACACACAAACATAAACACGTCGCTATGTTATCGTTGACTTTCGCAATCGTTAATCGTAAATTGTTAATTGTTAATCGTAATGTAATCGCATCTGTTGTCGCTGCCTTCAAATTATGAAAATTATGAAAAATGTGTCGTAAAAACGCTGCTGTGCTGATCCATAATATACACACACACACACTCACACCTATCAGGGATGCCACAGAGATTGCTATGGTTTTGAAATCCTTATATATCAAAAATATTATTGCATACTTTTAAGTATCTTTTTTAAAGATTATTAAACATTAAAAGCGACTGTTTTGGCATCCCTACATAACACACAACACCAAACATCGGCCAGACTCCCTGAATATATATATATAACTATATTTATATATATATTGCATATATTGTATACGATCGGGAATTACGTACATACATATGTGCGGCATTATATTAATTTGAATGCTGTCTATTTGCGCGAATCGCAGGTTTTCTAATGTTTTTGACCTCCCCAGCTGCATGGAAAGGATATCCTATCCACGCAACGGGTTTCACCTGTTTACAGTATATACCCTAAGCTAGCATATATATGTATATATCACTTTGATCCCGCACAAACGTATATAGATACAGCACAGCATCGCCAGGCACTATCTAGAGCTCTCTTTAAACTTAATTTTAATTATATAATTCGCGATATTTTCTCAATGTTGCCAGCTTAGTGAGTAAGCCACGTAATCGTATTATTATATCCAAGAAATATTATTATTATTATTTAATAAAATAAAAACCAAAAAAGAAATATCACATAAATACACACATAGATTTTTGATTTCTGTCACTGATATATCGGCTTTGTAGAGCTTCTATTCTTTTGTAATTCGCTTGCTTTTATATTTATTTTGTTTTATTTACATTTCTAACATTTAATATTTTCTTTTAGCCGGCAGTGTTTGATTTCTAACTAATCCAAATACATTAACATTTACAATAGATTTTAAATTTACTCAAACAACAGGACAGACTACGTTCCAAAATCATCGAAAGACTGATGCGAGAAGGCTCGAGTGCCGACGAGCCATTGAATATACCTCTGTCGGATTACTCAAGGTATGTATCTTGTATAAAACCCAATAGGAATGGATTTATCACTATATAAATCAATATTCTAGCATTGCAATAAATGTAGATATTGATATTTTGGGTTAATTTAACGGACAAGTATGTTTGAAGAAAGATGGAAATCATTTGAGTACAATAGTTCCCATAGTTGATAAATCATAACTAATTCTTCCTCTCGATAAATATTCCTAAACCCTGTATGTCGACATCAGTTCTTTGGTTTGATTTATAAGACCCAATATAAAGAGAAGAGACAAAAATTAAATCAAATTGTTGTACATATTTATACCTTTTTAGAGGATTATAATTTTAGCTAGAAGCTTATAAATATGGAAAGGAGTCATTTCCGACCCTATAAATCATATATATTCTTGATCAGCATTAGCAGCCGAGTTTATCTAGCCATCTCCGAATAAAAATTTTTTTTGTTAATTTTCCATTTAAAAAAAAAAAAAAATAAAGGTTAAAGGAAAGGAAAAGTTAAAATTGGCAAAATTTCGATTTTTTTTAAATTTAAAATTGAGTAACCCGAATTATAAACCTATTAAAAACTAACATAAATCAGCTTTCCTAATCAAAATTAATGCATTTTTGGCTTAATTATGAGTTTTTTAAAACTTTTATAATTATTGATTCAAATAATACAAATACCTTGACATAACTTTTATATTATTTGATACCAATTTTAAAGGGTTGGGGTTTCCCGCAGTTGATTTCCTTACTTGTTTTCAATAATATCGATCATTTAAATTTTGATATATCACATTTAATGATATTTCAGATAAGAAAATTGAGCTAGCTATTTTAGTCTGGCTTATCCTCTCAATACATCCTTCACATAATCAATGTTTCTGTTGACTACTAACCCCTTATTCCCCCCAATACTCCATCTCTGTTACAATAATTAAACCCAACTAGTGACGAGGGAAATTGCAGCTCCAGTTCGGATAATGAGGGCAAGCACTCGATAACGGCATCTGATCTGGAGGGACCTTGCTGTGCGCCCACCCGAGCACCACCAAGTTCTCCGGAGGTGATCCATGAGATCCGCAAGGTAAGACCGTCTCCTCTTTGTACCACAACCCATTTGGCGTCACAGAATAATAAGGATAAAATATCAATTATTTACTTCAATATTTTTATGGAAGAAAGCTTAGAAAAGTGGCGTCAAGTGGGTTAATCCATTGATCTAATCCTCACTATTGCACTACTGCACTACACACACACAGTTCCGTATGCGACGCATGCGCAAAGTTATGCACGAGCTGGACAAGATCTACTTCACGCCGCTGTTTCAACGCAAATTCAAGACACTGATCAAGTTGAAACGAAGGCGCCACAAGTTGGGCGGCAAGTCGCCGACTCCCCCTGTCCCGGTTGCCAAGCGCCCGCGTGGTGGCCAGGCCACTGATGTGCCCACAAAGCCACCGGCCACGGCCACAGCCACGGCAGCGGCAGCAGCAGCCGGAGTAATTGCAGCCGCAGCTGCAGGACAATTCAAACAACGCAAGCCGGCGATAGGCAAGAAGCCCATAAAGCGTCTAAAAGGTGGCTATGTCCGGACTTCGGAAAGTAGCGATAGTGTGACCTCCTCACAGTCAGAGTCCTGTCGTGACCAGGAAACCTCCAGCAACGCAGCCGGGCAGGCAAAGCGTAAGGTCAGTGGCGCCTCTGCACCAAAGAAGACGGTCAGTAAGAAGAAAAAGAAGTTTATGCCCACGGAAAAGAAGAAGCCGGAAGTGACTGTAAAGCCGCAGGTGAACCGGAACTTCCGACTGTGGCTGGCCAATCGGTGTATCTACATCTATCGCCGGAAGAAGGTAGCAAATCATAACCCAGTGATTCGTTTTTTTCTCCATCAACAAGTGCCTTAAAGCTCTTACTCTTTGGTTTCACTTAGGGCATAGTTGGTAGAGAAAAATAATAAATAAACGGGTTCCCAAGCGCACCACTAGCACCTAGCACTAACCACTGGTCACCCATGCCTTTCTCCCGAATCTCCCCATCTAACCCATTTAGTCCCAGCAGACGCGACGCACCAAGTTGAGGAGCAAGCAGCCCAAGAAGCGCGGCGAGGTGGTGCGCACCACTCTGGATCTGCCCACCACCGATCCTGGCTCGGATCTCCACTTCTCCACCGACGACGAGGAGCACTCACCCACAGCCGGTCAGAATGGTTACGGAGCAGTGGCGCCACTCCGGCACACGCTCCTCCAGAGTGATCTGCAACGACGCTATATCGAGGAAATTGGCGACACTGTGGTCCAGAAGCCAAAAGCAGCTCACATGCCACCGGAATTGATAGTGACCACGCCATCGAAAAGCGGAACTCCAGGTGCTGGCGGCGTCAAGAAGATGGAGATCTTCAAGCTGACACCACGCACCGCTCCGGAACTGGACACTGGCAGAGCGGCAGGAGGTGGAGGTGGAGGTGGAGGTGGTCAACAAGTGGGCATGAATCAGAGGCAATCTGGTGGCATGGCAACGGGAGGAACGACTGCCAGACGTACCTACTCCTGGCACAATCTCGATCAGCAGCAGGACATACCCACGGGAAATGGAGGAGGACAAAGCGGCAAGGGCAACGGTGGTAGCTTCTACATTGGCGAACCTAAGCCATCAGTGAAGGCAATGCCCAAACAGGCCCACAGAAGGTAAGCTCTAAATCCAACATCCTAACATCCCTATATATATATATATCTATCTTTTCCTGACTTCAAGGAGTGTTCCGCACAACTTCATACCCCAGCGAAATGGCGGAAATGCGCCCACCGCAGATGATCTGCAGCTGAAGCTTTCCCTAAAGAAAAAGGTCTGGACAGGGGCACATGGCGGTGATGCGGACGGACGTCCATTGGCTTGGTATAAGGGTCACTCAGTGGCCGGCCCTCAGATGTCCAGCAATACAACAGCAACGGGCATCCGCAGTGCCGGTGGAGGAGGAGGAGCAAATGGAAATGGACAAAACCGAACTATGTTTCCATCCAACGGAAGGGAGGCGATGGCAGCAGCAGCTAGCAATGCTACTATAAACATGGGCATGCCCCCCGTCTTTATGGGAGCTCCACGAAAGCCGAAGAAACTGGAGCAGGTGGATTTGTTCAAGTGAGTAGAGAAACGCAGGAGAAATCCCCTTCAACCATTTCATAATTCGAATCAACTTCCCTTTTTGCGCAGCGCCTGTTCCCAGAAACTGATTATGTGGCAGCAGCAACAGCAGGAGGACCCCAAGCGCTCCCAACCAGCACAACAGCAGCTGCCGCAGCGACTGATGAAGGTGGAGGATGCAACGCGGGACCGTGATCGTGAACGGGAACGGGACCGAGAGCAGCAGCAGCGAGAGATAATACGCGCCTTCCGGCCCATTCAAGTCGGCAAGAAGACCGCAGCTGGCATGGGACAGGGTAAGTCCCAGCAACAGCAGCACGGCCTGGTCTCCGAGGTCTCCGGCGGTGGCAAGGTGAAGCGCAAGTCCAGCAGCATGATGAAGATAGCAGAGACCACGCAGCTGGTAACTCGGTTTGCCCGCAATCGTAGCAGTGCCGGTGGATCAGCGGTGCAGCAACAGCAGCAGCAGCAGCATCAACAGATGCAGCAGCACCATCACCATCACCAGCGAATGATGCTCAAGAACCAGGGAGGAGCTGGAACCATGCCCGGGCGCATGCACTCCGCCGGAGTCTTAGTTGGGCGTGGACCGAACAAATTCAAGACCGGCGGACTGGTGATCACAGCGGTGCAGCAACCGGCAAAGATGCCAGGCGGCAATGGCAGCAGCAACTCCCGCCGCATGCGTAACGCCGCTGCTGGAACATTGCAGGCCAAGAGCAGCTCGACGGGAGTCGTCAATCAACTGTCTGGAGCGATGCACTTCCAGCGCAACAGTAACAGCAACGGCGGCGGTGGTGGCAGCAGCAGCGGCACACTGGCACCCAACAAGTCGCAGACGGGCATCTCACTGGATACTGTCAATTTGGTGCGCAAGGTGAAGACCAAGCTGAAGAAGCGCAAATCCCGCACCCTGTCCACTGGGGCGGCGCCCAAGTAGAGTCAGTCACGCCCAGAGTGTCCAGAAATTGCATCCTACGGCTTACGAACCCCCCGATCGATAACCCATATCCTTGGACTTCTTGACACCGTTCAATTGTTCAAAAGAGACCAAAATTGCAGTCAAAGAGAAGAACCTTTCGCATCAAGTTGAAGTTTGTTGAAAACGCAAAACGCAAGAAATGATAGGGAAATAATTAGCAAAATTAATGAAATAATTCATATATGTATGTATGTATCCCCGTAGTCTGTGTTTCCTAAATAATCCCAATTTCTGTACCTACACTTAATCCCTAAAATAATGTTGAAAATCCAAGGTGTGTGTTGTTTTCGTTATTGTTTCGTTCGTTTTTTGTTTTTGGTTTTTCGTTGGCGATGGCAGTTTTCTATTGAGATTTCCAATAAAAATATAAAAAATAAACCAAACCACGAGGAGGGCGAGGATTTCTAACTAGTGCGGGGGAGTGACAGGTTATGTGTGGGACGGGGTGGACAGTTAGTAAATAAATAATGCTGACCACTGACCGAAAAAATCAATTACGCACATGTCCGGCACGGCACGGAAGAGAAAAGGGACCCACTTAGCCGCAGGACGACGTTGCAGTGGCTTACGTACCTCCGGCACCCAATGCTGACGTCTCGCCTCGTCCTTCACTCTTGCGTCTCACTCCTCTGCACAATTCACGGCGCGGTTATCCAGTCAATCGCTCGAAAAACCACCGAAATGTTTAAACTTTTTTTGTAAACAAACCGTTGCCCAATTGTGACCTCTAGTGATGGCAACAATGACGACCGATTAATCAAAAGCTTACGATGGATAGGCTAATATGTGAAAGTTATCGATATGATTGAAAGTTAATCGAATATTTAAGGTGTTTATATTAATTGAACGTTATTTTTAAACCAGTAATAAAATGTTTTAAACTGGCTCTCGCAAATTCAAGAACTTCACACTCATATTTTTTTTACCAATACTTGGAGTTTATTTGCTTTGATTTATTTGTTATATTGTATATATACCCAAGCCATTATGCTAGATTAGACTACGTACACATGCATGTGAGAGACGTGTGTGTTTCTGTATACTGGTTAAGTGTTGTGTCCTGGTCAACTCATTTCACATCCTCGTCACCATGTCCTGCTTCACTGCACATCATCACTTTCCTTCCTTTCTAATATATAGTTAGTATATAGTTAATAATTTTGTTCCTGCGGGCGGGGGAAGCAGCATTGATTTAACCTAAAGCTAATGGATACTACGAATAAATAGAGTTAACGCAAAGCTAAAACAAAAAGTGGAGACCGGCTCTCTACACATTCACGGCATTCTGCAGGGCCGTCTTGTCATCCACGATGATGTTGGCCGCCGTTGTGGTCGGATTGGAGCTGAGCAACTGCTTGGTGGACGAGCTGGAGGAGTAGCTGTCGCTGGAGCTGCGTGTGGACGCCGAGTTGCCGCTAATCGGGCTGTCGAGCATGTCTGCGGGTGGAGCAAGCAAACGAAATTGAATTGTATGAAATACAGGGAATATCACGATCGAATTACCTGGCAGCGAGCTAACATTGTTGGACTTGAGGTCCACGACCGTGGTCGTCGTCGATCCGGAGCCAACCATGTTGCCCACCGAGGTGGACTTTTTGTGCAGGTTCTTTTTCATGGCGCTGCTGAAGCCGACAACGACGCCGCCACCGCCAGCGGAGGGTCCTCCTCCCACGCCAGCTGATCCGCCTACAGAGCCAACACTCCTGCCTGCTCCTAGTCCCAGTCCCAACACGTTTCCGCCGATGCCAGCAGCGCCCAAAGGATCGCCTCGATCCGTGGGACACAGCGGGCTCAATATGGAGTTTTGAGTATCTTCGGGTGTGTAATAATCCGAATCGTCGGCTTGAGGCTCACCTGGGGATGCCACTCCTCCGCCTCCGCCGCTAAGTTCTGGCCTCGGTTTGGTGCGTTTCAACGAGGAGCTTTTCTTACCGCCGTTTGGCTCCTCGGACACTCCATCTCCGCCGCCACCGCCGACACTCTTATCCACATCATCCGCTTCTAGACAGGCCACCACTTGCTTCAGGGATTTGCTGGACATGTTCTTGGCCTTGCTGCCGGGCGATAGGAGCGGTGAAAGCTTCTCGTTCTCACTGTCCACATCGTCATCGGTGCCTGCTGAGCCGTCACCACCAGAACCGGTTCCTTGGGACCTGGGATACTTGCGCTCGTTCACGATCTGCAGCTTATCCTGCTTCAGCTCTGGAGAATTGCCTGCTCCCCCCAGTGTGGGCGACGTGCAGGTGGCCGTGCTTGCCTTCTTCTTCTGCTCGGTCTCGATTTCCACCACGGACAGGGCCGAGGAAGAGCCGTTACCTCCGCCGGACTGATTGGTAATGGTGCCCACCTCACTTGTCGAAGTGCATGTGGAGGCGTTCTTCTTGATCTTCGGCCTTCGCTGGCTGCTGGACTTGATGGGGGAAGTGGCCTTGATGTCACCGCCACTGGTCATTGTTGAGGCGGCCACTGTGCCGGCAGAGTCCGTAATATCATGATCACTGGTCCTATAAAATAATTAATAATAGTCACAGCTCATAGGTACTCCCCCTGCCGAGAGGAACTCACCTGGCTCTGGCCACATACTGCGGCGGTCCATTGAGTGCCTCAATTAGCGAGACAGGAATGTATCCCGGCGGCACGTCCACCGGTGCCGGCTCCCCGGCTGTCGACGTGGGCGTGTTCTGATGTAGCACATGTGTGGCGATGCCCTTCTGCACGGCTCGGATCTGGAGCAGGGCGCGGAACGGAGCCCGACAAATGGGGCAGTTATTGGCCTGATAGCGCAACGAGTCCGCACACGAATTGCACAGGCACAGGTGGCGGCATGGCAGTATTAGGGTGTCCCTGGTCTCACTCATGCAGATGACACACTCGCTGCCATGGTCGTCGATCTCCTCGTCCAGCGACGACTTGTTTACCGCTTTGTTCTCGATGCCGTAGATCTCCTGCAGCAGATAGCACAGGCCGTCAACGAAGATCTTCTGCTTCAGAGCACGCAGTACATAGCTACCGCTCTCCGGATGATGGTCAATCACGCATATTGTGGTGTGCGATTGCCGGCACTCGTCGCTGCCCTCCTCCACCACACAGTGGATGGCCACTGGGTACTGTTCACGACCGGGGCTATAGCCCAGCTCGTCCTCGGGCATCTGCTGCGGGTTAAAGATGTGGCTCGGCTGCGAGAAGCACTGATTGATGCCTTTCTCGTAGTGGTACGTCTCGGAGGTGAGGCCCTCACGCGGCACCAGCGTCACACCACTGGGACTCACATCCTCCGAGCAGAAGTAATAGATGGTAATGGCGCACTTGGCATCCGAATCGAAGGTGAACTCGATGTTGTACGTGCTGGGTGGCGGCGGCGGCGGTGGCGTCAGGTCAACATCACCACTTCCCAGGCCCATCGAGCAGAGTACATTGCCATCCACATCCTCGATGGTCACATTCGACTTGTCCTTGTCCTTCTCCTTTTCCCTCTCCTTCTCCCGCTCCAGCTCCTTCACACGCTCCTTTATCTCCTTCTCTCGATCCTTTACCTTGGGCTTCTCAGGCACGATTAGCTTAGAGTCCTTGGGCACACGGACAAAGCGCACAGACTCCTTACGGATGTTCACCAGACTCTTCAGTGTCTTCGTCGGCTCATTGGGCTGCGGGGGCGGATAGGGGAAGGCGGTGGGCCTGTTGCCCAAAAAGTTCAGATCAGCGTTCTCGCCAAACAGGTACGACTCCGGCTGCGGAGTGTCGAAACGTTCGCCGCCCATGATGAAGTGCGTGCCAAAGAAGTTGCCCATTCGCGGTGGATACTTGTAGGCATGATTCGTGCTGGGATCAGCCTCCTCCACTGCTGCGTTCTGCCTGCTCACAAAGTTGCCCATTTGGGGGTGCGGTATCTGGATGCTACGGATCCGCTTTTGGCTGGTATTCTTCCCCAATATAAGCTTTTTTCCTCGTTGGTTTACTTTTTTTCCCGATTATTATTTTCTTTTTTTATTGCTTTCTTTCACCAATCAGTGTGACCGTGTCGGAACAATCAAGAAAAACCAACAAATCGATAAGCCTCAATAGCAGTTTAAAATATATCGAATGTGATAGACTCGATTGTTAATTTGCTCTATCGAGAAGTGTCATCACTTGACCCACAACAAACGGCGCCAAAATAGCGTACGCAAAAAAATAAGTGGAAAAGGCGGTGAAAACCTGGACAGAATTCGCAACAACAACAGACACCACACATCACGATGAGCATGAGCCTGGATGAGTCCATCTGCGCGTATTTCGTGAATAACCTGAAGGCAGGCAGCAATGGTGATTCCGATGCGGACACTCTGGAGCAGTTCGAGGCGTCTCTGGAGCTGCTCGGCCAGCAACTGGCCGAGACCCAGATCCGTCAAATAAAGCCCAGCGAGGGCTATCCCCTGATAGCTGCCGGCAAGCTAACCAAGAAGGATGTGTTTGTGCTGGCGCAGTTCGAGGGCGACTTCTTTGTGCAGCTGCAGCAGACAAAGGCCCTCGTCCTGGGGCCGCCATGCCTGCTTACGTGCCTGCGGAACAACGAACCCATTCCTCTTGGCAGCAGTGCCATCTACACGACTGCCATGCGCGACCTACAAGTGTCAGCCACGGGAATAACGCCACAGAAGAAGGATGAGCTCAGTCAGCTGATCAACTGGATGGGAGGCGTCTATTTCCAAAGCTTCGGGCACCGTACCACGCACCTCATCTCGAACACCATTAAGTCCAACAAGTACGAGCAGGCCACACTGAATGGGGTACCCGTAATGCACGTAGATTGGGTGCAGTACGTCTGGGAGCAAAGCAGGCGCCGCCAACGTGAAGGCGTACGGGCCACGGACACCGAGTTCGACAAATATCGCCTTCCCACGTTCTTTGGGGCAAACATTACGTGCAGTGGCCTAGATGTGGCGCGCAAGGATCAGGTAATGCGGTTAGTCAACGAGAATGGCGGCATCTACCACCGCGCATTCCGCTCCCAGGTGGTGGATATCGTCATCACTGAACAGTCCAAGACGGACACGGAGAAGTATAAGGCAGCTATTCGGTACAAGAAGGACGTCTTGCTGCCCGAATGGATCTTTGATAGCCACAATCGTGGCTACGCCTTGCCCACCAAGGAGTATGAGGTGCGGCCAGGTAAGAAGTCATCCACACCCACTAGAACCGGCAGCCGACCGTCCGCGACTACAGCTCCCGGCGCTGATCAAACGCAGCTCTCGGATCTTTCCCGGATTAGTTTCGTTTCGGGCTCTCGGCGAATGTGCAGCGACTTGACCACTGTGAACGAAACCCTTGGCAGCAGTTCACCCGCAAAGGAGCTGCTCAAACAGGCCACCACTAGTAGCAGGAGTTATCAGCAGGTCTTGGCCGAGATTTGTCCCAGGCAGGCCAAGAAGGCGGGCACCTTCCTCGACGGTTGCTGCGTGTATCTGAGCGGCTTTCGCGCTGAGGAGCGTGAGAAGTTGAACAGAGTCCTAAACACGGGCGGTGCCACACGCTACGATGAGGCCAACGAAGGTGTGTCCCACATCATTGTCGGTCAGCTGGACGGTGATGCCGCCGCCGAGTATCGGCAGTGGCAGAGCGACGGCCTCATGAGCTCGGTGCATGTGGTGCGTCTGGATTGGCTGCTCGAGAGCATTCGTGCTGGTCGTGTCGTTAGCGAACTGGTGCATCGCGTATCCCTGCCCCAGAACCGTGAACCGGACGTTGCCTCGCCGGCTAGCAAGCGGACTCTGCGCTCCATGAATCACAGCTTCAAGCAGCCACAGCAATTGCCGATGCGGAAGAAACTGTTCGACCAGGAGCAGGACCACGCTCAGGCGGAGAAGGTGCCGGAAGAGGAGCCGGACCATCATCTGCTGGATCAGTACTCACACGATCAGGGGGCAGTGGCCCAGTTGCCAGACACAAGCCTGATCCATCCGGCCGCCAGTTCTACGCAGATGGAGATACCGCAGCCCAAAAAGGCATCTAATCCAGACCCAGGCCACATCTCGCAAGTTCCTCTGCCCGATCTCAGTGCAAGCGCCATGTCCATAGATTTCGATAAGCTGCACTACTTCTTCGGTCTCTCTGTGTACGTCCACAAGGATTGCTTCAACTCTGAATTCTACTCCCACATGCTGACCGAGTGTGAGGCGGCGCAGGGATTGCTGGTGCCATCCAGCTTTGCCGATGAGGTGGACTATGCCATCGTCAGCTTCGAAGTGGCCTTCGACGAGCAGGAGCTGCCTGTACGGGCGCGTCATGTCGTCACCGAACTATTCCTCGAGAGCTGTATGAAGCAGAACAAGCTCCTGCCCGTGGAATACTATCATAAACCCGTGCCCGCAGCTGCACAACGTCAGCCGCTCAAGGGCATGACAATTGTTGTCTCCATATATGCTGGCTTGGAGCGTGACTTCATCAATGCGACGGCAGAGCTACTGGGAGCCTCGGTGAATAAGAATCTGAACAAGAAGGAAAAGCCGTTGCTGGTGTGTCCCCGACCCGAGGGCTCCAAGTACGAGGGTGCCATCAAGTGGCACTATCCCGTGGTCACTGCTGAATGGCTGGTCCAGTGTGCCAGCACGGGTCAAAAGCTATCCTATATTGACCATTTGGTGGGCAATAGTCCTGAGGATTTCCCCATTTCTCCCCGCTTGAGGGAAAACAGTTCAAGGACGACATCCAGAAGACATGAGCAGCGGCAGACGGAGGAAACCACATTGATGCCACCACCCGAGGACGCCGAGGAGGTAGAGAACAACCAACCTATTCCAGAGCCAGCAGCTCCTGTTATAGCTACGCCTGCACCAGCTCCAGAACTAACACCTCTGCGAAATAGACGCGTTTCCGAGCTTGCAGGACCGTCTGGTCGTCGAAGCAGCGGCTCCACATCCAATTCATCCCCGGATTCGCCGTGCACTCCGCTCAGTCAAGTGGGTGCTCAGAATTATAATTTTGACTTCCTGGAGCAGTTTGTTCAACGCCTGGACACGGACGAGGGCAAGGACTGTGTGCGACAGATTATTCGCGAGATGTGTGAGAATCAAACGCCTGAGCTGGAGCGCATTCGACGGCAGGCCTGTACACCGGTGAGTCGTCGCAACATGCCACGACAGGCACCCGGAATACCGGACTTTTGCCTGACCCCGGAGTTCCAGCAGCGGATGGCCGATGACTTTGAGCGGCGCTGGCGCTTGCCCACGCAGAAAATAAAGCCGGACACACCGCTGGCGGTGATCAGGCAGCGAGTGATGCGGATCACCTGCGAGACCCTGGGCATTGAGTTCGAACAAGACGACGATGAGGAGCATGATCAGCAGCAGCAGAAGGAGCAGCAGAACAAGAAGCCTGCGCCGCCAAAGACCAGAACTCAGGTCACAAAACTGAACTTTGATAGTTCACCCAAGACTCCGAAGGTGGCGACGGTGTCGCTCCGAAAATCTGCGTCTCCCAGAGCATCTTTGGGCTCTTCACTCCGCACCGGCACCCAGTCACCCTTTGTGCCAAACTCCCAGAGTCCCAGCACCCCAGCGGCAACGGGTGGCGCAGGAATCGTTGGCCATGAAGAAGGCCAGAGCACCATTAACTTTGACAAGATTAGCTTCGAGGAGACAACAACGACGACCGCTTCCGTGATGGCTCCCGATGTCAAGCAGATCACAGATTATCTGAAGAACTGCGAGAGCCGGAGGAACAGCTTGAAGCGCAGCCATGACAACGACATGGACGCGTGCCCCGAGAGCGAAGTCCAATACGTGCAGCCGTTCGAGTCCGAGGGCTTCGCCCTGGGGACCGAGGACATGGTGGACTGGCGGGATCCCGTCGAGTTTAATGCGGCCAAGCGCAGATCCTCTGGAGGTGCGAGCTCTTCGCCCCGTATGCAGCACGAGGGCATTCCCTGCTTCAGCATTTCGTGCGGCGACGACGACGAGAAGCGAGCGGAGCTGAGCGAACGGATCACCCAGCTGGGCGGCAAACTGTGCGAGAATCTGGTGAACTACGATAGCGCCTGCACTCACCTGTTGTGCGAGCGTCCCAATCGCGGCGAGAAGATGCTTGCCTGCATTGCGGCAGGCAAGTGGATACTGCACACTCAGTATATCGATCAGTGTCATGCGCGCGGTCACTTCCTGGACGAGGCCCTGTACGAGTGGAGCAATCCGCGAGCTCTTAATTTGCCCAATTTGACGCCCGAGGAGGAGCCCATAGCCGCTGCTGTCCATCGATGGCGCACCGAGCTGAGTACAAAAGGCGGTGGCGCCTTCACTGGCTATCGTGTAATCCTCAGCATCAACGAGCGCAGTGGAGCCGCTATTAGAAACGTGCTCCGGGCCGGTGGAGCCTGCATATTGGAGCCAAAGTCTCCATTCGCCAGCGATCCAGTGGCTGCCACGGCCACACACTGCTTCGTGGATGTAAAGGGAATGCCATTGGTTGCCAGAGACCTGTCTCACCTTCTGCAGAAGGGAGTACGGGTCCTCAGCCAGATTGCCATCAACAAGTACTTGATGAACGGCCGGGATGCTGATTTGTCCAAGTACGAGCTCAAAGCATAGGGCGTCATCGTTTTGCTGTTGATAATTTATACATTTTGTTTATCAAAATTCAATTAATATTAATGTTTTTTTCCAAAACCAATAAGTAATAATAATACAACAATAACATCCTAAATATTTGGTTAAATCCTACAAAACCTTATTCCAACCAAAATTGTACATTTTGTTTATTTTATTCCAAAAATATTTCCATGAAAGTTTTTTGGTGTTCACTGGAATTAGTTATTAAATTATAATTGTTAATATTTCCCTTAATAAATTGTTTTCTTTTTCGTGGATTGTTTACGCAGAGAACATTATTACGAATCTGAACATTCACTAATTATTTGGTTTATATTTGAAAGTATTTCGGTGTTAAAAAAAGAAAACATAAATTTGTTAAAATATATATTATTAAAATTATAATTGTAGACAAAAAAATAAGGGAATCTACAGAACTTTATGGACTGAAAATTTCCCCTAATGAACTGAAAACTATAAGCAGAAATTAATGGTTTTATTAACGAATTTGTCCTGATAATAAAGTTTATTTTTCTATCTTCTGAGATACTTTTCTAAATTCAAAATGTAATTTATTAATTAATTATACGCTTCGGTACGGGATCGTAATAAAAAGAACTCGCAGATCATAATGAGGAGTTCCTTATTAAAAGAAAGTTATCGTTTATATGTGTATTTAATGCTAGATCTAGTATATAGAGATTCGGATCCATAATTTGAAGAATAAGTCGTTGGCGTCCAACTGTGTATTTTACTTTTCATTTATTTAACGTTTATATATTTTGTATGTGTGGGTGTGTGGTTGTTTTTATATATAATATATAGCATGTACACATGTATTATATATGTATAATTTCACTTAGCTTCTCTGTTCCGTTGCTGTCTCTCAATTTATAATATATATATAGCAGTACTTGGAGTTTGATTTATATATCTTTTTGTGTTTTTACAATCCAATGCAGTTTGTTCATTAAAAAATTCTATAATATATATATCTATAGGTATATAATTGTGTGTGAATCGCATGCTCTACAGGCTACAAATTCATCAAAAATAGATAGTACATCGGATCTGCAGCGATCTCGTGTTTCCACCGATGTTTTTTCTTTTGTTGCTGTTTTTGTTTTTCTTGTTTTAAAGCCGCAATTGGCAGACTGGCGGCATTTTTTGTTTTGTATTTAACTTCCAATTTACACTTTTATAAATATATGTATAGTAATTTATATGTATGTTCGGTCTTTGTGGATTTTTTAGTTTTCTTCTTTTTAGCTTTTAGTTGCAATTTGTTCAATGTTTTGTTGGTTTTGTTTTTATATCGCAGCGATAATTTGTTTAGTTAAGATTAGTTTTTTTTTGTGGTTGTTATTGTTTTCCAACTTATTGTAAATAATGGAAAGTCCACAGGATAATGGTTAAATGAATTTCGACACATAAATCGTTATAATTAATTATTTGAACAAAAATAATAATAATAATAATAATATTAATGGAACTTGGAGGGTACTTAGCTATTAAAAAATCTCTTTGCTGGGCGTGGAGATGCCCAGTGGCTGTTCGTAGTCGGTTGCCGTAGCGGAAGATGACTTTTTCTTCTCCTTGCGCTGAGATTTCTCCTTTTTATGCTTCTTCTTGTGCGACTTGGACGCCTGCTCCGCCTCATTGAGCTCCTCCTCCTGGACGATGTCGATGATGCCTTGCGCTTGCGCCTTCTCCTTGTTCTTCTTTTTTTGCTTGTGGTGCTTAGCGGCATCTGGAGGGACACTATTTGAAGCATTGTTGCTGGCAGCGGACGTGTGGCGGGGACTGGGTGTGGGCGTATTGGCATCGATGAGATCAATCACCGGCTGGGCAGCGGCTGCCTTACGTTCGCGCTTGCCCTCCCTGTCCTTATCCTTGTCCTTTTTCTGTCCTTTTTGGTGGTGGTGCTGCTGCCGATGGATTCCGCTGGCACCTTGAGATTCTCCTTGCCCGCCGACTTTTTGGACGTGGTGGACCTGACCGCGGGCGCCTCAAAGTCCGTGCTGTGGAACGGGATTTACTACATTTCCTTTAACTATATCGCTAGAGGGGCTACTTACATATCTAGCTCAATGTCCAGAGCTCGATGCGGATCATTGGGATCATATTTGCCGTCCTTATCCTCGCTATCCGACATCGAAACGCCCTCGGGCATGTCCAGTGTGGTGTTGACGATGTGCAAAGGTTTTGGCTCTACAAAGATATAACAAGTTAGTAGAGAAAACGATAAATAGATCCTTCTTTCTAGGGACAAACCTCCTTCCGATTCGGAACTGCTATTGTAAGCTACTTTATTTTTTGACTTTTTGCTCTTCTTGCCTTTTTTATGTTTCTTCTTGCCATCCTTGCCGCCGTGGGCAGAAGCCTGCTGCTGCTCCTGCAGATATTTGTCCGAACGCTTTGTGACTGCAAAAAGATAATGTTCATGGTTGGATCTACCTATGGAACTAGGATACTTACTGCCCACCCGAAGAGCTGCCACGCCCTCCATGTCCAGCGGCAGTTCCGTGATGGGAATGTCATCGATGTTGTCATACTGATCCGCGTTGGCCACCGATCCGCTCGTCGTTGGCGTTGACTTGAGATAGTGCGGATTGCTGGACTGTTCCAGGAGGCGGGCCATGCGTTGCCGCTCCAGCTGCTCCGGCGTCAGCTCCAAGCTCTGACGACGCTTTCCACCGCTTCCGGGGCCGCCGTTGCCGCCATCCACTCCCGTTCCGGCGCTGACAAAGAGCTCATCCTTGTCGTGCTCGGAAGACGAACTGCTCGCCGCATCCTCTGGTGGCGGCGGATTGATCCACTCATCCAAATCCAGTCCGTCTGGTAGGGGCACCTTCCGTTGCGCCTTAGGCGCCACCGGAATCAGTTCACCAGCAAAGAGCAGCGTTATTTCCTGGACAATTTCAATGGCCAGCGGTGGTATGCCGCCGCCCTCCATCGTTGTCGTCGTGTCCATTAAGGTCTCATCCGTCGTGGACAGTTGGGTGCGCAGCATTTCGATCAGCATGCAGGCGGAGTTGGCTCTCTCCTGGACCTCGATATCGCTGGAGCCATTGAAGTGCTGCAGCTTTTCCAGAACATGCTCGCAGAGCTAACAGAAAGATAGAAAAAGTTATTGAAAACAGGCATAAGGAGCGAACTCACCTTGACCAATCCAGGAAGATCCTGAAGTTCTAGGCATGTGGTGGCCAGGCGGGCAAACAACTTGATCACGTTCTGCACGTAAACGCCCTGGATGTGGCCGGGCAGCTGTCTGGGACGGAGCAGGATATTGAGCGTCTTCTCCGCATCCTCCAGCTCGCCGGCGAACTCGCCGACAATCCAGGCGGCGGCGTAGAGCACCTCGTACATTGAGTTGCTCTGCGCCGAAACGGCGAACGTGTCCAGAAGATTGGTCATCTCGTTAACGGCAAATTGACGGACCACCGGCACCCGAATGGCCACGTCCAGCAGCTGCTCGGCAATGAGACGGCCGTGCCGTGAGCCAGCCTCCAGCTGGATGAGCTCCACCAGTACGGTGAGATACCATTCGAAATTGGTTACATACAGGTAGGAACTCTGACCGCATATCTCGATCACCTTGTAGAGCAGCTCGTCGCGATAGGCCGAGCCCTCTGCCCGCTCCATGTGACCCAACAGACGCTTCACGATCTCCATGAGGTTCTTCTTGGACACCATGCCATACAGCAGATCCAAGGCGCGCAGTCTAATCGATTCGTCCTTATCGTCCAGACAGGCCAATATCAGATCCTTGTGCGCCTGCACACTCTTTGGATGCGTCTTCAGGATCTTCGACATGGCCAGAAGGCCCAGGTATTTCACTGCGATGAGATAAAGGTGAGACATTAAAACAGGAACTCGGAGTAAGCTGTTGGATTACTTACAGTTCTGGTCAGAGTCCTCGATGAGGATGCGCAGCTTCTGGACGCAGAGCTGGATGGAGGCACTGTGGTTGGGCATGCCGCTGCTTATGCTGATGAGCACCGCGATCACCGTATTGATGCATTCGTATAGGAGACTCATCGCCGAGGTGCTGTTGGGTGAGTTGGGTTCGGTTTTGGTTTTGGTTTTGGTTGTTTTTTGTTGGTGGTTCGTTTTGTTTTTTATTTTATTTTTTGTTTTGTTTGTGGATTGTATTAGTTAGAGAAAAAAAGAACTTGTATTAAGAATAAGCTGCGATAAAGCGACAAACATTGCACTAACAACAATAGCAATAAAAGTGATTACAACAACAGCAATATCGATAGCAGTTGAGTGGTAGCGATAACAATTAGCGATTATAGCGATATACAACAGCAAAAACACAATATATATATTTTTATATAGCAAAGCAACGTAGAAAAGGCAACGGAAAAGAAAAACCAACAACACCTACAAAAACAACTGCAACGTTTCTGCTTTTGATTCTTCTTTATCCGTTACTGTTTTATATTTTGTTCTCGATGAGTGTGCTCATTAAGCAGACAATCGATAGACAAACAAACGATAGGCAAACTATAGAAAGAGCAAGAAAGAACTAAAACAAACACAAACTAGAGCAGGATGGCAACAGTCGTAAGTTGAGAGCGAGATAGAAAACAGAGAGCAGAGCTGGGAACAAAATCGAATTCTCAACGTGCCGAACTATTCCGATTTCTAAGATATAATGTCTATACTAATGATAAATCGATACAAAAAATTGTTTATTATTTTTAACAAAGAAATCATTATAATTGTATTCGGAAGCTTGTAACGCTGTGAAGGAGTCATTTTCGAACCTTTAAATCATATATATTATTGATCAGAATCAACAGCCGAATCGATCTAACCATCTCAGAAAGAAAAAAAAATTTACCAAAATTTTCAAAATTTTATAAGGGGTTACAATGTTAAAATTGTCAAAAATTGATAAAAATTTTAATAATTTAAAATTTGAAATAGAGTATGCAGATTTGTTAAACTAATAAAAATAAACATAGGAACGCTTTCCGAATTAAAATTAATGCTTTTTTGGCTTAGTTATGAGTTTTTTTTAACATTGATAAAAATATGGATTTAAAGAATGCGAATATTTTAAGCTAATCGATCGATTTCCGATACGATCTAATAGTTTAATTGCAACTGCTAGAGTATATACATTTCGGCTTCCTTTCTTGTTATAAATAAAACGGCATCGATTTTAAAATCAATATTTTCCCAGCTCTACGAAATAGATAGTTAGGTGACAAATGTAAATGACTTAAAGAGCTAAAAGGATGTTTTTTATGTGGAAATAATACTAAAAATGAGGTAACATAATATAGTACTCAGTCGCACAATCATCGAGCAGCGATCGACGACAGTTATCGACCTTTAATCGGTCTCATATCAATTTTAATTAATTGCTATTTTCGCTTTGCAATCGTTTTCCACACACTTTCGGGGTTTTGTTCAGTTAATTTCTTTTTGTTTGTTTGTTTGTTTATATTGCAATGATTTCAAGACTTGCCTATGAATTAGATTTGTGAGTGGTTCTATTAATTTCTTTCCTAGCCGGGGTTCTAAGGGAGTTAAAGCGCCAAACTGCAAATGCAAAGAGAAAAAGAAACAAGCAACAAATTATTATTTACATACAATCGAAAATCATCAACACATCCTTATCCACAACTAAAACTAAAACTAAAACTAAGGCTATAAACTAAAGCTAAAACTGAACCGAAAACGAAATTTCAACTTAAACGTAAGAGGTAAATATAATAAAAAATTAATAATATCGATAGAAGATTCTCATTTCTCAAAAAACTGGCTGTATTCTTGGCTCTTGGAGTGATTTGTTTGGTCCTTTTTCTTCCGTGACGATGGGGTGCCTACATATGTATATTCATTCAGAGTATCTTCGAGGTCTTGAGTGTTTGCTTTCGTTATTTGATTATTATTTTAGCGAAATTAGAATGTCATAATTAAATTGTTTTCTTCCATTATATCAAGCGAATTATAAGCTATGTTGTAAACACAATAAAAAGCCAAGGGAATACGACGTGGTGAGTACAGTCAAATTGGATTTTAGAGGTTTAAGGTGAATCGAGGTGAGTGTTATTTTGGATTTTGGTGAATAATGAATAAAGACTCTTTAAAAATATCCACAGTATATTTTTTAAATGTAAATTAATAATCTTGCACATGTTTATTAGTTGATTTTGATTCATATTTTTAAGAGTTAAAAGAGTTAAAAACTTGAGAAACATTCAAATAATCGTATTTGAGTGGATATTTTTAAAAGGTTTTATTCATTTGGAAGGATTTGTGTAAGGAACATCATGTGCATCATCATCAACATCATCGGTGTACCAAATATATTGTGTGTCTATTGAAATTGCAATGTCAATTTTGGGTTAATTTCAATACAATTGAATTGATATCAATTACGACGCTCAGATGAGTATAGTGTGGTGGTGTGTGGTAATAAATATGAATTAATATTGAGAGGAGCTTCTACACAGTGATTTGATCTTCACCTCGATAATCAAGTTAAATTAAAACCGAAAAGGGAAAAATTACTAAGGTATTGCTTGCATTTAAACAATCAAAAAATAAAACAACAAAGGATCTAAATAAGATTTTTGTTTAAACAATAATATATAAATTGTAAATAGTAATATGCTTTAGAGTAAAAATTAAAGCGCGTGCTGGTTTTGATGAAATTTCTTTGATTTTAAATTGTCCTTTGTTGGTCTGATGATTAATTAATTAATGAATTAAAGAAAAGCGCGCCGATAAAAACCTGGAAATAATTTCAATTAGGGGCTGAGTCAATTTTCGTCCCAGCGCCGGTTCAATTGTCGTTAGGCTCGCGAACTAAAATTCAGTGTTTGGCATTTCACATTCGGTTTTCATTAGTATTTCGATTGTTTTTATATATTTATATTTTTTGGAATGGTTTTTTTGTTTTGTTTGGAGCGGGAGCAGAGGGAGGAGATGGGGAAGGAGTAGTTGTAGTGTTAATTAACATTTTTTGTTAGACAAGAACAAAAAAGTTCAAGGATTGTCGTATATAAAAGTATATATACAGCAAAATAGAAATCGGCGTTTGTCCGTGAACAAACTTGAAATCAGAATAGTTCACATACTTAAAAAAAAACAGAGAACTTAAGGATTTTAAATCATAATCGTAATAATAATAATCATTGTGGTAAAGGTAAAGCCAAGTGCAATGGAGCAGCACTCACTCACCAGCTTGATGATCTTGATCAGCATCCAATTGTTGGTCGATGTGGTCATCAGTTTGAAGAAGATTGGAGCCAAGGGCAGGTAGTTTTTTGGATTCTTACGCGCTAATTCACAAATAACATTCACAGCGGCGGATTGAACTCCTAGAGTTTGACCAAAAAAACAATAAAAGGTATTAATTCATAATCTCGTTTTTAAATAAATAGTTTGTGTGCGTTAGACCTGGATCTGGATCTTCCAGTTTCTCTTTCAGCTTAGGAAATGCCGGTCTCAAGGCTTCGGGATATCGTAAAAATACTTTATACATCATCAGGACGGCTTTCATGCGCAGATACGGTTTCGTTGAGCTCATCTAAAGGAAAATAAAGCCAATAAGCAAATAAACAAATAATAATACCAAATATTTATCGTGACATACCAGTGTCATAATATCATTTGCCAAATCGCGGGACAGATCGGGTGATATAAAACAGCTTAGGCCGCTCAGCGCTACACCTGCATCGTATTGATTCTGAGAGTTGAGATCCTTGCGTATCATGTTTGTGGTCAGCATTAGCAACTGCAAGAGCAAAACAAGAATATATTAATAAAAACATATTGAATTAATTGAATTGAATATTTTAGAGATTTTTCTCTTGTTATCAAAGGTAAGAACTACACGATAAAAAAACTTAGAAATATAATTCTAGATAATTAGATGCAAGATTTTACCTCGCTGTCAGGATGAAAGCATTGACTGGCCGCCAGGTAACCAATTCGCTTGCAGGTAAATCGGGACGAACTCATCACCTCGATGATGTTGAAGCCGGCCCACGAGATGTCGTAGCCCAGCATTTGTATCTGTTGGAATCGAAATGGAATCAATAAATATTAACACTTTCTGCTGATTTTGTGCAAAGTAAAAGGATGTGTCTGGGTGTGAGTGTATGCAGGAAAAATGCCCAAGGACTCGTTGTTTGCATTTCGTTATTTTGAACCGTACAGTCGAGGGTGAAATAATATTTTCAGAACCATTTTTCTAAACACAAGTTAAATTAAATTAAATTTAACAGATTGCTACTCTTTTTGGATATTTATATTAAATGAATATGTATGTATTAAGTGGCTTTGAATTTAATGGGGTTTCCCTATTATATTAACCACAACTGTGGACACCATTATGTTCTCTTTCCGTTCGCTTGTTAGTTGCTTCGCTGCTTGTTACCGTCACATTCCTGCCGTTGTTTTGTCCTTATTGTCATCGCACTTGCCTTCAAGGGCCCCGACCCCGACCCCTTACCTCAGGCAATTTGCATCAAGTGCAGGAAGCCACTTCGCCGACTTTGAAAGGCGGTTGCAGGCCAGAGATGTCGATATGCCGGAACATGGTAACAAGATGAGCCCTCCTTAAGTCAGTGCCATGTTTGGATTATACGTTAACTCTTCTTGTGGTATTAATTAAGCAAACAAATCCAAAACAACTGTGATAGCTTAAAAGTATAATCTAATATCCCAGATTTGTTTCAGTTTCTGAGGGGCAAGGGAATTTCTAGACTGGATCTTTGGCAGATAAACTTACGTAGGTCAGCTTGGCCACAGCATTGCACTTGACATTAATATTGTCCTGTCGCAGCTCCTGTTTGATCTCCTCGATGCACGTCGATATGTATTTGGCCTGCGAAGAAAGTCGATGTTCATTAAATAAGCCTATATATACTTGTATTATACAGCTAAGGGGGGATGGTGGTGGTAAAATGTGCAATGACAGCGATACCATAAAACAAAACAAATCTGTGAATGGTCCAGAGGCTATCAGTATCATACGCCCCACACAAGCACATTAACATTCTCGGACACAAAATAGCACAGCATATAGTTGGGGTCAATCAAATAGGGAATTCTAGGGAATTAATCCCAACAAAAATATACATTTTTATATGTATATTTAAATTAAAACTTAGGGAGATTTCATAGATAAAAGAGAAAACATTGACTTGAATTTTATGGCTATTTTTAATATTAATTTAATTTTAATTGTAAAGGTTTCATTTATATTCCAGCCCCTGTTAAAATGCTGGCTGCTGGAATTAATGGAAGGCCGTAGAGGCCATCGATGGCCTCTTCCAGCCAGGAACCGTTACTTGATATCCTGCCCGCTGAATGTGAAAAGGAGACGGGACGTGGGTGGGAGAGGGCGAGAAATAAGTCAAACTAGAACACAAGTCAAACATCTGTGTGCCGCCCGCACACAGCTGATAAGGACCAAAAGGCAATCAGCGAGGGAATTTACATGAGTAAATATTTGATAAAACGTGCGTGGCTTGGGCCCAACAACACTTGCAAACACAAGCGCCCCCACCTCTGCCTCTGCCCGCTCTCTTGTCGTGCACTTCTTCTCCAAAATTGACATAAAAGCATTAGCCGCTAATTGAGTGAGCGAGTGTGAGTCGTTGGGGAGCGGAGTTTGAGTGAGCTTAGTTGAGGTCCTTGTTTTGTCGCTTTTCTCATTTTTTTCCTTTTGCATTGTTGGCAGATGCCAACGCACACACACACCCGCACGCGCATACACTTTCACTCACACACGCTCGCACCTAAACACACGCACACAGTCACACAGTCGAAACTCTAACAAAATTCCCTTAATGCAAACGAAATTTGTCAGCCAATTAGTGAGTTCTAATTGGACATACAGCTGGGCGGCGGGGGCGTGGCAGTAGGCACCGGGAGCGGGCGGTATTAGAGGGATGTAGGGAGACCTGACCATTGACACACACGCGCTTACCTCATTATCCTTGTTGTTCCGGATGCCGCGCACCAGATCCGTTAGGTTTTTATCAAACATACGCTCAAAAAAGTTGCCCTTCACTTTCTTCAGTGCCATCTTCGCTGGCGTTTTGTGTTGTTGTTATTGCTGTTCCTTTTGATGTCTTTGCTAGGTTGGCAAACTATGCAGCACCGCGGATTTTCGATTTATTTGCTTTCTGTGCACCGGCAGCAGCAGCACTTGCTTCCGTATATTTTTCTGCTTTGTTTTTCTTTTTTTCTGCACTTGCAAAAGTTGCTGCCAAAAAGAAACATCGATGTAGTGTGACCAGATGACGGCGGTGGCCAAGACACAGTACGACGTCGGCGATACATCGATAGTTGTACACTTCCGCAGTCGATAGTCTAACCACAAGTTTGCCAATCGACTTTAAATTTTCTTCAGAAGCAACAAGTTCTCATTAAACCAGGTGAGATAAAAGTAAAGATGAATTTTAGTGTTCTCCATTGCCATGGAAATGATGAGGAATCGATGTTATTAATAAGCCATTTGCAGATTAACAATTAAGCGTTTATTTCATTAGTTTTCTCAACACTGTAAAAGGCATCCATGCAAAAATCATTTTCATTTAAAAAACCGTAACAATATCTTATTTTAGGTTTTGTCTTTTATTAAATTTTTTGGCAATTGACCAGCGCACTTCGGGGAAAAACGAGTATTAACAACAGTTGCTAGCTAAGCTTTAACGACACTTTTGTTTGTTGAAAATAAATGTGCGTTTTAATACTTGGGTTCTCCCTTAAATCTATTCGAAAAAAATTATAACTTTATGGATTGGGAGATATTTGAGATATCTTTGAGATGGCATTGGAGACCTATAACGTTATTAAACTCCTAGAGACAATTGATCAAAAAGGTTAGGTTGAGTCGATCATGCGATGCTATTCCTTGATTGGATGGATCAGAAGGCGGTTGCTGCAGTTCAACAAAAAGAGATTGCTTTGTCTCATGTGCTCGAACGTTAGAGGCTTGAGAAGATTAGTGTCACGCTTTTTATAGTATTCATTAAAGTCCAGCCGCGTGCCAAAGAGCTGAAGATTGGGATTTACGTGGGAGTTGAGGGTCAGCAGAAAGCCGCTCACGGCCTTCTCGTAAGTGCCAGCAATGTCCTCCAGGGTGCGTCTAGACAAAAGTACCCGTTGCTCAAACAGTTTGCTCTCCTGGTCGCGCTGCAACTTCCGTTCGGCGGTGATACCGAATCGCCCCTTCTTCTCCGACTCCGCCACCATTTTTTCTAGGTCCTCGCGAGCATTTAGCTCCCTAAAGCTGTGGCGGTAGAAGCGAGATTGCCACGTCTCTAGCGCTATAATATTCTCAAAGACCGTTTCCAGATACTTTTCCTTGTCCGTATTCTGTCCATTAAAGCATCCCACCGTTATATCAGCCAAAAACTTTTCGTGGGCTTCCAGGATCTCGTCAAGTGCCGTGGCAGCGATCATTTTTTTCTTCAGCTCCACCCAGTTGCATTCAATCACCTCAAAGAGAATGTAATACTGCATCTGGTGGATGAAGTGCATGATCTCAGAGGTGAATAAATGCAACCGGTGTGTCGTCCTGCCAATCACTGGGTTTAACAAACGTAGCTTCTGTAAAGAGTGACATAAATCATAAATTAGTTTGGACCATTTTAAGCTTTTAAATTTATAATAGTAAATTTGAATGTTTTTAACGGATCGATTATTTCTAACGATAATATGGCAACCCTAATGCACTCGATTGCCAGACAATCAAGAGCCCGTTGGCTATCGACTATCGAGTGGGGCTTTGTTTACACAATTTAACCCGTGGACCGGATTCTCGTTATCTTCCGCGTTTTAAGTGTCTAATCACTACGGCGAAGTTTAAAAACAGCGTTGTCAGAGATGTCCCTTTCGATTTTCAAAGACCTGCCGGCGGAGCATCCGCGCCACCTGATTCCCTCACTCTGCAGGCAGTTCTACCATTTGGGATGGGTCACCGGCACCGGCGGCGGAATGAGCATCAAATTCAAGTGGGGTGGCGAAGTGAACTTATCTCCTATGGGTGTCTGATAATCAATTATTCAAATGGCTTTTCCTTTGCAGTGATGAGATCTACATAGCGCCGTCGGGCGTGCAGAAAGAGCGTATGCAGCCGGAGGATCTATTTGTGCAGGATATAACCGGCAAGGACATTCAACTGCCGCCGGAGATCAAGGGTCTGAAGAAAAGCCAATGCACGCCGCTATTCATGCTGGCATACCAGCATCGCAACGCCGGCGCCGTCATCCACACGCATTCCCAGCACGCCGTAATGGCCTCGCTCCTGTGGGGCGGCAAAACCTTCCGCTGCACACACTTGGAGATGATCAAGGGCGTCTACGATGAGGCGGAGAAGCGCTATTTGCGCTACGACGAAGAACTGGTCGTGCCCATTATCGAGAACACGCCCTTTGAGCGTGACCTAGCTGATAGCATGTATGCCGCTATGATGGAGTATCCGGGCTGCAGTGCCGTCTTGGTCCGACGCCATGGCGTTTACGTTTGGGGACAGACCTGGGAGCAGGCAAAGACTATGTGCGTTGGCGCTCCATTGAAGCTAACCTAACCTAATAACCATATGTAATCGAATTTCTTGCTTTGTTGTGTCGTTATAACAGGGCCGAGTGCTACGACTATCTGTTCTCCATTGCCGTGGAAATGACAAAGGCCGGAATCGATCCGCGGAAGTTCGAGAGCTCGTAGGAAACTGGAGGTGGCACTTTGAAAAATAAATAAACCATTTAAACAACCAATTCACCGGAAATACAGTTTAAGATTGATTAGACTACCCTTTAACTCTGAATTGAAAGGGGAAATCTTGAAACCCTTAACCAATTATTTGAAAAAATATCTAAGACGGAAGGTGCTTATAGTTTTGAAGAATTCAGACAAATATTCGTTTTGATTATGACCCGCAATTATTTAATGTTTGTCGTTTAAATTACTTTCCTTATGATAATAGCTTTTAGAAGCTAATTCCTAGGAGCTTCGGGCGGTTTGCCGTATAAATGTTTCTTGAATGGGGCTGTGAGGTGGCATATTTTGGAAGGTAAAATAATCTAGAGACACTTGAAGCCTTATCGCTGGTTTTATGGACATTTCAAACTCTGCGCACTTTGCACTAAAATTTGGACTAGGAGCGTGGTAACAGCCATGACCAACAGCTGATAACCGCTGTTAAAGGTCCATGTTAAGAGTAGAATGTTAATGTTAAAGTCTAAACTCCACACACCTGCTACAGTGGTTGCAGTTTTACAAAACATGTTTTCGATTTTGCTTTATAGTAATACCGGTCTAGAACTTGTAAGTTAATAAGTAAAATGTTATAGATTTGTAAATGTAAAATTTGGGAAATATATTAATGAACTGTTTCTAAAAAGCTGTAAATAAATAATATATCTTCTTTAAATGTTGTCCCCCTTTCTACTGTTTCGCCCCCACTGTGCATCTGCCGGCTAACATTTGTGCGAAGAAGAGAGCACATCACACCACCTACTCACCAGCGCATACGCAATCTCAACGAGTGCAAGAGAGTGAGCAGGAGAACACCGGCCGGCTGTATTGCCATCTCGCCCTGACGGCGGCAGAGGGTGAGAGTGGAAAAAAAGGCGACAATAAAATCGGCTATTGCACGCTGCCTGCTCATTACTTCGCGTTCTCCGCTCCAAGCGTAAGCTTTTTCCTCACTGGCGAAGAGCCCCCACTCAATTTTCCTTTTTTTCTTATACCCGGAAAAACATACAGAAAACATCACACACATACAGCAACCATGTCTCTACAGTCGGACGCCGTTTTCCAAAAGATCATCGATGGCCTGAAGGAGAACGAGGCCAAGGCCAAGGCGGTCAACGGTGTGTTCCTGTACAAAATCACCAAGGACGGCAAGGTGGCCAAGGAGTGGAGTAAGTACTAATAGTAACCCCTAAGGCGCACCCCTCCGTACGTGGCCTTTGGGTATACATATGGAAGTGTGTGTGCGGCCACCACTTGTAAGCAGTTAGCAGCAGTTCAAAGTGCAGAGTTTTTTCCTGGCTCTGGTTGTACTTTGATACTTCCACAGCTGTTAACATTAACATATATTTTTTATGCGATGTTCTTTCGATCGACGAAAGTCTATTAAAGCCAAGAAACCGATAACGGTGAATCCTACTTTTAGTTGTGCCCAGAAATATTCCAACTAACATGAATTCCCCTCTTTAACTTACAGCCCTGGACTGCAAGAGCGCCAAGGCGTACGAGGGACCCGCCCAGGGCGTCAAGGTCGACACCACTCTGACCGTGGCCGATGAGGATATGGTTGACATTGCTCTGGGCAAGCTCAATCCCCAGGCTGCTTTCATGAAGGGCAAACTGAAGATTGCTGGCAACATTATGCTTACCCAGAAGCTGGCGCCGCTCCTCAAGACCGATGCGAAATTGTAAGGAGCTAACGAGACGGAGGAGGAGGAGGAGCAACAGGAGCAGCCCGCACAACATTCCTCAGCAAAAATTAGTGTGTGTGTGTGTTCAATATGAATAATTTTTTTTTCTGTGCATGTTGTGTGTGCATTCTCGTGTAATCTGTATTCGTGTTTTTGTTTCACTACATAATTAATTTACTAATGTTATTTTTGTACGGGAGAAATCGTGGACAAAGAAAAACTATAAAATAATACATAAGGCGAACTATCGAACAATATATTCTTCGTTGTGCACTTTGATACTACGGCTGGCGTATATCACCAAGTGGGTTAATCTTAATGGATTAGATTGAGACTAATCTTATCTTCGATTGATTCTCAAAGAAACTAAAGAAAACTACTTCGACTTCCTTTTAAGTTTCAGCTTATTGTTAAGCAAATAATACATCATGAAACTAAAGGCGCAGATTGTGACATACTTGGAAAAATCTTTCTTATTAGAAAGGCATTGAAGTTGGTAACCCTGGCTTTGTATACGACTGGAATAATTGAGAAGATAAGTTAAAAACCTGCATCAGATGATCAAAAATTAAGCACGACCCTCAGCTACGGTTATCTGTACCCGGCGGATGCACTCGAAGCGAGCACCGTATCATTGATAAGGGAGAAATAATAACAGAAGGCAAAAAGAACAACAAACTCACCTTGGCGTTGCACATCTGCGTCTTCCATATCTTCATGGAGAGCACAAATTCAATGTGCTTCAGGCGCCACAACGGCTTAAAGATCGTCTTGTATATGGGCATCGTTGGTTCCAGCATAGTGGCCAGTGGTCCATGTACAGTGTACTGCAACGAGATGATGTCCCAGCCGCAGTCCCCGGGAAATGGCGGTTGCAAAACTACATCCAAATGGTTAAGTATCTCGGGATCTTCATGGTGGGCATTCTCACAGCGCAGGGCGGCATCCAACATGGCAGATAGATCGTGAGCGTAGATATCAGTGCCCTTGCGCTCCAGTTCGTCTCTGCAAGATAAAATGATGTTTAAGGTATCCTTTGGTGGGATAAGCTAAGTCTTACTTCATGTGCTGAATGAGGATGCTGACAAAGTCACCTTGTCCCAGCAACAGATACCGACGCATTCCGTACAGGTGATCTAGCAGCTTATGCGGACCCACCATGATGTCCAGGACATGCTTGGAGGTCTGTGCGTAGCACATTTCCACAGCGGCATGCCAAGTAGTGTCTTGCACGTACGAAAATATTTGGCTAGCTGTTGAGATATGGGTTTATGCATTTAGGTAATATTGGTACATTAGATATAATGTGTTAGCACTCACTATTTCTGTCCATGGCATCTTTGAGTCTGTCTCGGTTCGCGCCCAGATCGTTCATCTCGCACACCTCCCTCAGAAAGTTGATGCTCTTGCCGGTCTTAAGAATTCTATCGGCCAGATCCAAAGGCACGAACTTGGGCAGCATTGATTTGCGCAGACGAAACTTGTCGTGCCAAAGGCGATCCGCGCCAACGTCATGAAGAATTTCCACGAAGAACTCGCCGTGGAGATCGGTTACGCCACCTTCAAGCATCCACTTCGAGATCATGCCACCAAGTGGTACACAGATAGCAGCGAGGAGATCGCGGACCAAATCGTTCACCATCGGATTCCCATTGTCCAGCATATTGTACAAGGTGGAGGCCAGCTCGCCACCCTTCATCATCTGGCACTTGTCGGCGACTTTAGCCAGCCACTGCATGCGCTGCAGGGGCTTCACATACCAGCTAAGCAGCCCCATCAGCTTCTTTTTATCGGCACTAGGCGCAACATTGTCCTGGGACGATGACTCTAAGACATTCAACTGGTCGACGAGCACAGTGACCTCGCCTCGGAAGCCAACCAGTTCTGTCCGGAGCTTGCATATGAGGGCTTGGCCCATGATTCCAATGGGATTGTATCCGGTTGTCGGGTCCGCAACCTTGGCCACACGATCATAATAGTAGCCCAGCTCAGACAGTCGAAGGAGCATGCTGGTCTCTGCTTTGGTCAGCGCCTTGGTGTTCATTGGGTCCAGTTTGAAGTAGCCGGTGATGATGTCCTTCTTTAAATGTTTCCCCTGGATGCCAATGAAGGAGTAAAGGGCACTCAGCGACATACTCATACGATGAACATCCTTCTTTTTCGTGTGTGTGTCTATGCAACTCTCCGCGGGTGCCCGACTCAAAGTTGTACTCGCCAATTCTTGGCTGAAGCCATTATGACACGACGAGCTGCGACTGTGAGAACTGGGTAGTCGAGAGAGGTAATCGCCACCACCACCTGAGAGTGTCATCTCCGAAGAATAAATGGGTTCTGGCTCTGGCTGCAATGACTTGTCTGCCAAGGAGAGAAGATGGCTCATCAGTGAGTGACGAAGCTGGGGATTGATTTTCAGCAAAAGAAGCTTATTGTAATGTATGGAAAAAAGACTGGCTGCGTTGTTGTGTCCTGCCTCACGGGACCGCAGAATCCTTAGTATCTTCTGGACACAATCGCGTTCGTTGAACGGCACTGGAGGATTTGAAGGATCGGATAAGAAGCAAGCAGCACGAGCCATAATGTCTCCTGTGAGATGATAGATAATAATATAAAGGATTTATTTTTTATTATTATATTTGTACGTTATCATGGAAAATATTCAAAAAATAATGAAATCACCATGAGAGATAGAGAGGTTTTGTTACTATTTCCCATTGATTCATTGTTTCAATTAAAAATATATATTTATTGATATTTAATTATTGAAAACTTTAAAACCATACCCTTGATTTAAATAAAAGAATTATTTTTCTAACATTAAAATTTAATTGGAAACTTACCCTGAAGTTCGGAAGACTTTCCACCCTGAACGCAGATGATCAAATCCTTAACAACGTTCATAACTTGACTGGGGTAAAGCGTTGTACCAATCGGACCCATTTTGTGCTGAAAATGTCCAGGGATTGTGGAAAATTGAGTACGTCGTTGAATCCGGGGATCCAAAGACGCGCGCAAAAGTCGTTTCGCTGCCTATTTTGTTGGCGTCCAAATATGCAAGGCAAATCCAGTGCCAAGGAACAACTGCTTGATAAATATATGACCCCCCACGCTTGCCGGTCGGGGTTTGGATAACGATGGACTGCACTAGCTGGCGGTGCCGGAAATGGTCTCATGAAATACACTAACGAGGAATACGAGGGGCGCGTAATTTCGGTAAAATGTAAAAAATTATCAAAAATAAACGAAAGACGAAACTTAGTGTGGCCGCATATGTGTAATGGTATAATACCAAAACCAGGTGCATAACTATATAGAAACCACGATATTTATGGTGAATAGCGTGTGCCAATTTATTTTATTGAAAAATTATTTGAAACATTTTTACATTGCTGGAAATGGTATCGAATTAGCAACACTTGGAAAATAAAAAAAATAAGAAATATAAAAGTATTTAATACGATATATCGATGCATCCAACCAACAGCAGTTTACCAACACTGAGTTGCGAATCAGTCTGGTAGCGTTGATCCAGTTCATTTGTATTTTTTTGAATCCAACTGAAGAAATTTCCGATTGGAAGTGCGCCTCCCGGTACCCGGTCGTCAGTATTTGTTTATTTGCGCTCTATAAAAAGCGGCATGCCGAGAAAGTTAATCGTAAACTATCACTGGCAGTACAAGGTATTTACATACTAGGCAACCGAATGCCTGCGTCTATGGGAATATGTGTGGTATGCAAGGAGGAGACATTGTTGGGGCTGCAACCAAAACAACAACCGCAGAAGCAACAGCACCAGCAACAACAACAACAACAAGCTATTGCCGACAACAGCCTTCCAGCGTCCAGTCTCGAGATCGTGGAATGCGGCTCAGCAAGTTGGAGTGAAGCCGTTGCCACCATAGATATTGTTGCTGTTGCTGCTAAAGTTGTTGTAGCGTTGCCTTTGCCCGCGTACGAAGAAGGAGCAGCAGCATCGAGAGGCGCGCGCGTGTGTTTGTGTGTTGATCAGGTTTGAGAGGCACAGTGGGTCGATTTGAGGCAGTGCTCACAAGTCCTTCAACTATTTACCCAATTCTGGTAAGGTTGAATTTCCTAATTCGGAAAGGCAAGCAATTAATTTTTGTTTTGTAAATGTGAGCTTTAATTAGAAACCAAATCTAACGCTTTGAGATGCTAACCGGTATTGCCCTTAATTGGTCAAAAAGTCTTATACGACTATCAGAAAAAGAACAACAAAAAAATAACGTTAGTTTTGAGCCCTTCGGCTCCACGGTGGCAAGCGGAGTTCAAAATTGGCTCGTTCCACAGCTCACCTGTCCGTGTGCGCGCAGTCTGTGTGTATGTGAGCGAGAGAGAGAGAGAGAGAGAGAGGGAAACGGAGACATTCCGTTCACTTGTTATACCCGGCAACTATAGGGTGCCAAGGGTATTATAGTTTGGTGCCAACCAGGCAAAAGGACTTCATAAGGTGTATACGATTTAGCCAAGTCCAGCTCTATGTCTGTCCGTGCGATTACCTATGAGATCACAAGACTATAAAAGCTACAAAATATGGTAACAAAAAACAAAAGACTCTGAAAAAGGTGTCTTCCTTTAGGGGTACCGGGTATCTTACAGTCGAATACTCTCCAACTATAGCTTTCTTACTTGCTAACTGGTTGCTGGTGCTGTGCGAATAGCCACCATCGCATCGCTGCCGGCGACTAGAACCGCTGCTGGAATGGAGTGGTGGTGGCAGTGGCAGTGGCAGTATCAGCGGAGTGCCGCGGATCCGATCCGATCGCAGTCGTGGTTTGTCACTCTATCGGTCACCGCGTCGTCTCGTTCACTTGTCGTCCTCTTGCGCTCTCTTCAGCGATCTCTCGGATCGATTCGGTTCGAGGAATAGGCTCCGGATTCTCCGGCATGCAGCCAGCATCCACAATAGCCAAGGCAATTAATTGGAGTGATACGGCGCCACCTCCGCACCACAGTGATGATGGTCATGTAAAGGTCAGGGGTCAGAAGCGGAAATTGAATTAGCCAAAAAGGAACGCGGAACGCGGAGGTAAACTCGTTTTACAACCTGCCAAATTGCATTAAGACCCTCGATTATCGCCGTTTTTGGTAGCGTTTCGTGTTTATTTATTAATTTTTGTTTTGTGCTTGTAATATTTGTTTTTCTGTGTTGTATTCTTTTTGTTTTGTGGCTTGTCAGCGAAAAATAACCAGGCGGAGAGTTCCAACGAATTTCGGATTCGAGACCCTGGGAACCCAAACTTTAAAGTTTAAACTTTATACCCAAAACCAGAAACAGATGTTCAGTCCTTGGAATTGCATATAGAATATTATTTTGATATCTCTAGGGAGTGTGCACCTGAGGTTCTTCGGTCTAAGATAACAGATCTGTGTGTAATTAAGCTCAATTTATAAGAATTTATTTATTTATTTGTTAGAAGACAAGGGCAATAACGAATTCTCATCAGTGCTATATTTCTTCAACATTTTCGTATAAATATATTTAAATAGTTTAAAAGCTTTACTTGATTTCTTGCACTGTGCATTTCTATCACTCATAAGATGTGAGTATTCTCACTCCTCACTCTCGCCAGCGTGCGAACCTTGAGTTTTCCCGCTTTTGCTTTTACAGCTCGATGGTGAAAAGTTCTCCGCCATCCGCTAATTACCGCATAATTTGTGGGAAAGTCTTGCACATGCGCAGCGTCTATCTATCGTGGCTGCAGTAAGCATTAGCCGCAGGTGAAACGAAAGTGCCCTGGGCTCAGATTGCAGCTTAGCTCCATGGTCAGTTGCCGTTACATCTTACCAACCATCTCTCTCAGGTCTTCGAGCTCCCAAAGAGATATAATAGCTTTATGCATTACGACCGGATCAATGTATGGATCTGTCTTAAAGAAAATTATAAAAATCAATTCAAATTACTAAATACTCCTTAATACTTTTATTGATACCATGATCTGATAGAAGGATTAAAGGAATTGTCTTTTCTAGCTTTGTAATACCATTTTAATAGATCGTTTTCTCTTCTAACTACTTTCAGGCTGATTAATTCTGGTTTTGCAATTGGTCCTTGCCACTGCCGTGTCCACAATGTGAGGCAAGTGTAGCGGCCAAAACGCTGGAAATGCTGAAGCACGCCTCGAATGCGAGCAGTGCCGCTGCGACAGCCACCGCCATTGCCGTCCCCGTATCCGTACCGCCCACCGTATCCGCATCCGGAGGCGCTCCCCTTGGCAGCAGCGGAGGCGCCGGCGGCCAGCTGCTGCGCACCGCCAGCGTTATCGTTGCCAACAGCAGCAGCAGCACCAACAATATCAGTTGCAATGGGAACAGCAACAGTAATAGCAATGGCAGTGGCAGCGGCCACAACACACCCCCGGTTGCATTGGCTGGAACGGGAGCGGGAGCGGGAGCAGCAGCAGGAGCGTCAACAGGAACAGGTGCAACCACCACCAACGGCGGCAGTGGCGGTTCACCGACGCCAGCAGCAGCTGCCGTGGCCAGCACTGCGCGCAATATTCACCTGCGGCCGCCGCAACCGCAGCCGTTGAACATATCCGCCCTGAATGCCTCTGCCGCTAGCACGAGCACGCTGCTCAATGGCGGCGCACGTGTGGCCAATGGCTCAACGCTGCTAAACATTGCCACCCCGATCACGCCGCTCAAGCCGCTGACACCGCTCACGCCGCTTACACCCAACGGGCACTGCCTGGGCAATGGAAGCGTTCACCATCACACCTACACCAATCAGCACATCCTGGCCAGCAGCCAACAGCAGCAGCAGCAGCAGGCGATGCATCAGCCTATGCACCAGCATTATCACCAACCACAAACTCAATCGCAGCACCAGCAGCAGCAGCAGCAGTCCCAGGTACCCCTACAGATGCAGCAGTCACAAACACAGGCGCACCACCTGAGCAGCAGTCAAGTGCCGCACAATTACAGTCACTGCAACAACCTCACCGCCAACTCTGTGTTCCACAAGCTGACCAAGCCGGGACCTTCGCCCCGTGAAGCCCTCACCAGCCTGGGCTTGCTTTGCCTGAGTAAGCGGTTTATCCTTTACTGCGAAGATCACTAAATAATCCCTGTGTCTGTATTTGTAGTTTCCCTATTACTTGCGTTGCTTTCACTGATCTTCCTGCTGAGGATCTCTCCGACGGGACGAGAGGACGCCGTGGGACGCGGCGGTCCAAGCAGCGAGGACTTCATCCTGGTCTACGATGTCACATTGGCTCTGGGTGCGCTCTCGCTGTCGCTGAACCTGTGCTGTCTGCTGGTCTGCGCCATTCAGTTTCTGTTCGCGGTAAAGCTGCGGGCGCCAGCCTTCGAGGGCCGCGAGAACCAGTACCTGGCGAAGTCCAGTGTTAGCCGGACGTGCGCCGTTAGCGGCTTCTTCATCTCCATACCGGTATTCCTTACCGGACTCATCCTGTACACCTTTAGCCACTTTCATTCCACGCCTGCGATCGTTACCAGTATACTGATTGGCGTGGGCATCGTCTTCTGTGGCGGCGCCATGGTGCACAACGTCTTTGTCTGGCAGCACGAGAAGACAATCAGTTATCGCAGCGCTCCGTTGGGTCTGTCCCAGCTTCTGACGCCTCTGCCGCCGGCCGCTTCTGTGCCGCCCCTGTCGCACAACCTGTCCCTGCTCTCGGCTGCTCAGCTGCCGGTGCCGTTGCCTGTGCCACTACCACTGCCGCTGCCGCCGGCGAATGCGTACCACACGGCCTCGCCGCCGGTACAACAACCGCAGCTGTACCAGGGCCATCACGCTTGCCTGCTGCAGCCGCCGTCCGTGACTCCAGTATCCCCCAATCACTCGCACGGCAGCTTCAATCCGTTGCTTAGCGGCAATCTCCTGTCCAGTGGTGGCGGTGGTGCCGTCAACTCATCATTCCTTGTGCGTCCAGCTACGGCAACGCCGCCGACACCGAGGCCAGGGAATAGCAGCTGCCTGACGACGGCAGCAGCGGCTGTAGGACGCGACGCCTGCGGTTCGGTCAGTCCTGGCATACCGCCCACGTTGGACATGAGCAACATGACCATTTCACTGCACGAGCTCTCCACGCTCGTATAAATTAGGGCATAGCATAAGCATTACCATAGACGAGAAAGCCACCGCGCCACCCCCATCTTGCCGAACTTAGTCCATAAGGAACGAACGCCTATTGTAAATATCTGTACAAAGTATAAATTAACCGCATCGAAAGTAAAGCTAGCCTATATCTGATATATAATGGAATTAACTATTCATAAGGACTTTTTTTCATGGGCACTTCATCTAAGGGCTGTATGCCCAATTCAGCGAAGGAACAACTGAGGAGCAGAGCAGAAAGAGAGATTTGTCGTACATACCTCCAATCAGTTCGGAATGAAAGTTGTACCCTTTTCAGGACCATAAGTATCCAAGTAAGGAGAGGAAGGAGAGTCCATAAGTGGTGATATTAATTTTCGTTTCCTCTTGTAATTCTCTGCGCCTATCCACATGTTCCTTCCTTGTTTCCTGGCAAATGTGCCATTGCTCGCGATCTTAATTATTTATTATGAAGGTAATGTCCAGAAGTTTTCATTTCAATTAACGATTTTTTTTAAGAACTCATAACTCAAACGGCTCAATTCAATTTGGAACAAAATAAACATAAAAGTGAACTAGTATTCATTACAGCTTCTGCTACTTCTTGGGTCGTCCGCGCTTCTTTGGCGGTACATGGGCCTCGTTGCTACCTGTGTGTGAAAGGTATTATTATTATTTATTAGTGGCAATCCTAAACTGGTGCTAGTCTTGGTCGTGGTCTTAACTTACCCTCATTGGGTGTGGGCGTACGTGACACTCTCTCCGAAGTTCGTGAAAGTGGCCGGGCATTGGGCTCGGTTGAGGCAGGACGTTGGCGCGAACGCAATTCACGGGTTTGGTTGAGTGAAGTGATGGAGCCGGTTTCGCTCAGTTCGGAGGTCTGGCGTCTGACGGTGCGACGAAGACGAGGCTGCTCGGACTCGGACGGGCTCGGAGACACACCCGGTGATATATCAGAGCTATTCTTGCGCGAGCGCGTCTTTAGTGTGCGCACGGCCTTCGGCTCAACCGTGGGCTTCGTGGGTGTCTGTGTTGGCGACTTGCTGTAGCCGCGAGTGGAACGCAAGGGGGTAATCGGGGGCTCACTGTTCCCGCGCAAGGAACGGCGGGGCCTTTGACTTTCGACGGATAGGGGGGCCAGCGAGGTGGCACGCCTGCTGTTTGAGAGCTCTATTGTGGGCGTGTCTGGATCCGTGTCCACTGTGCTGAGGCGGGAGCGCGAGCGGGTGCGTGCCGATGAGTTCAAGGAAACCTGTTCGTCGATAACCTCGAGCAGAGCCTTGTGCTTCACGGTGCGTCGCTTGGGCGTGGTTGCGGCAGGCGCTCCTCCGCTGTCGTCGCTACGCAGACGCATTCTGCGAACGATAGGACTGTCCTGGTGGGGTTCCGCAGAGTTGCGGCGTGGACGCAGCGAGCGGCGTGGTATGCTCTCTGATGTAACCGCTGCCACCTCTTCGTCCGCCTCCTCCTCGGAGAAGGCCAGTGTGAGGCTCTGACGAGAGTCCTCGTCCTGGGCTGGACTGATGTTGTGTTCGGCTGTTGCTTGTTCTTCATGCTGTTCCTTATGCTCCATTTCTGATTCTACTACTTCATCTTTAAGACCATGATCTACGCCAGTCATTGGATCATCTGCTATCAGAATTTCCTCCTGCTGCTGCTGCTGCTCCAGCAATTGCGACTGCGGCTGCTGCTCATTCTCCTCATCGCTGTCCAGCTCAATGATATCGGCCACCACAGAATCACTATTAACAGTGGCGCCGAGTGAGAGCGACGGACACGGGCCCGGGGCCGCCTCATCCGCGCACTCGTCCTTGAAGGCAAAGAGCTCGGCGCTGCTGCAGGCCGTTGCCTGCTGCGGACGAGCAACGTAGCCGCGCACTTCAGTTCCGTCCAATGCAATTACACAGTCGTCTTCGTCGTCCTCTTCCTCCTCCTCTAGCGAGCCCTTTGTGGTGTCCAGGTCGTCTACAGTCTCCAGGCTATTGGCCCGGTACAGGGAGCGCGGTGATCCATCTCCGCCAGGATCACGCGAGGCACGGGGACTTGATGTCTGCGATACATTGGTATCGCTCGGCAGGAATGTGCCCTCCGGCGTGTGCGTTACCGAACGTGACGTAGTAATGGAACCGGTTGATTCCTCATCGTTGGAGGACACTAGTTCGACCTCTGGCCGTTGTTGGCGCATCTCTGGCGGGGATAGTTCAGAGTGTCCGCTGCTCGAGCTGCGTGTGGGCGATGGCTCAGGCCCCTGGACGGATGCCTGAGGGGCGGCCCCGAAGTACGTCATTTGCTGGTAGCCTGGCTCTGAGCGCGCTGTCACCTCTACTTCATCCTGTGGCTCCAGACGCTCCTCATTACTATCTTCCTGTTCCTCCGGTTTCTCGCTCGGTTTTGATTCCTCATCGTTGGAGGACACCAGTTCTCTTTCGGAGCAGGTCGTGCTGCGTTTTGATGAGTTTCCCAATCCCGACCCTGACGGCGGCTCTTGAACGCTTTGCCTAAAAAAGGGATTTAGCACTACATCGTTTTCTGATTCTTCATCGGTGGGTGACACCGTCTTGGCATCTTGCATCTCTGGGAAGGATAGCTTCGAGGAGGTTCCGCTGCTTGAGCTGCGTATGGGGGATGTTGAAGACTTCTGGACGTGTGACTGTGCCAGCTCAGTAAGATCATCCTGATCCTGATCCAGTTCGCCGTGCTTTGAGGAGGATCCGCTGCTTGAGCTGCGTATGGGCGGTGATGGAGGCTTCTGGATCTGGGACTGTGCCTTTTGCTGCTTTTCTTCCTCATCCTCCTCCTCCTCTCCTTCCTCTTGTCTTAACCTTTCTGTCAGCTTATCAGAAAGGTCCTCCTCATCCTGATCCAGTTCGCCGCGTTGCTCCAACGAAGTTGCGTCGTAGGTGGACATGTCCAGCGTGGTGTCTAGCATCCGTCGTGTCTGACCGCTCAGCCGCGCCGTCGGCATGGACCATAGTGAACTGTTTGTTACAACCATGGAGGTTACTAGATCAGTGGACTCCATGTCGCCGCAAATGGTGGTCCGCTCGGAGATCTTGGCCATGGAGCTGCCAGTTGAGAGGACCTGCGACTGCGTCTCGTACATCTTCGACGAGCACACGGTGGGCACGAACTGCGAGTGCGACGTCGTCTGTGCTGGCTGGACCGTGGCAAAGCTACCGAAGCCACTGCTACTCTCGCTTCCGGTGACGCTCCCAATCCCAGTACTGCCCTGGAGCAGTGAGCCGCGTGGCTGTGGTCCAGCGGGCGGTGCCATTAATGGTGGGGATAGCTTCGTCTTTGCTGGCTCCGCCGCGCTGCTTAGATGGCTCACACGGGACACCGTAGTGGTGGGAAGCGGCGAAAGGAAAACCTCCTCCTCGTCGGACTCGGCACTGTAGGCACTACGTGGCTCGCTGTGCGACTCGATCTCCATAATGATCTCGTCAGTCTCCTCCTCCTCCTCTGCCTCTTCCGTTCCCTCGTTTTCATCGATTGCATCCTCACCACCGCTCTCCATCTGCGAGTTGCTGTCCATATAAAGCGGAGTGGGCGGCTGGAAGCGGAAGCACTTGGGCTGCGACAGTGACGTAGATGTGGCCGAGGGCGGAGTACCAGCAACCACTGCCTCCACAACGGGGCGCCGCTTCAAGATAGTGGGCATCTTCACGGATGAACAAGTATTGGGATTTGTCAGCGTTGGCTGCTTGCGTGGCTGAAGGAAGGCCGGCGGCTCCACCAGATCGCTAGCCTGGTACTGACTTCGCTCTTGTTCCGGCTGCTGACTCCGCAGGTTGTTCACTTGGCTGCGAATATTATCCATCAACTCCTCGGCCTGCAGTCGACGACGCTTGCGCGGCTGCACAATGTTCGTCGCTTCCCTATCGCGCTCCTCCTGCTCGCGTTGACGCTTTTCCACTACCTTGTGGAGCACAGGAACCACCACCCGGAGGGGCTGCGGCGGTTTCGCAAAGCCGTACCGTTCGGTCCGCAGAAAAGGAATGTTGCCGTTGATCCGCATCGGATGCGGCAGACTGTCGTCACACATTTCGCTGTTTTCGGCCCACAGGGCACTCATGGCGCAACTTTGAAAGATGCCACCCAGCTGACCCCTGACATTCTGCCTGGCCAGCTGCCAGCTGAGGGGCAGACGGTGCTCGGCATTCGGGCCATCGGCCAAGTCATCGTCCATTTTGCCGCGAATGCGGAAATAGGTGCCGGCTATATTCTGTGTCACTGGCGTCATCGTCGATCGGTACGCTGCCATAATGCTGGAGGCATCATCATTAGCACGCTGGCGCTGGGCGGCCACATCGTCCATGAAATTGGCGGCCTCAATATATTTGCTCTTTAGCAGAAGCAGAATTAGTTGCACCCTCTCCGTATCGGGTGAGGGATTCTCCTGCAGCAGACGGTTAACCATCTGCTCCTCCTCATCGGTCAGGCAGAGTTCGGCGAGCACCTTGAAACGCCTGTTCTCAATGCAGTGGCGGAAGAAGTGCTCCACCAGACATTTCCCCTTCTCGTCCAGTGAGGTCCGAGCGTAGTCAAAGGCCTCGGGCACACAATTGTTCACCAGGAGAACTTCCAAATGCAAGGTCTTTTTCATCGCACCGGGCGGTCGGCTCACAACGCGCATTGCTGCTTTATTATCTCCGGCCTCCAGCAGGGATTCCACCAGCAATCCAGTCTCCCACGCCAAAAAGTCTCTGGGTGAAGTGGTATGATTGTCGTATAACGCCGCCAATGATTTCTAGAATTGAAGGTGGGGAATTCCCTAAGCAAGAGAAATCAGGTAAAGCGAGAGAGAACTCACCTTGTAGTCGCCACGATCCAGCCACCAGAAGCAATTCACCATCCTGGCATTCGGTTCGTGCATATGAAAGTCCTTCGGAAAGGTCTTGGCAAGCTCCTGGTCTAGATCCAGCAACATATACAGAAGCAATTTGTGCTTACACTCTAGATCCGTGTCCGGATCGAGCATTACGTGAAGAAGGGCGTGCAGCGAGTCCGGCGGATAAGCTTCGACCATGTTCGTCTCCTTCGTCAGTGAATCGATATAGAGTCGCCTTCGCTTTGTGCGCCTCTCCGCGTAAGAACGTCGCAGTGCAACCAGAGGCTGCTGCTGTTGCTCCCCGCCATGTGGTTCGTGCTGCCCCTCTGGCAGAAGGCCCTCATCGATGAACCAGTAGAGCACCTTCTGGTACTCGTTCACAGTCTGCAAAGCACGCTCGTTGCTCTTCAGGGTTTGCAGGAGTTCGGACGTCAGACTACGTCGGCCGAGCGTAAGGACATGCGACTGCAGTCGTACCAACTCGGACATCTGTCCGGAAAGTGCCACAAACTCGCGCCGCTCACGCTCGTCTAACGAGTATCCGCCATAGTCGAAGACGCCCTGGCAGAGTTCCGAAATCCGCTTTTTGATATGACCAGCACGCCGCAATATCCAGTTGGTCAGGGTGGAGAGAGAAAGCTCGGTTGGGTCCAGCATGTTGCACAAGAAGCTGCCGTCCAGCCAGCTGCTGGCACAGTCCTCCAGCAGGGCGGTGCAGTTGTGTTCTAAGGCCACCGACAGGATGACCTCGTACATGGCACTCTACGAAAAAAAAAAACCGTAGATGTTAGTTTAAATATGAGACTACTAATACCACTCGATCGCTTTCATACCTTGGAGAATGTGGCGTCAACGTTCAGCTCGCAAAACTGCGGCAGGAGCCGCAGGCGTACGATGTTTGCGTGACAGGGCTGTGGGCGAAGGAACAGTGTAGCCCGTTCTTTGCGAAGAGCTTCTAGGAAGCGACGGTGTACCCCATCGTGGGCGTAGTATTGAGAGGCGGTTGTCGTCAGAAGTGTGCAATCTAGGACAAGGGGACTTGTGATTTGTCTCTTTTGAAAAAGAGGCAGCGGAGGCTCTTACCGAAGGTCAGGGAATTGGGATAGAAATGCTCCTCGTAGCGCTGCAGCGCAACAAAGTGAAGGATGCTGGTGGGCCGCAATAGCAGGGCCAGGCCTGTGGGCAAGCCCTTAAGTATATAGCCGGCGAGGTAATTAGGCTTATCGTATCCCCGAATGCCTTCCGGCATCTCATCCTTGTACCACTGGTTCATGTCGAACAAGACGAGCTTGTTCTTGCGCTCAGTGTCCGAGCGCCAGGATAGGATGGCTAACAAGGTGCCGTTATCGCCGGCAAAGCTGAACGTGGAAGCCGTGCTGCAGCCCGTCACGGTGCAGCTGCCAATATCAAGGACCTGCTGATTGCGCACCGAGCATGCATAGAATTGCTGCAAACCAAGAACGGATTGGTTACGCCCGTCTACAAAGCAGTGCTCTTAGACTCACCTGGAAGTGGTACCCGTCGCCGACTTGCTTCATGGACGAGTAGTTGACCGAGTGCAGCAGCATGCTGAGGCGATCGGGGGTCTTGTACATGGCACAGATGTAGAAGCATGGCTTGGGGTCGTCCGGAGGCACAATGGCACACAGCCGTTCCACGGCACCGAGCTCATCGGATTTCCTCGGCGTACGCAGCGTTGTAGTCAATTGGAAGTTAATCAAGTCGTAGATCAGGATGCGGCCATCATCCAGTCCAGCGGCGAAGCCGGGGGCAACTCCAAGGCCCACCAAGCAGCGAATACCAATGCGTGCCACTGTGTTGGGTTATATTTAGCGATATAAGCAAGGTAATCGGCACACACTCACCATCCAGCTCCAAGCTCAAGTGCACGTCATTGGAGCGACATTCCTCCAACAGGTCTTCGATACTGCGCATATACTTATTGCCCGGGATGCGGTGAAGCTCACTTTGAGGAGGCTGGAGGCCGGGATTGAAGGTGAGATCGGGTCTGTTCGCTAGCAAGTGCTCGTAGTTCAGATCGATTAGCAGGACTAGGCCCTCAAAGGTGCCCACAGCCAGGCAGCCGTCGAAACAAGCCAGCTGCGTGGCGCTACAGAGGCGCTGATCAAGATAAGCGAGAGACTGGCACAATAGACCACCTATGTCGAGGACACGCAGCACCTGGTAGTAGGTCAGGCTATAGAGGTGCACCTGCGACCGGACCTGGTCGATGTGAGGACCTCGCTCTTCGCCATTCCACGACTCTAAGCAGACGGCGAGGATTATCGGAGGGTCCGGCTGGTCTGTGAAGATCTCCTCGACGCAGCTAATGCTGCAGTTCAGGTCATCGTTCTTATTGCCAGACTTCCTCCAAAAGGTGTGGCGCGCCATGCGCTGCCCGCCGGCGAGGCGGTGCACCAACAGAGTGGCCTCGCTAGTATTCCGGCTGGTGACCCAGCCCAACTCACCGTCTTGTATGATGCCGCCCAGATAGTCGTCTGCAAGGCAAAGGACACCGAACACTATAAATGACATGCACGTAAAATCGTTTAATCTCTTACTTACCTGGCGTATCTTCCCCTGTGGGAATGCCCCGCACTGAATCCCATCGAGCGCCAGTGAGCGCCACCGTCCGCTTGCGGTCCAACTCCACTTCGTACCACTCCATGTGCGGTGAATCTTCAGGACCGCGGTCGGTCGGAAAAATGGAGAAGCTTACAGTATACGGAAATATTTCAATTGCCGCAAAGGAATTCCGACAATTCTATTGAAGCGAGAGTGTGTGAATGAGCGTTTGATTTCGTTTTGACATTTCAACACTTGGTTGCCGGTTTTTGTTGTTGTTTCGCCTACTATGGACGCGGTATGGGGCCAGTGTTGGACAGTGTTGATTTTAAAATTCGCAACTTCCAACTGTCAATTCGCGAATTCGGAAATGTGCACAATTTCGAGACGAGCGAATTTTCGGACTAAGTTTTGGTATGAATTCGGTACAAATGCAATAGATAATATATAGCAGCCAAAAAGATTCGGCTTAGCATCGGTTTAAGACGATAACAGCGCCGTGACAAGCCTTGTGGTCTGGCAACGCCGCAGCATTGCGAAAATATCGCGCGAGTTTCATAAGAAATTACGGTAAGGGCGCCTGGGCGACTCCTTTTAATTGTTTGGACTGAGACAAAGAAAAATGACAATTCGTCGGCAATAGCTTTATATTTGAGATCACTTTTGGCAATAACACATCGACACATCGCATTCCAATTACACGCTCTGCAGAAGTAAAGGCGGAGACGAGTCCGGCACAAGACATTCGAGCAGGCGACAGCGCCATCTGGCAACTTCCGCACGGCGGCTGTCAACCCTGTCCCGTGCGATTTGCTGCACATTGTTCTAACACGAACCAGCCGGAAAAGCCATTTATCTATATGCGATTCCAATGTGAGGAGGCACTGCGACGCTGAATGCTGTCTTCTCTGGCCAAAGGTGCGACAGAAAGCTGACCAACCGAGTACCCGTTCGTGGAACGCCCAGAGCCAAGGGCCACGAGCGCAAAGCTACCAGAACACCAGCAGCTCTCGGCACACGCACTCCGCAATCCAATCCGGCACCGCTCCACACACCCGCACACGCACGCACACAGACGACACCGACGACTACGACACACGGGCAGCTCTTCTAATCGCGAAACGTCGTCGTCGTCGCACCGCATTGGCCAAAGGCAAAGGCGCAGGGAAGCGCAGGGAGGAACGAAGGAAGCCAGGCAGGGAAAACAGGCCACCGAGCAGGGGATCGAGGAGCGGCAGCAGGCGCCAACAGAGGTGAGTGTCCGGTGTCACGTCGGAGTCGGGCTGGGGATTACAGAGCATGGAGAATGAAAAAATGAAGAACCCCACCCCAATCTCAAATTTTGTTTTTGCAGGGAGCAGCAGGCAGCTAGCAGGAGCAATAGCAATGGCCCAGCATGGAGGCACAGAGGCCCTGGCCGCTGAACTGGCCAAAGCTGTGGACCTTATCATGCACCCGATGACCCAGCAGCAGGCCCGCCTGGAGGCTTACATGGCTTGCGAGCGCTTCAAGGAGGAGTCTCCGCTGTGCGCCCAGGTCGGTCTGTACTTGGCCAGTTCGCCGCAGTCGAATCAGCAGGTGCGCCACTTTGGGCTTCAACTGATCGAGTACACAATCAAGTTCCGATGGAATTGCATTTCGCACGAGGAGAAGGTGTACATCAAGGACAATGCCATTAAGATGCTGAACGTGGGCGTGGGCCCGGCGGAGGACCGCACGCTGCTGCCCACAAAGGACGCGCTCTCGCGCATCATCGTCGAGATGATTAAGCGGGAGTGGCCTCAGCAGTGGTCCGACCTGCTGCCAGAGCTGAGCTCGGCCTGCGCCAAGGGAGAGTCGCAGACGGAGCTGGTGCTGCTCGTCTTCCTGCGGCTGGTGGAGGACGTGGCTCTGTTGCAGACAATCGAATCGAACCAGCGGCGCAAGGACATGTATCAGGCACTAAACAACAACATGAACGATATTTTCGAGTTCTTCCTGCGCCTGGTGGAGCAGCACGTGACCGCCTTCCGTGAGACGACTCGCCAGTGCAACTATACTAAGGCCAATGCCCACAGCCGGGTCGTCGAAATGGTGCTGCTCACGCTCAGTGGTTTCGTCGAGTGGGTCAGCATCCAACACATAATGTCCAGCAACGGCAAGCTGATGCACTTCCTCTGCATTTTGCTCAACGACAAAGCATTCCAGTGCAACGCGGCCGAGTGCTTGGCGCAGATCACCAATCGCAAGGGCCAGGCTAAGGAGCGCAAGCCACTGCTCCAGCTGTTCAACGAGGAGCCGCTACGCTACATCTACCAGGCCAGCCAGATACCGCCCGACTCTGTGTCGGCGCAGTCCATCGAGCAGCACCACAACTTCCTAAAGAAGCTACTGCAGGTGCTTAACGGCATGGCCCAGCAGCTGGTGGCGCTGTGGGGCAAGGACGATGCTACTCAGCGTCCGGTACACCTCGAGGTGCTGCTCGAGTGTTTACTGCTGCTCGTGCAGCATCCCTCGCTAGCAGTCGCCCATGGATCAGCACTTATCTGGCAGCTGCTGCTCAAGCATGAGCCCTGCTCCAAGGACTTTGCCACGCTCAACTACATTCCCAAGCTCATACACACGATCGCACCGCGCATTGTGAAGCTGCCATATCCTGCCACGACCAGCTCGCCCGCCAGCCTCTCCACGGAGGCCTACATCCGGCTGGAGTACGACAGCGAAGAGGAGTTCGCTCTCTACTTCTTCCGCTGCCGCACCGACTTTCTAGAAATTTTCCGCCTGGCGACGTTGGTGCAGCCGCTGGTCACCTACGGCTACTGCGAACAATGGCTACAACAGCGTCTGCGCCACGCTGTCGCCGAAGCAGAGGCGGAAGCTAAGAGCGGAACCGTCTCGTGCAGCGTGCTGGATCCCGTTTACCTGGAGTGGGACGCGCTGGTCAGCGTGCTGGACGGCGTGCTCAGTCGGATTCTGCTCGTGGCGGAGCGGCCATCGGTGCCGGCGGGACTGCGGCTGCTGGAGGAGTGTCTCAAGCTGGAGACGGTCAATCCGCTAATCTACTCGATCCTGCTCTCCTGCATCTCGGCGCTGTTCGTCTTCCTCAGCATGTCATCGTGTCAGATCACGGCCACCAACTGCGTGGCAATGAGCGGGGTAAGTCTGCTGCCCCGCGTCCTCGACAAGATCTTCCGGGCGCTGGTGCTGAAGCCACCCAACGAGCTGGAGAAGGTGCAAGCCAAGTCGGCCAAGAATCTGCGTCGCCACGCAGCCTCGCTGCTGGTCAAGCTGGCCCACAAGTATCCGCTGCTGCTGCTGCCCGTCTTCGAGCAGATCAACGGCCATGTGGAAATGCTGCTGAAGGAGCCCGGCCAGCACCAGAACCAGCTGAGTCGACTGATGCGCACCACGCTGCAGGAGGCCCTGATCCTCATCTCGAATCATTTCTGTGACTTCGAGCGTCAGACGCTGTTCATCGAGCACATCGTCCACGACAAGCGCAGCGAGTGGTTGGCTTTCAGCGAGGCCCTCAAGTCTCCGCTGGACTTCATGAGCTTCGTGGGACTGGACAAGCCTCCCATTTTCGCTGTGGAAGGTGCTCCGTCGCTCGAGAACCGCTCGCGTCTTCTGGATGCTCTGCATGTGGTGCTTGGCGTGGTTAAACGCTGCACCTGGCCGGATGACCCGGACAGGGCCCAGCGCGGTGGATTCGTGATCGGCTGCACGGAACTGGGCAATCCCATCTGCCGCAATCCGGCCACCAAGCACGTGGTGCCGCTGCTCTCGCACGTCCTTAGCCTGATGCGCGTACTGAACGAGCTGTTCGCCCCGGAGGCGTTGGCTGCTCTTTCCGAGGGCTATCGAGGAATTCACGGTATGCTGGAGCACGAGAAGAAGCTGCTGATGGGAATATGTGCCCTGCCCACCGACCCGCTGGACACCACCATACGCAGCGAGCCGACACCGTTCGAGAAGATGCAGACCTTCATGATGATGGTCACCGAGGGTTGCTACCACCTGATGGGCTCTGCGGGGCCATCTCTGGGTCGTGATCTCTACCAGCTCCTGGGCCTGGCCGATGCCATCGTCAGCAATGTGTTCAGCCGCATGGATCTGGTCCCCGACTACCGACTGCGACCGATCATCCGTGTCTTCTTCAAGCCCTTTGTCTATTCGTGCCCGCCCACCTTCTACGACAGCGTCCTGGTGCCGCTCTTTGCCCATCTGGCGCCATTGATGTGCGAGCGCTTGACGCGCCGCTGGATCTACATCGCCTCGCTCTACGAGAGTGGCCAGCTTAATGGCGAGGTGAACGACACGCAGGAGGTGCTGGAGGATCAGCTGAATCGAACATTAACCCGCGAGTACCTCGACGTGCTCAAGATTGCCCTCGTGGGTGGCCAGATCGGAGCCGATCACGTCGCAGCCGGTGGTGCCAACGCTAACAGCAACAGCACGGCCATGGAGAACGAGGAACATTCGATGGACAGTGTTCCACATTCGCGGGCCATCCAGTCGGCTCTACTCTCAGACATCATCAGCGATCTGGGTGGTAAGCTGCTGCGGAACAACCTCATTGGCAACTATGTCTTGATGACCCTGCTGAAGGCGATCGCCTGGAACGATGGCATGTGCAGCATGAAGGCGGTGAACATTGCGGCGCCCGTGATGCGCTTTCTGGCCGCCGAGCAAATGATGGATGAGAACAAGGCGGTAACGGCCTTTACGGCCGTCCTGCAGGGCATGCAGGTGCACGGGCAGCACGAGGCCAACCAATCCGGCCTGGTCACCCTCGGTGTGCAGTTCTATGAGCTGCTGCGGCCGCAGTTCCCCATCCTCAGCGAGGTGCTGCAGCACATACCCAGCGTGAATGCGGCGGACATTCAAAAGTTTGACGAGAAGATTGCCGTGGCGCCCGTCAAGGGCAACAAGGTGGATCGGGCCAAAAAGGATATATTCAAGAAGCTCACTGTTCAGTTGGTCGGGCGCAGTGTCAACCAGTTGTTCCGTCATGAGGTTCAGATCGCCAACTTGCCGCCGATGCACAAAGCAACCAAGGGAGCAGCTGCCGGTACTGTGGATATCATGGACAGTAATCAGAACGCCAGTCTGCCCCGGCTATTTAGCGCGGAGAAGTGACAGGGACCCCAACCGAGGCAGAATAATAGCACGGATACGACAACGACGAGGAGAAGGAGGAGGCGGCGTCGCAGCGGAGGGGGAGCCTCCACTTCCACCGCCATCAGCGACCCGGTTACGGTCCAAGGTCAGAATCAGGATCAGGATCAGGATCAGGTCGAAACCACGGCCACCTCAGCTGCCAAACTAGCGACGACTGAACTTAAAGTAATTGTAAACTAGCTAAGACGAAGAGAGCCCGTGCTGTCGCAGGAACCACAACCCACGCCTATGCCCATGCCCACGTCCTAGCCCATGACCCAGTCCAAATTCCAGTTTTTAAATTGATTAACTTATTTATTATACGAACTAATGGCCGCTTGTAGCCCTAATTTAATTAAGTCGCTCAGTCAGCCTTCGGCCATCGTTGGTAACCCCATCCACCCCCTGCAGGAAAGTGGCGACTCGTGACTTGTTACTGCTTTGTTATTTATTATTCGGAATTTGTTGAACTTGTTTGCACAAAAGGAAGTCGTATCGTATCGTATCGAAGATGATGATGGCCAATACTCGAAACAGGAAACCCAATTGCATGGCAGTGAGCGACCCCAAATCCCGACCCTCGCCCGGCCCCAGGCAACAGCAAACCCCCCTTTTTTTAATAATCTAGATAATTAATGAATTGTGCTTTCCTTCCCCCATTCTCCCTTCGTTTTGTATAGAGTTACCTATGCGCAGGCATACTGTAATTTATATAGATTTGTACACATAGTATATCCCCTGGAGAAAGATTTCTGGAGTTACGCTTAGGCTTAGTTGATAGGCAGCAGAGAGAGTTAGTACGAGTTATTATTATATAATACATCAATCTGTATATGAACACATGCATCCCGCACCAGCATCCGCATCAGCACCACCCATGCATTATCCTCCCCCAACCTCCACCTTGCAACCAAGGAAGGAAAGAACCTTGAAGGAAAATCAAGAAGGTTACGATAGAAGGAAAACAAAAATTTACACACACACATCGGGATTCTAAGAATTGTAAGTGGCGTGAAGTATGTAATTTTCAAACCGAAATTATATACACCTATTATTTATAATTTATAACGAAATGAAATCGAAGAAGCGGCCAACAATCCGCAAAAAAACACACACAAAATCGAAATAAGCAAATAAATTTGAAATAAATTTACAAATTGAGAACATTTCTTTTACTTATTATAAGTATTTTTGACAATGATCGATATATTGCATCGACAAGGTTTGTATTTTAGTAATTGCTTCATATATTATTGAATATATGTTCTTCTAGAGCTCAATACCCTTGCTTCTTCCATATTACAGCCTAAGAACAATTGAGGATTCTATAGCTTGGTCATGAAACATGAAATGACCCGAAATAAAACGATGTATGAGGTATATATACTGGAATATAATACAATATGGACAATAACGATATAATCATTCATCTATTTTCACTTTAGGCTTATTGGAAATCACGTTTAAATAAATATTCAGCGCCACTCGTCACATAACTCTATGAACCCGTCGGCCGATTGTCACACAAGTTACTCCAGTCGGGCACATGTTCGCTCTTCAAATACGTCTCCTTGGCCAGAGACCGGGTCTGAATGAGATCCGTGGCGCCGCACAGGGCACCACCCAGCCAGGCGGTGAAGTTTTGCTTGCCAATGGGATTGTAGAACTTGAACTGCAGCTGGCCGTGGAAGCGGCTTGCGTAGAACGGGTCCTCGGCGAGCAGATGCTGCATTTCATGGCGGAGTCGTGACTGCAGTCCCTGAACCATGGAGCCACCGCCCATTAAGAGCACACTCTCGACCAGCGCTCGCCGCATATCCAGGGTGCAGTCGAGAATGGAGCGCAGGATAAGGTGCGGCAGGCTGTCGCGCTCGTTGCTGGGCTCAAACATAATCTCGTAGACCGTTTCCCTTAAACTGCCGGGTACATGGATAACCTCATCATGGTCGCTGACGATGTAGTCTACGCCCGGCGGCGGCGTCGGCGCCTGATCCTTGGCACGGGCCTGCGACCGCTCGAAGGTGGTCACGAAGCATGTGCGCACCTTAATGTCTTCCAGTACGCTCTCCGTCAGTAGGTCTTCCTTTATGCCTGCCTCAAGCAGCTGGCGCCGGATCTCTGCATGAATAGCACTGCCACCATAACTCTGATCCTTAAATGCGGACATGATCTGCACACCGCTGTAGACAGGCATCACGCTGGTCTCACTGTACCCAATATCCACGACCACTGCGGTGGGTACGGCCAGCGTGGATAGCGCAATTAGGTGCACGGGTACGAACAGCACAGACGAGACGTCGAAGTGGAGGAAGAGAACGCGTGCCAGTGTTTCTCGAAGCACGGTGGGTCCGAACACGTTCTCCACTACTACGAACTTGCGCTCCTTGGGGCTGACCAGCAGGTGCCTGGAATCAGAATTGGATTAAGGTAACTATTACGATTACAAGCAACACCAAGGACCAGCGCCTACTTGAAGAAAATGGTCTGCAGGAAGTCCACCAGCTGGTCGTGTAGCTCTTCCGTCGTGTCGTAGTCGAACAGCCGCTTTCGGATTCCTGTCGTGGTCAGCACCACCTCGGTGGGCATAATCTTCCGTGGACACGCCTCCGCCGTGAAGCCAAGCCTGAAAAGGTGGACAAGCCAGCGATGATATCACCTCTTTGCAACAGGCAGACAAGCAGTCGCTGTACTGTCACTCACTTTGTGTAGGCGGTGCCGATGTCCAGGACGATGGGGGGCTTCTCCTGCATCACGCTCTCGTAGATGGGCATGGTCGAAAATTTGCCCACGGCCAAATATAATTTCTAAACGCGAATTCCTCAATGTTTGCAAATTTTTTTTGTTGGAATTGAAATCAGTGTGGCCGAGTGTGTGAGATTTTTATATGAGATATACCAAAAGCAGGGAAAATAAAATATATCAGGAAATACTGTTTGCGGTAGTTTATACTAACGGTTTTTAGTATATCTTAGCGGCAGACCGAGCAGCGGTCTTACTGCCATAAAGTAAACAAATTTTAAAGTTTGATCAACAAATATGAGCTACATACAATTTGAGAGTGGCAGGGAGAAGGACAAGGCCCGACAGGAGCTGCGAGAGGCCCGCGCGGAGATGCTCCAGCAGGCCAAAGAGCGGGCCGAGCTCCGGGACCAGCGGGAACGGCAAAAGGAACTGCGCGGTGAGGCCGACTGGATGCTGCCCGCTGTGGCCAAGAAGTTGGAGAAGTCCTCATCCGCCGTGCCAAAAAAGTCCAAGAAGAAGCGGGATAAGCACAAATCCAAGTCCAAGTCCTCAAAGGTCAAGAAGTCCTCTAAAAAGAGCAAGAAGCGTCACAAAAAGAGTAGCAGTAGCAGCAGCGAGAGCAGCGACAGTGAATCCTCCGATTCCAGCACCTGTTCCAGCTCCTCCGCCTCTAGCGAGGACGAAAAAGAGCACAGAAGACGCAAGAAGAAGAAGAAGTCCAAGTCGAAGCGAAGCCACAAGGATAAAAGCAGTGATGAGGAGTGGGTTGAGCGTAGTGCTCCCGTGGCGGAAAAAGCGCCGGAGCAGTCGACGTCCCTTCAACGCGACAGCTGGATGACCAGCGAGGCTCTCGTGCTAAGGACCTTCTCCAAAGAACGCAAGGAGCCCGCAAAGCCCAACGAGAAGCTGCAGCAGATCGACGCCTACGATCCGGCCAAAAGCGGGCGCGAGTTGAATCCTTACTGGAAGAGTAACGGCACGGGTCTGCCCAGCTTCCAAAAGCCTCAGGCCGACGATGACGACGGGCCAGTCAAGCACCAATTACATCCCCCTGCACAGAGCTCCGCTTCACGCGGCTGGCGAAAAGCAACTGCCAAGGCTCCTAGTCCAGAAAGTAGAAGACGTAGCAGATCTCCTTCAAAGAGTGCCTCTTCAGAGGAGGAGGAGGAGCAGGACGAGCCTGAAGAGAAAGCTACCCTCGGTTGCCTCACGGACGAGCAGATCAACGAGCTGGCGGGCAAAGCCATCAAGGCGGAGCTAAAGGGCAAGACGGAGCTGGCAGCTGAACTGAACCAGCAGCTAGAGGCGGCACGCAAGGCGCGGGCGGACTTCATAGCCACCGGCAAATCAGTAGCAAGTGCCAGCAGAAAGCCAACAAAGGCTAAGAGCTCTGCTCAAGAGCATGTGCTGCTCACAAAGACAGATCAGAGCGGGAACGTGCGTCCCCTGGTGCAGGCCAAGTCGTCAACCAGCGATCCTCGCGAGCTGTACGGCGGGCGCAGGGGTCAGAAGCGCGGCAGCAGCGGCAAGAAGGTGGACACTCACGTGGATGGCCAACGGGTGCGATACTTCGCCGACGACGACCGCTACGACATTAAACAGATGGTAAGTTTGATCTCTAATAACAATACCGTGCAGACACACAATAATCCTTCAATCCGTTCTCGCCAGTTCGAACGGGAGAAGCATGCTACGGCTGCCGAGTCCAACCTGCAGTACGCTGATATTCTGTCCAAGCACAAGAATCCCAACGACGATCTGGAGGACATATTTGCTGACAGGGTGCGCAAAAACATCTCGGCTGCCGACGCCGAGCAGCGGGAGCTGCAAAACGCCATTCGGGAGCATGAGAAGCTGGCAGCCAGTTTGGAGAACTGCGAACGCTGCTTCGACTCCGCCAAGCTGGATAAGCAACTGCTAGTGTCCATGGGCGAGAAGATCTACCTCAGTTTGCCATGGTATGTGGGTCTGCAAGGCGGCCACTGTATCCTAACGACACTGCAGCATGTTTCCTGCTGCACGCAGCTGGACGAGGACGCCTGGGAGGAGTTGAGCAGCTTCCGCAAAGCTCTCACCCGCATGTTTGCCGCTCGAAACCAGGATGTAGTCTTCTACGAGATCGCCAACAAGCTTCATCGGCGTCCGCACGTCAGCGTTCACTGCATTCCCATTCCCTCCAGCAAGGGTGAGATGGCGCCCTTTTACTTCAAGAAGGCCATCGAGGAGTCTGAGCAGGAGTGGTGCATTAACAAGCAGCTGGTCTCGCTGCGCCACAAATCGCTACGCGCGGCCATTCCCAAGGGACTGCCCTACGTGTGGGTCCACTTCGGCATGGACTCGGGATTTGCGCACGTTATCGAGGACCAAGACCGTTTCCCGGCTAACTTTGCCCAGGTAAACCGGAGTGAACGAATACACAAGAGCCGGGGTTGAACTGTTTTCTCTTTCAGGAAATAATTGGCGGAATGCTGGAGTTGAATCCAAATACTTGGCGCAAGCCGCGAAAGGAACAAAACCCCATTGGCAAGGTCAAGTCGTTCGCCGAAAACTGGAAGAAATTCGACTGCACGGAGCACTGATGGAACCCCGCTAGGCTGTGTCCACACTGAGTCAAGGATTCGTCTTTTAGTTGTTTCTAAACATTATGCTTTAGGGATTCTTTGATATTTTTAGTATAGATCAAAAGTGTTAGATGAACAATTAGTATCTTATTTGATAACGTTTTAAAATTGCAAACGTTATTTAATTCATTGAAATGTTCATGATTTTATAAGTATATCCAAGCCAAAATACATCGTTTATCTTGGTTATCTCTTTCTGCTCCAATACAAAGATTAATGTAAGCCAAACTGGAGAAACTTCCTGTCTAGGGGTTGCTATAGCCCGCTCTCCCTTTCAGTAATAAAAAGAGGGGAAGCACCGTGGAAGCACCGTGTAATGCTTATAGAATTGACGAAGCCAAAATGCACATAATTAATTGGAAAATCTGGCTCACATTTATTAGTGGACACACCGCAACACGTGCCATGGTGGTTGGTTCCTCTTCCTTATCAACTAACGTGTGTGTTCATGCACTTCAACATAGAATCGTGAATGGAATTTTGTTTGAACATTTGCAATACGCTTTTACATGCGAGTATATGCACGTAAAAATGGTGTAAGGACATTCGCTGAATGCACATAGTTTCGCTCATCTACATATATGTATATTTATATTATGCATGTTAACTAAACGAAAAAAAAATCTATTTGATGTATGCTAGAATTGGATGATTGGGGTGTTTGTTATTGTTCTGGTCCCACGGCCAACGGCTGCACTTAGGAGCCCACGATGATGTTGTTGATGGGAATGTGTATCAGCTTGACGAAGAAGCCGATGAAGCCCATAATGCAAAAGCCAATAGCGGTGGCGATGGCAATCTTCTGGAACTCCTTGCGGTCGGGCTTGGTGCAGCGCTTCACCAGGCGGATCGAGTCCTTGGCGAAGGCGCGTCCAGGCTCGGCGAACTTAACAACCTTGTCCATGTCTAGGGTGGGATGAGCTGGCAAACTGGAATGAGAGAGCGGATTGGTTATAAGTAAGGGCGAGCGAGCGGGCGGCACTTTCACACGACAGAGACCCCTCCCCACCCCGCTCTACACTATCAGCTGTGACGCTGGCTACGTGGCAGAAGTCGGCGACGTCACAGGTGAAATCTAAAGGCGACTTAGCTCAATTTCCACTTGCACCCCAGGACCCCAGTTGGATTAATGGCCTCGATCACATTAATATTAACAATATAAATATATATTGGTCACGGAATCAGTTAAATGTACAATTAGTTCTGGCAAAGACACGAAGACAAACGTCTTGGCAACCTTTGGGTCTCACAAATCGGGAAAAACACACAGAAAAAGAACGGCCCTGCGCTAATATCGCGGAAATACCACTGGAAAAGCACTCTTTGTCTGTAAATCTTTATTTTTTAATTGACAAATAGTTTCCAAACACCAAAAATTAAGAGCAATCACACACACCTCCGAGTTGATCGAAAATTTTAACGTAAGTGAGTTGCTTTCGTTGCTGCCGCGTCGGCTTCACGATTTCTGACAGTTCCACGTCAAAGTGTCAAATGCAGGGTTGCTTAGGCGGTGGCGTTGCCACCAGGTTTCCAAGAAATGACATTTCGCCGATAGTTTGTAGTTCATTCTTAGGTCTGTATTAATAAATATACAAAATTATATATGCTTGTATATTTTTAATAGTATCTTTTCTTATATTTACTGATTTGTTTTCTGATAACTTTCCAATTACGTCAGTTAAAATATGCAAAATTGTAAAAAATACAAATAACATCAATAGAGGTCCACTTGATTTTGTTTTGAACTATCGTGATAGTGGATAATAGATTTTTAATATTAATATACTGAAAGATATCCAGTAAAAGTAGAATTATATGAATAATATATATATCCAATATTGTAAAAAATACAAATTACATAAATAGAGGTCCACTTGATTTTGTTTTGTACTATCGCGATAGTAGATAAACGATTTTTAATATAAATATATTGAAAGATATCCAGTAAAAGTTGAGTTATATACATAATATATATATCCAATATTGTAAACAATACAAATTACATAAATAGAGGTCCACATGATTTTGTTTTGTACTATCGCGATAGTGGATACAAGATCTTTAATATTAATATAATATATTTATTATGTTGTGGATAAAAGATCTTTAATAATAATATACTGAAAGGTAACATGTAAAAGATTAATTATATATATATATATATATTTGTTTTAAGCCGATGTTGTACAAAATACAAATTACATACATAAAGGTCCACTTGATTTTGTTTTTACTATCGTGATAGTAGATAACAGATTTTGTAATATTAATATACTGAAAGATATCCAGTAAAAGTATAATTATATATATAATATAAATACCCAATACTGTAAAAAATACAAATTACATCAATAGAGGTCTACTTGATTTTGTTTTGTACTATCGCGATAGTAGATAAAAGATTTTTAATATAAATATATTGAAAGATATCCAGTAAAAGTAGAATTATATATATAATATATATATCCAATATTGTAAACAATACAAATTACATAAATAGAGGTCCACATGATTTTGTTTTGTACTATCGCGATAGTAGATAAAAGATTTTTAATATAAATATATTGAAAGATATCCAGTAAAAGTTGAATTATATGAATAATATATATATCCAATATTGTAAAAAATACAAACTACATAAATAGAGGTCCACTTGATTTTGTTTTGTACTATCGCGATAGTAGATAAAAGATCTGTAATATTAATATAATATATTTAATATGTTGTCAATAAAAGATCTTTAATAATAATATACTGAAAGATAACATGCAAAAGATTAATTATATATATATATTTTTTTTAAGCCGATATTGCAAAAAATACAAATTACATACATAAAGGTCCACTTGATTTTTTTTTTACTATCGTGATAGTAGATAACATATTTTGTAATATTAATATACTGAAAGATATCCAGTAAAAGTATAATTATATATATAATATATATATCCAATATTGTAAAAAATACAAATTACATCAATAGAGGTCCACATGATTTTGTTTTGTACTATCGCGATAGTAGATAACAGATTTTGTAATATTAATATACTGAAAGATATCCAGTAAAAGTATAATTATATATATAATATATATACCCAATATTGTAAAAATACAATTTACATAAATAAAGGTCCACTTGATTTTGTTTTGTACTATCGCAATAGTAGATAAATCGATGTTTCGGTATTGAATCGATAGCTGTTTTTTTATATCTACTTCGACCTGTAATTAGTTTTATTTTTTCGTAAAATAAACTAAATTAGCGAGTATCCTCTAGGTCCGATTGCAGGTCCTGTTTTTGCACCTAGCCGGGCATACTTTGCTGCTGGTCTCGCGGGCTTGTGGCGAACGAAACAAGGCCACATCGAATATTCGCGATGAGTGCCCAGCCTAGCCCCCTCATGAATCCGCAGCAGCAGCAGCAACAGCAGACCGAGCAGGAGAAGGTATGCTACGCACGGATTTAATAGTTGCCAGGTCAAGCTGACGCTTCTCTCCTTTTCTCCGCCAGGTGTACCAATGGATCAACGAGCTGGCGCACCCAGACACCCGGGAGACGGCCCTGCTGGAGCTGAGCAAGAAGCGTGAGACCGACTTGGCTCCTATGCTGTGGAACAGCTTTGGGACAGCCTGTGCCTTGCTGCAAGAGATTGTCAACATTTATCCGTCGATAACTCCGCCGACGCTGACGGCGCATCAGTCGAACCGCGTATGCAATGCTCTGGCCCTGCTGCAGTGCGTCGCTTCGCACCCGGAGACGCGCACGGCCTTCCTGCAGGCGCAGATACCGCTCTACCTGTATCCTTTCTTGTCGACCACCTCCAAGACCAGACCCTTCGAGTACCTGCGCCTCACCAGCCTGGGCGTGATTGGCGCGCTGGTCAAGACGGACGAGCAGGAGGTGATCACGTTCTTACTGACCACGGAAATCGTGCCCCTCTGCCTTAGTATCATGGACAGCGGCTCGGAGCTGAGCAAGACCGTGGCCACATTCATAATCCAGAAGATATTGCTTGACGAATCGGGTTTGTCGTACATTTGCCAGACCTACGAACGGTTCTCGCATGTGGCCATCACCCTGGTGAGTACTCTGGCATCTGATCCTTGAAGCATTTGCTTTATTTTCCCTTATCCGTTTTAGGGAAAAATGGTTATCCAACTGTCGAAGGACCCATGCGCTCGCCTGTTGAAGCATGTTGTCCGTTGCTATCTGCGCCTCTCGGATAATACTCGGTATGTATGGATGGACTGGCCTTGGTAACATGAACTGCAATTCTCCTTCATCTATCGCTTGCAGCGCCCGGAAAGCCCTGGGACAGTGTTTGCCCGATCAGTTGCGTGACGGCACCTTTGCCTTATGCCTGCAGGACGACAAGTCCACGAAACAATGGCTGCAGATGCTCCTAAAGAACCTGGAACTGGGCGCCACACCGCAGCAGATTGGCATGTCGCCGCTTGGCTCCTAAATCACTGCCACACTCTCATTCACGCGCTCGCTATAATTCTGCCAAAGCTTTCTGGCAGAACCGAAATTGTACAAGAAAGGAAGCAAACTTTGGCACGCCGAAGTTTTTATACCCTTGCAGATAGAACTTCGATCAGTAGGAATTTCATTCACCTATACATATTATATTTACAATTTTACATCCACAGATTTGGACTTTCCTTTATAACTAACGATCGTTTGTATGGCAGCTATATGATATAGTCGTCCGATCCGCCCCGTTCCGACATATAGACGAGTGAAAGTATGTAGAAGGACTAACTGCAAAGTTTCATTGAGATAGCTTCAAAACTGAAAGACTAGTTTGCGTAGAAACGGACGACGAACACGGCCTAATCGACTCGGCTGATCAAGAATATATATACTTTATACGGTCGAAATTATAATACACTGCAAGGGTATAAAAATTATAAAATTGTATGTACCGATATATTAATGTTAATATTAGTTTGTCCCCTGATAGCATATAACTAACAAAGTAAATAAATAACAAAAAGCAGTTTAAATTGACATTTGTTTATGACTGGAATAGGAGTTTTCCCAGGTTATATGATCTTTTCCAGCTCGCTGTGAAGTTTGATATTACACCAATCAATGAAGTATATGGATAGATGATGCCAGAGAAATATAAGTGCTTACGTGTATAAATAATGCACTTAATAAACAATGCCGCCTGCGCCTTAAACCACAATAAACTGACTGTCCCATCTGCCCCATAATTCTTGGAATATCTTTTGTATACAAATTCCTGGCGACGCGGAGGCGTAAACAAAATCGAATTCGAATTGCGCAGGAACCGGAGAACGCTGCGAGCATGGTGGGATTATATCAAGGTTAGGGGCGGAGGGTGGTGCTGGGTGGATGCAGTAAATGGCACTCACTCTCTCGCATGCAGAGGCCACCGCCTGTTGCCATCCCTCTCTATGTGGCAATCAAAGAAAAAGAGAGGTAAGAGCTGCGGTAACGGCAACACACGTTCAAAATGCATATAATATGGACACTTAATACAGCTTGCAATAATTACAACAGTTACAATTACAATATACACACATGGAATTAACTTGTAAACACTAACAGCGCAGCCGAAATTGACTCCTTGCACTAGACATCACTGAGCAGACTCCAAAAGGTACTGTACCAAACCTGTAGGTTGCCTATCAAAACACGATCTTAGCATACACGACTGGGGAACGGTGGTGCAGTGGATGCGATGCGATGCGATGAGGACAGTGGACAGTAGACAGTAGGCAGTAGACAGTACTGCTGTGAGGTCTCCACGTTCGGAGGAGAGCTAACTACGGACCAGAGACGTCCGCGGGTAGGGGACGGGAATCCATTTGCAGCTTAATTGGGCGACTTGGCCTGCCCGGCGGAAGCAGCTGCCGACGCCCGTCGAGCCATCTCGGCCTGGCCATCCTCCGGCCCACCTCCGTCGCCGACAGTGCCTAAGTTCGGGTTCGGGTTGGGATTTGGGGCCTGGGTCTGGAGCTGCGGCAGGGCCAGCATCTGGTCCATCAGGTCGAAGCCACTCTTCCAAACCAGAAGCTGGGCGCGCAGCTTCAATTTGCTGCGGTTGCGAAGCAAATGCTTCTCCATGGCGAAGCCGCTGCGGGCGCAGGCAAAGTCGCAGGCTCGCTGCCGGAGCACCGGGCAGATGTCGTTGTTGCCGTCACCCACATAGAAGACATGGTCGTAGCGGATGCTGCGCCGCAGGTCCTGTTCGATGACAAAGTGCTCTAGGACGCGGCCCTTGCACAAGTTACTGGCACTTAGCTTGCAGTCCGACTGCTGGTGATGGGCACGGACCACCAAGCGCCCGGTGGCGTCAAATTCGGCCGGATTGGTGAAGACAGCCAGGAAGCAGTCGGCCAAGTTGTGCGCCCGCAGCCACTCCTCGATAAAGACACTGTTCGAGTCACTGATGATGATTAGGTCAAACTGCATCCGCTTGGCCAGGTGCTTGATCAGCCGCACGAATCCTGGCACCTCGGGGATGCCGCGGATGGTGTCGCGAATGCGCGCCTCCGGCACTTGTTGCTCATGCAACAAGCGGAACACCTCACCCATGTACTCCGTCCAGCAGTCGTTCTCCACCAGCTCGTGGGCGCGGGCACTGGTCACCTCCGTGGGCAGCAGGTCGCGGACCACAGTATCCGTATTCTGCGACACAATTGTGTGGTCGAAGTCGAAGGCCGCCAGCCGACGGCGCTGCTGCTTCACCAGCCTGCAGCTGGCCACGGCCTTGGCCACGGCTACGGCGTCCGAGGACGAGTTCGAGGACATCAGTTTTTATGCACACGATTTGAAATTTTTGAGAACGCGAGCGCAACAAATCAACTTAATTTGTATCCCCGAAGTTACAAAATAGAGATGCAATAACTTCGATGAAAACATCGATGCATCGATGTTTTTTGAATTTTCTAAGTCATCGATGTTTTTTCGACCATCGATGTTTCTGTGCCATCACTATCAAGGGATTCAATTTGCCCGCCACAATTTTCACGCCAGATTTAGCGGATTTATAAAAGTTAGATAGGTATGGCAACGTTAGAGCTCGAGACTCTAAAGCTTGGCAACGCCGAAGATGCCGTTACCATATTCAGTTTAAAAACTGCCGCCTTCGTAACTGTTGCAAGCTTGTTAAATCGTTCAAATCAATTATAAATGAATGAATAAATTAAAACTTTTAAAGAATAATGTAATATTTTACCAGCAAGTCCGGAAAACCCTTCTTCTTGCTCCATTGTTTATTTTATCAGCTTGATGTGGATATTTTTAACTGGCAGCCCCAGTTTTTGGGATACTTATTTATATGCCCATGAAAAAAGCAAAATTTGAATATCCTAACAATTTTTATTTTTTTAATATTCTCAAGAAATATCATTTAATAAGTTATTAACACATAAAACAAACCAAGAGTAGTATTTTGAATTAAAAAATGTTTGTTTTTTCTTATATTTTAACATCATTTTCATTTCACTTTGGTTTGCTGATTTTTATTTGTTTGTTATCGATCCATTGAAATATATATATGTATCATCATATCGGGACTTTCCCGCATATGTTAAAAGTTGTATATTAACTTCATTCGCTCTCGACTCCATCATCCTTCATCACGTATTCTCCTTGTTCTCTTCTCCTTTTTTTTTTTGTGAATTTTCTTAGATTTTTGTTTAGATAAATGAGTACAGAATAATTTCAAAAATTTTGATGCTTCATTAGTAAAAGTTGTAAAGTTTGCCATTAGACCTTAATTATATACACATTTAAATAAATCATATTCCAGTAATTCAGTCTTATGAAATAAACAAAAACTTAGGTACGTTATATTCAGCTGGTAAATCAATCAATCAAAGAAACAATCGTCTAATGCATTTTTCAATCAATCAAACAATCAAATGTGGATTACTTATAGTTTTTCGTCATAATTAGGCTTGGCTCTTTGGTAAATATTGGTTGGCGTTGCTTTTGGTTTTAGAATTGTCTTCAAATACTTGTGTTTCGGCTGTGTGTGCATATCTATGCGTGTTTAGGTGCTTCCTTCCTGTTACGTCACTTCCGGTTTTGGTGTGCTGTTGCTTTTCTCATTCTAATTCTCAGCCTGCTTACAGATGTCAGTTAAAGTTACAGTCACTGTTACAGTAACTATTAAAGATACTCATAAAGCAAATTTCATAGTTGCTGTTAAAGTTACTGTTACTCTTGCAGTTACAATTACAGTGAGCATACACAGACAATAGAGTAAGAGTAAGTGTTCCCTGTGTGTTTATTATTATTTTATTTAGTGTGTTTAGTTTTTTTTATTGTTGTTCTTATTTCTCCATTCGAAGGATTAATAAAGTAAACCATAGGTTATAGTAAAATGCATACGTTTGTCAACGGAAGCTTTTTGTTTTTCCCTTCACATTAATCGATATATTGTTTAAGTTTACTTGATTTGTTTCTTTCTATTCGCTTCAAATTGGAACTGTAGAAAATCTATTAAATCTATCATATTCCCATAACAGTTATCTTAACTTGGTGGTACCGAAATAACCGAAAGGTGGAAGAGCAAGCTGTTTTAGCCCGCAGTTACTGGATTGCCTGTACTGAGCCGTACCTGTTGTTACATACATACATACATACATATGTAGGTAATATATCGGGAGGGACCTCTTCCGAGCGCACACCCGGCAGACAGTTGCCGCTACACACCTTAGTCCCTAGTAAATTCATCCGTTCAACTAAAAGGTTTGACCCAACATTGTAAATGAAACAAAATATCGACTTTAGCTCGGTGTGGGACTGTCTTGGTCGGTGGTAATCGGCGGTCGGCGGTCGAACATCGATCGGTAATCGAAACTATCGGAGGAATGTGGGCTCGACGGGTTCCATTTGATTGAGGTTTCAACTTTAAGCTGTGTGGTAGGATATGTTATTCTTTAGTTGATGCTTTTGCTTCTGAGTATCGTTTCTTTTTAGTTGATTCTTTGTCGTGTAGCGTTCATAAAAATATACATACGCACTGTATTCGCTCTCTGCCTGTATGCCTCTGGTGGTGTATGTACAAATCGTGTTATCGAACAAATCGGGGGGGCGCATTAAGTTTTGGACAATTCGATATTTTTCGATAAACTAAAGTGTGGTTTAAATACACAGTATATGTATGTAGTTCATAGTGCAGGACTATAGCTTAAGTAGTTGGTCCAGAGAAACCAGGAATTTGAAGGAGTGCGTGTGATTAACTGCATACATAGTTTAATTTCTGTATTCAGTATTTCGATTGCTGCTACCTACTGGTTCAGGGGGTGCGTGGTGCATATTGATTTGGCACTCGAAATTGAATGAATCAACGAATTGAACTTAAAATTTGAATATGGAATGGAGTGTGAACGAAATAAGTCGAAATTAGGCTATAAATCGAATGTCTTAGACGGTAGGTTTGTCTATAAATAGTTGGTTTGCAATGTTGCGGGGCTAGATCGAGTCGAATCGAGTCGAGGGCTAACCCTAGGTTATTGAGTTTTGGATTGTGTTTGTGTCGTGTTTGTGTTTGTGTGTGTGGGGGGACTTTGTGTATGTACAGAGTTGTGGAATACAAATTTGAATAAATAATCAGAAGTATTATATTCTTAAAAATTTGTTGATTTTGCTTTAACTTTGCCATATACTTGAGTGTAATTTAGTTAAAAATAGTTAGTTACGCATGGTTTGCTTGTACATAGTATATAAAGTGGAAAAAAGTATGCTCGTACGTAAATGTAAATGTTATTATTATTTTTTGCTTTTGTTTTTGTTTTTGCTTTCATCATTATCATCATCATTTGATTTTTGTTAAAGTTATCCTTGTGTTTATACATATTTGTAGTTTTATGCTTGCCATCGTTTATATTCTTGGTTTAAGTTTGAATAGCTTCGATAAGTAAATATTTTGTATTCCTTTGGTATTTGTTTATATGGTAATTCTCATAAATATATATGCATATTCATATAATTTTGGTTTTTGCCTTGGTATTCGATAAGTAAAATGAATTATTGTATTACAACGAATGCGAAATGCCGCTTAAAAATGAGTTTTAGCTTAGCGCGAGCGAGCCTCTAGGATTAAAAAAAACAAATAACATTTTGAGATAGATCCGAGTGAGACGACGGGCTTGGGACGGTTGACAGTACGACCCAGCGCCGAATAAAATGCATAGCGTAAATATATATAATATGTAAACAACAATAGAATCATAAATACATAAGGTACGTGTTTCATTTAGATCTCATAGTGTGGGGTAGTCCGTAGGCCGTACTCCTGACTTTGTGCACAGATCCTTCCCTGCGGCCCTGATCTCTCCACAACCCAGGGTTTCTTCTTCAACTATACTGCCATCCCGTGGCGGTGGGTGTGGGGAACTGCAGCTGCTGTTGGTGCCTAGAATGTACAGTTGTGCACGATGATGTATATTGCCAGTCCCCAAACGCACCGCCACGGATATGCACGAGGACATCATGCTCCATCTCGTGCTGAACAATTTCACAAAATATGCATACATATGTATTATTGGTATTACTTTTTGGGGAACTGGGGTGGAGTCTCTGGGTCTTGTGCTAAATGCCGATTGACAAACGTCACCCAAAACGATGGTCAATCGGTCTTGAGCACAATCGTTTATTAGTTATCGGATATCTGTGGGTTTTGCTTTCTCGATTCTCTCGCTTATCGCTAATCGCAAGGTTTTCGGGTAAATGGAATTCGATAACTTTGCACTGTAACTCTTTGCTGAACTAATAACCCATCGCTATATATGTATATATATTTTTGTTTTGCTTGTATAATCAATATATATGCATGTATGTATTTTATGTATGTATATATATATATATATATATATTGTATATGGTATATGGTATAGGTGTATAATGGTGACCTCGCCGCCGGATGGCGACGCACGGAGCACAGTGCACGGTGAACAGTGAACGGTGAACGAACAGTGACTCCGTCGCCGCCACCGGCTTAAGCCTTGTATATGGGGAATGCATCTGCTTTAGCCTCTTGGTAACGACACACCTGGCCATATATCGTTAAACTTAACATCTCTAATCGTATTTACAAGTGAGTGAGCTTCACCCGGCAGAGGAGGGAGAGATCCATCTCCATCGACTGCCATCGAGATCGAACTTGGTGTGGGGCTTAAGCTGCTTTTGTTTTGATACGGGAATGGGGATCGAGGTCGGGAATGGGCATTGGGAATGGGTATCGTAACATACTGGGACTCCGATTGGTAGCTTCTGGGGGCAACAGCTTAGTCCTCCCACGTCGGGAACTGACCCTCGTCCACGAACATGCTGAACTGGCCGGTATATTGGCGCTCCATCGGCGGACCCTTTGTCTGGCCAACGCCAGTGGGCGGTGGTGGTGGCACAGGTCGAGTGGGGCCGCCACTGTTCCTGCCCGGCGCCTTTGTCGCCCCACTGCTTTCAGTGGCTCCCCTAGAGGTGCCCTGTGCCGACGATGAAGACGTCGAGGATTTACCATAGTTGTAACGTTGCTCTGTGCGATACAGGACATGTTAAGGACCAGTTGAATGTCAACATTGATAGAACTTACTTGAAGGCTGCTTCACTTCCTTGCTGGCCCAGACGGGCTCATGGGTTTGGTTATATGACTGTTGATCCCACACGGCCTTCTCCTCGACGTTTTTGCTCTGCAAATGACAGAAAAGGATTAGCTTTGGGATGATCAAGGTTTAGGCTATAGCACTCACATAATCCTTGTCCACATGCAATTCCAGATCGTCACTGGCCTGCTCCAGGCTGCTGTGCGTGATGCCGTAGTAGAAATACATGACGAATCCCAGGGACATCCATACGGTGAAGCGGACGAGGGTAAGGATGCTCAGCTTGAATATCAGATAGATATTCACCGTGATGGCAATGGCCGGGATGAACGGTAGTCCGGGTGTAAGGAATGCCAGCGCATATCTGTGCGGGAGAGAGGAAGCATTAGTCCTGGAATGTCCTTGAATGGCGGACGGAGGTCCAAGGTGGAGAGCGTATTACCTATTTTGCGGCTGCCTCGATATAATCAATAGTATCACAAATATGCCGATAAACAAAATGAAATAAATGAATGCGGCGAGGCCACCGGACCACCCAATGGCCGCGAACAGGTCCAGGAAGAATATGAGACCGAACATGATGCCCACTAGCTTGGTGACGTACATGCCTGCCGGCGGTCCATTGGTGGATTGGTTATATATCGGTGGAGTTGTATGTTACGTTTCCGATTCGGGTTTTGAGAAAGTAAAGGTAAAGAGTCAATTTCAATGGTAATTTAGTCAGCAGGTCATCGGGGAACCGGGTAGCGTATGGGGCAAAGTGTGATAACAAAGTCCTTTCCCATTTCAATTGGATGAAGAAAGTTCATTCTTAATCGAATTAAGCATTTAAAAACCTTACTATTTTCCAAATTTACTTAAGATTCGAAAGCTTGGCGCTGTAAGAACTTCTAAACTTTCTTCATCCAGCGAAAAATATGATCTTTATCCATGAAAAACACCCATGAAACATACCACTTTCGGTGGTGGCCTGACCGGGATTTATCCAGGGGAAAAAGCCGGGGCACAGGTACGCATAGTCATGTATCTTCCGGGTAACAAAGTTCAGGCCCATGGCATCGAAGGCAGTCGCCTGGCCGGTGGGTCCAGTGGGTGCTCCATGCACACTGCCGTAGAACTTGTTCTCTGAGCGATCGGAGACCAGGAACTGGTCATCGCGTCCACCTAGAAAGCCCTCTGGGCTGTCGTCGATGAAGGAATCATCGGAGTCGGACATGCCGCGCGTCACCCGCTTGATGGTCAGCTTCCCGGGCACCTCTAGCACCTCGGCGGGTGTGACATGGGCACGGGAATCACTGGCCGTTCCAGGCGCCACTGGTGTGCGCAGCTGTGCCGGTAGCAGCTCCACCAGCGAGGTGCTGTGTGGTTGGTACCGTAGCACCAGGACACAGGTGGATACCAGCGTGTAGGCCAGCAGAGTGCCAATGGACATCATCTCGACGAGGATCTCCAGGCGCACGGTTAGGGCAACCAGAGCGGCGGCCACTCCGCTACCGATTGTTGCCAAGCCGGGCACATTGGTGCGTTGCCACAGCTGCGACAGTTGCCTGGAAGGGATGGGAATTTACTAGAGCCCTTGGGTAGCCTTGATTAGGAGCACTCACCTGAAAATCAGCCCATCCTGGGCCATGGCATAGATCACGCGCGGCATAGGGAACATTGAGCCGAACATGGCTACCGAGAGGCCGGCAGTGGCACCAATGGCCACCACAGCACGGCACTTTGGAGCATTCACATACGACCACATCTGCACCAGTGCCGCTCCCGTGTTGATGTGATCATAGGGAACTGTAATAAATATATATTCATAATCCTTAAAGGAACAGAGAGAGAGAGCAAGGACACTTACCCACTAAAGTAAGGACTAGACTAACACTGACGTAGGCAATTAGCACGACGACCAGGGAACCAACGATTGCCTTGGGAATGCTCTTTTGGGGATTGTGCGCCTCCTCACCGGTTGTTGCGATGATATCGAAACCGATAAATGCATAGAAACAGGTGGCGGCACCCGAAAATACCTGTATAGAAAGGAAATACTTTATAGTTTCAAGTTTAAGGATAAATCTGATATACTTACGCCACTCCAGCCGTAGGGTAGAAAACCCTGGTGCTCGGACCACGTCTTTGTGTCCACATAGAAGAGCCCAGCGGCCATGACGAACACCCACGTGGCCAGATTGATGGCATTGAGGGAGTGATTGAAAATGACCGACTTGCTGGCGCCCATCGCCAAAACGCAGGTCATCAGCAACGTAATTCCAAAGGCAATAAAGTCCGGGGGCTTGCCTAAGAGTCCAAAGATACAGGATATAGAATATATATAGAATGTTTAGTTATAGTATATACCCACCGAATATCGTGCCAATGGACTCGCTTATCGTACGCGCTATGGTATTGCCAGTCAAGGAATCGAAACTAGAACTTAACGCACAGGCACAGGCACTTGTTCCTGGTTTGATAATAGAGATGAAAGTCGATCAGGATATATGGGGACTTTGGTACTCACCTATTAGATATTCCAATATCATGTTCCAACCAATTATAAAAGCTACAAATTCTCCAACTGCCACATATGAATACATATAGGCCGAGCCGGAAGTGTGCGGCACACGAACGCCAAACTCCGCATAGCAGGCGCCTGTTGAAAGATCAGAATTGATTAGAGATTAGGATCAGGATCAGCTATTCATGATATGAAAGGCTAACTGGACTGGGAATTAGAAAACTAGATTTAATCTAATTCAGCCTATGTAAAAAATAGCAATTAGTATTATAGAATTTCGTTTTTAGTTTTATGATCAGTAAGTATCTTTCGACAGTAAGTTACTCTGAACAGGAAGTATATATGACCAGAAAGTATGTACGATCATGTATGATGTATGATATGAACAGTAAGTATCTATAACCATTAAGAATGTATGATCAGTTACTAACTTTGAACACTAATAAACAATGACTTGCAACTTTTGTAACACAACACATATCTGAGACTTGGCCGGCAGCAGTCACTTCGTTCCGGGGATGCTAGAACCAGTTGGGAATCATATGCACAGATGTGCGAGATTTGTTTTGGAACATATTTAGGAGCAAGCTATTTGAATGAAACTATGGAGATATTCTTCTGTATAATTTTACTAGCATATAAGTCGGAGCATGGTGAATCGGTGGACTATATATATACATATATATAGCTGACATAGGAACAATCGGACGATATATAGAACAATAATCAGTAATTAAGTATGACCAGTAAGTATCTATGACCAGTAAGTAACTCGGAACAGTAATTAGCTATGACCATTAAATAACTATGATCAGTAAGTATTTATGAACAGTAAGTAACTTTGACCAGGAAGTTACTTTGATCAGTAAGTATCTATGACCAGTAATTAACTCTGATTAGTTAGTTTCTATGAACATTAAGTAACTATGAGCACTAAGTAACTCTGAACAGTAAGTACCTATGACCAGTAATTATCAATGACCAGTAAGTATCTATGATTAGTTACTAACTTTGAACACTAATAAACAATGACTTGCAACTTTTGTAATACAACACATATCTGAGACTTGGCCGGCAGCAGTCACTTCGTTCCGGGGATGTTAGAACCAGTTGGGAATCATATGCACAGATGTGCGAGATTTGTTTTGGAACAAATTTAAGCTATTTGAATGAAACTATGGAGTTATTCTTCTATATAATTTTACTACTATATAAGTCGGACCATAGCGAATCGGTGGACTATATACATATATACATATATATAGGGGCACAAGGAACGATCGGAAAATTTTAAGAAAAAAATTATAACTTTTCCAGTTTTCAACAGATTTTCATCAAACTTAATATATAGTCTTTATATATTAATCTAGAATTTTGTGTAAAATTTGATGAAAATCGGACAACTATATCATATAGCTGCCATAAAAACGATCGTTAAAAATAGAGGAAACTGCAAAACGGTCGTTTTTAACATAAATATGTATAAATTATATTTTATTAATTTCTTCGGCATGCCGAAGTTACCTTCCTTTCATGTTTGTCATTTAAAATAATCAAGGCAAGTAAGTCAAGGCAGTTTTTAAATTAACTCAAAGCTATATCCCTTAAACCCTTTTTTCATATTTAAATTACATTTCTTAATGGATAAATCTCCAATTAATCTGGTCAATCTGTGCAACAATGGCCTTAGAATCCTTTTTGTTCATGCGACTTAGTCCAATTAGCCTGACGACATTCAGAGTTGATGGGGACACGTCCTCCTAGGGACTCTCTTTCTGTATTTTACCTGAGAATATACTCGCTATGGCGGCTATAATAAAACTAATAATCACACCGGGTCCGGCTATCTTCTGGGCCACCATGCCGGCCACCAGGTACATGCCCGTGCCGCAGCAGGAGCCAATGCCCAGCGAGGTCAGGTCCAGCGTGTTGAGACATTTCTGTGGCGAGGAAGAGAAAGACACAGCTGCAGCTGCTATAGGAGGGGGATCCATAATCCTGCGTTTAAAATCCAGACTCACCGTTAGCTTGGGCTTCTGTGGCTGTGCGTTGCCGTCCTGCAGCTGCTTCACGTCCTTGGTGCGGATGAGCTTCGGCAGGAGCGTCGTCGAGCTGACTCCCGGCGGCAGGGGCACCCTGAACTTGACCTGCAATTGGAGCGAACGAGCAATTAATTCAACGAGGGCCCACGTTCGAACAGCTGCCACTGAAAGATGAGTGTCCTGGCACCATCCTTCCTCCCCTTCCCCCCACACCTCCCCCACAAAACACCCAACCAGAGGCGAGTGCTCTTCACTGATAACTGATGGCAAAGGACAGCACAGAGCAAGGACTTTGGCAATCGATTTTTTTTGCAACAAGTCCTGCCTGCCTGCCCTTGCACGCTGTTGAATCCACCTCCATCTTTGTAGATGATTTAAACATTGTCGAAAGGAATCTTACATGGGATTGCAGGTATTTATATTTAAGGATTGCAATTATAGTTCAGTTCTATCAGGTAAGTTCCGGTGTTCACTTTCACACGATTTGATATGAAAAACGATATGAAATACGAGTAAGTTTGTCATTGCGAATTCAGATACATTTTGACCTTATTTTCAAAGGAAACAATTAATTTAATAACAAAATTACTTTTGTTCGTAAGTGGATAATGTCAACAATTTAATTTCTATTTTTAATTCAAAGCTTTTCCACCACGCCTTATTATTTTCGTTGAAAGCTAGCACATGATCCTGGAATTAATGAGAATTCCTCTTTTAAATACTTGTTTCTAGGAATCTCCAAATGCCATCGTCTGTCACAATGAACGTGCCTTGAATTATTTAAAATTGAAAGTCAACTTGGTGCTGAAGGAAGTGTATTTCCTTTTGGGGGTTGTCAAATCAATTAGGTTCCTATTTTAAAGTCCCAACAAACATCACATATTAAATATTTCAATAACAAAACGATTGTAAAAAGTTTGTGAAAACAGAAGCACCAAATACAAATTTATTTTGAGAACTGTGAAATATAGGTCATAGGTTTTTGCTCTATTTTAATTAATTTTAGATTCACATCTATAATTATTTTATATCTTTCTTGAGTGAAAATCACCATAGGCTAAGCAGCGATTTTATCTGCGATTCGAACTCCAGAAGATTCTCTGAACTACTGACTCCTGTTTTCCACATTTCTGCCTAGGCAACCTCATCGCTTGCATTTCCGGCAGAGCCTTGCCCGCTTTGATGTCAGCCGCAGTGGCCAACTTCATTTGCTTTCCAGTTTCCCAGCTAAATGCCATGTCAGCGGGCAGATAGTCAACCGCAGATGTACCACCTCCACTCTCTATGTCTCTATGGTGGGCAACTTGGTTCAGTTCCGGGACAGGCAACGGGCAGGCCTTGACGCAATCAAAGCAACCGGAGCAGCCCAGTCCTCCTACTCGTGGTCGTCCGCCGGATCCTCTGCGGCACATCCCATTTGCCATTTACTAGGAATCATAGCCATTAACCTTCGACCCGCTCCCTCGGAGCCCTCGTTCTCGAACCCTTTGTATTCCAACAAGTTGCATGCTGCGGCGACATTTGTCGTCCCCATTTATTTTTTTCCCCCCTTCTTTCAAGGCTCTCCCGGAGCTTGGGCATGATAAGTTGGCCGCAGGTCCTGGCGATATTAAATAAGTGCCGCAACGACAGTAGTTTTATGAATTACATTCCAACTTGTATATTATATTTATTTTACTAAAACTATTTTTAGTATAGATAATTCAAGAGGCAAGAAAGTGAAAGAAAACTAATATATTATTTGCATAATTGGAATTGCCACCAAATATTAAAGGTCAATAGGGGACACTTTAAGTTGAAGAAGTTCGAAAAACTAGAAAATTTCAATTTCTGCTAAATGTCAAGTATTCTAACCAAGTATTTAATTAGTTTTGAGCAAAGGATCATGTTTATAAACAGTGCAGTTAACTAATTAACTTTAATAACTTGTTTTAAGGAACGATGCATACAAACAAATATAAACTTCCCTCCCGCTTTTGCTTGGGTATTCCCAGCTTCGACCCCCAGACAGTTCCTGTTCCCGGTGGCCCTTATATGTATACACTCTTTTTTTTAGCGAGTTGGCGTTATAAATGGCTTGCCAGAGCCAGGGGATGAGTCGCACTCAGCTGCAGTGGCAGCCACACAAAAGGTCACCCCCTGTCCAGGAAGGATCTGGACGGGCTACCAGAGGATAATCGCACAGTACTCCAGCATCCACAAGTGGAAGGCAACTCCTTAACCGAGAGTGAATGAGGCATCTGCACGAATACAAATATATTAACTGTTCTGTCCAAGAAAACAAAAATTAATAATAATAATAATAATAATATCGAAAGATCTCGAGGCTTATTTACTGAAATTTAATATTATTATTTGATTTGTACTCTTTTTATATGATGGTAAGAAAAGATATATTAACTTCGCCTCGTTTATTTTTCCCTCTGTGCGGTGGTGCTTTGATGTAGCATACTTCTCGGCTGGCTAAGCTGGTCTTGCTGCCTTTCATACACTGCGTATGAGTGATATTGCCATAACAAAGCCCCGTTACTTTACGCTCGCCTCGTCTCACTTGCACCTAATCCGGCCCCAAAACAGATGCTTTATTTATAGAGACATACCCCCCTCCCCCCATCCCTTCCTTCTCGTATCTCGCCCTCCGGCGGGATAAACTGGACAGCGGAATTGGGATATGAGGGGGATGTAGCTGGTGAAGCGGGTGTGGGATTGGGGATTTGGTCTAGGGACGAGCGGCGGCTCCAATTACAGCTGCGGCTGTAAAGGGCCAGCGCAACAGAAGTGGCAATAAAGATAACGGAAAGCCAAAAAATGTGGGGAAGTGTGTGTGTGTGTGTGTGTGTGTGTGTGTGCTTGGCTGCGTGCTTGTGGGTTGCTGTGCCATCCCTTTCGCGCACTCTCCCAATCTTTACTTGTGTGTGTGTGGGTGCCTTCTCTTGTTGTTGTTTTTACGCTTCGGCATTGGAGCTCACTCAGAGTTACTGTAACTGCTGTTGCTGTTGTTGTGTCATACTTGCCAGTATGTGTGTGTGTGTGGGAGCGTAATTGTGTGGGTGAGCAGCTCCTCTGCCAAATGGATTTGCATAAGTTCACACGCAGACACACTGTGTGTATGTCTGTGTGTGTGTCTGCGTCGGCGTTCGGTATCATAATGACCTTTTTACGGCATAGCATTACAACAAAGCTTCATTCACACACACACGCACAGTCACAAATACACGCAAACGCACGCACACGCACTCGCTTTGGGGTTTTAATGTGTGTAAGGACTCCAATTTTAGCAGTGACCAAAACTCTGTGTCTGCTTCAGTGAAGAATTATTAATAAAAATACACCTTTCGGTGTGATTCCTTCTTCTTTATTTTACATCCTGGCTCACTCACCTTCTCTAGGACCAACAACAAATCCGATGGCTTCATTTCGCTTATCTGCTTCCTTTTCCGCTCGTCCTGTCTTCCCTCTTTCCCTATCTTTTTCTCGCTCTTGCACACTGTTTGTCTTTGGCTCTGGTCTCTGTCTAACCGACTCTGCCTTCAACAGTTATTAAAGCGAAGGATGGTGCAAAAAGAGCAGGCAATGTTGTTGTTGTTGCTGTTGTAACTGCTGTTGCACTTGACTGCGCTGACTTCGCGATTTGGGTACCGTTAGCTGCTGCTGTGTTGCTTAAGCTTGCTCTCTCGCTTTCACTCCCTTTCTCTCTTTCTCTCTTTATCTGTGCGAAAGGCGCGTTGTTGCTGCTCCTGCTGCTGATGGTACCGTTACCGTTGCTGCTGTTACTGTTGCTTTTGCTGTTTCTTTTTTGTGCCTCACATTGATTTTTGTGTGCAACGTCATTCTATATTCAACAGATAACGGCTGTTGAAGGATCCGCACCCGTTGCTGTTCGTATTCAATTTTCACTTTCGGTTTCGCTTTTCTACCAGCACTGTCACTGTCACTGTCACTTTCTCTACCTCTACCGCTCCCTCACTTTCCCCACCGCTCGCCGTTGTTCCGCGCCTTCGCCTTCACGTGGCCCCAGAACACACACGCACACTCGCGCACCCGAACACCCGAATGGAACTGCAGAATGTCCGCTTGGGATTTAATATGAATTTCCTTTTTTCACAGTTGCACACACAAACAAAAAGTCGAATTGGACCGTTAATCTCTGCGTTTCAAAGTTAATTTTTGAGTGCTTTCCACAATTTTTCGGTCGCTTTATTGTAGCACGTTTCTTGCAGGCGGTCGCGCTTCTCGCCTCTGTATTCGGTGAATGAATGCCTGCGATTTTTCCGTGTGTATCACTTTTCGGTGGAGCGAAGCGATGTGAAGCGAAAAAGTGTGCTGCTGCTGCTGGTGCTGCTGCTTCTGCTACTGCTGCTTCTTCTTTCTACTTCGCTTTTGGCCTTTCTTCGTGCCATTCCTTTCTGCAGGAGAGCTTTTCGCCTTACAGCCTTTACATGCGAAGCGGCGAAGTTGCCAGGCCGTGTCGCGAATATCTGGCAACGCCGCGTCTCGCGGACAGGAAGTTTCCTGTATCTATAACAGAGTTTCGCCTGACTTTGCCCCAAAGCTACAAGTTTCCCAACTTTCGATTTCGCTCTGCTCGCTCTCGCTCTTTCACACGCACACCGGCGCATACCCATCACATGCGCTCCCTCTCCTTCTCGTCCTCGTCCGCTCTTCTGCCCTCTCACTCTCTCTCTCTCTCCGCTCGAAAGTAGGCAATGAAAAGTGCAAGCAACAAGAGCGCAAACGCACCCCAACCCACCACACTCTCCCCTCTCCACAATCCAACGTGCGCGTAGGCGTTTGTACTTTCGTTTTTTTTCGGCTTCTTTTATGTTTGTATGTGTGTATGTGTGCGAGTGTCTCTCAAGAATATGTAAATACACACGCTCCCCAGAGGCGCCGCTGTTATCCGAATTGTGTAACGGTACAAGCAGCTTATGTGTGCGCACCTGTTAGCTGTTACCTGTCTGCCCCCTCCCCCTCGACTGCTGCCGCCCCGCGCTGTCAAGCTGGCAAACCGTTATCGCATTTGAAGCTGCTCAAAGCTCAGCCATCAAAAGGGATAATCGCTAGCGCGTGTGTTCGCCACCATTCGTCGCTAGATGGCGCGCGAATATCCTGGATTTGCGCCGAGTATCGCTCAGAATCTGGCAGGACTTACCTCTAGCTTTAGAATGGCTATAGCATAAAAGCCCCAAGGACCAAGGAGTTGATATGCAAATCAAAAGAACTGCTGTTTTGTTAGAGGGCAACAGTACGTATGAGTGATAAATGGGCAGGCACAATGTTTTATGAAATTCATGGAGGGCACAATGGCTGGTACCCATTACAAAAATAAATATTTAAAGGATTTTGATTAGTTATTGCTTTAAGCCCTCAGTTTTCCAATTCTTTTCCTACTTATGTAGAATATATATTCATTTCCAACAAGGATCTTCTATTTACTTATAAATACTTTTACAATCTATACTTATTTCGAGTTGTGGGCCCAAGCAGTTAGTTCTAATTAAGTAATTTATTTGGTTTAGTATTATATACTATATTTAATTTGAAATAATAAAATATATACATAGTAAAAAAATCATTTACAGTTCCTGAAATCTTTTAAATATTTCCGTTGCATTGTTTCCTTTAATTTTAGGGCTATATAAAGGACAACCATTAAACTTTCCTTTGAAAACTGAATAAACCTGGAAAACTAATCATACATTTCAGTTCTATGAAATTTTACATTTACAATTTAGATACATAATATAAATGAATCTCTTTCTTAGAATACTAAATCATTTTCCCGTATTAAAAAATAAGCATAAGCTGTTTCAGGTCTCAGTGGAAAATATTCGAGTTCAATAACCCCTCCCACTATGCCAGAGAAGAGGCAGATATTCATAGAGATTCGATGTAACGCTCGTATTGAACAAATGTACATACATACATATGTATATGCCTCTCATCTAAAAAGTTTCCTTCGCTAAGATATTGCCACGAATGGCAGCGGTTTGGATCGTATCCGCGGTGGTAGCCTGATGTCTGGTCCCTAGCCTACGGTTGTTAATACGCCGCTTTAAAAATAGCAACTATAAATCTTATGTACTCTCGTCGCCGCTTGTCATTGGCATACAACGTTCGTTGAACGTTCCCCCGCGGATATCTTGAGAGGAGCACATAGATCTGGTTGCCACTGGTGATTCTGATGATGGTGCTGGTGCTGATGGGGCTCTTGTTGTGTGCATCCAAGCCCATGTAAATCCGCCACATGCACTCACTCATCTGTCCATCTGTCGGCCCAAGAATGCACTTGAAAAAATCAATAGAACAGGATATGGAAAATGGTATTCAAAATATATGTTATATGAAGAGAAATTTAAATATTTATAACTTAATATATGTGAGCTTTATCAAGTTCTCATTTACGAACATATGTTTAATTAAAATTTAGCAAAATCTCTTCTTATTTCTTTAAATTCCCAAATTGAAGGCAACTTAAATCTTTAAAATAAGTACGGTTTATCTAGGGTTGTAAGGTACATCTTCATCTAAGGTTCCTTAAAATTACCAAGCTCATATTCCTCAAATATCTATATCTTTCTGTATTTTCGTTTAGTATTTTGGAAATATACATATTTATCTTTTTGAAATAAGTACGGTTCCAATACTATTACTTCATCTTCATCTAAGGCTCCTTTAAATTCCCAATTGCACAATTCGCAACTATCTATCTCAGACTTATTTTTACAGATGGTATGTTTTAGTATCTAATAATGCCTGCTTGAAACAAAATAACAATTTGCTGCAAGTGTACACACATGTTTGCATCTGTGTGTTGGTATGTTTGTTGGGCTGAAACTATCGAAACTAATGTTACTCGAGTTGCCAATGGGGGAGAAACGATCCTACAGTCCACGCTGAAGATCATCGGACCCAGAAAGAGAAACAGATTCAGATTCTGAAAAAGATTTTAAAGCAGATTCAGATACAGCTACAGATACAGGCATACAGATACCGACGTACAGATGCACATACAGACATCGCAGCTACAGCTACGACCACGATCGTGATGCTGTGGCAGAGGCGAGGAAATCTCAAGGAGGGGATGCGAATGGGAAATGGTAGGGGGAAATGGGCATGGCGAAGGGGTCGGGGGCGGGGACGGACAGCAACTACAGAAACGGAGCGTAAGCAATGTTAACGAGTAAAAATCAAGAAAATTTTAGTTCTAAAAATAACCATTGTACTCATTTTCGTTTCAAAACGGAAAGCAGCCGCCAACAACAGCGGCGGAATATAACGAGAAACGACCGAAAACCAATAGCTATAAAGCGCAAAGATACTGAGATACTTGCACTCTGCGCAACGGCCCCAGATACAGATACAAAATACAAAATACAAAACACAGATTCAGATACATCTACAGATACATAGCATCCACGGGATTCTTGGCAACGCCATCGGGGCGAAATACACATACTGATTTTACATATACTATGCGCATTGTACTTGGCATTAAATTAATAACTATTTGGAAAATTGCTCAACCTGAAGGCGAAAACTAAAAGATAGATATTACTAGATGATACTTATGAAACCTCAATGAAATGATGTATTCAAATCCCTTGTTTATAGTTTATTAAAGTGTCAGGAATGTGTTAAAGCTTGGTGCAAATAAAGACACTTGGTATTTTAATTAGAAACATTGCAAGAACTGGAAGATGTTTATGATAAATTGTAGCTTACTACCCTATAAAAAATATGGCTAAAATTAATAATCCCATCCCATCACAAATGTCCCATCTCCGTAGCCTTTTAATCTTAGCTTTTACCAGTAGCTAGTAGCATTTGTCAATTTAGATGCCGGCTTTGATAACAGTCCGGGCTGGCTTCGAATTCATATTACAGTAGCAGATAGCTATTCTATTCTATATATTTTAGTTTAGTAAACTGTATTTACTATTACACAATTATTTCGACACTTTTTTATTGGGGTCATCATTAGCATTTCCTAATCACAGTAGGAAGATGGTTCGCTTCGCTTGTGGTTCTTCCTGGTTCCGAGATGGCAGATGACAGATGGTGCCCCAAGTCGGGCCTAGGGACCAACTACCAAACTGCAGTGATAACTCATTGGAACCGCGATAACCCCGACGCCACCGCCGTCTAACACTGTTTTGGAGCGTACAGAGATTATCGTAACTACGCGCGAGACGACTCAATGCCCATTCCCCGTGCTCTCTGTGCCTGGGATTTCTGCGCCGAATTCGGATCTGAGTCCGAATCAAGCAGTTACACTTTGGTGCTCCAGATCGGACAAGATCGGGGTTCTATATAGTCCACGGAGAAGCACAAAGAAGACATTAAGGGGAACAGCGTTCGGCGAGAGAGAGAGAGAGAGAGAGAGATCGTAAAGCGAACCACATAGTACGGATGCAGATACAGCTACAGCTACAGCCACGGATACATACACTTATTTTGGATTACAAATAGAATACGATCGTTGCCAGCGGGTGTGATTGTGTGTGTGTGTGTGTGTGTATGGTATATGTACTAAAAATTAAAAATAACGGTGGGGCCCGTGAGTAAAAGTTGTATAGCACCAGCAACGCCAACAAGTTCAATCCCCGATCCCGATACCTCGAAAGTCGAACATTTTCGGAAATTACCAGATACCATTCTTTCGGAGATTGATCCATACATGTGACTCAGGCTAGGCTGATCAATGAAAATAGTCAAACACTTTTGGAAAGCGGGATCAAAGGGTTCAAACCAGAGCCCACAATAGAGTCATTTGATTACGCCTAGTACCACACACTCGTCCGGATGTCATTGCATATATCTGCATATGCTTATAGGCAAAAAAATTCTTTGTATACTAAGCTAATGTTTTACCATATATAGTAAATCCTACTGGGATCGTATACTTGAATAATATGCAAATGCACGTCATTGATAGACCTCTTCTTGGGCAATAATAAAGGAACGGAAGGGTAAAGTAATGAAGTTGATCCTATAATCCTTTGTAATTCTTTAAAAGTTTAGAAACATATTCTACACAATCTTATGGGTTAGTCACTGATCATAACATTTAATTATAGAATCGCATCGGAAGTCAATCAAATTTAGGCTTAAAATTTTTGTAGTCCTTCAATCAATATTTATATATTTTTATATGACAATCAAAGTTTCAAAAACTCATAAGGGGTATACAAATAATGAAAAATAATATCTAAGAGTTAAGATACGTAAAGATCTTTAAAGTTACCTGTAAAAGTGAATAACTCGAAACCTGTACATAATATTCAAAGTAGATAAATGGACATGTGTAAAGTGGATTTTCTCATATGGTAACGGGGACACAAAATGTCCCCAGTTTCCACTTGAAAAACGGATTCCAACTTGTGACAGATGTTTCCTAGATCCCTGATGTCCTGCTACAGTTGCGTCGCCGCCACGGAGATCATCAACCCAAGTCGAAAGTCGACGCAAAAAAGGCAACCGGAGCCAGACCACTTGGGGTGCCAATGGGCATACTCGCATCTATTTTTAGGCTACGATTTTTCCTTCCCACTTGGCCCTTCGTAGAGCAGCATCCATCCTCCCTCTCTGCCCCCGCACACACACACACACACACACACACCCAAACTATGGCTGACTGAGAGAGAGCACGAGTGGGAGAGCGGTTCCTGGAGTCGGGAATCGGAGTAACTGCTTCCCTTCTTGGTTTTCGGTTCTTGGTTGTTGGTTTATTGGGAATCTTGCTAGCTGCTGCTGGTGCTGATGCTGCTGCTCCGTCGCTGTGCTGCCATAGACGTTGCCGTCCGTAGTAGCTGTAGCCCGTCCGTAGTCGCGTTCTCTGCCCGATTCTATAAGTAGACATACATATGTATTTATGTATATTTATATACACGCACACACGTGCGCCCAGCTGTGTATGCGCCACACATGTGCACCGGCGACGGCGGCGAGAGAAGACATCGCCCAGCGCCATCGTCTCTCCGCCGCAATCTACCAAGTTAGAGCAGCGCCGTTCCGTTCTCTGTCCTCCGTTCCGAGTTCCCACTACGAGGAGGAGCAAAGCAGAGCATTCGTTCGCCTAACGATCGTAGCAGTAGCGTCCGTGTGACTGTGTGAGTGACCTGCCGCTGAAAGTGTGTGTGTGTGTGCCGACTGCCGTTAGTATCGACAACGGGATCGCCACGAAAAGTTCAGTTTCAGTTTCGTTGTTGTTTCGTTTGGTTTGGTTAGTTTAAGTTGGTTAGTTGGGGTCTTAGGACGGCGGAAGACGGAGAACGGTTTGTCCAGTGAGAGGAGTGCGTGCCGATTTTCTCTCAGTGCGTGAGCGTGAGAAAAACGTGGGGGGGGGGTCAGGTACCGAGAGTGAGAGACAGATTCGCACTAGTCGTGAGTCGCGTGACTTAAAGCGCGTGAGTGGCGATCACAGGAAGATCCGGTGGAGGCAAGGGACTTGTAACAACAAAAGCTTCGGCGAAAGTAACTGTAAACTTTAAACTGTAAATGCCTAGAGCAATACGAAACGGACCTCGTGTGTTGTTTGCTTGGACACATGTGCATTTGATGTCGTGATTTGTTTTATTTCTATTCCGTTCTGCTTTTCGTTCCTTATTCCCGTCGTTTGTGTGTTATTTTGTTTTTTTTTTATACATTAGTATAATGTTTTTTTTTTGTAGACGTAGCCGTAGCCGATGAGCCGCCGTCGGAGGCTAAAAGGTTAACTTCTAAATATTAATAGTCGTCGGTTGGTTGTCAACAATAAAATGCGAGTAACGCCAGCCACAGCCAATAACAATAGCAACAAAGAAAGAGTACAAAAATCGCGTTCATTCGTGGATTCCGTTTTCGGTGTTTCTTGTGCTTTACTAAATCGTTGTTTTTCTTGTTTTTTTTTAGTGTCATAGAAATTGTGTGATTTTAAAAATGATACCAAAGTGTAAATTCTAAAAAAGACAACTCTGGATAAAGCATGCGAACACACATGTACAGTTAAAGTTACTCGGAACATCGTAAACCGTTAACCGGTACACAAGTGTTACGTTACGTTCACGCTATACAGTTTTTGAAATGCAACAGTTAGACAGCCGTATTGGCATTAGTGAGAACACCACAAAACCCCGGAGCAGCTGCATCAGCACCGGCATCCACAGGAGACGCCGCTATTAGAAAAGAATCCATAGCGGAGAGCACATACAGAAGATCAAGCAGCAGGAGACGGCAAGGGAAGAGAGATCTCATCGTTACGCTTTCTCAGCAAAATAAAAAACAGAACAGAGCAGGAGGAGGACGTGGAGGAGGAGAGAGCGCCGAGGAGCGGAGGAGAACGAGTCACCAAGAAGCCGCTGACTACGACAGAATTCCCAAATGGTAAGCAAAGAGCGCACGGAGATCAGCTTCCAGGGAGATGCTGCGATAGGGCCGGGAGAAGCAGAGAGATGGCGAGATACAGATATTCGTGAATCTGCTGAGAGAGTGATCGCCATACACTCGGAAGTCAGATCAGATCGGATCGGATCGGTATGTTAATGTTAGAAGCCATTGCACGGATGATCTGTCTGCAGCAGTGCAGTAATGATGCGACACTCCGCGATCTCTATCCCAACCAGATCAGTTGTTAGTCATCGTACTAATCTTTCGAAGAAATTGCCAAGGCATGAATGAGTTTTGCTGGCCGAAATAATAATAGAACAGCCCATTCATGAAAGAGGGTAATATAGGCATTTATGAATGTTTATGTAGCTTTTTCACAGCTATGAAAAGGCATCACATCACCAATTCCACAAAGATCGGATATTAAATTTTGTAGTTTCCTAGAGTTAAGATTCTAAACCATTGTGAATTCAGATAGGAGTCAAAATACCCTATATTCTCTTGAAAAGATAGGAAATATACTTGACTGATTGGCAAAGATACAGTCAATCTGGAAATAGACTGAGATTGAGTGTACCCATTAGGTTAAAAGATCGAATTAAATTTAAAATACACTGTTAGGTTCTTATTTTAAATATAACAATTACAAAACAATTACTAGAAAGTCACAGATAATACCAAATAAATTATCGTTAGAAAGTCGTCCTAACTGAAGACTCCTTTTGTCTTTCTTTTTATCTCAATTGTAACACAATTCGGTGGTTAACATTTCTCTGCTACTTGGTATCGTTCAGATAAATTACAGATAAAGAAAAAAATTATATTTACCTTAACGACAAGTTTATTTTGTCTTTAACAATTAGCAGAAAGAGGAGACACCAGATATAAGAATCTAAACATTTATCTAAACAAGACTTTCTTAAACATTTAATTAGGATTTTTATTATAAGATTTATTCTTATATTTATTATAAGATCTCGGACTCGAATCAAAAACGTGTAGCAAAAAGTCATACAAATCGACCTTCAGAAGATTTGCTTTATTTATTTAATTATTAAATTAAATTTAAATGGGCAAAGCCCATCTAATATGGCTAGGTTACAGTACTCTTTTTGCAGTTTACACATATCTATAGTATATATAGAATATTTATCCTAAAAAAGCACGAATCCCATATTTCATTTTCCACACATAGTAAGAGTTCGTTCATACAAAAATAGTTTAACTAAAAACATGATTTAAAGATTTCGTTTTTTTGTACTCCATAAAATAACGAAAAACCAATTAAAAGTGAATGTAAAAGACAGAAGGCGCAGCATCACCAGACTAATCGATTTAGCATATCCTTATCTGATTAGAACAGATTTTTTTTGCTCTTAGTTATAACATGTTTATTTATTCATTTAAAAAATTATGCTTAATTAGCAGCACTAGTGTTCAACTCCAGAGAGGATATATATATTAAAAAAAATATATATATAAGATTCAGCCATTCTATACTGATCACTCATCGTCTATATTCACAGGAGACAAAGAATCAGCCACCGGTGACGAGCAGTTACCACCATCAGCGGGCACCGCGTACTCCGGAGTCGTACTTCAACGTGCCGGAATCGGTGGCCCTGCTGAATATCGTCAAGTCGGAGCGCATCCAGAGCGCCTTCCAGTCCAACCGTAAGAACCATGCCAGCGTTTGGGAGATGGTCGCCGAGGTGCTCAACCGCTTTAGCGCCCGAAAGCGGACGGCCAAGCAATGTTGCAATCGGTATGAGAACCTCAAGAAGATCTACACACAACTGAAGAAGAATCCGGAGCGACATGTTCGCCGCAACTGGCCATACATGTTCCTGTTCAAGGAGATCGAGGAGCAGCGCGGTGAGTGCTGGGGCTCCAATGGCAAGCGCATAGCGCTCATCTCCAAGAACCACAACGAACTCTCCTACTACCAGCGACGCAGGCAGGCGGCGGAGCTCAGTGTCCTGCTCAACAAGGACAACCTTACGCCGCACCAGCACAGTCTCCTGCAAAGCCTCAGCCAGAGCCACACGCACTCGCATCCCCACTCGCATGCCCACTCCACGGACTCCTCGCAGAGCGGGAGCAAAGTGGAGCGCTTCCTGCCCAATCACTTCGTGGAAACCCAGCTGAATGATGTCCCCTGTCCCAGTGGCAGTGCGGGCAATGGTGGCGTCGGTGTCGGTGGCATGCCCAGCGGCGTCTATGACGAGAATCCCCTCCAGCTACAGGTAGCTGCCGCTGCTGCAGCAGCCGCCGTTGCTGTGGCCGCCCAGAAACGGCATGAGCTTCAAATGGGACAGAATGCCGGTGGTCCTCAGATTGCGACTGAGGAGGACGACGAGGATGACCCCCAAGGGGCTGCATTTAAGGATCACCTTCATGGCCACAATCATAGTCATGGGTTGGGTCATGGCCACCCCCATGGTCTGGGCCATGGTCCGTTGGATGATTCTGGGGAGGCACCCGACTTCGAGAAGCACACCAATGGAGCCCTCAACTTGCATCACCAGAACAGCAGCCAGCATGACAACAACATATCCATGAAGTGAGTAAAGATCGTTTGCAAGGGATGATCTGGGGGATCACAATAAGATATATTATGTATCTATTAAATCTTTAGGGCTTTCCATAAACGCAAGTACAATACTACCTAATACCTATACTACCTACAATACTACCTAAGAGAAAATATTTATGATTAGGTTTTAAATTAAATTCAAAAATTATATTTCTTCCATCTTCAAAGAAAAACTAGTATTTGCTCTATGTATTCACAAATACTTCTATTTATAGGGTTAGATATAAAAAGATGGAAAGATATACAGAAAGAAAGAGAGAAATATAGTTAAATGGCGAGTGAGATGGATAGAGAGAGAAATTGAGCTTGAAATTGAGATTGAAAATAAGATTGAGATTGAGTTTGAGATAATGATTGAGTTTGAGATAGAGACTGAGATTGTTTTTGAGTTTGAGATAATGATTGAGTTTGAGATAGAGACTGAGATTGTTTTTGAGTTTGAGAATGAGTTTGAGTTTGAGTTTGAGTTTGAGTTTGAGTTTGAGTTTGAGTTTGAGTTTGAGAAAGAGACTGACACAGTCCCTTCACTAAATTCAAAACTTTTAACTCGACCCTTCCACGCAAAGCTTTTTAACAAGAATGTCAACGCTGCGTATGCGCAATGGCAATAATTAAAAGTATATAATTACATACATTTAGTCAGAATATTCATTTTCTCTGCTGCATTTCTTAATTATAGATGAGCTCATGTTATGTTATATTTAATATTGTTGCATAAATAAGAAAACCTGCCAACCCCATCAAAATGTTATTACGCATAAGTAATATTATCTTCAATTAAAAGTAAATTGATAGGGTGGAGACAACTCTAGGACAGGGTCCAGAGAAATTTGGAAATCCTAAAAGTTTTTTTGACAGGAAAGCAATCACAATTGTGAAACAATTATTGAGAGCGCATTTACAAATTCATTTTCTTTGAGTCAAAAAATGGCTCGAACGCGATTAAGACCTGGGCAAGTTGCCAAATCGTGTAAAAACTAAAGGCACACACTTAATTTCTGTTCTCTGCAGATCTGAGCCACTCTCGGAGGGGGAGTTCAACCCGGACGATATCCAACTGATGCCATCGAACTACAATGGGTGAGTGTAGTGGTGAGGGGGGGGGGGGGTCCGAGCACGCCATGGCATCGACTCTCTTTCTGACATTCCTGTTTCTTGCAGCGCCCAAAACTTCTACTCGCAGGGTCTGGATCCCAATATCCTGCATCCGGACGTAATCGTTGACACCGATCATCTATCCGACTGCACCTCATCCACGCTGATGAAGAAGAAGCGCAAGCTGTCCACCTCGACCGATGGCGACAGCACAAACTACGAGCTAATCGAGTATCTCAAGCGGCGTGAGAAACGCGACGAGGAGTTACTCAAACGGATGGATGCGCGAGAGGAGCGGCTGATGGGTCTGCTGGAGCGTACAGTGGTGGCCATTGAGGCGCTGGCCGTGAAACGCCTGCAGCCGCATCTGCAATCGCAGCTGGCTGCTCCTCCGGCGCCTATTTCGAGAAAGATTGCAGGGCCGGTGGTTACGGTGCCGGTAATAGTCCCGCCAGCAGATCCCACAATTACACTGAAAGAAGCACGCTTGGCCAATCCATCACCCGCGCCTTGGAGATCCGTGGACAACGATCACTGTTCAACGAGCGCTGACGCCCACTCGACCGATGCGCCTGTCGACGATCCCGATTGGCAGATCCTGAGCAAGGCTGCTGCCGAAGCCGCCGAAGCTGCAGAGAATGAAGGACTCCAGTCAGCAGCCGCAAGAGCAAGCCAGCCATAGAATACGCATACGTGCCACAACCCGCCACAAATATTTATGCCTAGACGCTCGAACTATACCTACTCACACCTTCCACTCATACTCCCCCTCAAATCGCGAGGAGAAGGAGGACAACACACAGTGCCAAAGACGAGACACGTCTCGAATTTTAATTGAGATTGCCACGCTTACTTAGGAGATGGATGAGCCAAGCCGAGCCAGCGGACAAGAGAAACTTAATATGGAATATTGCCGGAATAGCAATGTTTGTGCCACCAATAATTATATACTCTTTTGTTTTAAATTAACTTAAGGTTCAGTGCATGGACCAGGGAGGGAATCTCAGCCATAGCCTCAGCATAGGCTCTGCCTAAACTCAATCTAGTTGGAGCTGATATGGGGCTCAAATGCATTTTGTGCAGGAACAATACACAATTTCACATCTTTTTTTTGTAACCTAGATAAATATGATGTACGATTTTACAAACAAGTGGTTTTATTTTACAATACCTATGCTTACAATTACCTTGTATATCGGAGCCAGCCTCAGCTTCAATTTTTCACCGCCCGCTTGTTTCGTTTTTGCTTAATGTCCTTGCTGGGCTGGTTCTTCTTAGTCTTGGCTATCTTGTTGCTAATAAGCAGCTTAAGCCGGTTTCGCACCTGGTCGTAGTCGGCCTGATCCACCTCCTTCTTGGCGGACTTGAAGAACTTGGCTGCTTCTGCAGAATAACAAGAATGAAATTAAATTAAAATTAACAGTAGAGCTAGAGTGGACAACTTACCCTTTAGCCGAGGATCGTTTTTGGGAATGAAGAAGGACTCCATTTTTATCTTAGGCTTCTTCTGCTTGGTCTTTTTCTTTGCGGGTAACTGGTTTTCATTGCCAACTTCTTGCGGCTGCGATTCTTCTTTCCCCTGCGCATCCTTTTCCCCGTCGTCTTCGCTATCAGACGAATCGTAACTAAAGGGATTGATCGCAGCCAGGCCAAGAAGTTTGCTGGCCGAGGCGGAGTTCTTGCCAACTAGGATCTTCTCGGGACCGAGCTTCTCCAGCTGGTCCTGCCGCTTGGCCACCTCCTCGTCAGGAGCTTTGCCGAACATGTCCAGCAGACTGAAACCCTCGCCGCGCATGTTAAGCGATTCCTTTAGCGTGTCGGTAACCATGTAGAAGGCCGCCTTGGAGACAGGAGCAGGTGCGGAGGCATCACCACCACCACCACCAACGACAGTTTCCGCGTCATTCTTGACCGTCTTGATCTTTTCAGGCGGTAGCTGCTTCTGTCGCACCATTTTCTGATGGTCTTCCTTGGCCGGATCAAAGCGCAGCATCTTCTTGCTTTTTGCTGGCTTTCCATCATTTCCATTGGCGCTGGTTATCTTGTGTCCCACCACCTTCTCCAAGATGTCCATCTGCCATTGACGCTCGCTCTCCACTGGTGCTGGCTGTTCTTCCTCTTCATGTTCCGCCTCATTTTCCTCGTCGTCGTCCACAAAGGTAGATGTAATGCGGAATCGAGGATCCAGACTCTGCTTGCTCTGCATCTCCACCAAACGCTCTCCCTTCTTACCCTTGTGCTGCGGCAGTATTACCTGCTCGTTTTCCTCACCTTCCTCGTCGTCGGCGAATAGATCCCTTTTCGTCTTCTTGGCAGGCGCAGGCTCCGCCTCGTCGTCGCTAAACTTGATCCGTTTTGCCTGGCCACCGACTGATAGTGCAAGCTGGATGGCAGACTTCTTCTGCAGATGCTCCTGTCGCATCTTGTTCAGCGATTCCATACGCTTCTGGTCCGCCTTGCTAACCTTGGTGTCTGGCTGCTGTTTTGCAGGTTTCCGGTGCTGCTCGATGATGTGCAGCGGCTTTGCGTCGTGCTCCTGCTGGATAACAATCTGCATCGGAAAGTGGGGGGGAAGTTGATCAGTTTAGATTCCAATAAATGGATGTTAAGCGGATGGAGGATGCCTACCCTGCCATTGTGCATGGAGTGTGAGGCACGCTTCTTGGTAATGAGCAGTTCTGGTGCAATTTCGTCGTCACCAATCTCCTCATCCTCACCGAAAACCCGCCGCTTGTTCTGATTGCTCTGAGACAGCAGCTGGGAGCTTTGCACTGGCTGCTCCCAAGCCTCTGGTTCGCCCTGCTCTCGCCGCTGATTCTCCTCGCGCTCCCGCTTCAGCCGATCCAAGAAGGACTCCTTGGCCAGCGAAACACGCAATTTGGCCCCGTGCAGCTTTTGCCAGTTGAGCTCGTTGACGCCTGCAAAGACCATTCCGAGATTATTAACCACTTGAACCCACTAACGCTGGGAAGACTTACAGTAGTCGGGGTCGTCCGTCTGCAGGGTGACGAAGGCTATCACCTTGGTGGCTCCATCCTGCTCCTTACGCTTCAGGTCTACGTGCTCCACATGGCCGTAGTCCTGGAACAGCCCCTTGAGGTCTGCCTCGGTGGTCCGGCTTGGCAGATCCGCCAAGAAGAAGCGGGTACCGCCCATCGCTCCTACGTTACAATTAAGTTTACGGATCAAGTACGCTCGGCACGTGTAGTAGCTGGACAAAAACAATGTAGGCGGGCAGCCAGTGTGACCACACACAGTATGGTTAAACGTATTCTTTTTTTTAAATATCGAAACTATCGATAGTGACATCGATGTTTAGCATTTCTCGCTGCAACGACAACTGGTCACACTCGCAGCAGACGTCACATACTTCTAATATTTTGTTTTGTTCTTTGTGCGAAAAGTTTAGAATTGCCGGAGAACGGGATTGCCATAGGGCAGAGCAGATCCGCAAGCGACGGCAACATGGCGAGCGGGACAAGCAGCGGAGCGACGGCCAGCACAGCGTCACCGCCGGCAGAGAAGTGGGGCTTTCCCCTGCAGGAGCTCTACCGCCTGGCGTTTGCCTTCTACAAGCGTGAGTGCAGTGAACTCGGGCTTCGTCGCAGTACCACGTAATCGCTCGCCCTCCCATTTCCCCTTTACCCATATTATGCAGAGAACTCGGGTAAGGCCATCCATCTGTCCTATGAGGACAACCTGAAGCTGATCGCGTTCAAGCAGCAGGCGGCACTCGGTCCGTTCAATACGAGCCGGGCGCCAGCTCTCGGCGTTCTGGACGTGATTGGACGCGACCGGCAGCAGCACTGGCAGCTTCTGGGAGACATAACGCGCGAGCAGGCCATGGAGGGGTTCGTCGACCTCCTGGACACCATGTGCAGCGCCTTTCGACCCTATATTGAGGCGGTGCGACAGGACCGCGACGAGACGCTGCGCAAGGAACTGCGCCGCATGGAGGCGGAAAAGGAGGCCCACGAGCGTCAGGAGCGTGCCCAGCAAGAGCTGCTCGAGGAGGGTTACAAGGAGGAGCTGCAGCGCCGCCAGCTGCAGGACGCGCTCAACAAGCAGACATACCAGCAGTTCAAGGTATTCATAGCCATGGCCCTCATTGATTTTTTCCCCCACTCCTTCTGCACCTGTTGTTTTGCTCCTCTATAATGCATGATAAATATCGGGGTAATTGCTGGGACCAGCCTTGGCGGCGGTCCCTGCCATTGAAAGGGGGTCACGACCTAGTTCTCAGGCCTGTCTGTCTGCCTGCTTGTCTGTATTGCCCTCTAATCCTTCACTCCTTTCACAGCTTTATGCAGAGAAACAGTTCCCTGGCAATCCAGAGCAGCAGGCCGTGCTTATCCACCAGCTGCAGAAGGAGCACTATCATCAGTACATGCAGCAGCTCCATTTGCAGAACCAGAATCAGCAACAGCACAGTCAGAGCCACGAGGCTGGGCATGAGGAGGACAACGCTTCTGGCAGCAACAATAACAACAGCAACAGTGGCAGCAGCAACAACATTCCCGATCTGTCCAACGCCATGACCGGTCTGAAGTTGGGCGACCTGGAAACGCAGCAGCAGCAGCATGCAGAGGAGCAGCAAGGCCATCCTGGCATTCACGGGCAGGAGGCAGTGCAGGAGCAGCACGGCAGTGACGAGTATGATGACTATGTAATGATACGACCGGCCAAGATCTGGACGCGTCCCGACATTGAGCAGTTTAAGACTGAGGTGTCCGCCGGTGATGGCGACGGTGTCATCACCATAGGCCACGGCGACACAGTGACGGTGAGACTTCCCTCCTCCGTGCAACCTTTGCTTTTCTCACATGTAGCTACTTGGCACTTGCAGGTTCGCGTGCCCACCAACATGAACGGCAAGTGTATCTTCTGGGAGTTTGCCACGGATAGCTATGACATCGGTTTTGGCATCTACTTCGAGTGGGCCAAACCCGTGACCAATGAGGTGACCGTGCACGTGAGTGATAGTGACGAGGATGAGGACTGTGTGGACGAGGACTATTTGTCTACCACCGAGGACCTGGAGTCGGGCTCGCTGTCGCAAGACCGCGGCGACGGTGGCATCGGTTCGATGAGCAACCCAACTGCTGCCCCCAAGGCTCCCATCTCCATTATAGTTCCCATTTATCGGCGCGAATGCTACAACGAAGTGTACGTGGGCTCCCACTCCTATCCCGGCGAGGGCGTCTACCTGCTAAAGTTCGACAACAGCTACAGTATCTGGCGCTCAAAGACCCTGTATTACCGCGTCTACTACGAGCGCTAAGAGGCCAAAAAAATGTGTATTTACTATCCATTAATCTTAGATGAATCCTATATGACATGTGCATAACCCCAGAAAGTCCCTTTTTGGTGTTGGGTGTTGTGGGTTTGTTGATGATGCCTTTTAGGCAGAAAAAGCTGCCAACTTGGCGACACCATCTCTTTTATTTTGCATAAAGTACATATTTTATTTATTATTTAGTTGTAATCTGACGAAAGAACAGTCCAAAATGAAATTTGAATTGAAACAATAAACAAATAACAAAACACTACTGTATGCGACGAATTTTTGTATTTTGGATTTATAAAAATGATTGTTTTCTTTGCAATAGAGAGATATTGTAAGATATAAAATAACAAACTTTTTTTAAAAAAAAAAAAAACCTCGATAGTGCAAAAAGAATCGATGTTTTGAAAACAATATGCAAACATCGATAGTGCTGTGATGTTTTGGCAGCACGCGCTCGCTCGCTCTCAGATGAGAGCGTTAACAGAACAGTGCTGGTGAATTTAAGAAATTGAGAGTGTTAACAGAACAGTGCTGCTGAATTTTACAGATTCAGAGTATTTACAGGGCTTACTTTTAGTTTCGATCCGATAGATACTTTTGTATCTTTGGGATATTAGTATCTTTGGGATATTAGTATCTTCGGAATACAAATTAAATTATTTTGCTGCGCTCCCTTTTTCCGTCCAAAACCGACAAAAACGAAAAGCATATAGCTACAAGCTAGGTTCAAACAGCTCTTCCATTTTCAAATAGGCTAGGTTTAGCGGGAAGTAAGCCAAAGCGTCAGCGTGTGATGTTTTGCCAGCACTAGTCACGGTTCTTGTAGCTGAAAAACTAAAAAGTTAAACAAAAATAGGGACGGCGCCGCGAGACTGTGTTAAACTCGGCGATTAAGATTTGACAAAACCATATATTTATGTAATAAACGGAACGCCGGAACGGCAAGAAAAGTTATGACCACGCCGACGGCAAGAACGTATTAGTATTCAACAGAATATTGGAAGGCCCCACCATCCATCCCAAAGTGCAAGTGCAAGAGCTCAATATAATTAACAACGTTTTTTTTTGCTCAAATCGGACGACAACAACAAACGCCGCGATCACATCGAACAAACACACACTCACACAGACACATACATATATCTATATTTTTTTAATTTCTCATTTTATTGCCGAAAAAGAAAAGAGAAATATAAAATACAGGACGCACACACACACATTGTGAGAGTGAGAGGGCAGCGGAGAAGAGGAAGCACGGACTTGAGTTCTTTCAAAGAAGAGGAGAAAACAAAAAGATAATATCGCCGGGGAACATCGAAAAGCCACCGAAAAGCAGCACATATTATTAAAGTTGGAGTGGGAGCTGAAAAAGACCGCGAAAATAACGACGAGAAACTTTTTTTTTCCACGCAACCTGGGAAGCCTCTTGTTATCGATTTTATGTTCTCCGTGTGCACCGTGCGCCGTTTGTGTGTGTGTTGCGCTCCCGCGGTTGCGTGCGTGTGTGTGTGTGTGACCACGGCATGTTATCAACAACAAAAAATAAAATATAATAAATAAATATAAATAAATAATTATAAAGCAACGAGTGGCGTAACATAAAACACAACAAAACCGCGTTAGCCGGTTGTTCCAAACCATCTCGCTCGCACGCATCTAAGATCGTCGTAGACTTCAATTTTATCAAATTTATTGTTGAATTTTATCCAATGATTTCGCTGCTGCAAATGAAATTCCATGCGCTTTTGTTGTTGCTATCAAAAGTGTGGACATGCATCTGTTTCATGTTCAATCGCCAAGTGCGAGCTGTAAGTAAAGTAATATTAATGTATACCGGGTGCAGTGCCTTCCCTAAATATGTATATCTGCCAGCATATGTAGTTAATATGTGTTAGTTAACGTATCAAATAATAATATTAAATAGTTCCCAACCCGATCCACAATCGACACGCGTTCAACTACCATAATGATAATAAAAAAAAGCCACCGCAGTGATAACGCCATATATATGTATGTACATATATGCATATTTATACATACATACGTACAGAGGGTACTCGATAAGTTTGTTCAGGGAAAGGAAGGTTTTACCAGTGTACCCTGTACCTCTTTTAACCGGCGAATTGTTCTGTAAAGCACAAACACGTCAATTTATCTGTCCGTTAAAATTTAAATGTGAGGGTAGAAATCGGATCTGAATCTTTAAACAGACATTTTTCAAATCCACTCTATCTGAAAGGATTGATATATAACAGGTCATTGGATTTGGATAATTAGTCTGCCATTAAATTAAATAAAAGTCAGTTTCTATATTTTAAACAATGTCAATTAATGTTAAACCCAATTAATATCAGATATATGTATGCATTAATATATAAAGTATAATGAATGGCTTTCATATATGGCTAATATTTGTTTATATGATAATTTAGCTCATTTTAATTGCACTATAAATCCATTTAAAGTCAATAATTATTGTGTTTCGGTAAAAGCTCACACGTCCGTTCAAATTTATTACGGTTTAAATGCGGGTTTTATTTATTGAATATTATAAATTGCTTTATTTTTTATTGGGTTTTCATTTTTTTAAAACATTTCTTGGGAGTTTTCTTATCAGAATACTTTATATTCCTTAAAACAATGCACTAAACAGTGCTCACCCGTCGTCTGCTTATCGCCTTTAGGGTTCTCGGTTTTTGGCCCGAAATCGTGACGCTGCAACAAGTAACTGACCTTCGACCTGGTGCTATTCTTTTCGTTTTACAAACTATAATACACTCTAGGTTTCGATAGCTTATCTAGCCCACCAGCACAGGAATATATCGACAAAGTTTGCTGATTGTAGCTCATTTTTGAATATTCTTCACTTTCAAATTGTTTGTTTTCATTTAAAAACAACATTTTTTGAAGTAGAAAAGACTAGATTAGAAGGATAACTTTGTAGCCATGTATGTAACATAACCGGCACCTCATTTTTAATCCATTAAATGTACTATTCCGTTGATTGTACTATATTAACTTTCTTAGTTTATCCAGTATCAACCGGTTAAATATGAACTCTTCCCGCTGTCACCCGTCTCGCGCCATCGCCTGAGCCTGGTGCAGCGAAAGACGCTGGTTTTGGACCTGGACGAGACCCTGATACACTCCCATCACAATGCGATGCCCAGGAATACGGTGAAACCGGGAACGCCGCACGATTTTACAGTCAAAGTGACGATCGATCGGAATCCAGTGCGATTTTTGTACATAAGCGACCGCATGTTGACTACTTCCTGGATGTGGTAAGTTTATAATTTAAATTATATTATATTCCATGTATATTAATGTTACCTTTGAATTGATCATTAATGCAGGTCTCGCAGTGGTACGACTTGGTCGTATTTACGGCTAGCATGGAGATCTACGGAGCGGCGGTGGCGGACAAGCTGGACAATGGCCGGAACATTCTCCGGAGGCGATACTACAGACAACATTGCACGCCAGACTATGGCTCATATACCAAAGACCTGTCGGCCATATGTAGTGATTTAAATAGGGTAAGGATCAAGTGAAATATTACAAATGAAATATTTAAATTTGTTGCTCTTGACAGATATTCATCATTGACAATTCGCCGGGAGCGTACCGCTGTTTCCCCAACAATGCCATACCCATCAAGAGTTGGTTCTCGGATCCAATGGACACGGCGCTGCTGTCGCTGCTGCCCATGCTGGATGCCCTGAGATTCACCAACGATGTGAGATCGGTGCTGTCACGGAACTTGCATCTGCATCGCCTCTGGTAGCAGGTGGGCCTCCTTTCGCTAGTGTAGTCTATCTAACTTTTTCGAAGGAGCGCAGTGTTGAGATACCTTCTTCAGAAATTAACAACAACAACAACAAATGGTGGTGCTGTGACACATTAACGAATTTTTTTTTCATTATTTTTACATATGTCAGTCTAATTGAGGAAACAAGAAAAGAAAAAAGTAAGCTAAAAGTTCAGAAGAGAGAGATAGAGAGAGCTCTAAAATCGATAGTTTTCTTATTTCGTTAATATACTTAATGAGACTATATAGATTTTTGTAACAAGCTAAAAACACGAATGCATACATATTTTGTGTAACAATTTTCCTGCTTGTTTTTCGATTGATTTTCCTCCTGTAAATGTTGGAGTTGTTTGTAGACCGTGTATGTATGGATGTTTTGAATATATATTAATATATATGTATATGTATATATATGTATAATTATATATATGATTATATGTATGTATGTAAAGTAAAAGCTCTTGAAATAATACAAAATGAAGAACAAATTTGTCAAGTTATATATATCATAATATTATAAAAGCAAAATAATTATATCTAAGGCACACTTACACCAAGAGTCTTGTAATTTCTATACTACGATTAGGGATTATATACATACATACATATAAATTAATGTAAACCTGAAATTGTTTTAATTATTGAAGCAAAAAATACTTATAATTATACAAATTAGTTGATTATGAAATTTCCTGGACATCATTATTATGGATAATTAATTATTATGAATTAAATATGTATAGACTTGCATTATACCCTTTGTTTCCTGTACAAAACTAAGAACCATTTCATTGCTTGCAACAAGAAAAGGAAAAGGAGTTACATATACATACATATACCTACATCTAAGCGAAACAAACAACTATGAACTACTAAATATAATGTAAACGAAACAAGCGACAAAAACTGTTCTATTTTGTAAGGCAAGCAAGCAATGAAAGATCGGGCTGGGATCAGACATATGTATGTATGTAGGGATACGTAGGGAGTTATAGAGCCAAATCACTTATTAAATACTAGAACCGATTTAGTCTGAGAATTGCGAAACCGTGGCACATCATCCGACGAGACATCACAGGGCGACGCGGCATGGATGGAGGAGGAGACCAGAGAGAAGATAAACAAATGATGAAAACTGCTTCCATAGTTAATGTTACATATTTTCCAAAAATAAAAAGGCATCACTTCAACACTGACACCGCTTATACACCTTTATACATTTCTTCCCGAACCTCCAATCCAATCGAAATGTCTTTTTTTTATAAATTGAATTGTATATTTTACAAATCACTATTTGTATATTTAATGCAAAGAAAAATCATGAATAATACTTACATGTATGCGATGTTTGTTAATTTTAAGTAGTTTGTAGACAATTTGTTAAACTGGAAAGAACGTAAATGAAATAAATAAGAAAGGGAACACAACAGCAGAAAAGCAGATAAAAAAAACTACGACAACAAAATCAAAGCATTATTTTTGAAATTGGCGGGTACGTTTGAATGAATAAATAAATTGCGCTCGGTTAACAGTCTGTTAAAAATGCGAAAAATCAAATGTTCTGTTAGAACGCACCGTTGCTGTTAAGCGCATTACATTTGAAGAACAGATATGTTGCCAATTTAGCCATTTTCCTAATACATCTAGCATTTTACAATTCCAGTTGAAAATTTGATTATTTTAACGTCGGCTTTGCGTTTTCTGATAATAAAATTAATTTCCACAATTCATGGCTGCTGTGGTCTACCGCTCGATTAAGTATGTAAAAATTATAATGTCTAGCTATAGCTGTTTTATCACCCGAAGAGATGGCAACACTGTTGAAGAAATTACTCTTAGTTAACCTAGCACTCGCTCTTTGATACCCTCTAATCAAGAAAACGAATGGATTTTACTCGAAAACGTTGCATTTAAATTATTTTGTATACAAATATTATTGCTTATGAGGAGGAAGCACAGAAATATCTTGTTCTGCATTTAAAAATCTGAGTATCTATAATTAAAAACATAAATTAATTTTATTTATTTATTTAACAGACTGTAGTCCAACAGACACGACCAATTGTAGGGCAACCAGAATGTTAAGTGCTCTGTTAACAGGCAGTTTGAGGTTATGTTCGATGTTCATTGTCCGGCAGCAGTTGATTAACGTAAAAGCAAGAGAGCGCCGTAGTATTTACGCAACGCAACTGGTAAGAGCCGCTTCCCAACGACTTGGGGTGCAGAAGAGATTAACCTGGCATTATGATTTCACAGGAAAGCCTCACCTTCACCCATGGCAACCGCAGCAGCTGTAGCAAAAGTTGGAAAATCAGTGCACCGCATTTTCGTGGGCAACCTGCCGTGGACGGTGGGCCATCAGGAGCTCCGTGGTTACTTTCGCGAATTCGGACGCGTGGTGTCCGCCAACGTAATCTTTGACAAGCGTACCGGCTGCTCCAAGGGCTACGGATTCGTTAGCTTCAACAGCCTGGCGGCGCTGGAGAAGATCGAGAACGAGCAGAAGCACGTCCTCGAGGGCAACTACCTGAACATTCAGAAATCGTAGGACTCCAGTCTTTACCAGTTATATAGTTTTAAGTTTCCAGTTTACAAAGCACAAACATACATAAATGTCGGACAGCGATTCGGATCCCGAGGAGGAGTTATTTCACCGCGCCGCCGACCATGTGACCCGTCAGACAAATGTTCTCAGCTCCACAGACCTCCTGGCTTTATATGCCTATTACAAACAGGCCCTGGAGGGTCCCTGTGAGGGGCCCTGTCCCAGCCTGCTCCAACCGAAGGCTCGTAGCAAGTGGCAGGCGTGGCATAATCTTGGTAAGATGACTCCCTCTGCAGCTCGCCAGGCGTATATACAGAAACTTGAGACGCTTCAGCCCGAATGGAAGTCTTCGTCGAAAGATAAGAGCCGAACCGGCTGGGTAGTGCACTCCATAGAATCGGCACCAATTGAGGAACAGCGTTCCGAGAGCGACAAAACCCTCTTCGATCACGTCAAGGAGAACAATTTGGATAAATTGAGAGAGCTGCTATCCCCTGGCAACTTGCTGGCGCTGGACGAGAACGGCATGTCTTTGTTACACTGGGCCACCGATCGCAATGCTGTCGATATCATCAAGTTCCTGGTGCGAAGCGGTGCCAGTGTGGACCAGCGGGATGCGGAGCAGCAGACGCCGTTACACTATGCCGCCAGTTGCGGTCATCTGGAGGCGCTAAAATGTTTGCTGGCGCTCCAGGCCGATCCGGAGCTATACGATTCCAATGGCCAGACCTGCTATGATGTGGCTGATGATGAGCATATAAGTGGAGTTCTGCAGGCGGAGCGACAGCGCTTGACCGAATCCGAGTCCGTCTCGTAAATGCTATTAAATTGCAAGTGTAACATTTTCAATTTCCATTTAAATACATGTCTAAAAAATACCTTCATACTCTTTTAAATTCAATACTGTCATTTTAGGACGCTTTGGTTCTAACTCAAAAAGAATGAGATGGCTATAGGTCTCAAGAAAGAAAGAAATCCAACAGACCATAATAATCGAGCAACATTTATATATTTTACCCTTGTGGTCAGTTTATATTTATTTTTGCAATTGTAGAAATAATGCATTGCTAAAGATAAGATCGTCTTGCTAATGATTTAAAATATAAACTGAATCTTAAACAGAATATCCACAAAGAGCAATATAATAAAAAAAATATTTACTTTACTAACTGATATATTTAAAGCAAAGGTATAATTATGTTGCCCTACTTCCACAGCTTCTTGATGGACATATTCTTCTCCGAATCCTTCTGCATCACCTTGGCCACGGCCATTTCAAAGTCCTCCTGGGTGACATGAACACGACGCTCGCGGAGCGCATACATGCCAGCTTCTGTGCAGACACCCTTGACCTCGGCACCAGATGCTCCAGGCATCAGTTCGGCGATCTTGCGGAGATTTATACCACGGGTGAGGTTCATCTTTCTCGAATGGATCTTCAGAATGTCCAGACGTGCCTCCTCGTTCGGTGGGGGGAACTCGATCTTGCGATCAATACGGCCTGGACGTAGGAGAGCCGGGTCCAGAATGTCAATGCGATTGGTGGCCATGATTACCTTAATGTTTTTGGTGGCCTCAAAGCCATCGAGTTGATTTAGCAGCTCCAACATGGTACGCTGCACCTCGGAATCTCCGCCAGATCCAGATTCGATACGCGACGATCCAATTGAGTCGATTTCATCCATAAAGATAATGGATGGCGCATGCTCACGGGCCATAACAAAGAGTTCGCGCACCATACGGGATCCCTCACCAATGAACTTCTGGACCAGCTCAGAGCCGGAGACGCGAATAAATGTGCATTCGGTGTGATGGGCAACGGCACGGGCCAGTAGAGTTTTGCCAGTACCGGGTGGACCATAAAGAAGCACTCCCTTGGGTTGGGCAATACCCAAGGCATCGAAAAGCTCAGGATGCTTGACGGGCAGCTCGATTACCTCTTTGATCTCCTTGATCTGCTTATCCAGGCCGCCGACCATTTCGTATGTGGAATCGGGCACCTTCTCCACCATCATCAGTGAGACCAGCGGGTCCACCTTGTTGGGCAATATCTTGTGCAGAGTGTAGCTCTCGTTGCGCAAGGCCACACGGCAATTGGGAGTAACGTCGTTAATGTCAATGTTTTTGTCCAGATCGACCACGAACTTGCCCTCGGGATGCACCTTGACCAGCACCTTCTTTTTATCCATGGGTTTCACCACCTCGCCCACATAGCTGCCTTGTTCTTGAAGCAGCTGCAGCTCCTCACGCAGCATACGAACTGTAATATGGATTTAATAAGTTTAAAATATAATTTAAAAAACGAGCCATTAACATATGTATATACACATGTGCATTTGTAAATTTGTATTACCTTTCGCATTAAGCTCATTGCGCTGAGCCTGCAGGCGCCGCAAATTTTGGCTCTTTTCGGCAACAATTAGCTGGAGTTCCTCGATCTTTTGGATATAATATGAACGGAATCCTTCGCCTTTTTGGTAAGCGGACTCGATTTCCATCTGCAAAGTAAGAAAACAATGTTATTTGCTGTTTTGAAAGCCAACTTCCTGCCAAATATGCTTTTACCCGATTTATCACCGTCATTTTGTTAGTTGTTTGTCTACTATACTGTTCTTTAGTCAACAATTTATCCTTCCACAAAATCTTTTTTTTTAATTATGACTCGGCATTCTTTGCTTGTTGTTAGTGCTGGGAAAACATCGCAGTCCTATCGATGCTATCGATACTCTATATCAAATGTGTTCATCGATGGTATCGATGTTTAATTCGTGAAAACATTGACAAAATCGATAGTTAAAGCATGGATTTTTTGCCAGCTCTAATTGTTGTTTGAGATGTCACTCGTGCGGCTTATCGCACAAATATTGAACCTCCGATTATTATCGACTACGGTGACTATCGATGGTTTTGCTGGTTTTAGTTTTAACTTGGCGCGGGAATTTAAATTGTGAAAGAAATAAAATATCTCATTTATGAGCCGGACAGAGAGATATAGATAGACAGAGAGAGATAGGTAGAGAAAAAATGAGATTGAGAGAGAGGGGAATATGAAGATAAAAAGATGGAGATATACAAAGTAAATAAATTTATATACATATACATATGTATGTCTTATAGAATGTGCATATATATCGCTTATGTCAAGTGTATGGTAACCCTATTCCCAAGGACGGTGTCTGGGCTTGGGTTCACGAGACTTTCAAATTGTGGGCATTCCCGTTTTTAATAATTAACATGTCTTAGCTGAGCGCAAACATGTTGCGAGTAACCATGGGGTTAGTTTTCCAACGCTGGGAATATTCGCACGTGCCTAAATGCATTTTTTATTAGCGCTTTCAATAATAAATTCGTGGACATTTATGCCGAATTATTGATTTTTTAGGTGACGAATTTGTATTGACTTTGCAATAAACAGAAATACTAAATGAATTTACCCTTTAATTGGCAGTGTACTCCTATAACGCTTTTATAAATAATAATAATACATAATATAAGCTAATACTAATCTTAATTTAATATCAAAGAAACACAATAAATTGTTAAGTGTGTATTCAAAATCTATTCCTCGATAAAGCGCCGCGCGCCCCAGCCCCTCTAATCGATATACGATTATACAATCAATCGGCGCTCGCGTTTCTAGCATTAGAACAGTCTCTCTCTCGTTCCCTCTCATTTACTTCCCCAGCTGGCGTGACGTAATAGAACCTTTTACGTATTGTCGCTCTCGCTCTCCTGTCTCTCGTCTTTGTTGTTTTTAAATTCGTTTCATTTTGTTTGGCATCTCCGGCGGCGTTAGAAGTGCATTTTTCATACGTATTCTTTTACCGTGTGTTCGTGCGCGTGTGTCAGTATCAGTGCGCTAAACAGCTGTTCGGAGAAGAAAAGAACAAAATAACGGGTCAAGTGCGGTGCCACATTAGTGAATGAATTGGTTGAACCATGAACTTCTGAATCCCCAATGACGCAGCGATAAATGAAACAAATAACAGCGCCCCTATGTAAGTTTACGCGTCGTTGTGATTGCATCTATGTACGTATATATATATACATATGTATAGGTGTGTGCGCCCAATAATCATTAGACGGCCGGGCTGTACAGTGGGCCTAATCGCATTATATTTGCCGGTTCGTTAGGTGAATGTGTTTAACATGTTCCTTGTGCCCTTGGCCCTAGAAAATTAAAGCACACAACGCATTTGTATGTGACGCGCCAAAATTGTCTGTATAACGGTGCATACACATTTTCCCGGGGCGTTAAAGTTTTGCATGCGCAATTGCAGTGAATGCAGCCGGTCCTCATTTACAGTTATCGTTGAAGTGGTTCCCGTTAGAAACCGCCCAACGCCGAACTTTGCACTTTGAACGTTTCTTTGCTGGACATTCGCAGAGTTCCAATCTAATTTTCGGTATTTATCTAAACAATATCAACAAGCTAGTGTTGTTTACATTGTATGTGGATTTCATAGAAAAATGGTCCTGTCATGAATTTTTTTAAATGTCGATGATGTCACATTTTCACGGGCGGACTTTTCATCAAAATTCATTCCAATAATATCCTATTTACAATGGTTATTATTAATCATTAAATAAAGTACATTTTACCAAATAAATCATCCATTCTTTGCTGCATATTTTAGAGAGAAACAAAAAAATAGATTTTTTAATCTCAAATAACTACATTTTTTGTAAAAACCTTAATAATTTCTGTTTCATTAGATAAGATAATTCTTTTTATGTGCTTATATGTATGTATGAGAAAAATAAATGCGATTGGACTCATAGATAGATTTTCTGGAATCGCGGATTTTGAAATATACAGAAATTCTTGAGCAGGTTGTACAACACTTTTTTAATTTGGTTTTTAAATTATGTTTGTATCTACAATATGAACCACAAAATAAAAATAAAATTATAAGTTAAAAAAAACAAAACAAAAGATTCATTCTCATAACGAAGCCAAAAAATCATTAATTTTGATTCGGAAAACTTTCCTATGTTCGATTTTTTAGGTTTATAAAGCTGCATACTTAATTTAAAATAAAAACAAAAAAGTTTGTATACCCTTGCAGATTAAAATTCGATCACTAGGAATTAATACAATATAAATTATATAAATTTATGGTTTTTATAAAATTCTGGATTAATATATAATGTATTAAATTTGATGAAAATCTGTTGAAAACTGGGAAACATATAATATTTTCTCTTACAATTTTCCGATCGTTCCTTTGGCAGCTTCATATATGTTTATATATAGTCCACCGATTCGCCATGCTCCGACATATATACTAGTAAAATTATATAGAAGAATAACTCCATAGTTTCATTCAAATAGCTTTCTCTTTGTTCCAAAACCAATCTCACACATCTGTGCATATGATTCCCAACTGGTTCTAACATCCCCGGAACGAAGTGACTGCTGCCAGCCACGTTTCGGATATGTGTTGTGTTACAAAAGTTCATAAATAGTTACTGATCATACATACTTACTGGTAATAGACACTTACTGATCATAGTTACTTCCTGTTCAAAGTTACTTACTGTTCATAAATACTTACTGATCATAGTTACTTAATTGTCATAGCTACTTACTGGTCAAAGATACTTACTTGTCATAGATACTTACTGATCATACTTAATTACTGATCATAGTTCTATAAATCGTCCGATTGTTCCTATGGCAGATATATATATAAATATATATAGTCCACCGATTCGCCATGATCCGACTTATATAATAGTAAAATTATATAGAAGAATAAGTCGATAGTTTCATTCAAATAGCTTGCTATATATATGTTCCAAAACAAATCTCGCACATTTATGCATATGATTCCCAACTGGTTCTAACATCCCCGGAACGAAGTGACTGCTGCCAATCAAGTCTCAGATATGTGTTGTGTTACAAAAGTTGCAAGTCATTGTTTATTAGTGTTCAAAGTTAGTAACTGCTCGTACTTACTTATGGGTTAGATACTTACTGTTCAGATCATACATCATACATAATCATACATACTTGCTGGTCATAAATACTTCCTGTTCAGAGTAACTTACTGGTCATAGATACTTACTGTTCATATTTACTTACTGATCATAGTTAATTAATGTTTATTGATAGTTACTTTTCAGAGTTACTTACTGGCAATAGAGATACTTACTGATCATAGTTTCTTACTGATCATAGTTAATTAATGTTTATTGATACTTACTGATCATAGTTACTCACTGGTCATAGTTAATTAATGATCATAGTTAATTAATCTTTATTGAAACTTACTAATCATAAATACTTACTGATCATAGTTACTTACTGATCATAGTTACTTTTTATTCATAGTAACTTACGGCTAAAAGATACTTTCTGATCCTCTACATTTAACAACCATTTCTCTGACACTTATATTATATAGTATTCCGATGTTCATAAAACTAAAAATGGAATTCTATAATAATAAAAGATAGCTTTGAATCAAATAAGATAAAAATATGTTAAAAACTGTTAAAGTTATAATGTTTGTTCTAAAAAATTTCCGATCGTCCCTATGGCAGCTATATGATATTGCAACCTTCCAAAATTCTAATACCCTCCGAGGGAAAATAAACAAAATGTGTCCTTTAAATTAAATTGTCTTATTCTAAATACATATGAATGTATGTACGAATGAATATATCAAAGTTGATTGTTAACACAGTGACAATTTATAACGCAAGAAAGTCCAGTTCATCAGTATAAATACTTAATTGCAATTGCCGCCAGCCGATTTGCCAATCAATTATGCAGCAATGCCCAATGTCGCGTTGCCCTGATCAAATTTTTATCACTAAGTGCCCCCACACTTAATCGCACGCGTTGGAAAATATCAACAATAATAAGAATTGCAATTGGAAATGCATTTTCAATTATGGCGAGTACAACACCCAGCAGTGTTGTCAGCTAATGTCTATAAAAACAAGGCAGATAGAGGTGAAAAAGGGGAAAAATTTGACAATAATTTTATATAAATTGGATAATAATGTAAAAAATAACTATAATACATCATATGTTTTTAATTTTATAAATGTATTTAATTACTGTAAAGTAATGTAGACACTGTTGTAATTTATAGTAAATGGTTCTACAAATGTACACATACAAATGTAAATGATTTCATGGAAGACTATATAAATAATATGAGTTAAATATTAATTTTCTTATGTAAACCAAGGAATAAAATAGAACAGATTTGCCCTGTAAAGGGCCTTTATGCAACACTGATACTGAAAGTGGTGATTCACAAAAGTAAACAATATATAATGCAATGGTGTGCAGGGACTTGTTAAAGTTATTAAAAACTGACTCAGAATTAATAATAAAGATTGTGGCTTGGGAGTTTTTTTTTTCTATAACTACATATGTGTGTTGTGTTTAAATGATTAATAATATTACATAATAATACTCAGATTATTGGTAGCAGTTTTAAAGGGTCAATTTGAAGAAGAAAATGGATAAAAGTAATGTTTTTTATAGCTTTGTATTATTATTATCGAAATAATAAAACGTTACTTTTATGTATTTTCTTTTTCTTAACTCCTAATATACCCTTGCAGGGTATTATACTTTTATTCAGATCAAGTTAAAGGAGTCATTATACAAAAATATACCAATACCAATACTTTATTGTTTTTATTAAAATTTAGAACAAATTCAAGCACCTATTACTGAGGTACGATCAGGACTTTCTTGAAAGAAGCATTTCTTATATACAAATTATCCCTTGCAAAATAATATTTATTAAATTATATATGTATTACTTAGTAATGTATTTGTAGATACATTTGTTCCTAGCTGCGTTTAACTACCAATTTCTCAAAACAATGGCCGCGTGCCGTTAGTTTATTGGATGCAAGATAATGCCGCCCATTATCACCGCAATCCACTCTCGTCGAGAACTAATCAGTTGGCAAATTGTGAGCTCCTTATTTTATGCGCGTCACATGTCAAAATGTCAGGTGCCATTGAGTACACCCGATGATTCATCGGAGCACTGAAATTATTAGTCATATGATATGCTGCAAGCTCTCATGATGAATAGTAGTAAGTAGATGGCTATTGCTTTCGGTACAATCTCGGAAAAATAGCTCCATATCATACATTTAGTCTAAGCATTTATGGCACCATGTTTTTTAACGCTTTTTATGAGTGTTTGAATATCCAAGGATATTCTCCTTTGACGTGATAATTTCTTAAATATCTTAAGGATAATTTTGTTTAATTTTTAAATCAATTGGAGCTATAGGTACAGAGATATAGCCTTGTGAAAATAAAAGTGTTTCTTTAAAATATATGATTAATAATACGATACAACAAAATAATAATATCGAATCTAGTAATGGAAATCACTTAATGTTATTATAAAGTAGGTATAGATTTTTTACAAAATCTAAATAGAGATTAAACGTATATTGTAATGATCATATATCATAAAATTATTTTATTAAAGTAGGTATACTTTTTTTACAAAATCTAAATAGAGATTAAATGTATATTGTAATGATTTATGATATATAAAATTATTTTATTATGTGGAACCTAGAATATCTTGCAATAAGGAGGATGTTTCTAGAAAAATATTTGAACTTAGCAATCTAGCTTTTTTTGTTGCCTGTTCCATAATATTTTTGATCTCAACAGCCGCTTCGATCTAGGTATGTCCGTTTGTCCGTTTGCAAAGTATTGTCCGTTGTGATAAAACTTTACCAGTAGTCTTCTTCTTATCATATAGCTCCCATAATAAACGATCCCAAACTTAAATGCTACAATTAAATTATAACATCATTAAACATTATAACTAACGCACAATTAAACTAGTCACATTTTTAATCACTTTCTTGCTTTCGGTACATATCAAGTACAGTCCACCGATTATTTATGATCGCTGATATTACGGACATTTCATATAGATCGGGCGAATATAAAACGTGTTTGCACTCTGGATTTACTAATATAAATTTAACAGGTGCGATATAATAATCCGGTGTCATAGTTACGGTTAAAACCGTTTTGGCGATAAGCCCTTGCGGAAATAACAGGTGTTTGTGGGAATCGCGTCGATGGTAATCAAAGTCTCACTGCTATAATGTTTAAAAAGAATTCATCTTATCACAATGGGGCGCATGACCACTAGAGATTCGCATTAATGCTGTCAAGCAGTTAAGTTACCTTCTTCTTACCAACTTGAACCTGGCGTATTCCTGGCAATATATATGTATAGATCACACTCGATAGCACGCTTTTGCCAAAGATAATGGAAATAAGGGTAACGCGTCCCCCGGATGATTCATCGTTTGGGTGTGTGAAAAGTATTGATTCGACTTTGAGCACTCAAGTGGGTAAAAGTCTTAGTCATGACATATTCATCAATAGTTCATTCACTTAACTATTTGCTTACGCTATCGAAGGGGATTCCACCAGCTTAACGTGAATTTTAAATTGAACAATAAATTGTTAACAATTCCACGTTTATAGATTATTATAGATTCTTTCTTGGTGCAGTTAGATATCAGAATATTGATTTAACCTGGATTTTAGAAGTAAGCAATATTTTTTCTAAGAATATCTCTTTAATTATATTTAAAGCAAAGTTTAGCCCTACTTTTGATTTTATTACATATCAGAATATTGATTTATCGTACATATATCGTTTTATATTTTACACTTTATGGTAAATATCGATATGGTTTCTATGTATATATCAATCATTTTGTGGCAAAGATTGCTTTAGAAATTCCCAAGTCTTAATTCCGAGAGGCACAAAGTTAAAAAAGTAAATGCCTTTCTAAGAGCCACTTAAAAGGGTATTTAAAAGGGAACTTTTAAGATTTCTTACTTAGTCACGCCAAAGAGTCAATGACAACAGAACACAAATGAATTAAAAATTTAATAAATCGATAAAAAGTAATTAAATATTCATACAGATACGATACGACCTACTTTTTTTACCTGAATATTAAATTATTGGTTGTAGAGTTACGATTGACTTTAAGAATTGTTAACTTAAGTGCGTGCATAACTTTTTGAAATTTGTGTTTAGGGAATTAATCCATTAAAGGTCTCCATAAGATATTATCTTTAGGAACTTAAAAGTATTACATTTTAATGCTTAGGGTTTATACAAATTTATTTTTCGATAAGGTTTCACATTTTGACCCAAAGCACTTGATTATTTATCTTTAGTAAATGTTTAAGTTACTTATTTAGGCTGTATAATATATACTAAAAGGGATTTTCCTTATTATAATTACTTGGATGGATTGCACGCTTTTGACTTTGATCGATACAATAAATGTCATTTCAATTAGCCATAATTAAAATGCATAACTTCATTGAGTAATAGATCCCACTAACGATATATATACTATTATGGGTTTATGGGTAACCCAGACATCCCTCTATCGACATCGATATGGAATCGAAATAGAATTCAGACATATGTCCGCGTGTAAAGTGTGAGGGTACTTGCTTATCACTTTTTAGCCATGGCCAAAACCAATAAATGCTATTCACTTTATTGCGTTTAGATTGTGTTCTATTGATAAAAAGGGAAGATTGCCTTACGGCATGGTTCAGTTCGAAACTGTCCGCAAACCGAAACGGTCGAGTGTCCGCCGAAGCTCGCATTGTTGCCATATATATATATATACATATATATATCTATTTTTTTCGATTTCACGGTCCTCATATATAATTCTTGTTTTTTTTTTTTGTTTGTGCCGCGTGAGACACTTTTTTGTTTGGCTAAGCTTCGGGGTAAGTTCCGTGCTCAGGTGGCAGGTGGAAATGCCACCGCCAATCCCTCTCCCCGATTATCATTCTGGATTTATGCCACTTTATCTCTTTGTTTATTCCTGATCTACACAAGTGTGTGTGCGTTGACGTTATTATTATTATTATTATTATTTTTTTGTGTGAGTGTGTGTGTTTTTTAACGCTCTAATATATGTGGGTGTAACTGGATAATAGAACCAATAGATCAAAGAGTCGGGAAATTCCCATGAATCGATTATGATTGGAGCTTTGTAACAACGTTGAAACATTATCCACCATTTCTTAATTATATATACATACGTTTTCCAGACGGCTTTAATGGATTATTGTTAATAATATAAGTGTATTTTTATATATCAACATTGATATATATTACATTGATATATGAACATATAACTTTGTTCAAATGATTATTGTTGTTGAAAAGTATCCTCATTATATTTTCTTTATTTACCATAAAGGTTTAGCTTGTAGTTTAGAACAAAGCGAATAGGGATTATAATTTTACAATGGTACAAAAATTTGTATTATCATATATGGAATCATTTTCTTTGTTCTTGAATAAATGCGAAATCAAAAATATTCTACCAATAAGAGATATATACTATATTATTCCTATTTATCATGCGATTACTCAAGCTTTTCATTCACATTATTTCCGAGAGTCATAGAGAGTACTTCCTCGGAAGTATATTGCCTTCTATAATATTGCTTAGCTTATCGTAACTCTTTTGTGCATTCAACTTTTCATTTTATGCGAATCATTCTTAGATCAGCAACTTTTCACATTGAGCTGCCGAGAATAATGTTTATCAGAAACCAGTTGCTAGCTTGAGTTTTAATTTTCATTAAACTTTCAGTTGTTAACTGTTCTCACTTACTTAATGTACTTACTATAATTAGGTATCAGGCCATATACACCAAGATTAAAAGTCCAGACGATTCGAGTGCATTTGATAATGCAGAAACAGAAACAGAAGCAATAAATGTTTTAAATCCCAAAGCTATAAATAGATAAATGTTTATTGATAGTAATAAAAAGTATTTTTGTAAGTACATACAAATATGTTTGTATTTATTTTATTTATATTAAGTGCCTTAATTTGTAGTCTGATAAACATACAGGCACTCTCCTCTCCTGAGGGCTATCCCCCATCCGACCTTCTATTAATATCAACAAGTGACTGAAATGATAGTGTTTACAAAAAGTTATGATTTAATTTACCGGAACCTTATCAATCCTAACATAACCAACGATGTTTACATAGCTTTGGGTATACTTTAGATAGTTTTCATAGATGGAATAGAAGTACTTGACATTGGATTGTTAATAGATACTCTGGACATGCGTTTTTTGAAGTTGTTTATTTGTCTATTTCCGGAATTCCTTGATATATTTGCTATGTACTTTTCTTACTTCCTAATATTTATGATTTGACATGAAAACTTAATTCAAAAGTAGCAACAAAAAGTCCTCGAAACAAGTCAATAAAATCTCACTCATTTACAAGAAGTTAGAAACCCTACTCATGGATATTATAAGTTATTCGAATTTCAGATATCCCTTAAAATGTTCTTAAACAACAAATGCAGCAGTTTTTTGTTTTCCACCACAAAAGTTCTTCTCTAAACTTCTCTAACCACTCTTTGCTACCACTTTGACTTAATAAAGATTTAAATAAAAATATATTAAAATGTATAACTTGATTTATCCGATTGATTTATTCTTTTGCAGCAACTAATTTTAATCGATTTTAATGTTGACCTAGTCTAAAGCTATAGCCAAAGCCACAACGAACAAAGCCTCGAAATGGCCAAGGTAACAAATTGGGATAAATTTGTGCTGTTGCTGTGGAAGAATTGGACCCTCCAATGGAACCACAAATGGCAGATGGTCATCGAGCTGGTGCTGCCAGCAATATTCTCATTGCTCCTGGTCCTGGTCCGCACCCTGGTTGACACGGAGCAGATGGACACAAAGTACTATACACAGCAGGGTCTCACAAATCTAAGCCTGTTACAGTGAGTATTGTAGACAATAAATGCGTTTTCTGGTGTGTATATGATGTCCCTAGATTTTTATTTATTTATTTTTCACTCTAGCTTTTGTAGGCCTTTCCCTGATAATATTTATATTATTATTATTATTATTACTATAATTTATTTTATTTATTTGTAGTAATTTTCTTATTTTTTTTTAATTTGATAAGGTTGATTCTTATGAACAATTATGTATTATTGTAAAAAGCCGAAAGGAAGCTAACTTCAGATAGCAGAATATTAAATATCCGTACATTCAAGTTGTATAAATCTTTATATAACAAATAATATATGAAATAAGAACTGTAATTCTAAAATCATAAAAAATGCCCATGTTTTGAAATAGATAGAAATAATATATTAAACAAGATAGGAAGCTAACATCGGCACGCCGAAGTTAGTATACTGTTGCAGATTGAAATTCGATCTCTAGGAATTCATACAATATAAGTTATTTATATTTATGTTAAAATACAATGAGGTAATGCCTGCTTTCATTTCATTTACCGTTTTGCAATTTCCTCTATTTATAACGATCGTTTGTATGGTAGATATATGATATAGTAGTCTTTTGATAAAATTTTACACAAAATTCTAGATTAATATATAATGGCTATATATCAAATTTGATGAAAATCTGTCGAAAACTGGAAAGCAAATTATCCGATCCTTCCTATGGCAGCTATATATACGTATATATATAGTCCACCGATTCGGCATGCACCGAATTATATACTAGTAAAATTATATAGAAGAATAACTCCATAGTTTCAAATCAAATCTCGCACATCTGTGCATATGATTCCCAACTGGTTCTAACATCCCCGGAACGAAGTGACTTCTACCAGCCAAGTCTCAGATATGTGTTGTTACAAAAGTTGCAAGTCATTGTTTATTAGTGTTCAAAGTTAGTAAGTGATCATACATACTTACTGGTTATAGATACTGACTGATCATAGTTACTTAATATTCATTGATATTTACTGATAATAGTTACGTAATGTTTATTGATACTTACAGGTCATAGATACTTACTATTCAGAGTTACTTACTGGTCATAGATTCTTACTGATCATAGTTAATTACTGATCATAGATACTTACTGTTCATAGTAACTTAATGTTGAAAGATACTTAGTGATCCTCTTCATTTAACAACCTTTTTTCTGGCAGTTATATTATGTAGTATTTCGATTTTTATAAAACTAAATAAGACATTCTTTAATAATAAAAGATAGCTTTGAATCAAATTAAAAAAAAATATATGTCAAAAATTTTAAAACTTATAATTTGTGTTCTTAAAATTTTCCGATCGTTCCTATGAAACTTTTGACTGAAATTATAATACCCTGCAAGGCTATAAAAAGAATACATTTATAATCTTGATTATAATAATTTTCTTATAGTTTTTTTTTTACCTAATAACATGCTTTAAATTGTGCCTATTATTTAATTTTGCTTATTTTTGCAACCTTGCTAAATTTCCTTAATATTCCCAAAAATGTTTATATTAAATATATGTCCAATGTTTTTTGTATTGTTCTCTCCACAAAACCTGAAGGCATTCGTTGCATAGTTCGTCCTACCTTGGCAAGCTTCTAGCGCTGATTGCACCCAATCGAAGGAGGTAAAAAAAATCAAACAAACAAAAAACACAAAAAGAAACAAATTAAACTTTCAACACTGTAACTAACCAATTGCAATTGACACTTTAACAAAATTGTACAATTAAAATACATCACAGGAAGTAGCCTTCTTATATAGAAGTCCTTTCACATCTTCAAAATCGAAAGATTTTATTAAAAATATTATTTTCGCATTGAGTATTTAGTATTCCTTTAAAACCTGCATTTAGGTCGGTATACTAAGCATCATATTTTAAAGTAATTAAAAGCTAATGAGATTAGAAGCTAAGCTCAATATAATGCTAATTAAATTCCTGATTATAATTGGATATGCTCCAATTTAAAGCTAAAATTGACCAGTTTTTTAAATGAAATTGCTATTCAAGCAACGTTATATATATATAAAATATATTTACATATTTACATATATATGTATTTAATATATATTATAATATAAATATATTAAAATATATATAAATATATATAAGTATATTTTAATATATATATATATAATATGTATATTATAATATATTTATTTTATAATATATGTATATTAAATACATTTCTTAACAACACAAACCTAACTAATAATTCGGATCACTGGTCTTCAATAATTTACATTTATTGTTGACAAAATATAAATATTTTTCGGTATTGCTTTGTAGAAAAAAAAATCTAAAATACTAAATACAAATTCGATTAAGCTATATCCACAAACTAATCCAAAACTAACCCAAATCCATATTTATGCCTTAATTTGTGTGTTAATTAGACTTTAGTGTGCCCAGGTATTAATGTGATGCATTTGTAATATTTAAAAAAATTATTTAGGAACACGCTGTCAGGGAGCAAATTTCTATATGCGGTTTACTATTCGCCAACAAATCCGGTACTGGAAAAACTGGTCTCCGAGGCATGGACGAACCTTCTGATGTCCAACAATTCGGTTTACGCATCAGAAAATGCTGCCCAACTGCAGTTGGATGTGGTTGGCAAGAATGCCTTTGCCGGCATCCAATTCGACGATGCCTGGTCAAATATCACAAATATTGGGGATTTGCCGCAGGATTTTTATTTCTCGCTGCGATTTCCATCGGAATTGCGAACGGCAACGATAGCGATAGCAAACACTTGGCTAACAATGCGACTCTTTCCCACCATCGATTTGACGGGGCCGCGTAATGAGAAGGATGAGGATGGCGGTATACCACCGGGATATCTACGCGAAGGATTCTTGCCGCTGCAACATCAACTATCGATGGCGTACATCAGACAGAGATCGGGGGAGCAAGATCTACCGGATGTGGTGATGCAACGCTACCCATATCCGGCCTACATCTACGATCCACTGCTGGAGGGCATGTCCTCAATAATGTCACTGATTATTCTGCTCAGCTTCATTTATCCCTGCACGTACATTACCAAGGTAAGTGCTTAAGATCCTAATTGAAACCTATCTATATCTATAACCTTTTTTGTAGTACATCACCGCTGAGAAGGAGAAGCAGCTCAAGGAGGTTATGAAGATCATGGGGCTGAGCAATTGGCTGCATTGGACCGCCTGGTTTGTCAAGTCCTTTATTATGCTTACCATATCGGCCATATTGATTGCTATTCTGGTCAAAATCAATTGGTCAGAGGGTGTGGCAGTGCTAACACATGCCAATTTCACAGCATTGGTCTTCTTCCTCATCATATACATCATTGCCAGCATTTGCTTCTGCTTCATGATGGCCACCTTCTTTTCGAGAGCGAGCACAGCTGCAGCTGTCACAGGTCTAATATGGTTCATTGCCTACATTCCGTACTCCTTCACCATCAATACGTATGACGACATGAGCCTGGTCTCTAAGCTGGGCTGGAGCTTGATCTCAAACACGGGCATGGGCTTTGGCATTAAGCTGATATTGGGCTTCGAAGGAACCGGCGAGGGCTTGCAGTGGAGTAACTTCTTCACTCCGGTATCTGTGGATGACACCCTGACTCTGGGAGCTGTGATGATTATGATGCTGGTGTCCTGCTTCATTTGCATGACCATCTGTTTGTATGTGGAGCAAGTGATGCCGGGCAGCTTTGGTGTGCCACGTCCCTGGCACTTCCCCTTCAGCAGAGAGTTCTGGTGCGGCGAGCGGGAGTACACAGGTGTGGAGGATATACCCAATGGAGGACCTGCGAGGGAGCAGAGGGATCCCAAGGCCTTTGAAGCGGAACCGGAGGGCAAACATATTGGCCTGCAGATGAGGAATCTTAAAAAGCGTTTCGTTGCCGACAAAATGGTGGTGAAGGGTCTGTCCATGAATATGTTTGAGGATGAGATTACCGTGCTGCTGGGACACAATGGTGCCGGCAAGACCACAACCATATCGATGCTGACCGGCATGTTTCCGCCAACGAGTGGCACAGCCATCATTAATGGCAGCGATATTCGTACCAACATCGAGGGCGCTCGCATGTCCCTCGGCATCTGTCCGCAGCACAATGTCCTCTTCGATGAGATGAGCGTTTCGAATCACATTCGATTCTTTAGTCGCATGAAGGGTCTCAGGGGCAAGGCGGTGGAGCAGGAGGTGGCCAAATATCTGAAAATGATCGAGCTGGAGGACAAGGCGAATGTGGCATCTGCGAAACTCTCGGGCGGCATGAAGCGCAAACTATCCGTTTGCTGTGCCCTGTGCGGCGATACAAAGGTGGTGCTGTGCGATGAGCCCAGCTCTGGCATGGATCCATCGGCTCGTCGCCAGCTGTGGGATTTGCTGCAGCAGGAAAAGATTGGACGCACTTTGCTATTGACGACACATTTTATGGATGAAGCCGATGTCCTGGGCGATCGCATTGCCATTATGTGCGACGGTGAACTCAAGTGCCATGGCACATCGTTTTTCTTGAAGAAACAATATGGCTCCGGATATAGATTGGTAAGTCTATGTATAGTAAGATATATAAAGCTAAGAAATCTTTAAAGAAACTACAACTCTTGACTAATTATATTCTTTTCATAACCATTACCCTTTAGATTTGTGTTAAACGCGACGATTGCCAGACGAACGAGGTGACAGCCCTGCTAAACAAATATATTCCTGGTCTAAAGCCAGAATGCGATATTGGTGCAGAATTATCCTACCAACTGCCGGATAGTGCGTCCGATAAGTTTGAGGAGATGTTTGGCCAGCTGGAGGAGCAATCTGACGAACTGCATCTTAATGGCTATGGCGTTGGCATCACCTCAATGGAGGAGGTCTTCATGAAGGTGGGCGCCGAGAAGGATATTAGCGGCAACCTTAAGGATGCAAGTGAGATAATGAATGGCGGCACCGGTTACCATCCGTCCGGTGAGGACAATGACAACGAATCAGTACAATGTAAGCAGTGCTTGAACTCGATCTCATATTATTTTGGACTTCTGATAAGCTCAATTAACTGTTTGCAGCCGATGGTATCTTCTCGGAGAATCGACGCCTGCTTCAAGGATTACAGCTACTGTCCAATCAATGGAAGGCCATGATTCTCAAGAAATTCCTGTATACGTGGCGTAACAAATTACTCCTGCTCATTCAGAATATAATGCCCGTGTTCTTTGTGGTGGTCACCATTCTGATTATAGAGACACAGGGCACGTTCCAGGAGCTGAAACCCATCACCATGTCGCTGACCCAATATCCCCTGGCTGTCACCGTACTGGATCGTTCCCATGCGACCAGCTCGAATAGCTCTGGTGTTGCCAATCAGTACGAGGCGCTGGCCAAGTCCTATGGCAGGGATTATGCTCTCGAGGTGACGGGTAGTACTGACTTTACTGTAAGTATTTATATTCTTAGTTAGAAGCCATTAAAATTTACCTTTGTAATGTCTCCCCTTGTTAGAACTACATCCTCGAGCTTGGCAAGACGATTCAGGTGCGAATCAATTCACGCTATTTGGTGGCCGCCAGCATTTTTGAGAAGCAGATTATAGCCTGGCTAAATAATCAAGCCTTGCACACAGCTCCGCTGACCGTCAACATGGTGCACAATGCCCTGGCAAAGCAATTACTCGGTGCAGATGCCCGAATTGCAGTGACGAATGCCCCATTGCCATATACTCCGAATACGTTGCTCACGCAACTGAGCACGGGCAACAATCTGGGCACCCAGCTGGCCTCCAATCTGTGTTTCTGCATGTGCTTTGTCAGTTCCATATATATCCTGTTTTTGATCAAGGAACGTGAATCGAGAGCCAAGCTTCTACAGTTTGTGGGCGGCGTTAAAGTGTGGACTTTCTGGCTTTCCCAGTTTATATGTGACTTTGCCACCTACATTGTGACGGCTCTGATTGTTGTGATCACGATCGTTTGCTTCCAAGAGGCAGGACTGTCCACCTTTCCGGAACTGGGAAGATACTTTTTGCTGCTACTGCTTTTTGGATTCTCCGTTCTGCCGTTTATCTACATCATGTCGCTGTTCTTCAAGGAGCCAGCCACAGGATTCGCCCGCGTCTCCATAGTCAACATCTTTTGCGGCATGGCCTTGTTCATTGTCGTTGTGGTAATGTCCTCCGATTTCTTTGACACAAAGGATACGGCGGATATCTTGGGCTGGATCTTCCGCATCTTCCCTCATTTCTCATTGGCAATGGGCTTGAATAAGGTCTACACTAATACGGCGACAAGGAATGTCTGTGAGAAGTTTTCAGCAATTCCGCCCATTCTGATCTGCGAGCTGATACCACAGTGTTGCAGTAAGTAATTAATAACTAATTAATAAACTAATATTTTTAAATGGAATTTAATTGAATTTTTTATAGATATCAAGCCATATTTTGCGTGGGAAGCGCCTGGTGTCCTGCCCGAAACTCTGTACATGACTGTCACCGGCGTTGTCTTCTTCCTTGTCATCATCATTTTGGAATTCCGTCTGATTGGTGAACTGATGTTCAAGATTCGTCAAAAGTTATCGTGAGTATATTTGTACAGAGAATGCCTAAAAATAGCAATATATTAATTCATAAAACTTTAAATCGATAAATTAATGCTGCAATAAATTTAAAATAATATTTGATATATCAGAAAGCAGGACATTGTTGAGATATTCTTCGATTAAATTAAAAGTTTTTTGTTAAAAGGGATACTGTTCGCTATTAAACATATCAATACATTAAACTTTTAGATTTTAATAGTAATAATTTAGATAAGTAAAATCTTTTATTTCTTCTCTTCCTTACAATATAATTCTCTAATTTATACCTACTCTCTGATAGAACTCTGTAATTTAATTTGTTTCTCTTCTTTGTATAGGAAACCACCGCCGCCTCCACCTGAAGGCCACTTGGATGACGATGTGGCCCACGAGCGTGAGCGCATCCTTCACATGAGCTCCGATGAACTGGCCGCTAAAAATCTAGTCCTGGATCGGGTCACCAAATACTATGGACAATTCCTGGCTGTCAATCAGGTGTCGCTCTGTGTACAAGAGTAAGTTTCAGAACTTATATTTGTATTAGGTCCAAAGTATATGATATAGCGTTGTCCGATTTTCATAACATTTTACACAAAATTCTATATTACTATAAAATGGCTATATATTTTAAATTTGATGAAAATCTGTTCAAAACTGTAAAAGTTATAATTTTTTTTCTTAAAATTTTATGATTGTTCCTATGGCAGATATATATATGTATATATGTAGTCCACCGATACGCCATGCTCCGACTTATATACTAGTCAAATTATATAGAAGAATACTTCCATAGTTTCATTCAAATAGCTTAAATTTGTTCCAAAACAAATCTCGCACATCTGTGCATATGATTCCCAACTGGTTCTAACATCCCCGGAACGAAGTGACTTCTACCAGCCAAGTCTCAGATATGTGTTGTTACAAAAGTTGCAAGTCATTGTTTATTAGTGTTTAAAGTTAGTAACTGATCATAAATACTTACTAATCATAGATACTTACTGTTCAGAGTTACTTACTGGTAATAGATAGTTACTGATCATACTTAATTACTGATCAGAGTTACTTACTGCTAATAGATACTTAATAAGCAGAGTTCCTTACTGGTCATAGATACTTAGTGTTCAGAGTTACTTACTCGTCATAGTTAGTCAGTGTTCAGAGTTACTTATAGCTCATAGTTATTTACGCACATCTGTGCATATGATTCCCAACTAGTTCTAACATCCCCGGAACGAAGTGACTTCTGCCAGCCAAGTCTCAGATATGTGTTGTGTTACAAAAGTTGCAAGTCATTGTTTATTAGTGTTCGAAGTTAATAACTGATAATACTTAATTACTGATCATAGTTATTTACTGATCATAGTTACTTACTGGCCATAGATACTTACTGTTCGAAGTTAATTACTGATCATAGTTACGTGCTGATCAAAGTTACTTACTGGTCATAGATACTAACTGATAAAAGATACTTACTGATTCTTTATATTTACCCAACCGTATATTCTCACTAATTCCATACTTATTCTCTCCCACAGAGTGGAATGTTTTGGTCTGCTGGGTGTGAATGGAGCCGGCAAGACGACAACGTTCAAGATGATGACTGGTGATGAGCGGATCACCTCTGGTGCTGCATATGTCCAGGGTCTGAGCCTGGAATCCAACATGAACAGCATCTACAAGATGATCGGCTACTGCCCGCAGTTTGATGCTTTGCTGGACGATCTGACGGGTCGTGAGGTATTGCGCATCTTTTGCATGCTGCGCGGCGTCCAGGAGTCTCGCATTAAGCAATTGTCTGAGGATTTGGCCAAATCCTTTGGCTTTATGAAGCACATCGATAAGCGCACTCACGCCTATAGCGGTGGCAATAAGCGAAAGTTAAGCACAGCGATTGCTGTGATTGGTAGTCCGTCCGTCATTTATTTGGATGAGCCCACAACCGGCATGGATCCAGCGGCGAGGCGGCAGCTCTGGAATATGGTCTGTCGCATTCGAGACTCTGGCAAATCAATTGTCCTCACCTCACACAGCATGGAGGAGTGTGAAGCGCTGTGCACGCGTTTGGCCATTATGGTCAATGGCGAATTCAAGTGCATTGGTTCCACGCAGCATTTGAAAAACAAATTCTCCAAGGGTCTCATCCTCAAGATCAAGGTGCGTCGCAATATGGAGGCATTGCGGCAGGCGAGATTAAGTGCTGGCTATGCGAGAAGTCCGGATGAGCCCACGGTTCCAGCACAAATGGAGCAGCAGAATATTGATGCCGTCAAGGAGTTTGTGGAACGCGAATATCCACAGTCCATTTTACAGTGAGTAAAAAACTTACTTAGTTTATCAAGTATATATATTTATTTACTAATATTTTGTATGTTAATTATAGGGAGGAGTACCAGGGAATTTTAACGTTCTACATTCCATTAACTGGTGTGAAATGGTCTCGCATTTTCGGTCTGATGGAGAGTAATCGCGATCAGCTAAATGTGGAGGACTATTCGGTTAGTCAGACAACGCTGGAGGAGATCTTTTTGGAGTTTGCCAAGTACCAGCGCGAGGACACGCGTGCCAATCAGTGAGCTAGCCTAACCCCTCCCCAAAACAAACATCTTAGATCCAGTGTTGCTAACACCACCTGGCTTATAAGCGGGCTTCTCGGCTTTTTGGCTTCATCCATCTACCTACCTGTCGCATCGCAAAACAAATATCAAAGACAAGCACCGAAGCACAGCTACACTTTCTTCTCTCATACAACGACAGCACAGCATAGCATACTCCCCAAAAATTTTATTCTTAACGATTTTATGTTGTAGTTTGTGGCTAACCCATACCAAGGCCTAAACCATTTAAACGAGCTAACTTCGCCGCATGCGTAGATCACGTAGAAAAGCTAACATATGGAGTATTTTATGATTTATTTTTTCAGTGTGTCTTTTTGCTCCAATTTCCCTAAGCTACTAATGTTAACTTGTGTAATGTTTGTTCTCTCTTTTGATTCCCCTGAAAAAAAATATATACAATATACTACCAGCAGCCTGTCCGAGTTGAGGAAGCTGTGCCAGTGCCTGCTAGCCAATGAGTATTGAGTACCTGTACGACATGTTCCTCACCTGAACTAATTACCTTCACTCACACACACAAATGATAATGTTTTATACAACGCCGATGCCTCAGCAGATAGTTTCTAAGCTCGAGACCAGACAATAGATAGCAGAGATTATGCCTTATTTTCTTGTGATCATCTAGCAAATTTACACATTTAAGAAGAGAGATTTGTATATTGTACTGTATAAATATATATATATATATATTTATGTATATCTGGTTGACCTACACACACCACACACACGCACATCATGTTTTAAATATATATATCTGTATATTTTTTTGCCCTAAAAGTATTCCCAAAATTTGTTGCATATATGATTATGTGTATTGATATCGATGTACTTAGAAGCGTGTAAATAGGTCAATTTTATTGTGGCACAAACCCTACGATACATATGTATGAGAATTTACCAAATAATGTTAATGTATACTATACAAATTAATTAAATTTTATCTAAATGTAAACGAAAACAAAAGCAAACAATTTATTGGGAGTTTTTAATGGTGAGAATGAAAGATGTATGACATTTCTTCTTTATTTGGGCATCATTCAAAATGATGGTTTCGGAAAGAATACATATTAAATTTAATAAACACCACAAAACTCGATAATAATGATTAAATAAAATACACTTTTCGTAACAATTAAAAAATGGTTTTTATATTGATGGTAAAACAGTGTAATTTTGATTATCGTGAGTAAAATTTTTTATATTTATTCTATACTCATTTAAATCACTTTACCACCTTTGAGATAGAATGCACAAATGCTTCAAAGGGGCGATCTCATCAACAAATTATATGCGTAAAATAAATGTTCGTTTTTCTTTCCCATTTTATGTATATTACCGAATGTTATATTCAATAAATAAATTTAAATAATAAAGTTTTATCCTAAAAAGTATAAATATTTCTAAAATATTGATTCATTTTTTAAAAGAATCTATTTAATTCACTTAATATATATTTTTCCTTTCTACTAATCACTTCTTATTCTACTTACGATATCCTTTTCCCTTCTTTATTTATGGCTAACATAAGTCTCTGTGCTCGTCCTTCCTAAAGTCTTACTGACTGTTTTCGATAGCTCTTATTTCTTTTTACTTTGCTCCCTTGAAGCTGGACATCCTTCCTTTATATAGACATTTGTACACTCATACATATGTCAATCGCATGTTGATTTTTGGCAACATACAGGCGTATTTATTTATCCTTTGGCATAACGTTTTTATTGCATTCTAAAGCAAACAAATGACAATAAAAGCTTTTACGAATTCCACCAAATAGAAAACGAAGAGAGAGCAAAACAGACATTAAAATAACACGAAAAGTGCTCTAAAAAAAAGAATCGAAAAAGATGTGTTTGAAAATCCTGGCGAATGGACGAAGGCGTAGAAGAGATGTTGGTTAGGGTATTGCCAAAATAATGCACTTTCTCTAATATTATGATGCAGCAGAGAGCCTTAAAAAAATCCTTTTTTTAAAACTATTAAAATGAATTAGTTTGAGAAAGTGTAAGGAGTTCTTTGAATTTATTTACATAATAAATAAAATAAAATAAATAATGTGGTGTGCTATTAATTGGGGAACTAAAATTCTGAAAATTACTTATGTTTTATGGTAATCTTTTGAAAGAATTGTTTATTATGTTAAATGTGGATTTTCTTCTACAATTTTGTTTGCCAAAATCAATAAAGTGTGTGTACTAAATGCAACTTGTAACAGAAAAGCTATTAAACACTGATTGTTAAGACATGTTTTTTATGCTCTCTTACAGAACATTTTAGAACATATAATTATATAAAAAATATATTAACAAGAAATTTAAAATAAAAATTTGGATTTTTGAATAATAAGACAGAGGTAAGAAATGAAAATATATATAAATACATTACCCGAGACCTTTAATTAACTTATAAATTTTACAAATTTCTTTTTTTGTAGGGCATTTCAAGTTCGTATATTTTGACAGCGATCACATTTAATTTGTTGGTGTTTCCTTACACTCACGTTTTTGGTGTCACTACCAATTTCATTCGTTTCTTGGACTCTGGCGCTTCACATTGAATTGCATTTATTGACCGAAGAAATATTTTATTACTTTACGCTTGGCAAATATTAGTTGCCCATCGCCCATGGCGGGCTGTTTTGGTCTCTAAAGGAGGAATTCCTTCATTTCTTTCTAGCTTTTTCTTATTTTTTCTTTTTTTTTTTGAGGATGGACGGAGGGCTTACAGCAAATTTGTTGTCATTGACGCAGGCAGCAAAATGAAACGATGATGCTGTCTCTGTCCTGGCTAATATATCCGGCCTGGTTTTATCCCCCCCCCACCCTTTGAACTCCCTGCCCTAACCATGGCACTTTCTCACTTTGATTTCTTGCCAACGCTCTTTTTTTATCCTTCTCGTGCACTGGAAAAAAATAGTTGAACTAAAAAAAAGTAAAGAGTATGAATATATATTATATCGATGCAAAAATCGTTCATTAAGTTTTCAAATTTGTAGAATAGCCAACAATTTTAAGGATTTAAATAGTAAAATAAACTAGAATAAAATATACATACGTATTGGCAAAAGAAGTCAATAATAATAAAAAACAATAATTTAACTTTACATGCAATAAAATGTTATATAATCAATTTGTTATCTTGTTGTTATGATAATTTAATTCTTGCTTTAGAAAAATATTTCTATTCATTTTCAGATTTCAGGGACCGACTTTTTTTCTGTGTACTTTCCTTTCTTTTTTTTTTGGGGGGGGGGGGACTCGACGAACTTTTGCAAATATTTTGGTTATAGCCGAGATTTGCGTGCCTTGCCAATGGTTTTGTTTGTTCTGCTATGTCCAGTCATCCTACTATTGCCCTCTGTTCCCGCGTTCCCATTTTCTTCTCTCCCCATATCCCTCTCCACCTCCCCCTCCAACACCGTACAGGATAGGGGTTAACCCTCCCCGCTCTCCCCTTCCAACCATTCTCGCAGCCGAATGTGGGTAATTCGGTCATAAATATGCGAACAATTTCAACCATTGTCCGAGGAGCATTTTTTGGGTGCGCATATTTGTCGCAAATGGACTACATTACAACATTACAGTTATCTTTTGATATACGAGAGTGTTAGTGTGTGTGGTACGTAATACCTCATAGAGGACATTACGGAGCGAAAGCCTAAATAAAGAAAGCCAGCAAAATATCCCATAATATGTATGTGCATACATTAGGGTGGACGCTTTAAGGGCAAGTACAACGAATACTTCATTAAATCAGAAAAAAATATATTAAATATGATTTGTTTGTTTGTTCTTATTTATATAGTTATTTATTAAGTCTTGAGACATAAATATAAAAATGTTCAGTTGTAAAATCCTTTCAACTCAGTTCTAATAAATTTTAAATCTTAATTATGATTACATGTTTAATGATTAATTATTAATTAATTATGGAATATTATATGTATTATATTAATGATTTAAAAAATTTTACGTTTAAAACAATTTTTTTTATAAACATTTCAAGATATAATAAAAGACCACACTGCGTATGATTGATATTGAACGTGCAACATATATTACTCATACGCTCAGTAGCCCATATTGTATAAAATAACAATTTTTTTTTTAATTTTTGATACATAAATATGAAAGTGTTGAGTTTTAAAATCATTTTAATTCGATTCTAATCAATTTTAAATTTTTAAATTAGCCTAGATCTTAATATTTTAATTATGTTTTTCTAAAATATTTATTTATTAATTATTATACTTAGTATATAAATTATCTTATAAATTTTACGTTTAACCGCTTTCTTTAGAAATATTATAAGATATAATAATAGAACACACTGCGTATGAGTGATATTGAACGTGCAACATTTATTACTCATACGCTCAGTAGTTCATATTGTATAAAATAATTATTTCTTTTTTTTTTTGGGACATAAATATGACAATTTTCAATTGCAAAATCCTTTTAATTCGATTGTAATCAATTTTAAATTTTTAAATTAAGCAATTACCTTATTAGTTTAATTATATTTTTTTATTTATTGATATATAAAATATTATATTTAGTATATGTTATATATAAATGTAACGTTTAAAGCCACTTTTTTTTTAGAAAAATTTTAAGATTTTATAATAGACCACACTGCGTATGAGTGATATTGAACTTGCAACAAATATTACTCATACGCTCTGTAGTTCATATTGTATAAAATAATTGTTGTTTTTTTTTAATTTTTGAGTCATAAATATGAATATTTCCTGTTGTAAAATCCTCTTAATTCGATTGTAATCAATTTGAAATTTTTAAATTAGCAATAAACTTAATATTTTAATTATGTTTTTTTTTTATTCAAGTAAGTCCAAGTCCATAAATTATTTACTAAATGTTACGTTTAAATCCAATTTTTTTTAGAAAAATTTAAAGATATTATAAAAAACCACACTGCGTATGAGTGATATTGAACTTGCAACATATATTACTCATACGCCCAGTAATCCATATTAAGTATGTACGTAGGTTGACCTTAAATTTGGCAGGTGACTCAGTTCCACCCTAATTTACACACAAATGTACATACATATATCTGTAGGTTTTATGTGCATAAACAAACAAAGGCCGCATAACATTAAAATGTAATACAAAAAGCCACAACAACAGTGACAGCAACATTGCATGTTTTGTGTTTTGTGCGATTAAAATTAAAACAAGCGGCGACATGTTGAACTTGAAAAATTTGTTGTGAGATGCTTATGACAACAATAATAAAACTGACTCGTGACACCAATGTTTATATACCCTTTTCTTTGGCGCAGGTAAATTAACTTGGAAATACTTGTATATTTCTGGGCAAGGTTGTACCTTATACAGATATTTATGATTTATTTTGATTATAGTTTTTTTTATGGAAAATGATAAGTATCAAAAGTATGTACAATAAACCCATAATGTTTGTTTTAGTTTTGTCTTTACCAAACTGTTAGTAAAAGTGTCTTATAAATGGTAAGAAGGGTATCAAAACAAAAGCACGTGGACAAAGAGTGCAGTTGTTAGAACGAGAGGTGTGTTTTAACAGTTCTAATAGAAATACCAATGTCATAATAACTCTTCTGGAAAAGAAGAGAGAGAAAAAAATCATTGTACCATTAACACTCCGTCCCAATTAAAATAGTTCCGTTGCTTACTATCTCTCAATTGGCATTTCTGCTTTACCTTTCATTTGTGCAAGCGACTGCTCTCTCTCTTCTTGAAAACGTGAGCATTAGTTGCAGGGTATGCAGGGGAGTGTTGGACGGTTTGGTTAAGGCTATGGACTACACATGTAGCAAACAATGGGAATAAATAAGAGAGAAATTTGAAGAATAAAACTAAACGCCATTTGGATAAATATTTGCTTACCGGGACATGGGAATATTGAGACAATAAGATATTTATTTCAGGCATTTATACTGATCTATTTTAAATTCGTAGCAAGTATTGCTACTGATATCAATATTAATAAATAAATGATAAATTAGTAAATAAATAAATAGTATTTATTGTTTTATAGGTATGTCAAAATTTACAATATTTTTTATATGATAATGATCCAGATATATTTGACAATAAATGAATCACAGCGTACTTTCCCTAGCTCATATAACTCTAATAATATTTTTCAGCAGATTGTGGCCCCTAGCCTATATGAACCCATGCTTGAAAATTAAACGGTATTTGAAGGCGATGCATTTTGACGCTTATAAAACAAACACACAGCCACACGAGCTGGCGAACGCGGTCGGTCACACATGCGAGCGCGACAAAAAATCAAAACAACAAAATCCACGCTGGAAACAGCTGCTTTGGCTTGGCATTGAAATCGGCGAGAGAGGAAGCGGGAGCGGACTGGGGAGCGACATGGGGGCGAGAGTGCAGGCCGAGAGCGAGTGTGCGAGCGAGCGAGCGAGAGGCGCCACTGCGGATGATGATGATGCGAGGCGGCTTGCACGAAGGCCAAAAAGCCGAAGAATCCCGAGCCCCAAAGCGAACGGTTCATGTGGTGCCGAACCGGTTTTTGGCGCTACATTGGCGCCTCAGTCAGTGCAAAACGAAGCGCTGATGTTGTTAGTTGTGCGAGCTTTATACACCGGTTTATCACAATATTCCCGCATTTCCAACGCAGCGTTTAGCGATTTTTGACGCAAAATTCAAAGTACGTAAGCCGAGACCGTGATTTCCACACAAAAGCGCGTTTCGAAAAAATAACACAATTCAGAAAAGAGCTACATACTATATAAAAATAGAAATTAAAAAAAAAGAAGAATACTAAACGTACAATTAAAGTGCTAATGATTTGGGATTTTTTCTCACAAACGTATATTCTTAATTGTGTTGTATTATTTATCATTTTTTGTTCGTGTGCCATTAAGTCATCTTTCCAGCGAAAAAGTGTTAAAGAAAACAAAATATATAAAATAAAAAAAAACCCAAAGTGAAGTCAACGTGAGACCGCCTACCGTTGTTACTTATTACTGTTGTTGTGCTCAATTAAAACCTATTTCGTATATAACAATTTTTTTCAAGTGTGTGAGTGTGAGTGTGTGATCGTGATCGTCATCTCAGCTTATTTTTCTCTTTCTTGTTTTTTTTTTTTCTTCGCTCTTGCTGATTAGCAATTCAAATGGCAATTGTTGCCAATTTTATTGATTGATTTCGATTGCAAATAATTTAAATGTTCAAAACAAGCAAATGCATAAGCAAATTCAGGAAATGTTCTCAACTCTGGAAATAGTATGGAAGATCTTGATCGAGATCAAGGGAATGTCATTGAACTTGGGGAGTAGAATTAGGAGATTGAAAAGCTCTTTTGACAAATATTCGGTAAACTTTAGAAAGTATATTAAGGGTGCTAAAAATAACACTTAGAATTTGAAAACTAGTAAGACAGTGGACCTTAAATATTTCGTTGAATAATTCTAAACACCTTTTTTAACGAATATCCAAATCCCTTGAGCTAGAGATAGTTTGATTTTGAAATTACCATTTATTTTATAATTATTTAAAGGCGTATAAAATTGATTTTTCTTCATTAAATTTAAGTACTTAAATAAAAAAAACGAATTATGTCAAAAATAACTGAATAATAAATTCAAAAGCAGAGACAAAGTTTACTTAAAATGGAATCAAATACGTATCACAACATATTTTGTATAATTGATGTTACTGTAAAATATTATAATAACACTGTTGGTAATATTTCATAAATATGAATATGTTTATGACATGACCATGAAAGAAATATAAACTTGCAATTTAGAAAGATTTTAAAATCAATTTATAAATAAACCTTCTTGACGATTTTAATATCGGTTCTGTTAAATTTGAATAAAATCAGTTTTTTGTATATAAATGTTTGACGTCTTAACAGTTTTCAATGCTTAAACCATTTTTATAATCCTGGTTCAAATTATTGAAGTTTATTATATTTAAAATATTGCGCTATTTAAAATAAATTTCTCTAAAGTTCAAGCTCATCATTGACGAGTTAAAAAACCATGTTAAATTTTCCATTAAAATTAAACATATAAACTTGACAAATTTCCAAAATTTTTAAAGTGTATTTCTCAGTTAAAAGTTAAAAGTTGAAAATTAAAATATAATTCCTATAAGCTTTATTTTCACTTCGTCTGATAGTTACTCAGATTTCGCCTTTGAGCTTTTTTGTTGTTATATACAATTCGGTTATTTATTTATTTATATTTATATATTTTTTTAGACCGACTTGTGTTACGCCACCTAATATATTTACATGGCTAATAATGCCTTTTCTTACGCCTGTGAAAGTGAGAGGGGATTCCCCCACATAGAAAAAAAAATAATAATAATAAAAAAAACTCCCGGCCAACATTCTGCAGGCACTGCATATCGCATCTTGGTCGGCGAACTATAAACATTAAATAACAATAATAACAACAAGAGAGCCGGGCAGAAAGTTGAAGCAGTTTGTCTAAGTGGCTTGGGGCTTTTGTCAAAGCATGGAAAATATAATACAATAGAACGTATATAGAAGCCACAGCAACAACAGCAACAACAATAACAACAATAACAACAACAACAACAACAATAATAATAATAACAACGAGAGTACGTCGCTGTTGTTAGCTCCAAAACACGCAACAGTCCGTCAGAATAAAGTCAGGCAGGCAGGCAGGCATCGTTAGAGACCCCTGCCTTCCCCCCTTCCTTATCCATCTCCCCCCTCCAATCTAGGATACATATATCCCATATTTCCATATATAGTCGTATATAATACCCCCCGCCCCGTTAAACATCGCGTGTTCCGGGGGTCCCAGCATGAAGGACCCTCTCCAAAAAAAAAAAATAAAGGGGGGATGCCAAGGGTCCGACTTCAAACAGCCAAGGCTCCAAAGCCCAAACTCCACTTTTCAATGGAAAAATGCACTCGGAAAAAATTATGACAAATATGGCTTTGTTCGATGTATCATAAAGATCAGTTTAGAATATATAATATATATATTTAATTAGTTTTTTATAAACCAGAAAGACTGTATGCTACAATTGAGCATTTTAATGAAAATGCAAAGCAAAATACAATTGTTTAAAGAGTTAGTTCACTTATTATTCAAACAAATTGATACTTAAAGTTAGCTTAAAAAATTTCTATAAATTATTAAAGTAATTTATTAGATATTTATTATATATAAACCAAATAATGAGCCTAGTTTCAAGGGTTATATTTTCTAAAAAACATTAAAAACTTGCTTGGAAAATTACTCCTTACTCTCAGTGTTTGCTCAAACACTTATACTTATAAGCCTACACCACATATGGAGTACACTTTTTTTTTTTCTATAATAAAATTTTCTATATTTTTTTTTCCTCCTCCTTCATGTTTTTTATATTTTTTGTTTTTGTGTTTTATTCTTTATTTTTTGCTACCGCCGCCACCGCTGTGCAACGTTCCCGTTCTCCAAATCCGTGCCCGTACTTGCAACTGAAGAGTAGGTCAGGTCAGTATGTGATACTATTTAGTTGTACTTTACACATAAGAGGGGAGGAGCTGTGGTGGGGGGGGGGACTTCCGGGGGACTTATGGGGAGGGAGGGGAAGGCCCCCCCCTGATGCCGTGTGTGTGCGGCAGGCTTATTAATTTACTGCGACTTTTGTTGCGTTTGTGCTGCATTTCAACGGGAAACGTCTCGGGCTTGGGTCGCCTTGTTGCCGACAAATCAATCATGGAAAACTTGTTGGGGAAACTTGAGAAAAGTCGGGGAAACTCAAGGAAACTCGAGGAACCTAAAAGAAATCTAATGGAAATCCGGGTTGGTAATGCAAAACGCTTTTGACTCAAGTCGATTCCGTTTAAAATAACAAATCTATTAAGGAGTTACTGGGAAAAATTATTCATTTGATAAATTAATACATACAAATTCTTTATAAAGCTAGTTTACAAAAATTATTATTCTTAGATGATTAATGAAACAGAGAGTCTCAATTATTTATTTAAATCTTAGTCATAGTAAATTTATTAACCATTAAAAAGCTCTTCGTTTTAGGTAGAATATAAAATGAAGTGAAATAAGTTTGCCTTATAAAAGAACTTATAAAACTTTGATTTAATTTATATAAATCTTATAATAATCTAGTTTTTAATTTCTGTCAAGAAATGCCAAGTTTTGAAGAGCCTAATTATTTAATATAAAATTAATTCAAGCTACTTCAATATCAAGTATAAAGCCATACTTATTATTTGTTCATCTATTAATTAATCTTTGCTTATGAAATAAAAATAATTAAAGGCATAATAAACTATTTAATGGAATGAATATAATGCTTAAATTACATATATATTAAAAATGGTAATAACTAGCAGGACAAAATATTCATTTTTATAAAAATAACATTCATTATGGAAAAAAATGAATGGTATTTTCAATAGTTATTCCTATAAATAACAGACACACAACTAACCCGTTTTACCTCCCGAAAACAATTAATTATTTTAATACCAAAAAAATAAATAAACAAAGTATGAACAAATTCAATTAGACTTCTTCTAACTATCGACCAGAATCAATGAAATAATGATTCCATAGCCGAAAATTATATCGCTATTATGCAAAACGAGCGGCAAAACTTTTGCCCAGCCTGGCTCAAACTTTAGCAACAAATAATAATTTCTATGAAGCTAAGTTATATTCGATTATATTTTTCCTAACCCAAACCCCACACGCATATTATTTGCAACTTTTTTTTTTTGTGCTCTTGGAACGAGAAAGTTTTGCTGACTCAAGCAATTAGCCGCGATTGAAAGTTGTGTCTACTTTGGTGGAGACTGAAGGTGGAAAGAAAAAGGTATAACCATTTGTGGCTAAAATCTCAGATCTTTGAGATTTTTTTTGTTTTTTGGGGGGACTGTAAACGTATTTTAATAATGCAAACATTGGGAAAACCGCAAGAGGCAAGAAAAATCTGAAGAAGAAGGAGATGGGCCAAGAAAAATCGGCAAAAGTGAAACAAACAAAATGAAAAATAACAAAAAAAATATATATATTCAAATAGAAAGACAGAGAGAGAGAGAGAGAGAGAGAGAGAGAAAGGGGAAAAAACAAAGGCTAGAAGCGCACTTTTGGTTGCTGCGACTGTCAAGCCAAATGCACAGAGACAAAGGCTAAAAACTGGTGAAAAAGGGGTGGAAAAGGGGTGAAAATTGTGGTTTGAGACTAAGGGAGGTCAGTAGTAGTAGTAGGGGGGATAGAGGAGGCTTAGAGGCACCAACTGAGGTGGAAATGTTGCCAGCCATGTTGCACGTTTTGGCCAAAAAAATTACAAAAAATTCTAACGCTTTCAAGAGTCGACCAAGAGATATCCCATTGAATAGATACTTTGCTTTTTATAAATTTAGAAAATTTATGTATAGTTTCTTTTAAGAAAAGAAAGGAAAACCATTAAATTAGTAAAGAATACGTTTGAAACTTAATAATTACTATTTATCATTGTTTAAAGAAATTATTTGGAGTGTTAAAACCCTTTAAAATGTGTCTAAAAGTATGCAATGATAATGTTGAACAAAGTAACATTTTGTAGCACCATTTGTTTTAAAGAAAATTGTGTCTAAAAGTATGCAATGATATATTTTTAGAATGTATAATATATTACCATAATTTTGGACACATTTTTAAGTGGTTTTAAAAAGTCCTAGTGATTTCTTTAGCATCTACATTTAACTTTTAAAGCGTAGCTTCTTTATATTTAAAATTTTTTTTATTAAGATTATTTATAGATTAGAGACATATAACATTTCAGTACAGCTGAGTTTAGTTTAAATATTTTTGTTCTTAAAAATGAGTTACATTTCCAACCAATATACATTGAGTTACATACTTCTATGACCTCCTTTGGCTGCCCACTGTGGCAGTGGCAGTTGGCTGTCGGTGTCCTGCGGTCTTTTTCCGTCCAAAAAGCAATGTTGGTAACAATGCGCTGCAATATTTTCAAGGTCTCCGAACTGCGGCAGGAGTAAATCATAGGCACAAAGACAAAAGGCTACCAAGTACCAAGGAGCCATGAGATAGAGAAGGGCTAAGGACAAATCTTGTGGTCGGTCTGCTGAACTCAGCCTCAAGGCCCAAAGAGTCTCCTTCAAAAAAAATAGCAAACTCAGGCAAATACGAAGGATAACGAAACGAAACTAAATCAAAGCAAAAGTCTGGCAAATTAAATAATCAAAAACAATTGCTGGAGACGAGGGCGCAAATTGGATTACGTGTAGATTGGTTAAGAAGCCGCAAAAACACAGAGAAGACGCAGCTGAATATACCTATATGTACTATATATATATATATTTATATCTCTCCGCACACTTTACTTATATATACTTGTGTATATAAAGCGGAAAGAGCTGACCCTAAAGGTTATCTTCGCAGAGCAGTCTTTACGATTTCAGTTCATCTTGTGGATTATTTCTATTCGTACACATTATCTCCAACACTTTTTATATTTTTATTTTTCTGAGAGAGATACAGAGAGAAAGAGAGAGAGAGAGGCGAAGGGCATTTCAATCATTGGTTTATAATTATAAAAAGCTTTTGGCGTCTACAACGCAAAATATGAAAAATTATATAAGTATTTATATATGGGAATATTTACTTGTTTTCGATTGTATGTTAATCTATATACACATACTATATGCTTAATAAATGGGAATTATCATGAATGGATTACAGCAATTGAGCCTTAGGCAAGATTTTATTTGTAATTTTTGTGTCTAGCATTATTTAGAGTTTTTATTTTTGCTCTCAAGGTAATTAAATTTTGATTTAATCTTTAGTTTTGTCTGGATATAATATTTGAGATAAGGTATGATTTATTTATCGAGGTATCTTTAAGCCCTTCAAAATTTATGGTTTAATTTTATGCGTATTGAATAGCATCTGAGTTGAAACGTATAAAAATACGTATAAATATGTAGTAGTAAATGGTTTATATTAGAAGTTTAAGCCACAGCAAAGATTTTTAAGTACAAAATTCTTAGAAAACAGCAAATACTAAGAATAACTGAATAATCCAAAATGTATCCCCAAAATAAGAGTTTGAAACTTTCCTCCACTCTTAAATTATATTAAAATAACATTAGTTTCCTCTTGAAATGAATTTTTCTACATTTCTCTTTCATAATGTTTACTAAATTCATGTTAAATATCAACTTCTGATTATCAGAATCATTAAATTAACATTTATTAATAATTTAAGTAGACCTTTTTTTTAAAGCTTTTAGATCGACTTTGTCCTTAAAATGCTCAAAACCAAATTGAACATTTGTCATTTCAATTCACAGACAGTGCAATATTTGTTTATCATAAGCTACTTATTTGCATTCAATTTTCCCCAAGAGATTATTTTTAAATATTTAATAAACGAAACACACACACACAGTTGTCGAAACGAAAAGAAATAAATCAAACACGAACAAAAATAAGAAAAGTTGTTTGAGTGATTTGATTCTTGACTTTTCATTTGCCAGCTGACTTGATTTTGTGGTTAGGGGGGGTGGTGGGAAACATTTTTGAAACAGAAAACGTAAATAAAAATGGAAGAGGGAAGGGGAAAAGTTTTCAATTTTTGAGTGGCCTCATCCTAATCGCCCCACAATCTGTGTCGTTGTCGATGGTTTGTTCAGAATCTGTGAAATTTGATGGTTACTGAGAGCGAGTTCTGTCGAATTAAAATCAAGGCAAGTTTCGGCACCGGAAGTGGCAGACACTTACAGGAAACAGTCAAATAGCAAAATGGCAAAAGTAACTGGATCCTGAATCAGTAACGTAGATTGTGAATCAGAATCTGAATCACCAAAATATGAAATAGAAGCATTGCCTGCGGTCCCTGCGACCGAAAAAGTTAACCTTGAAATGTTCTGCCAACTTTATAAACGGATGTGACAATTGAATTGTCAGCGTTGCAGCATCCGTGGTTGCCTCAGATTTCAGTTTTCGTTTTCGTTCTCAGTTCTCGGTTCTGGGATCTGGGATTTTCAGTTTCCAGTTTCAACTTTGACTGCAGCTTGCCGCCAAGCAGAAGCACAAGGCAGCAGCGAAATTTGTCATGTCATCTGGTCGGATTTGAGCCGGATTGGATTGCAATGGCAGCTTGAAGGGCGTGTGTCTCTAAGACACTGCTAGAAAATACTATATACATTTCATTTGAATTTAAATATATATTTTTTGAGCCCAAAAACTTCAAAGAACACAATTTAGAAGCTAAGAAAACGTTAAATTTATGAACTCTATAAGAAAGCAATGCTTTCATGAATGAGTTTAATAATTTGTTTTCCCAATTCCTTATGCCTTTCTTTATCATTATTTTATTAGGGGGAATACATCATAAATTTTAAATAAATATAAATATATTTTATACATAATATATAACCTATATTTTTTGAACCAAAAACTTTTAAGAACACAATTTGAAAGCTAGTAGCAAGGCTTTTATGAGTGATTTAAATAAGTCCTTT